CGTGCTTTACCGTGTGAGTTTTGTTGCTGAGGTTGAGCAGAGCGGAGGTGGTCCTCATTGACTTTCAAATTCGCAATCTTGGATTTTCATACACCTTTATAATTAGTTTATTGCTACGTGTCTTGCACCATAAGGGGTAGTGCCTATAGGGGTTCTTTAATTCTGGATCCTATAATTCTGACCTTGGTTAAGGTTAATAAAATCCAAACAAACCAATTGCAACCCACGCGGATTGCACTAAAACTAAAATATTGGCACACATGTCGAGACAAGTATATAACATTGCACCGAAACCTTCTTGACGCGTCCCCAAGCGTTTTCTTTATCCTACACCACCCATGAACCAAGTGAAGCGCATGATTTAAAGGAAGGACCTGAACTACCATTTTAACAGATTGCTAATTCTATGCACTATATATTCCCGTCTCGTATACACAGTCAACCACAGACTTTTGCCATCCGTCTTTCTTTACCATGGGAGTTGAGGTTTATGTAATTGGCAGTTTGGCATTGAAAATCGGCATTTGGCAACTGTGAATGAATGAGAAGAGTAGGAGAGCGAAAAACAGTTAAACTGTCATCTCGGACTCAGTCAGACTAGGAGTATATTAGCTTCAATATCTGTAACAGACTATTAGGTACTTACTTACTATCTATTTGAGTTAGCCGTCCAATATCATTTTGAGCGAGTCAAACCTTCACAACAAATCGCAATGTCGAGAAAATGTCGAGCCGAAACGTAAAGAAAAATAAAGATGTTCTCATCCCAATGCAAAAAGTCTGCTCTGCTTCCACGGAACTGGTGCCAATGTCAGGTTATCTCTTGCCAGAATTTTAATATGGGTTCGGCACTCGTTCATATAGATCCGGTCTCTCTTCTGGCAATGTTAGTAAACTATTGGGATCTAAAAACATCTTTTTATAGCTTGCAAAGTTAGGTGGGCAAGTCGTGTTTGTTGTATGTACATACGTATTCTTCTTCATCGTCGTCATCTTCTTCGGGGAGGGGGGTTTGCCGAATAATCTTACTCAGTTATATTTGGTCAGCGTTGTTGGTTTGATGATTTAGTGTGTTTCAAGTGCATTTTCTGTGTTTTTTCTGAAAAGAGTAAACTGTAAAGTCAAGTCTTTATTGTGAATCTTCACACGGTAATTTTATAATTTTGTGAAAAGTAATAGTTGAGCTTAAAAAGAAAAGCAGGGTCAATTGGACGGAATTACTGAATGGGTTCCTTGATGAAGGCAATTTTGGTTTATTAGAAAGTAGTCAGGGAAGAAGAGGGTTAATCGTTTACATTTTTGTGATGGTTTACGTTATACAGCACAGCTCGACACACCTCAAACTAGCTTTGGCTTTGATGCATATAGTAAATTGTGAATTCGTTTTCCAAATTACGAATGGTTTTACAACGTCGCAATGGTGCATTTCATCCCTAAATTAAACTTTCAACCCAAGCCACGTTCCTTTCCGCTCATAAAAATGCATGAGCTACAGATATGAAGTTTACTGCAAGTTTGGTGCAATCTATCTCCGGTGCAGTGAAAAATCAGTGTTAGTCAGTGTTTCACCTTGCATAAAACACCACTTCTGTCTGAAATGCAGTCTCCCAGCAGATTTACAGCATCATTACATATTACTTTACAAGGAGACAAAAATCATATACATAACTTGTGTAATAAATAAGGGTAACTTGGATTCACTTCCGTTCGCTCATTCAACCAACGCCTTTCATTCTACATAAACCCCACCGCTGTCTATCCTGCGTTTTTTATATTTACCATCCCCTTTCGCAAAGTTCAGGTTGTTTTAAGGATTAGACGTAAGGATTCTCGCTAATAAAGGTTTAGATTGATTCAGTCACTCGTTGAAGAACGTACTTCTTTACGTATAAAAGTAGCTACAATTTGTCGCACGCCCAAACATGCATTAAATGGTAATAATAAACCGGGTGGCAGTTACCAAATAAAAAATTAGCCTAGTAATAAACCAAGTTTGTTTGTTACATTTTTTTATTACAGGACACAGAAGCTGTTGCGGCATTAAATAATACCAACTCTAGGGAACAGGTGTTGGGATAATAATTGATAACTTGAATTACCGCATAATACGTACTTGGCGTAAAAGTGACTTCATTATTACTAGGAAGAGCGGACTGCACAGTTAGAATTGCTTTCATACATAACAGCAAAGAACAAGATAAAGCATTGTAGTGCATACACAGATAGTCAGTTTTACAGGGATACCTTACATGTACATATGATGAACATTATCATTGGTAGACTGCGAAATGCATACGCTGCGGCGGACAAAGTACATGAGTTCTCATTGAGTGACTGAAATTGAAAGTTGACCCAGATTGATTGGTTGCGATGATAATTCGCATCGCATCGTGTGTAATATAATGTGAATAGCAGAGTAGATTGAAATGAAGTAAAGCGCAACAGGCATTTATTGTCGGAATTGAATTGAAGTTGGTTGCAAATTGATCAGTAGTAGCAAAAGGCAGATCGTGTTGTTGTGCTCTTGTGGGTGACGTTGATAGTGTCATCATCGCATTTTTACTCAAATGGACTGGAGCCACTTTATCTGTATAAAGTTGTTCTGGTTCAATGAAGTTGTTCATTTAATGGACACAGTGGGTTAACGATACATAATCGCGTTTATCTGCAGCTATTACTCCAAAAATAAGTTTTAATATTTGTTTTGGGTTGTTATTCAGGAATTTAAAGCCAAATTCTCAGACGCATTGTAATGTAAACGTGTGAAGAAAAACTTTGATCTACATGAACTGGAAATTGGAGGTGTATTTACCAAACTGAATTTTGCAGCTCCATGATAAAATTTCTAGAACGTGGTTAATTAATTACCTAAATGTATTGCGCTGGGATGGAATAAAATGTGGAAGTGAACCAAGTGAATTACAAAGTGCTCGAGCAATTGTTAGCCATCCTGACAATTCATTGGCACAGCGTGACATCAATAATTTGTCTCCAGCTGGGAATTTTATTGGGAAAAATGTTCTGCAAGTGATAATTTCACAACTCTATATTGTTCCAGTATTATGAACGTATTATGTGCATGAAATGATTACAATTAAGCCCGAGTGGATATAAATGAACAATCGATACTGATGTCAATTCTCTTATTGATCTGATCGGGAAAAAATGCAAATTTCTCCTCAATCGCCACCCTTAATTTTAGACCTGGATCCAAAGTACGTTTAATTTATCTCGCCTCGTAGCTTAATGATCTATTGTTACGATAATCTTACTGCCTGTTTGTTATTAATTCTTGATTAAGCCGAATATGCAATCTCTTCGTTTTTGCTCATAAAGTCGGACTCACAATGAGATTCTAATTGAGTTAGATGATTGACTAATTGGATGGAAAAGAATGTTTTGTATCATGCAAGGGGCAATTAAACTTGAGTTAATTACATACGAGGAAACTGAGATAACATCGAGCACGTGCAGTTCTCCTACCCTGTAATTATGTGAAAGAAATCCAATTTGTCTGCAGATTGAGTTATTAAGAGATTATCTTTTTGCTCTCAATTCGGTATATTTCACAGGAAAATTTTCATTTGCGTATAACTGTTTCTGAATTGTTTCTATGCGCCTATGGTAAAGAGGCCATTATGATATTTTTTAGCAAAAATGATTGAAAGAAGAATGATAATGTAACCCAATAAATTAAAATAGAGTACAATTTCTTAAAGAACGTCCAATCTCCTCCAAAATATTCAATGCAGCTCAGACTATCGTAACATAAAATTTCAGACGGCACATTATAAAACAACAGAATTGTATGCAAACGTGTCATTGGTTTAACGTATTCGATGCAACAAATTGGTGTATAAAATATCGTATTTGAATTTGTTGTTGAAAAACAATGATGCATAGTTTTCCACAGTCACTAAAGATTGATTAAATATATTCCCTCTGATAAGCCGGTTGGTATATTACGTATGCGTCCTTGATTTAAATTAGATTAAGTAATAGAGGGAGGTTTGCCAAGAAATCTGGTAAAATTTTGGCCATGAACAGGATGACGTATTTAAATCACATCGTGTAAACATAGCAAAGAGCAGCAGCTTGCACTTGAGATTAGCTATTACTCAAGCCGAGCTAAAAACTACTCTGTATTCTTGTATAAAATCCATGCAGCTTGTGAGTCGAGTACATAGAATAAAGAAAAATAGGAGCTGTATATAATTTGGGTCGGGGAAAGGTGACTTCCGGAGAATAAAGGGCATAAATAGCAGGGTGTTATATTCTCTGACGTCTGCTAAGATTTACTTAGCGTCGGAAATTTTTAATTCATTGCCAGGCCTCGGCTCTGACTATGTACACAGAAATATGGCTATCGAAGAAAAAGCTTACACATGCAGTTCATGTAAATATGGAGGTGGACTGTTTTTTGTGCTGCAGCACAGCTACAAGTATTAGTTTAAACTGAGAAATGTAACCAAATTACTCGGAATGCAACGCCTGGTTGTACAATCACTAGGTGGAGAAAGTCGTTATACATATGTAAATACAGCCTAATGCCTAATGTGGCGTGCGTGCAATAACAATATCTGGGAAAATATTTTACATTTGGTATGGTTTTACTAGCACTTTATCAATCACACGACTTGACTAACTGGCTGTCAGTTTTGTAAGCAATATGTGCTTGAAGTTTACATAGTTTAGTTTTTCTCAAGAACCCAAAATCACTAACTCTTAGCACACTCGAAGTCATCAGTTGTGGTGGTGAGACAGTGCAAGTAGCATCATTCGCATTCTTGATCCTTTAACTTGGCACACATTCTGGACATGAACTTTGAGATTGCAGTAGGAATTTAGGTAGCATTTGACCAAAGCCTACTAAATATCACGAGAAGGAAAGTGGCACGGAGAGTAATCATCCTACATACATATATTTATATCCGTACATACAATATCGTGGTAATCTTGATGGGATTTTATAAAAATTATGTATTAATTGATTAATTTAGGGGCTCAACTGGAGGTTCGAGACCACCATCCCGTGTCCGTGTGACCTTTTTTGAGTCGGAGAAGCCGTTAGCAGTGAGCTCACCCGAGTCAGATATCCTTGACTTTGATTTGAGTAACATGACGCTACCTGGAAGCCCCAACGCGGTGGACCATCCCCCCAACTACAACCGACAGATGAGGTTTGTGAACATTTCGAATTTTTTAATTTTTCCAGTAAATTCCATCCGTACGGATTCATGTATGTCAGGCATATAAATCTCGTAGATCGCATGTATTGTATGAAATAAATTGGAATGACTAACTTTTCATTGCTGAGCATGATCTCCCAATTTTCAATGAATAACTCAAGTTTCATGAAAATGTGTTTAGTGCATTTTTTAGTAAGTTAGGTGAAATTATTTATATAAATATATTGTTAAAAAGATTCCTTAACAAGGAATTCTTTACAATTGATTCTGGACTTGTATTTTCTCGTTGGTCATCTATGACAATACTGAATTTTATAAATTATTGTTCACTCGGTTTGTATACTTTTCAAATATTGGGCATGTGCAAGGCAATGAGAATCTTGCGACCCTTGCTTGTCCATTGTTGTCACTATTTGCTTTCCTGGACTGTTTTTCTTTCCCATTGCGCAATCCAAGACTTTAGTATCCTTCAGTGAAGTAAACCAAATCGGGTAATACCAAGGTGTAGGCTGAAATGAATGGGAAAAGGAATTCCGACCGAAACATTAACCAGAGTGCTTTGCTGGTGACCAGCAAAATTTATTTGTTTTGGGCTGATAAAGGCCAAGCTGTCGGCGTATTTCACACCACAAGTCTTAAAACTACTACAAGCCGTAAGCATTCCAAACTATCAAATCTATTTTTTGGACTCGACTAGTATTCAAGGTTTGGCCCATATGCCACGACTTCATCTGCTTTAAATAGCAATCTTTTCTTCGAACGTAACAGACGAAGGCTGAACCACACCCTTTTCGTATATCTGTGTGGAACTAGACTTAAATATGCTTAAATAGGCAGACTGTTGTGCTACATTTATATAGTATGTCTACATATAACTATGTATAGGGCACCCAAGCAATACATATACACGTGCTGCTGACTATATGTATTATATGCGGGTTGTAAGAGAGGAAACAGATGAACCGGATATTTAATAACCCCAAAATTCATGTCCTGTAGCTTTTGCCTCATGATCCTGAATCCGATGCTATTAGTTGGTAGTTATCTGTCGTGACGAATGTGTTTGCGTTGAGCCCCCATTATGCCTTTTGGAAAGATTCGGAATGTTTATTGAATTTGAGCACGTGAAGATATTTCTCTGGGACTAGTTAAGGATTGCCTGTTCCGGACAATGAATTGCTGAGGAGCTGGGAACTGACTTGTGAGCTCGTTAATATAATGGTGGGCAGAAACCCGAACCGGAGTATGCATTATTTGTCCATGGGTCAATAGGAAGTGGTGAAGTGATCAATAACTTCATCATTAGGCGGATAATTCTTGAAAAGACAAGACCACGAAGGTCTTTTTCAAAAATTCAGACATGTGTGTATAGGCTACAACCATGTTTCGAACAATGCTATGCTTTTGGCCTTCACCTTTATCTTCAGATTTCCCTTTGTTGACATTACGGATTTCTTTATGCTTTTGAGGTGTTTACATTACATACTCATCATTCTAGTCAGCCATAATATCCTGTCAAACATACGTACAATATACTTAAAAGCAATACATATATCGAGTACAATTGTTTGTATATTGTGCAAATGGTTTGCATAATCTATATTTGGAATCCACTGTTCCGGGACGACTTGGGTCTTATCAAATGGACGTCGATATCTAAGCTCCTTAAATCATTGATGTCTATCATGGCAGACTATTTTGTTATACGTACGTCCTTGCTTAATCGAAAAATCAATGGACAGAGGTAGTGAATGTAGCATAATGGGATCTTTTAGTATCCATTAACTTAATTGTCCGCTGTATTTTGTGAAGACATCCAGCACCGGAAAACGGAGCGAGTTTCCCCAAACTAGATATATTCGGAACCTTTAACCAAATGATTCCGAATGATTGATGTTAGAGTTAAGTTAGCAATTTCATTATTTACGTACTTGTGCCGACAACATAATTTCATCAGTACGTATATATTACGAGGTAGTTCTTGGTTATTCTCCAAAAATTGACTCTGAAAGTCTGATTTCGTTGATTCATCAAAATCAATTCAATCGCCGAGAGGAGCAAAGCGACGCCATTATTTGACATCATTTCCATATAACTTCATATCTCCGTACGATTCATTTTGACATGTAACAAATTGCATGCCAGGTTGCCAAAGTCCGGGCGTTATTGCCAGAAGCGGCCTTCATTTCAATAAAGTAAACATGCATTTGGTTCAGAAGGTTAAGTATAAATCCGTCATAAATAAGATTATTGCATGTATGTTGACCGTAAAGCCGGGCTTTTACGACGTAACTCTGCTGTAGCCCTTCCTTCCCCGAATTCATCAGCTTATTGCACTTTAACTCTGCTGCTTCAGAATCAGAATCGAGGTGATCAGGTCAGTGATTCTTTCCTTTCTTTACCTTCAAATACTTTCTCCGCCCATGGTCGTAAATATAAATGTGAGAGAACTGTGAGTGATTCCGTACTTGGGACAGAGTTGTGTGGTAAAGTAGGCTCGACGTAACCGCTATTATTGCTGCACATGAGATACGACCTAGATGTTTACCTCTTCTAGAAAGTAACGGATGGGTGGGTGGACCGAGCTCGTCCGACTCTAGACCCAGAACGCACTAAGAGGATAAAGGAAGGGTGAACATGCGCGATGAAAATATAGCAAAATTTACCACCACACACAATAACACTACTGCACTATTTCTCTTTACATGGTTCGAAGAGGACCACTTTCTCCGTGAGTCGTCCCCACTTGAACAGAGTGCAAAAGTATCGTCGGCGTTTCACTCTTGGGTGAAATCCTGTCTTCGATTCCACGCTGCCTGCTCCTTGCCTCATTGCATTATTACACGCGTAGAGAGGAGCTCTACTTTCTCCTCGTGAAAGTGTGTGCTCGACACTCCTGCGTACGTATTTAGATACTTGGACCATTGAAACATATCTGTCTTTTCCTCTCTCTGCAAGATTCTGTCCCAGGTTACAGTTCAATTTGGGCATAGGAAATGGTTGTCAGTGTCTCTGCAACAGTTCAATTTTCCGTCACTTTACGGGACTAATCAGTGAAACACATCATATTTTGCTAGAATACATACGAGTGAATTTCAGGAAATGTGCTATAAAATTCAATTTGACGCAAGAAACAGTTACACAGCAGTTTAATAATAAATATTTGATATAGATTTAATTAAGCAAGTAAATCGTCAAAATTGCCCAAGGTTTGTACGTAAATAAATTGCATTTTGCATGCATTGCGTTGCTGCTGGTGGGAATATTATGGAACCTGCGTGACTAACACAACACACAAGCTCAAGTAGAATATGGTGACATACTTTTGATCTTTGCAAGCAAGGCTGATGTCAGTTATTAAAATATATGGGGACATTATTGTAAGACAGACTTTTAAGCAGATAATTTAATCTGTCAAGATGTCATACCTCTATTTATTTGTGGACAGAATTTGTCTTGTAATTGCGTTGTAATCTTTACATTGCGTTGGCCCACAAGGACTGGAGACTGGTTCATATGTATTTATTTAGTTTAGATAATCTGTTGAGTTTACTGGATTATTGTTACGTGCTGACGGATGACAACGAGGTGAAGTTATAAAACCAAGCCAAGTGTCAACGCGTCGGTATATGCATACTTGAATCCATCAGTTGTTGACATCTTTGCTGGCATCCAAGATTTGGGTTATGTTTTAGGGTCAATTGTGAAGGAAGTGTTTTGACTGATTTGCCACATCAATAATGATCACGCTCTCCGGGTTGTTTTAGAGGCTACACTGCTTTCTTTTGGGATAAACATAATGTTATATGCATGGATTACGTAGGCATGCATGTAACGTTATAGATTGCGCTGCATATGACGTCCGCCCAATATCTACACTAGTATTTTTCTGCAGATTACAATTTTAATACGGTTCCTATTGAACATGCGATAGATGTAAATCTACACTGTCAGGGATGAAATTGAGGTTGTCAACAATTCGAGTAGAAAACTAGCCGGTTAAACATATCGTTGTGGCAGAGGCCGGATGTGCACATATTTGTCCAATAAATGCTTGCTCATTGAACATGAAACTGAAAGAGAGAAATGCAACAACATTTAAATAGAGCATGGCTGCATAAATCACGTTCAATCTCATTCTACCAATCGAAAATAAAATGAGACAACCGAATGCAGTGAGAAGTACTTTTTTGCAACAAACCAAATTCTAGTATCAAAGTCAAAGCTTGACAACTCTATTAAAATAGCACACAGTTGATAACAAGCTTATTTGCAAAACTTGGCATGATTTAAATTAATTCAGAGAGTTGGTTTTAAATTGTTTTTTTCGTACTCAATTAAAGGTCTCCTTGTAATTTTTTAAACTACCGGATACATGTAAATAGATGAACGTGACAAAATTATATTTCAAATACGGTTGCTTTGAATTTCCACTAAACCTCTGCGTATTCCATTTATTCCGGAGTATTTCCCCGTGAGTCATACTCTACACAGGTTATAATTACATTTGTAGTCCACAGCTTCATTACAATTTCAAAGTACTTATCCATTAATTTTAATATTATCTAGCAGTAGTACATACATAGTTTGTGCTAAATTGGATGGGATTTTGTACAAAAGACGGAGCAGAATGAATATATATCACCTTAGCCTAATTATATCCGTTCATCTTCACGGTCTGTTTATCAAATGCCATTATCCCAGCTAAGTTTTGGGTGTGGGTAATGTTCCATAGTTATTAGCTTGATTTAGTGTCAAAGGAAAATACTCTGAACATTCTGCAAATCGATCCGTTAATCAGAATAATCAATTCTAGTTTTCGACATTGATTACTTTCTTGGTCGCAAATCCCAATAAATGTATTCGTTCGATGCACAATATTTGTTTCCTGTGGTATTCATTCCATCCAGCTCGTAAAGGTAAACCGAGACGAATGTCGGCCATGACATTCTGTATGAACTTTGCTTGCAGCAGCAGTAACCGTGATTGCGTAGTTGCTCTTGTGAGTAAATCAGAGCGGAGCTGAAGGTCATATAGATGACTAAATATGAGGATGAGTGCATCATTTCGCTCCCTCTTCTTCTGTTTCACGCCATAATCCAATGTTCCAAAGCATCCAAATTCCAAATAGGAACATCCTCATGAAAACTTCCTTTTATGTTTACGTGCAACATATCCTCGCCACATTAAATTCTCCATGACCCTCACAATGACATTCAGTAACCACACTGGATTCTTTTCTTCTCTCGCCAAGTCTCTCGGGGCTGGTGTGTGGATCATAATAGAATGGAAAGGTCGGAGAAAGAAAGCACTTATCACTTGTGGTGTATGTCGAACTACCAGAAAAGAAAGAGCAGGATGGAAGTAGAGAAAGTTATTGCGTTGTGGGGTGATTCTTAGAGAAAGGCGTCCCAAATTGCTTTTGTCAGATGCAGTGTAGCGTATGTAACGTTAATGCAGTATGTACATACATATGTAAGTCATAAGTGCATGCATATGTATTGAGGATCATTTGAATACGTAATTTCCCATAAGTTTTGTACTAGTTTTTTTATCAGTGGGAATCTAGGACTCTTGGAGGACGGATGTGACTGTCAATAAATCAGAATTTATAAGCTATGTTATTTTCGTAGTACTTTTAAGCACGAACCAGTTTTTACTATGGGCTGACAATTAACTTATCACAATTCTGCAGCCATTTAGAAGAACCATTTTGCAAAATGACAACTTGTTGTTATTTGGTGCACGAAGGAAGACATAATATTCCCAGCTGCGTCCTGGTGGTCTCGGTGTTATTACAATTTTTGTGTATACAAATCTGCAGGGATCAACATTTATTACGCTGATCTGTACGAGACCGTGACATTCGTCGTCATCTCCGTACTACTCGTAAAGTCAGAGTCAAGCGTGTTGAATTAATTCTTTGTAACTCACCTCTAATTTTTCCTCTCTGCACTGTAAAGATATTATCTGAGTCTTGTCGAACGAACACGAATCACAAATATCTATCTCTGCCAGTGTTCAACTTGCCTCGAACCATGGAACAATACGTATTTTAACGTCGTAGAGCTGGTTATTGCTTTTGCATGAAAAAGTGAATCGTCGTCGTGACTTTGATCTTTTCAAATTTTATTGGGCCATCAGTTTCTTATTGTGGTGGAGTGAAATCATTAAACTGTGTTCTTTCTGAAAGTACAACTTGCTTAATAATGCCTAGCATGTCGGTTTCTCACGGCGGAATCTTGTATTATGTGGTAAAAATTCCGAAAAGTGAATTAGACGCCATGAGCCCGGATTCCGAAACGGGTGGACGCGGGACAAACGGGATGACGAGTCCTATTATTAAAGTTGACAGGTTGGTATATGTATGTGTTTATAGTATGTTTTTCAAGATTAAGGTACCTCAATCAATCTGAGCAGTATTTCTTTAGATATTAATGAATGTTGTAACTGAGCACAAGGATCCGTACGAGATTTGCAATTCAAATTAAACCATAACATATTCAGGTGAAGACTATAGAAGAAAATATTAATATTGTTTCTTTTTTATTGTATTTAATACAGCGAGGGCTGGGACAACCCTTTCCGACCAGACGGGGACTTGAGCAAGGAGGCGGATCAAATCGTCGAACTCATAAAAGAGGGGAAGCCAATCAACGAGGAAAACTTGCGAAGTAAAAGTCCCAGTGTCAACGAGTCCTTCAACGTCTCTCATAATAACCAGCTAAATGTACGTAAGAAGAAGCACATCACATTCCAGGAGCCTCTCCCGGATTTGGTGCACTCTGATTATTAAAGTGTTTATTTGTTTGTCTGGATTTTTGTTGTCCTGAAATAATAATTATTGACCAGTCATCTATTGCTTTGCCCCCACTTCAGGCATCTCCAAGGAAAGAAGCCAATGGAACTACAGTCAATGGGAGTGGAGGACCACCAGACACCGTTCAACACGGTGTCGTCCAAGCCGGCCAAGCTGCACAAGTCGAACATGTCGTCCTCAAAAAGAAGAAAGGCTGCTGTGTTATCCAATAGATGGTTTTTATTTTGTTAGACTTAGGTAACTATACTATTCGACTAGCACGATGTAGCTTTTATTAATTTTAAACTATGACCGCGAAAGTGCATGCATAGGATTTAATTATTATTAGTCCTGGCAAACTCTGGGTGGGGGTGCCCTCTTGCTCTCCTCCTCCTTTTAAATATGTCTTGCGTATATGCGTTGAATTTTTGTTTAATAATGTGCATATTCGCAAAGAGAGAACTTTATTTGTACGCAGGTATGGATGCGTTTAAAAAAATGCATGACTCAGGAAATTCTTGCAACTATTTTCCAAAGTGTTATTTAAAAATCTAATCGAAAACCGGTCACTGACATAATCCACTTAATTTTGGTTTCTAATCAATATATATTCAACGTTTTTGGCTTCCGACCTGTAACAACGCGTATAAAAAATTGTTCATTTTATGTATGTAATTACTTACAAGTTTGCAAGAGTTTTGAAAGTTGGACTGAATTAAAATAAAACTAAGTCATTTAGATTATTGTTAATTGTTGATTTTACTTAATGATGCATGTTAAATGCTGTGAAAATTCTATTCAACTTTGCATTTTTATTCTGTAATACTTTCCTGAATCGAATTTTAAATCTTTGCCAACACAACTATTGTACTATTATGTATTACACATTATGATGATGACGTACGTACTGTATAAGCTTTGGCCCTACTGGCAGCTTCTCTATAATAATGTAACAAATTAAACTTTATGCCTTTTCTAAAAAAAGGAAAATTACGAGATTACTAAAAAAGTAAAAATACCTTGAATTAATGATGTTTCCAACCCCCTTGGTTGTCAAAAACCTCTCAGATGCAAATTTACCTCATCAATTGGCTCCTACGACATAGTTTTACCTTGAAGTGAGACTGATTCCTTAAAATATTTATCGGATAACTTCTAAACGAAATTACTTAATTATAGCTTGAGTAGTTATAACTAGAGTGATTGTTCGAGAGTTCGCAGCCTTGCATGGTCCTTAAACATACAGACATCGACGTGTCTGTAGACAATTACATGAGAGAGTGAGAGTGAGAATCATTCAATAAACTCGTAAATTACAAATAGATACATAAAACTAACTAACTCTGTATAACGGTGCTGTTGAAATATGGAAAAATCTATTTTTCATAGGCTATAGTTTAAAGATTATCATCATAGTGCTGACGGTGTGTATTGTGTGTTTAAGAAAACACGACGATGACGGTTCCAGTCACCAGCGTGTGACGGCAACACTATTTTATCTGATTATAATAATTGACTAATTGCTAGATACTCGTGTAGCTACCTAAACTGAATTAGAAAAAAATCCATTTGATTGTGCATAAAACAGCAAATTTTACGTGTAACTTTAAGGAGGCGGAGCAGACGGCTCGCGAGGTGTAAAATAACGGTTTGATATTGAAGCATTAGGTACAGTTGCATACATACAGTTGCAAAATTGTAATACTGGATTCGTACAGATTTCAAGTGGTTTGGAATAAGTTTGTAGAGAAATGATATAAAAAATTGTCACAGCTTGCATACCAAATTCATTGTAATTAAATGTCAAAATATACCTTAAAAAATTTCTAGGTACGAATGTGTACAGTTCGTAAACGTTGTCAACTTATATCCGACATAAATATATAAATGTTCTAAATATAATACGGCAGCAGTTACTCATTTGTTTATTAATTAAACTCGTATTTACTTACTCAAAGCCATTTGAATTAATTTGGCTTTGCTAAAAATCGGTGGGATTCAGTTACGCATAAACTAATTTCTACTTTGTACTTACACAATACGTTATTTACTTGAATTATAGCAATGTCAATTTATTATGCTAATAAGTAGTGTCCAATGTTCAGGTTAGTTGCAACTCAGTGCTGTGATGTTGATTTTGTTTCATTTTCATTCTTTAAATTGTCACGACCGAAAGATTATAGACCTCCTTTATCAAATTTATTTGAACTGTTTACTGCGTCCGTTAAATGTTAATTTTGACTAAAAATATCTATCTTTGTATTTGCGAATTGAATGATTTCTGAAGAAGCATTTAAATAATTATTGTTGGATGAAAAAAATGTTGATTTAGCTGCCAAAGGTGTCCGCTGAAAATAAATCCTTTGATAAATAAGTTTACGTGTCTTATGTATTTTCACCCGTCATTGTTCCAGCATCAGCATTGTACCATTCTTCACATATTAACGCCAATGTGTTCTACATATATATCAGGTTGCATAATTCGTCTCCTCTGTATATAGAGATAAACCAGTTCAAGGTCACCGAATTTGGCACCGGTTAATTTATCAGTAGACAGCTCAAGTAGTATGCATACATAAATGTCATCCAGTTTGCCACATGTGCCAAATCTCGAGTAGGCAAGTTGCACAAAATTATATTTTCTATCGGCTTTTACTCCCATGCAGTTTAGTTTGAATCATATAATTTCAACTTGTTAATTAATTTACAATGGAAAGTCAGCTACGTTGGGGAATTATTAGCGTTGGTAGAATTAGCAATGACTTTGTCACAGCTTTAAAGATTTTACCAGCATCTGAACACAAGATCGTAGCTGTCGCTGCAAGAAATCTCGAAGCTGCGAAAGAGTTTGGACATAAGCACAACATCGCAAAATGTTTCGATAATTACGAAGAACTAATTAAGGACCCTGATGTGGAAGCCGTCTATATTGGTAGCATCAATCCTCAACATTTTCCTTTGGCAAAATTAGCAATTTCCCATGGGAAAAATGTTCTCTGTGAGAAACCTCTTTGTATGAATTTAAAGGAGACTTTGTCCCTTGTGGAGTTTGCCAAACAAAAAGACGTATTTCTGATGGAGGTATGTTACTATTTTTCTAAATACTCTCCTGAAATTTAGAGAGGTGCATTAATAATGCTGACATTAATGTTAATTAACAGGCAATCTGGAGTCGTTTCTTCCCTGCCTATGCGAAACTCAGGGAGGAGCTTAAAAAGGACACCGTCGGCGAAGTGCTTCAAGTTTTTGCCAGCCTTGGTTGTCCTGTTTCCGAATTTGATAATTGCAGGTAAAAACAATTCAGATGATAAAATACAATTACGCGTATTGTAAACTTAAATGAATTTCTTAATTTTAGACTGAAAAGCCTTGGTGGTGGGTCTCTTCTCAATATCGGGGTTTACTGTGTTCAGTTCGCAACGTTAGTGTTTCCAGAAGAACGCCCAGAGAAAATTGTCGCTTCGGGACACCTAAACTCTGACGGGGTTGATGAAAGCATTTCCATTATACTCACCTACAAGGGAGGAAGAACGGCCACGCTAATCTCCCACAACAGGGTGGAGCTCATGAACGAGGCCTGCATAATAGGGACGAAGGGCATCTTGAAGGTGTATGTGCATGTCGTATATCATTTTGAAGTGATGAAATAAATTAGCAAAACTTTCTTACATAAGTCTAAATATGTACATATGCATACACTGAATGCAACACAATAATGAATTATTTCAGCTCCCAGCAATGTTTGTGTGTCCCAATGCACTAATTACGCCAACAGAGACATTAAATTTTCCACTGCCTGCTGCATTACCAGGATCAACCTTCAATTATCCGAGAAGTGAAGCTCTCTCTTATGAGGCCCAAGAGACTCGCAAGTGTATTAAAAACGGTCAATAGTCAATAAATCACGAATAAATAAATCAATTGTAGAGATCACTAATTAACCAGGACGTTTTCTCTTTCTTATTCCATCAGGTCTCAAGGAAAGCCCGGAAATGAAACTGAGCGAGTCAGTTTTAATTGCTGAAATTATGCAGACGGCAAGAAAGCAGTTGGGAGTATCGTATGATCAAGATTGATGAAAATGTATGCGGCAGTGATTAAGAAATATGTACGCCACACGTCGTGTAGTTATAAATTGAAAGGTTTATTGAAGAGGATAAGATTTAATTAACTATCACTACAATTTTGTAAGTATTTTACAACATGTTTGGAAATTGGAATAATGATTGATGCGCCGTCATTTGTTACTACTATTAATTAATATATGTATGTACTTCTATAAAGAGTGACCATACTGTACACAACCAAATAGTACAGAAAGGTCCCATGTTCATCGATTAGAAAACATTATGTGCAATAATAAAAATTTAAATTTGAAACACATTTTAAAATAGTTAAGGTTATGTTAATTATTATTATGTTTACTCGCTTTCAGAATTGACTAAAAATCATCAAAATCGCATATTTAGTAATGCAAAACTTCACCAGGAACTGAGTAACACACCAATTAAAACGATCGACCTTATGCATGTATGTACATACATCCGATCATACAAAATTTAAATGGTTATATATCGTATGTCTGCTGCTTGCATAAGAAGTGACCCGCACAATTTGTTGTTTTTTAGACATTTCAACCTTTGCCAAGTTAATTAATTTCTAAGTAAACTATGTTTTATTTTTATTCGTGAACCTGTGTGCATTCTCATCTAAACTAGTAAATTATTGAACATTAGGTGGTTAGTAAAGGGTAGATAGATGAATGTACGTACATTATTCAGTGGTTACTGGAGGAGCCCCTGTTGTGCATAGTCAATAGTGTGTCACAATATTTCTGCATATTTCGAACAGCAAGCGTTTTCATTTGATGATGCCGTGTTCGATTCGATATGTGAATCAATAGAGTAATAAATAAGTCTAATTTTCTTGGGTTACATGTACACATTTACAATTATACGAATTACAGGAAAATAAAAATTTTTCATTAATTCTAACTTTGAGAGAGAGACATTGACAGAGAAACTTCAAGATATTAAATGTCGCAAGTGCAACTGTAATAAATAAATATGCAACAAGGCGGAAATTGCTTTTCTCACAAAGCATACCCGGCTGGCACTGGACTGGATGCAAAATAAGTACGCAAGCAAAGCTTAAATGATTCGATTCGGTAGCCAAATATTCATTTTATTAATCTACAAGCAAATTACGAGTGTCGGGACATGAATAAAAGACGACATTAAAAATTAAAGCAGTGACTAAAATTGTAAATCATGTTTCATGAATGAGGAAATAAAATACTACGTATGTATAAATTATTGACTACATTGGAAGGACACACATGAAGTGACTGGATAAAGTTGAAAATGTGCATCATACTAAATAATATTGGACATCAAGGAGCAATAAAACTGACACGAGGTATTTTACTTTGGACAACAAAGATTCGACAAGCTAGAGGAGGACACAAAAGTTGTTCCATAAATATATAACTGGCTCTAGTGGCGGAATTAATTGTCTTCTGGAAGAAATTCGTAAGACAAATTACGGGTTCTCAAGTAGTTGCAACAGTAGCCTTCTACTTCCAAGCGGTTGGATGGCATCCTTCGTGGACTTCGTTGCTGCTCATCACATTTTACTATTCCTAGTGATCCTAACCTGTAAGCAGGGGGATAGGCAAAAGACAAGCAAATTATTATCGTTATTAGTAATATTATTAATCATGTCAATGTTCAGGGCGAGATTAATATGTTAATCCACCCCAGACTTGACAACTAATAAGTACTTAAAATGTATTAAAGTAAATAGATTTTTCTTATTAGTAGGTAATTTAATAATATGTTTGCAATGTCTTAGTTGAGAGTAAGTGTAATCACTGTGGGTTAGAAGACGGATCGCATTGAAGGAGTCGAACAATTGAAGGATCAGACGTCGCTCCGGCAATAAATTCCTCCTGGTTTTGAGGATACAAAGAGTAATTTATTAAATCGAATGAACCAATGCTACAAATAAAATAAAGTCAATAAAGAAATTAAAGTTTTCTTACTATAGACAGCTTCCCATCGTGATTAATGTCCATCTGCCGAAAGATCTTGTCGGTTCGTTTCTCTGGCGTGGATTCGTCCTCAGGCATTTTCATTACGGAACCAACCATCTTGTAAATGGATGTCACAATTTCGAGCATTTCTTGTCTGGAAATTTCGCCATTGCCTGGATTGCAAAAAATATGGATTTAAACTATATAATTGCCTGCTACAACATTCTGCAATCAATGATATTAAATACATATGTTGGCCATAAATATGGAGGTCGTACCATCTAAGTCATACATGCTGAAGGCCCATCTCAATTTTTGCTCCAGTTTTCCACGCTAAAATCAAAGGAACTCTTTTAACAACAAATTCAAAATGTCGACCGGTCTTTCCGTGCAATTTCCGTGTTTATACAAATTTTGAGTAATATGAAATATTTTTAAATTAATAGCGTTTTTACTGACCGAAGTGACCGATAAGGCGCAGAGGAACTCCCTGAAGTCAATGGTTCCATCCGAATTTGAATCGAATGTACGGAAAACGTGGGCAGCGAACTCTACATTGAAAAGTTAAACATGAATTATTTCTGCAAGCAAAGGCAAGCAAGTCGATGGGAATGAAGGGATCGGAGAGCCAAGTACAAGCTGCTTCGCGTCTGAGGAAAGCCCATTGTACTAAAGAATTGCAGTGATGGGAGAATGATGGTATTATTGGATGTTGAAGTGGAGGCTTAAATTGCCAACAGAATTGAAAAATTGTAGTCCAGAACTTTTTCTATCAGTTCAAACCAAATCCTATATACTTGTACACGAGAGGGAAACCTGCATTCCATGCAAGAATCAAGGCAGGTGAATACCAATGGTGAATGCTTATGTGTCGATGAAGGTTTAAAATAGGACAACCTTTCAGAAGTTCACATCACGAATGAAAATGTAATCTTGCATGTGTTAAATTTGATGCTTCATCTTTCCTTCTGGACAGACAACCAGCCAAGCATGAGTAACAACGGGACGACGACGAGGTGATGCAGTCGACCCTAACAATTTATCGATTCCGATTCTTTTCATGCAGACGAGTTTCGCGTGGGAAATGATACTTGGGGGAGTGCCCTTCTCCAAGCAAAAGCCTGTTTTGCTTGCGAAATTCTGTATTATTTAGGGAGACTAACAACATCAAGGACAAGGAAAATACTGAAATCGATTACTCGCTTCTTTTTTCTTCATTTTATTGTGTGCAATTTTTATTAATTTACGGTAGTGAAACCAAGTGTTGTTGCCGACTGGTAATTTCCTTGGGCGTTTCCGAAACGATCTTTGCTTGTCATTTAGGGAAAGCTTCGCTCTTGCCCCTCCCAGATTTCGATGTTATTTGGATATACTGTAGTACCCAATGAGTGAACAATGACCCACAAGTGGTTTAATGCCATAGCCACATTTGCCACACTCATTCAAAGGGGAAAATTTACGGAATCAACGTAATAAAGCGCTCGCCAAAAATCCAGCTTTGTTCGGAGTTTGAAAACTCTTGCACCCCAGCTGTCCTAGATAGTTGCCTTATCATATCGATATCAAATTTATCTTTTTTAAGGATTTTTTAATATTTTGATAATTTACTGACCTGAATTTTATAACTTGTAAAAAAGTCAAGTTTGGTATTGGACAATCTAGTTTGATTTTTTTGTGAAAGCTTAAACGAGCGAAAACGGGTTTTTTTTTATTTCTCGTCCCTTTCAGGACTTAAGTGCGCCCATGGCAAAACACTTGGGGTTTTAGTTGCCTACTCATGGAATACTATTAATAAAGCATATCCACAGGGCATCGAAATCTGAGAGGGCAAGTAGTGAAGCTCTCTTCCTCAGTCACACAGTGGACGAAGATGGACGTGAAAGTGGTGAAAGTGATTTACGGCAACAACTCCTACAAACGACTACACAGATCGAGGCTCATTACTTTCGTGCGAAATGGCCATTTATGCTTGCACGAAAGAATGATGTACGTAAGACAGGTAAATGTCAATATTTTCTTGGATCATAGACCCACTTCCTTCCGCTCCTCGTTTTTCTTTGTGTTCGTCAATGCGAGAAACCTCATTAAACCGCGTATTGTTAACCAGGAGCAATTTATGAGCTGAGGCAACTAGCATTCTATTGGAAAAGGCTGTTTCATGCCGGCCGCATGTTACATGCTGATGATGGCATTTTCTTTGATGGGGGCACATTATTGAACCTCGATAAATTAAGAAGAATCCGGGTTGCGAGAGCTAATCCCGTTTTATGCTGTTTCATGAAATCGTGTGGGTAGAGGAGAGAGAGAGATCAGCTAAAACCAGGAGAAAGCAACCAATTTAGCCCACTTTCAAGACTGATTTTGAATGGATCTCAGCAGGTAGAGCAGTCGTAGGAAAGATTAATCACAAAGAAAAAGGTCACCATATGTAATATAAGGTTTGGCCTGAACTGAAAATATGTATATTTAAGTGCTGTACGCTCATTTTCCAATCGAGTAAGTTCAAATGTACGCAAGTCCTTTGCACCCAAATCTGTCTGCAGTTTTGTGACTAGGATGCATCTGAAGTTAAGCGTTTTCTCAGCATTTCTCGATTTATCGAGCCAATGCAACTCCGAGATATAAATAGTATTTAGTTTAAAAATAATAAATGTTAAAGACTAACGCGATGCATCGCCGTAAGGGAAAAAGTTCCCGTAGATTTTTTTGAACTCATCGACAGATAATGTTCCCGAGGGGCAGTCCTTCAAGAATCCCTTGTACCATTCCTGAATTTCTTGCTCTGAAAACACACAATAAGTTTATTTTACTTAAACTGGGCTCATTCCACCAAAATTAATAATAATTTGTAAGTCGTCCTTGCAACTGACAATAGGATGCATTATAGAAAGTATGTAGATTGGAATTGCAGGAAGGATTTGCGCACAGTTTTATTTATTTTTATCATAAAAATACTCCATGATTTGTTTCTTGTTGCCTTCCCAAGTTTATTTATGTCGTCTGTGTCATCACAAGTTCATTCTTCAAATTAATTATGTATGTGCAAGCAGGAAATTCTAATAAGATTGTGAAGATGCAAGTGAAAACTGTGACGAGAGAACAAAATACGTAAATGTTGATCCATGTTGGAACAAGATTGGATCACAGAAAACAGTTGTACATACGGCAGCCCAAGACTATTAAATTATGCACAAGAGCAACTCGAAGTATATTCTTAATGCAGAATTCACTTCCATTTCAACTCACAAAGTGTCACTTTCTTTTGCAGGAGGAATAGAAGAAAGTTAAAGTTGGACACTTGCAAACGGATACAAGTATACAAACTATTTGTAGCATATGCACTGTGAGAACCTCTGCACTACATGCTTTTGTCCGCTGAATTGAATGGGACAACTGGGACAGTTCAACAACAGTGCTATCAGGCAGCGACTACAGGCATGCAAAAGTTGGTGTAATTCGTAATATGTATGCAAATACGAAATACATTATCAATTCAAGTGAAAAAAAGCTACAAATATCACCTAATGCGAGGACAATCATGGAATTGAATTAAATATATGTACGAAGGAATTGAATTTGATTAGACAAATAAAAATTGCTCGTGCTTCGAAAAATTCACATAAAAATCATCAGTACTAACGATGACTCCAAGCTAGCGTCTAGGACGATGACGATTTTTTAAGCTGACTTGTGAAAATTGTTACCCAACTTACCCGTGAACTCTGTATTTCCTCGCAAGTCTGCCATGACTTCCGGCTTCAGCTTACTGTTTCCTTTCCCCATTGTGAGAAGATTTCTGGCAGTAAATGAATCCTATGGATTTGTGTCCGGGATGAATTGGCTGAACAGGAACTGGAATCAGATTTATTTGGTTCGAGTTAAAGCGATATCAATGAAACTTGATTTTTGGTTGTGTGAGTTATTTCGATTCGGATCAACACCAGGAATAAAAATGGTGTACGAATTTTATGACCTCCTCTCCTCTCTCACAAACGACTAGAGTAATAATGAAGCTCAGATTCTTCAATTAACGTCTGGAAAAGTCGATAAATTTAAATTTATTAACTTATGCATTGCCTACACACATATTCTGACAGACAGCGTTGTATTTAAGTTTGTCTGGACATTGTAAGTACACTTTGAATGCTAGGCCTGTTAATTTAATTCATACCATGCAAATATTATCATCATCTTTGCATATCACGTTGCAAATTTAATTGAAAGTATCGTGGTTGGTCATAGTTAGCGTTAGAGTAATAATGTTATATTGAAACGCAGACTGACATATTAGCATAAAAGTCTACCCATACATAAACAGTTAGTTGACAAATACATGCTCATGTGGGGATCATAACTTTCACTTTTCATCATCTGTCATCTCAGCCAAAGGTATGCAAATGCTTTTCCGCACTAAGAATACCGTTTCCACTCTGGACAAAGGACATTATTTGTAGACAGAGAATTATGGACATGATGCAAATGGTTATCCACACGCGGAGGACCTACATCTGCAATACATTCAGTTTTCTGTCAGAGCAGACGCAATGTCTGAATTACTCTCTCCATTTTAATTTGCATGTCGTTTGGAAAACAAACAAGAATGAAATTCACGAGTGTGGTTCGCAATCCACATCGAGCTTACCTGGTGGCTGATGGGAGTTAAACTATGGATGGGGTCGTTTTCGTCTGTTGGAGGGTTTGGTTGATCGTGGCGCGGTCTTCTTCTGGCAGCGTACTTAAAAGCAAGAATAAAGAGGAATTTGCTGCAATGTTGTGAATCGGTGAGTTAGCTGAGAGAGAAGAGAAGAGGACAGTCAGGTAATAAATATTGCAATTCAAGCTCCTGAGGGAGTCACAACGTCCAATCCTGAAACCAAAAATTGTTGCTTAGAACCAAACATGAAGAGAATGGTGAGTCATGATATGGAGGTTGGTGGGTAAATACCGAAACAGCAAGCAAACCCTGGAGGGAGATAAATGGGAATGTTCAAGAATCACATGTGCACAACAAAAACGAATTTATTATAGCTCCACAAATATAAGTAGGCAACGATCGATTCCTACATGTGATTTTTGAGATTGTAAAGATTGCAAAGAGGTGACAGGAACTGGGATGATTGGAATATATTTACATACGCAAGTACAGACAAGTTCATGGGAAATGTAAAATCTTGAACGATCGTCGTCATATGTGAGTACTTTTGACGAGCGAGCATGTAACGAGTGAGACGTCCTGAGAATTCTTGGGCAGCAATATAAAGCAAAGTTGTACATATGAGAGGTGGACGACGGGACGATAATATCCCATGGGCAAATATCATCCAAGTATGTATAAAATATTCACATACACTTTCACTCACATCACATCACCTCTATTTGACTTTCTCCCATTCACCCTTCTGCTCTCCCCCACAGGAGAACAGCCCTTCTCGTCATCCTTTATTTATCCATGTGTAATTCCGAGAACAATAAATACCTTGTTTTGGTCCCCCTGCGCCATGCGAGGAGTTGGCCCTGAGAGATTGTAAATGTGCAACAATGGGCGAAGCGGTCGCCTTGGATAACCCAACAGAGTCAAGATTCTGCACAATAGATTTACAAAAATATGATCTGTTCAAGCTCCAGTTTGATGATTGGCTAGGTTCACATCCCTCGAGCCATATTTAGCTTCAGTACATAATAGAGTGACATGTCACATCAATGATTTCTACGATGGGACACGTTCCTTCGTTGATCATTTTCGTCTCAGCTGGTGTGGCGTTGGATTATTGAGGGGAATAGTGCCATGCAATATTTAGAATCTAATTGGGACTGTAGGAAACGATCTTGGATTGTCAGTAACGGGGCTTTTGAGATTTTTATTTCGATGGATCAATAAAGCGTTGGCATACAATTGGACGAGCTTGCAAACCCAGCAGGTACAAATTGCAGCATCCAATCTCAAGAACAGAAAAAAGTTGGCTTGTTCCTCCTATAAATCAGGATCAAAGGATTTGACCCCCGAAAGTTGGACATGACAGTTTGAACGTAAATTATGTCATCGCGTATGTGTGTGTGTGTGTAAAACTTTTCGTCATGTATCTAATATAACATGACATTTGTAATTGATAAAATAAAAAAATATAACCCGATATTTCGTTAAATCATTCAGAAATGTGCTCGTTGTACAGATACTCTATGAGCCGTGAACCTTGAAAGAGTTATCAAAAATAAACTATTATATTATATTTATATTATTACTTTATACTGCCTTGATTATTACATAACATGACAGCATATGTACATATCTGTAATATACGCATGCACATATTTATATACTTATATAATTATGTACAAATATGAAAATTGTGTGCTGCTACTAAATAATAGCATTTCAGAACAGAACAATCTAGGAAGATGACCAAACTAAGGATAAGCATAGATGTATTGTATGCATGCCTGTCTCCCAGTGTCTTAGATATGCACATGCACACATTGTTCCTGGACAAATTAATCCGACCTCGAAATAACATCGGCTACGGAATTTCTCACATCCTCGTAGTCACTGTTTTAAAATGACCAGCACTTAATAAAATTAATGAACCATTAGAGAAGATATATATGATGGGAGAAAGTTGCTCCGTGCTTCAGATTTCTCCGGCGAATGTGGTGAGCTCTTCCTACTTCATAAACGAACTTTAAGACTATACATTCAAAAATGTTCGCAGTGATAAGATCCACTTGTGCAAAAACTTGGAACACTTTGAGGTTTCCGTACAACTTTAATATTTTCCGGTAAACAACTTTCCTCGCACAGCTTCTGGTACATTTGTACATACGCAGGTTCAAACATCTTAAGAGAGCAATGGAACTTTCCCATCAGTTTGAAAGAGGTTCTCAACAAAAGTTTAATATTGTTGAGAAAAGTCTTCCTCGCACTCAAGACAACCGTGGTGCGAGAACACCACAAGAATACAGACAACGCAAACAACTAAATTTGCAACTTCGATCACTGGGAAATATTTACATTTCGAAGTCCTGAAAAAATAAGTAAGCCATCTTTTGGCGAATCTAGAAAAATTTGACCAGAATGTCTCGTTTTGCATGACGTATGTCTTTGTGCTCACCGAGCGAAATTTTAGCGCTAATAGTCGGTTTTATACCGAGTCGGTATAAAATCGACAAAGTGCAAAAATAAGGCCTTCTTATTTTTTGTTTCAAACAGATGAAATTGGTCTCACTAAAATGAGTGTTATGCATGTAAAAGCCTTTTGAGTGATCGTTTTAGAACGCAGATCTTCGCGTCGGAGTGGGAGAATTGGAGCGAGGAAGTGAAAGTAATAACGCAGTTTCTGTCTGAGAAACCAAGCGTTTTCGCGAACTTGGGACGCCCTTAAGTTTACGCACTGGCACCAAATGTTGTTTGTGAATCTGAGTTGAACATGGTTTGCGCCCTCATTGTTAGGCATTTAGACGGTGGAACCCTTTTCACTGCTTCGGAGATTTATTTTTTAAAACCCCCCAGCTAACAACTTCTAGATACGATATACCTATGTATGTGCATGCATGTATATACGCAGTACTTGTTACAGTACATGTACACCTTCAGGATCTATTCAGACCTTGTACCTATCTATCTATGTACCTAGCTACCTGCCTTTTGAATCCTTTATCTCCATCATTGTGCATGATACTCGACCTGACCTCTCTAAAATGTACTCCATTCCGGCCTCTGCATTATTTAGCAAATCCTCTTCGCCCCGCTGACTTTGTCTTTCAGGAAGATAGACCTCACGGATCGATCAAATGCCAACCAGGATAAGTGCCAATTTGATGGATAGTGAAGCAAACTCGAGTTTGCCGTGTAGTGAAAGCGGTGAAAGCAAAGACATGGGCCAGATTTATTTTATGTACTTCTATTTTCAGCTATATTACCCAAATTTTGTTACGGAATTAAATTTTACGTGTTTTCTTGCTCACGGAAGATGGCAAGCAAGAAAATAAAAGAGGAGAGGTGCTTTTTCAAAATTTATTATAGCGATTATTATTGTAATACTTCCATAATTGCATTCATACATTATTTCGTGGCAGTTTTGATATTTTGCAAAGTTACGAGAAAAACAGAAGGTTTTATGTGAATGATCATTACACAGTTCATCTGTTTTGAGGGTAACTTTGCACAAGAAGTTTGAAAGAACAATCATCATTTTTCAATATTATTACATTAACGAGTTGCAACGTCAAATAAATCGAGATAATAATCATAACTGGAGTCAAACAATCTTAACACTTGATAAGTGCCCCATGGGAGTATGTATTCTTACGTATACGTACATATCTTACGGAAATTGTGGTCAAGTTAAAAAACAAATTCACATAATTGACAGGATTATGACCACCTAAATAATAAGCATGGATCAGTTTTATTATCGTTTTTATTGTCTGCCCACATAGGGTGCAGGATCCCACGTGTAGGTGCCATAGAGAGAATTCTGATACATTCCATGACCCAGCGTTGTTTGCATCATCTTCTTCTTGGGTAACTCTCTCGGGTTCTCAAGAGACATCCGCATCTGAAATATGGAGCGTTCCCTCTCCTCCTTACTCGCTAATTTCAAGAGCCGTTCCCACTCCTGGTCGCTGATGGGGTCGTAATAGCCCTCCTCGTCGTACACCGATTGTCCCCTCACACTCCGAACGTCGTCGTATTCTCCATCAAAAACGGACCTCGCCCTGCTCACGGATCTTGCTCGCGTCATGGAGCGAGCCCGGGAGACTCGAGTCGCCGTGGTCGCAACGGATTGTCCCCTCATCACCGATTGACCTCGCATCACGGACTGTTCTCGAGTCATTGACCGTGCTCTAGATAGCGACCGCCCACGCACGTTGGTTACGTAATCTGCATCGACGGGCTCAGCGTAGTAAGCATTCAAATCTGCAGGGATTGAGGACGCTCTTGAATACCGACTTTTAGTTATAATGGGGGCAGGTTTGTAGTAATATTCTGAGATGGGTTCATATCGTCCGTAGAACGGATTTGCTGCCCAACGCTCGGAAAATGTGCGGGCGCCTGGGGGACTCATCGTCCTCCGTCTGGACCTTCTGGCCTGAGGATCAACTGCTTCTCCAATATACCTCACTTGTGGTTTATAGTACGAAGTTCCATACTCGTAGTTGTACTCGTACATTCGGCTCCTTGGCCTCGGTCGTCTGTAGGTCGTCATTTTCTAAATTCCCAACACCCAAATCAGCAATACTCAAGAAGTTTACAATAATAACTTTAGAGTCTTGATTTCCGGTAAGACTTTTATTTAATTAGTTCCTATATCGGATATTAGTGAAAACGCTACAATGAACTTACAAAATTGAGATTCGTCGAGTGAAGGAAAGCAAAGCGTAGGATTTATGGAAACTGCGGCACCACTGGGCGACACAAATGCTCCAAGGCAACTGAGAAAAAGTATGCACAGAGGATATCTAGCTAATCCTTTATCACTGATTCCAAGCTCTGAGAAATATGATACAGTTGCATAAAACACCGTCCGAACAACCAGACGGAAGTGAAAATAGCTTCGTTAATATGGATTGCTCGCAGCAATGGAAGGATCAGAAGAGAGACGGTAGTGTAGTTGTTGAAATTGGGCGAGATGGGTGGAGAGATACAAAAGCCGTGGGTTTGGGCTCTTTTCCTTGACTCAATTTTGCATCATGACCGAGATCTCATATCCGATACATTTAAATGCATGGCCAATGTCAACGGGTCGTGGGATGGGGAAAACTTGTTACTGAGCCAAAATAAGGAATGATTCAAGAGAGCTAAAATTAGATAATTGTCTCGGTTCCTAAACTCTTACATGTATTCTCCATGCTCAGGAATGACAGCAGCACCAACTGGATGAACATTTAGCAAAATATTGTGCTGTCGTTGACAGGATAAAGATGATTGGAGAGATATATATACTGGTTTTTAATATATGAAGTATGATATATAAATTTATGCATGTCAGCAATACACCAGGAAGAAAGAAGTATTGGTCCTGAGGACTACGCTTATCAAATGCATTCTAGGTAACCTAATCGCACCAAAAATGCTTATTCCCTGCTCGGTTCGCATTTTTTAAACAAAATATTGTTTTCCTAGCTTTTCAAAATACAATGAAACCAGAAGCCATACACATTATTGAACCCGAACTTCCCTTAAATCTACTTTCCTTAAATTTCGAACTAGACGTAAAAAAATTTGATGCGATTCGGTCGGGTTACATACATGCGTAGGCGGTACAGATTGAATGGTACTCGGATTGGACCAATGACCAATACTTACTTCCTTTGCCTATATACATATATGTATTCATGTTTTAAGTTAGAGTTTTGTTTGATCTTGTAGCCAATTTAATTTTGACGGAAATATTCAGTTCGCAGAATCAGTATGTGTATGCATAAAAATCAGGGAGTACACAAAAGAATTGCATCTTTCATGGTAAACCAATATTCTCGGAAAGAAGTGTGAAAGGCACGTCGTGCATGGATATTGACATACATACTTATCAACCGTTCCTTATGTCATTCGTCATCATCGCTCATTCTTACAAAAGCGCTTACAGTGAACAGTCAAACCACGAAATGGGTGTATAAAAGCGCAAACACACCACTATTGCAAATCTGAGTCAGTTTATAATGGAAATAATCCAGCAGCTCAAATTTCCTTTTCCTCTCTCCGCGGAGAAATTTAATTTCATACTTCTCTTATCAAACCCTCTCTCTCAAAGAACAATATAAAACTTTCTCAATCTCTTGTGAACACCCAAAACCACGCTGTCTCAGCTTTGATAAGTTGAGCTCAACCAAATGAAAAACTTTATCGAGATTCCAAGGTCCTGGATTTGCAACATGAAAATGGAAAGGATGAGTTTAAACTCAACCACACGAACGTATGTTTACAGTTTGCACCAGAGAGAAAGTGAGCTCAACCACGTCCCAAAGAATACGCAAGAGAGCATTCCAAGTGAAATTGAGCTTGTCAAGCATCATAGCTGCGAGACAGATGGATAGAGAGACGGATCAAATGATTCTTGACAAGAATTTATACCAACGTCTACGCTGGCAGCCTATTAATTCACGTCGAATTTTCTGAGGCAATTGTGCTGAACTCAAAAGTGAAATAAATTTAGAACGATAGTTTTCATGAATTTTGAGCATTCATCGTGGGTGCATAACAATGAGAGGTCTTTGTTCGTTGTCAAAGACGCAATGGAATCCTCATGCAGCGATAAAGACAATGAGAAAAAAAAATTGCAAGGGAAGTGTGCAACATGAAAGCGCTGGGAAATTAAAAGTGGAATTTCTTAACAATTAATAACAATCTGTTTAAATCATGTGGGTTCAGGCTGGCCGAAATTTATGTCCATAAAAATGTCCTTGGTACTCGATATTCTTTTGTGAAACGGCTTTAGCCGTTCTGTGTTGCTTGGTACAATAGGATTTCTCTGACATAAATCTTGTCAGAGAGTAATTATTTTCTTCAATTGACAAAAAGAAGGCTCCCGCAAGGCTCTCTGGCTTTTTCCTGCGAACCTGAAGCATTAAGTTAACCTTTCGTAGGGAATCGATTTATTCAGATTATTACCAATTGTTAAGAAACTTCATTTGCAATTTTGCATTGTTTGTCTTTTGTCTCGTTGCACTTTTGTCAAGCTGCAGTTTTAGCTTTAGTGCTGTATACTTATGCAAATATATGTATGTAATTATCGATTCGCTCGCAGCGAATTTGTTGTAAGCTTCTTCATCTCGATCCTCATTTGAATATAAACTTTTTTCCTCATCGCCCACCACTTGAAAACCTGTTAACATGCATGTACAGCCCTTCTCCAAAGTTTGCACTGATTTCGCCTATTTCTCGAATTAATCAAATCACAATTGGGTTAGGACCTGTTAATAAAGTGTCGCAGCCATTCTCAGCCGGATAGGAACGGATTAAAATGGTCTGAAAAGGAATCACATCCCACACAAAATAGTGAAAGTGGGCAGAGAACGTTACAGCGGAGTTTAATTACGCCAATCTCAAGGTGTGATAAGAAAGCCATTTGGAGCCAGTTTACATCCATGTGGCTGTGCATCCCATTGTACGAGAAAAGAAAGGTTTCCTACTTGTCATCATATTAAACGGGAGTAGCACGAGTTTGCTTTCCCCAGTCGCCAGTAAACCATGCCACATAATAATATACGTAATGCTGCTGTCTTGTCTTAAATAAGTTTCCCCTTTCCTTCGACTGCGACAAAGGAAAGTTGGAGGAGAAGGTTTTATTAAACGACGAGGTTTCCGATGAATTATATTCCCCAGCGTAGGACGGAGCAGTAACTTTTGCGTTGCTTTAATGAGTTCCTTGTTCACAGCTACAGTCGATTCAAATTATCAAACTTGGATCGATTTTAATTTGTGTTGTCGACATTTTAACACAGAGTCGATGTTTAAAGCCATCCTCAAGATTCTGTTCGTTCATCCTCGTTCCCAATGAAGAAAAACGATGGGCACAGATCTTTATTGCTCCAAAATGTATACTTACATTTAAAATTTCTTCACGATGGCCGAACTTTCATGTCCAAAGTAAACTTTCTAATTTGGAATTGAATATTATCGAAGACCAAACTTTGCGCTGCAACTCCTTGAATTTTACGACAAATCATTAAACGGCAGTGTTTGCTGTCACTTTGAGCTTTGGCATAGCGGAATCCCTCCTACAGCGTAAATATCTCTTATTTTTCTCGTATAATAAATTAGAGAAAATTGTGATATAGAGGCCCGAACCAAAAATAACTAAATTACGGAGACTTGAGTAATGAGAACTATTGAGAACAATGGAGCGGATCGGAACAAATTAATTAATCATGTTCGAAGAAGAGTGTATTTGGGATAAATGGAGAATCAGTGAGAAGAAGCAAAGGGAGAGAACAAAAACGACTTTTCGTGTGGATTTCCGCACATTCCAATCTGTCTTCAATTTATCCTTTATGCATATATTGATTACACTAAAAGACTAAATAAACAAATAAATGACTCTATTTCTGCAGTGATAAGTCAGCACCATAATTTCTTTTCATTCAAAGCGATAAACAACTTATCATAACTTTATGACAGGATTATGTTGCCCCATGTTCCAAAGACACTGTTTTCGGATTACTTTGTGTATTGGTTGGTCATTGGTTGTTAGTAGTCAACTCATTATACTGATACAGAAATTTCCAGTGAACATTTATACCGTCGGTTGTAATAAGTTTCTTGATTTTTTATAAAAGAATTAACGGATTTGGTTCAATAGCTTTTAGGAACATTTTTTAGTATAAGTGGCATTGGTTTGTAAAGATTAGGTGTGAGATGCTGAGTGATATTTTATAAATTCTTCATTAACTTTGCAATACAATGCAATGCAATCGATTAAAAATTTTGTAATACACCTCAGCCAAAGTAAAACCAGGCCAAGTCACCAATGTGACCGGAAGTTATCAGGGACAATTTCGAACTAAAAAGGGAACCTTAAGTACTCTCCCATCTCGATTTCCTTTCGGATAGTCTTATTTGACAGATAATTTAGTGTAACTTAAACTTTATTATAGAACATGCGGTGCAAAATCACGTTGTCGCGAAATATTTGTCGAGAGCTGTTCCAAAACGTGTCATTTTTCTAATGCGTTTAACATAGATAACAGCCTTCAGAATGATGAATGAAATGAAGTTTACAAATTATATACTTGTCTGTAATTTCATGCTGATCACCAATATGTAAAAAAACGATGCAAACGTTTGCAATTTTTTTAAATTGCGAAAATCTGCAAAATTTTCGAAATTTGAATTTCGCCATTTTTTGAAATTTCAACAAAATTTAAATGTTAAACTTCTTTTAAGCATTACAAAAAAGTTTTCAAACCTCAATTTATCCTTACTTCAATACAATGGGCCAAAATTTTCAGAAATTAAAATTCACAATTTTTCATGAAAAAACATAACATGATCAATGCTAGTCCATCTAACGGGTTCTTCAAAATTGTTGGCTAAATTTATTTTTGCAAGTTGCAAAAAATTCTGGAAATTTGTATCGTCAGTTTTTAACAAACTCAATAAAATAACTTTTCCATACCTCGTTCGGGATTTTAAGCTTTTAGGAAAACTGGATAAATGTTCATCTGGGAGGGACCCCATAGGGTCCCTCCACTATATATATAGGACGGCATAAATATAGGGCCCTATATTTATGCCGTCCTATATATATAGTGGAGGGACCCTATGGGGTCCCTCCCAGATGAACATTTATCCAGTTTTCCTAAAAGCTTAAAATCCCGAACGAGGTATGGAAAAGTTATTTTATTGAGTTTGTTAAAAACTGACGATACAAATTTCCAGAATTTTTTGCAACTTGCAAAAATAAATTTAGCCAACAATTTTGAAGAACCCGTTAGATGGACTAGCATTGATCATGTTATGTTTTTTCATGAAAAATTGTGAATTTTAATTTCTGAAAATTTTGGCCCATTGTATTGAAGTAAGGATAAATTGAGGTTTGAAAACTTTTTTGTAATGCTTAAAAGAAGTTTAACATTTAAATTTTGTTGAAATTTCAAAAAATGGCGAAATTCAAATTTCGAAAATTTTGCAGATTTTCGCAGTTTAAAAAAATTGCAAACGTTTGCATCGTTTTTTTACATATTGGTGATCAGCATGAAATTACAGACAAGTATATAATTTGTAAACTTCATTTCATTCATCATTCTGAAGGCTGTTATCTATGTTAAACGCATTAGAAAAATGACACGTTTTGGAGCAGCTCTCGCCAAATATTTTGCGACAACGTGATTTTGCACCGTATGTTCTATGATAAAGTTTAAGTTACACTAAATTATCTGTCGAATAAGACTATACGAAAGGAAATCGAGATGGGACAGTACTTAAGGTTCCCTTGTAAGCCCTTAAAGGTTGTCAAGCCGTAAATTAATTAGTCGTTTTTGGAGGTTCTAATAATCGCCAAGACGTCTCCGGTCACTTTGCATAATCCCTTTTCCATAACGGTTATATTGCAGAATTTTTATCCCATAAAAGTCACATGATATAAACAACCACTTTCCATAATATATTTTCTCATAAACTTTAAAAAAGAACTAATTTCTGATTAATGAGAACTAAAATCGTGTAGACAATACGAAATTGGTCAAAAATATTGCAGCATATCAACTCTAGTATTATAAATTTCAACAATATTCATTAACCTTATATCCAGCGTGTAATTTTTGTAGCTCCAATTTTCCATGTATCTGATCAGCCTTCAAAAGTTCGACATAATTCCAGGTACTTTGATGAGACCCATTACAAATGGTGTTCATTCGAAAATGTCAAACAGCCTCTATAGAGTTACTGGTACAAGGAGTAGAATTTTTAAAACCTGTGTAACTATTCCATAAAATTATCGGACGTCGTACTCAAATCTAACGTAGGCGTCATGGAACAACCCAGCCATTTTACTGAATCACTTGATTATTAAATATGTATTTTGCCGGGTGGATTTTGTGAAAGAGAAAAGATTAGGAGATGAACGAGTGGTATGCAAAGCAGCGGTATGCAAAGTGACCTTGTATGCAAAGTGACTGTTTAGGTTAAATGCGTTAGGGGATAATTTTGTATGCAAAATGCGTTATGCAAAGTGACACCAGACCTCGCCAAGAATCTATTCGAAAGGCACCTTGCGATTATCAATCAAATTAACCAATCTGTTTTCAATTTTCAAGTACTAACATGAGTACCATTAGATTTCTTCGAAACCGGACCACGGCAATAAATTTGGAAATCAAAAGCATATAATCTAAAATTTGGGCCCAACTGCGAGGTCATTTATCATGACGTGTACAGATGCATGAACATGTATGCTGCATAATAATTCTATGTTCATCCGCTCAACATTTATGTAATCAATCATTATGAAATAAAACGAGTTTTTAATTATGCTTACACCACAAAAACATAAATTTAGACGCAGGAACACAAACCTGGCCCATTTTCTCTGATGATTCACAAGGACGAGAGCAGGGTTGACTGAAACACACATCTGCTAACTCATTTTGTCTCATGAACCAAAAGACCGTGCCACACCTGAAATTTAGATGGATGGGTTTGTTGTGTACGAGACAAAATGACGAACTGGGTCTTTCATAATGTAATTATGGTGCCTCCGACTGGGACAAATTTGCAACGAACACGGAAGGGATACAATATTTTATTTGATCCACAGTAGAAATTACATGGTGAAGTCTAGAGCTGTTGTTTGTGCACAAAAAATAATTTGATATGAGACAAAACTTTACTTACCAGTACAAATTACAATTTACAAATAAAGTAGTAATCCATTATGTACAATATATTTATGTATGTATGCTGGGCCGAGGACATAAAATATGCAAGTCAAATATACAAACATGCAAACCACAAATTCTCTGGAAGTACTCTCTGGGAACAACGACTGCTCATCATGTAATGTGGCGATTAATTAGCTAAATTTCAGATCGCAATTACATTGCATATTCTCAAATGAATTAACCATGGCATGCACACAATGGAGACAGACACAGGTCTGCCTCAAAAACAAAATAATCAATTATAAGTATAATAATTCAAACAATAACTCGCAATTTTCGTCACAGTTCACAACGCGATGGGTCGTTCATACTTGTAAAATATTTCATGCATCAGGAGGCTTAGTGCAGATGACTAGAGATATTTCATTCAATTACCAAATATATGTAACTGATAGTATGAATTATCGTTATCGTCGCAACCACATTTTTGCAATACAAATAGATTAAGAAATTCGACGAGTAATCTGCTTCCTACAACCGAACACAAAATTGATGGGTATGACAATGGATGCTTAATTAGTCAACTATATACATACTTTCTAAGAAAAAAACTTACATTGCAGTGCAATGAGTGTGTATCATAAAATTTAAAATATAATAAGATGGGTAAAAATATTGTGGAATCGATATATGTATACGAATAATTACATACTATATTTTATACGTAGCAAATAACTGGTACAGGAAGGCGAGGGGTCGATCGTTATTTTTATGTATGTATATATTTAGGAATGCAATTTTGCAATTTCTGGCCTGTCGCTGGCACTGACTGACTTGATCCAGAATTTTGTTATTTTCGGTGTAAAATATTTGGGTAAAAGTACAAGAACTTACTAAGCTAAAGTCTGGAATGTGCAAATTCCCTGCCACGTAGAAATGTACAATGTCAGTTATTACTTCAAAAGTTGCTAGAGAATACCGTGGAAAGGTATAATAACGCCTAACTTGAAAGTCACTGGAATTTCTGAACTTGCAAAAAGGTTTATGTATTTAAATAATTGCGCAATAGCTACAAGTATGAGGAATATAGGATTTTTCACCATCAGTGTGCCCGTCGCATATGCAATTTAATAATTCATGCATTGAACTAATATCAAGATCACAGGGAGTCGTGTTGATTTGAAAGTTTGTTAACAAGGCGATTCTATCCACTACTTTGGGAATATATTTATGTACTCGATCCGTTAATGATGGCGTAAATGTATGCCCCTGTCAATAATAATAGCAGTATACCATGTTATCAGGTAAGAAGCTTGGAAATCTAGGTTATAAGCATGAGGGATTGATTGTTTTTTAGAAACGCGTATAATCGGCATCACTTCAACTGGCAACGTTACAATGGGAGTTGAAATTTATGATAAAATTCGGCTTTTTCTGTACTATGTATTGTGCAGCAATGGTCCGAGCATGAGGGTTAGCATATGCATTATGATTGTTGCGTTTCACTATTCTAGTGCTGGGTGGGGAAAGCTTGTTTGGTTCACGAGGAGAAAGTTGAACTTTCTCCACGTACCATCGTCGTGAATGTATTTAATTTAGATTTATGGGTTAACTGCGCACGACGACTTGGGGAGTGGGTTGTTTGATGGGAATAATGTAATAGAGTATCTTGCAGATTAATGCAATTTAAATTAATTCCACACGCGTCAAGGATTTAGCGACAGAAGCTTTGCTCCACATCCCCGTTTCCAAGTATTTTATAAAACGGCAATGATAAAGTGAGACGATGTTTCATTTTTTCTTCCTGATCCTCCTCCTCCTCCGCTTAGTTTACATTTATAATTCTCCAGTTTCATGCTCCAATATCATAGTGACTCTTCTTCCTTCTTCATTTAATATTCGGTATTATTTAGACAAGGACTTGATTACACATCTGGTCTTTTGAAATTCACGGATTAAGTTTCCAAGATTAAAGTTTCATTACGTTCCTGGAGCTAGCATCTTGGATAATTCTGTAATAAAAAGAATGGTTACTGCTAAAAGCGAGTCTTTTGATTATAAATTCGAGTGTCTCGATTTGATGTTACACAAGAAATGTATCAAATAAAATTCCACGCTTTGTTTTGAACTCTGGGTTCGTTGCTTCTCTTTTATGTACCGTGCTTGAAAATTCGAAAGACAATCGATAAGTAATGCGAATCGCTTGATGTTAACAGTAATAATCCTTGAACGTTTCGGATTGGGTGACAGATCAAGCTCACGATGAATATGCACCGTTTTAGCAAAACGTTATATTCTGGTTTGCTAGACATTAATCCGACTGGTATTTACGGTATCCATGAAATTATATCAATTATGATACATGTTTCAGAGGCATATTCGCATTTCTTACTAACTGCCACTCGTAACTAATTGCTTCAAATAATCGCGTAGTTTTAAATCGCAACTAATCAATAAAACTGAATCTTACTGTACCTTCATCTTGAAGACATCCTTTCAAAAATTCCTCTTGTGTCAGCTGTCCGTCTCTAAAAAATTTCAAAAAATTTCGATAAATTAGACAAATTTGAAATTAAAAAAAATATCTTATTTATAATAACAAGTTAGACTAATTAGTTTTTGCTAGTGTGATTCTATAAAAAAGTGCGAAAAAATGTGAAATGTGAAAAATGAAATAGAACTTGTTAAAAGTGTTAAAAAATTAAATAAGATGTCATAATTTAGTTCCTTACCCATTCTCGTCCATCTTTGCGAAAATGCTTTTTGCTAAAATAGTTAAACATTTACATTATTTTTAGATTATCGTATAGGATGTAAGAAGGCTTAACGAATGTAACCAAGGGGCGAAAGAAGTGTTTCATACGTTAAAATGAATATCATATTGTTTTTGCCCGTTCAAATTTTTTAGCACGGCCAGTGGCCGTGCTAAAAATTTAAGACGCTGAAAATTTTGACCTGCGACCTGTGGCCGACGGCCACTGAGGTGTCGCAGGCCAAAATTTTCAGTGCTCACTATTCAGTGTTCAGTTAAATTGATACACCTCTAACTTATTTTCGATATTTGTGGCAATTTGACATTTGTTAACCGTTTTGTGACCTTTGAGGTCAAAATGGAGGTCACCATTGAATTCGGGGTTAAATTTCAGTGAAAATTGACATATGTATCAAATTGAACTGTTTATGACCTTTCTGTAACCTCTAAGTGACCTTTCGTGACCTTTGAGGTCAAAATGGAGGTCACCATTGAATCCGTTGAATTATCGGAGTTATGGGAGCTACATACAGACAGAGAGACGGACAGACGGACATAACGATCTTATAAACGACTTTCACCCCTTAATAAATAATCTAATAATCTCAATAGTTTATACTTACCTCTTTCTTCTGCTGAATCTTGAGGCCGATTGGCCGCATTAGTTCCCAGCATTTCATAGATTGCATGATAAGAACAAAGATAAGATTAGTATAATGCTAAATTAATAATTATGGCGAGAATACATAAACCAATACATTTATGTTATACCGACCCACGGAAGAAAATTTGTCATTATACTACTTTTGAACGATGTAAAACACCATTCAAACGATATGCAATTTCGGCAGCAAGATATCATACATCACAATTATAAATTTTTATGAAAGTCGTTAGATACGGGTTATTTTTAATCCACCAGACTTTTAATTGAAATCACATAACTTAATGTATTGAAATCGCATTAGATATTGAGCAGAGTGAAGTTTGAAATATTGACCTTTTAAAAGGTCACAGTGGAGCTACAGACCCCAAACATTCAAGGCAATTATAGACCTAAGACCTTTCCAAAGTAATCCTGTTCCATGCTATCGTAATGGTGGGGTTTGGTGACTTAATAAAATTTCTGCATGTGTAGAGCACGTCTTTTACTAATCACTTAAATTCTCTTTTAATGAAAATTGTACCCGGGTTTAAAAATTATTTACTCACTCCATACTTTCCCACCACCCCAGAGGCCAGGTAGATCTAACGCTGACCTCATATGCAGGTCAAACCAAGCCGAGCGCATGTGCGCTTCGCGCACATGCGCTCCGTCCACTAAGTCACTGACCACTGGGGGACATGTTTTTTTTTATTTATTTTTATTTATTTTTTATTTATTTTCAAATCACGAAAATATAAAAAATGCAAAATATTCGCGTATTCTTCTAGGTTTTAATGATCGTTTTTAATCAGGTTCTCACAGCGTCATTTTTCTCAGCACTTTAGGTAATTTTTATCACTAACTACCAGTTTTCCAATTTCGTTCACTCATACTTATGTACATACATATTTATAACCACCTAAACTTCATAAAATATAGCATTAGGTATGTAGTAAAACCTGGACTAGTTTACCTTTGTATATACATATGCAAGCTTTCCCTGCTTGACCATCCTTAAAATCCAAAGAAGCTGAACTAAAGCGATTAAGGTTAATCACGTACTGAATCATTAAGTTGGAACATGGACTGGTCTATGCCGTAGAAAACGGTGACTTTGAGCCCATTTGCAAGTGCCTGAGTGACGAAGTAAAACTTGGTCTTAGGAGAGGCCCGCCCATTTAATTCAGGTCATGCTAAGAGCAGGTCAAACTAAGCAGAACAAATCTGTCATTTTCTAAGCCCTAAATAATGACCTGACACCGTTTTTCGAGTCTACGGAAATCTTTCCGTGTACTTAATTACAATGAGAATCGTTCAGTTCACTGCATATGATTAAAGTTTCCTTAAATCCCATTACGTGAAACGTACCATGACTAAGTAAATCAATACACATGCACGAAGAGCGGTTTTATAGATTTGACAATGGGAAATCGCAATCGGGAAGAAATGTCAGTGTTACATACTAGATTCGCCAAATTCACCTTGAACTTTTAGCAGAATATGGTACGAGAGGAGAAATTCACACAAGAGATTAATCTATTTGCACTTTCACCACATCTCTATTGTTACACTGACGTATTTATGTACATCAGGCCACGGCAAACATAATATTCCACTCTGAAAAGTTTGTCTGGGAAATGGCGCAAAGCGAATGTATGCATTACATCGATATCTGACCAAGCAAATGACGTCGATTGGATACGATTGGATACGATGTCTCATCACGTATACATGTTAATGGATAAAACCACACTTTGGTGGCTGAAGGTGACAAATGGACTTGGTGGGAATTAAGGTATTGCATAAATTCTCGTTCATGATAATTATTTTTAAACATAATAAAGACTTACTTGCACAATTTTCTGCATTTCTTGCAAATCAATAACGCCATTACCATCAACGTCGTACATTCTGAAGGCCCACTGTCAAAATAAATACAAAAGATTAGAAAATGGTTTTCCCACTGTTCCACTGATAATTTAATACAAAATGCTGCTCACCTTCAACTTCTCTTCTGGAGTCCTAAATTTGAGATAATACAAGTGTTATACTACGATGAATACAATAATAATTATAATTTATTTCCTTACCCCGATGACGTTACGTCGATTGCGAGTAAGAATTCCTGTAAAATTGCAAAACAATAGACTTATTTACTATGTAAATGCAGGTATCATATTTCGAGTAACAGGGAATGTTTCCAGTTTTATGCATTGCGAAAACCATCCTTTGTTTGCCAATAACTTTTGTTACTTTGTGGGAATTGTAGCAAATGTTGTTTAACCAGGAGAAAGCATTTTGGCATAAATAGCATTTTTAAAATTATATCCTCAGCTATTTATGTATGCAGATATGTATGTAGAGCGTCAAAAATAATTTACTGCATTTTATCTATTGGTCTAAATTATCACTGGAAGTCTATATATAAAACTCACTCGTGAACAACATTTTATTTAATTAGGTAAAAAAAAATAAGTAAAAAAATATGTACATAGGTGATTCATATCACAAGGAAACTGTAATAATGTACGGAGCCATGTTCCCACCACCACCTCATATTTTTTCCAGAATGAAAACATGTTTTCCACCACATGGTCTCATAAAAGTGAAAGTCTCGGTCATAAATCATCCATTGGCTACGACGCGTAACCCGCAGAGCTCTGATAGTGTTGCAAATAGCATGGCCACAGATGACGAGGTTATTAAAAATTGATTTAGAATTTGAAGTTTCCTTTGGCGATTGTATAAAAATGTATGGACTTCTTTTGACGGACTATAAATTCGTAACCACTGCTTTCTCCAAGAATTTAAACACGTAACTTTTGTATTTATTATTTTCCTCGCACGGCGGAATATTAGCAAAAATCAAGTAGACGAGCAGTAATGTATGAAGTCCTATAAGATAAAATGTGATGACAGTTGGCCTATTTTTTTTTACTCATCTTCAGGATACAAGAGTCCTTAACTTTTGCTCTTGGTTGAACTAGCAGGCAACTCGACATTTAACGAATTTTTCGTGTAAACCCTTACTCCTTATTTCCATTAAAGTAAGTGTGAAGCAGAGTGCAAATGTGTTTTCCTTGAGAAGAGAAATGTTGGTTGAGTGACCAATAGGATCAGCACCCATCCTATTTCTCATTTCTTCCTCATACATCCGTTCCCACGCGTCTTAAACTTTCTCCCCTTTTCTACTCGCGGAATGTCCGCTCTCATCCACATTTACCATTTTCAACGTCGGAGTTGAGATTGAAACGAGCGTGGATTTTCTCTCCTGGAGAGAAAAAAAACGCTTCTGCTTGCCGCAACTGATGGGCCAAAGCCAATTCACTCCAGACTAAACTCCACCTAAACTCTTTTATAACTAGATCCGCCCTTCAAATTGATTTGTCTTCATCTTCACTGCCTGTTGTGTTTCTGGATGAAGGGATAAAGCAACGGCGGCTGACATAAGCTCTTGTTCTCACGGTGGGACGTGCGTACTCTGTTTACTTCAGTGTACGCTATATTGGATGGACAAACAACTTGGTGCTGCTACATACACATACTTTTGTGTTTTTTCATACTGTGTCCAATTCCCACCAAGTAACCAAACCGAATTTTTACATCTATAGGATATTGGATTTCTTTTGAATAATGAAAAAACGGATCAGTAAAGTTATTGTGATTGGAAAATAAACAGGCCAGCATATTGAATGGCTGACTGGCGGTGCTGGGCGAGAAAGTAATAATCGAACGAGCTAGGTTATCTTTCGAAGGATGCAACATTTTGATATTTGGTTGGGGCAAAGGGAGTTAAACCATTATTAGAAAAAGCTTGATCTCTCACCTTGAAGTCGATGAATCCATTTTGATCCAAGTCGAAGGTTCTGCGTAGAAAGTGGCATAAAGTTAAATCGATACATCAAATGATGGAATGAAAATAATATACAACAAAATCTCACCTAAAGACGTGATCGCAAAATTCTTCTGCATTGCCAGATGGAAAGAACATTTTGTACCTGCAATTTATCCAGTTGTGAGACAAATTGTATAGAACAATAATAAAATAAGTAGAGCAAAAATAAAATTCAATTTACATGTCCACAAACTTTGACGGCGTTAACCTTCCGTTTGGGCAATCTTGCTGTAATAGAAAACACAACAATGCTGAAAATCATGGTTGGAAATACATTAATGACACAAACAGGCCGTGTTTCATATTTATTTCATAATTTATAAGCAAACATCCACGGCCTTCTTTCGTTTGGTTTTCTGCTCTCTCAATTTTACAACAATCTTCATTTCGTAAACAGAGTCCAACATTGGAATTGTTTAGTCGGCTGGGTCAAAACAGCGTTGTCCTGCCTTTCGATCCCAGCCATAGCTGCATATGTGCATACATACATGTCAGGAGGACATGAAGGCAGCTTTCACTCAAAATCAGTCAAGCTTAAAAATGCTTATTGGCTTATGCATATCAAATTTGGTTCCTGCGATTCTATTTAACCGCAGTTGCTACTCCAGCATGTTCAAATTCGGTATTTAAATTAAATTCAAGACTTCGAGGTCCGCAGGAGGGAATATAACTGTCTGAATACGTAACTTCAAGTGCCGCTTGAAGATCCATTGTGTGCCACACATTTACATATAATGTGATTTTTTGTGCTATTTCAAATAGTCCAAATGGGTCATTTTAATGCAAAGTAAATCTCTTTGTGGCAATAACTGGAGCTAAAATACACTATTTATTTATATTTATTTGGGATAATCCATCTGCGCTGGCTTCCGAAGAGAGCCATTGATGCGTCCTACATTTCGTCGTATGCAGCAGCCTCGGGGTGTTGGGACAAATTATGCGAGGAGAAAGAAAAAACGACAAAAAATAAATTCGATTTTCATGGACTATGGAATCCCTCTCGTTTATTTACAGCGAGACTTTATTTACTTCTAAACTCTGTGTGCACATATTCCGGGAGAGCTTAAAAGGAAAGCTAAACAACGAGCGTTGTCGTCGTCGAGCAGGGAAAGCAGTGAAAACAAACGGGGAAAAAAGGTGAGATGCTGGAAGCAGAGAGAGAGATGAAGAGTCATCTCCAAATTTCCTATCCTTGTCCTCGTCGTTTTATCCGCCTTCGTTTTCTGTCTTCCACCCGAGAAGAAGAAAGTGAAAAAGAGTGCAAAGAACATGGGCTACACCACAACCAACTAACATCCTTGGAACAAAGATCTATCAGTAACTTTAGCCGGAGGGAATAGCAGTGAAAAGGATTCCCCACCGTCATTTAAGTCCCATCGTTCTGTTCCATATTCTGTCTCAAACAACTAACACGGAACACTCACTACTTTCTCTATTTTCGTGTCCTTCTTGAACCGAACGGGCTGAGAAAGGAGGAAAAAACTAGAGAAAATTGGATCCTTAATCATATTACTATTTTTTACTCCTGCCTTGACGCAGCTGATATTCAGCGAGAGAGTAAGTAATTCCATCCCGGATCTGACATAGGCTAGTCGTTTTCTCCATACCTAAATTCTCGAGCTGCAGATAATAGAAAGTCCTGTGAGACCCTTGGCCCAACTTGGCTGCTATCAGCACTCGCAGGTCAACATCAACTCAAGGAGGCAGACTGTGAGTAGGGCACTTGGGGTGTTAAATGGTTTAAGTATATCCATACTTTATTCATGACCTGCTTTACTCCAACATAGTCGGAGAGAGAGAGAGAAGGAGAAAGGAGCTATCGGGTTGTTTCCCCTGCCTGCCATCCAGTTTAATACATACTTGGCAAAAAAATTACTCCTCAAAGATTGCCATTGAGCTGATCAAAGTCAAAACAATATATTTCACTCGACAGATTAAATGACGTGCACCGGAGTTGAAAAGCAACTAACGATGCCAGAACAAAGAGTATTATAAAAACAAAAGTAATTTAATATTCCTTGTCGCTGTCTGCATATTAAGACGAAATCTGACTTTTCTTTAACAGAAAAGTCTTAATTTAACCACGCCCATCAAACTGATTGTGAAAGTTACAAGTTGTGGTTGAATCATTAGCAAAATAACAACAGTGAGCTCGTTTGGTAACTACTTGAAAGTAGGTCTCCACTCCATTAAGAAGGATAACTTTTTGAGTAGCAATTGAGAAACCACCAACTATTGCATGGGCGTAGAATAAAGGATGAGTTCTCATCACAGGAAAAGTTTGCCATCCATCGAGTCGCATTACGTTGTGTGTGTGTGGAGGAAAGAGAGTCGTCACTACCAAAACAAGCAGAGAGTTACTTGAGGGGAAATTCCGAGAATTCTGGATACTTTCCCCGTGATGAGTATCCACTGGTGGTTTGGTTTCGTTAGCAGGTTTTACCTGTTTCTGCTGCCTCACTCTCTCTCCACCTCATCGTCGAGATGGTACACATGCCTCCTCTGCCCTATCATCAACTCAAGAAAGGATTATTTTGTTGCAACCTACGCCAGTTCAACATTCCTTTGGTCAATAATTCAAGATTGGTCTCTGTCTGTCTCATCTTCCATCATCCAGCTTGGTTTCACATCCGTTGGGTTGGGTGGAAGCAGCATCATTGTGAGTAGGCATGTGAGCATGTAGGTATACAAGAAGAAGTTGGTTGGTTGGTTTGAGGTAAGCTCTCCCCAATTGCACAGTAATGATCCTCATCATTTTCTCTTGATTTCGTGGAAATGCTGGGTGCAGCTCGCTGATTGATTTTAGCTGTAGCCTTCAGGTCATATACTATGTCTTTCTGTGAAAACTGATTCATTGGACATGTCAACATGATTGCTCTCTCTCTCTGTCTGTCTCTCTGCGTTCGTTTTATTATCCCTTCTCAACAATAAGGACGGAATCCCTGATTGGCTAAAAAGATCTGCAAGTGGCAGCAGAAGCAACAACTTGGTCAAGCAACTGGCGATTCTATGTAGACCTGAACTCAATTTATTTCTTGTCATGCTTGAAATTCAATTGGATTATCTAGGCTGTGAATAACTGGGCAAAAACAACCGCACTGTTATTGTTCCTTTCACTTAAATATGTATGTAGGCGGACTCTCAAGTTGGTAGTAGGCGGCAGCGACCGCGTATATTTTATAACTCTGTTTCCTTAACTGAGAAAGCTGGAGTGAAAGTACTCTGACTCTTTTAAAAGATGGAAATTGCAAAATAACAAAAAATTGGGGTTTTATATGGGCATCCGCACTCAAGGAAAACGAATGTCGCTTTTTCTCCTTGTCCACATCTCATCGAACCAAGTCACCAGTGAATTATATAGATACAAACATGGCAAAACTACGAGTTGGAATTCACTGCTACAATTCGGCGCTGAGTTAACCGAGGTATCGCGTTTTGTAGCTCCATCATTGTATGAAAGGGAAAAGACGGCGGGCGTCAGTGCTCTTGTAGATAAGAAACTCTATATATACAACAATTCGGAGGTTGAGCTTGATCTCACGCAATACACCAACCAACCCACCGACCAACCAGTCAATTCAAGGAGTAATGGAAAATTCACCAAATAATATTCCATTACACGCGCTCCGTTTACGAAACCTGCTGCTGCTTGCTGCTGGTGTCGTGCACAATGTTGCCCTAAAATGCAATACCGAAATGGGTGGGTAGGGAGAAAGTGGGGTTGTCCGTGCTGGATTGAGAGCACAATATTCAACTAGAGAAGTTCCATCATCTTCCGAGGTTCGTACATGTATCTACTTTCACGCAGGTGGTGGTCATGTTGGTTGTTCAGGTAGCAGCCAGCCCAGAATAAATGCAGGTCTCTCTCTCTCCCACTTTCTCTAATATCCAGGTAATCCTAACGACTTAGGTACGTATAGCTTTCCTCTTCTTTCATCATCGCCCAAGTCGCAACATTGTCCATACGGCCAACACATTCAACAGTGGTCGTAGCCGTGTGGCCCACTTTGCTTTATGTGTTTCTGAGATTGTGTTTTCAACTTGAGCCAGCACAGCATTGTTCCTCTTCCTGTGTTTTTCATGTAGCCGATCCCACTGCCAGGCTACCAAACTACCAACCCGAGCATGTTGCATGGACGTATGTGTTGAACGAACAGAACAACTCTCAAGTTTTCCCCAGATAAAAATAATATTTCCTTTATAGTTATTATATTGCACAATAGCAAGGCTCATAAAGTGGTCGTGCTGCTGCTTGCCGAGTCGACAACATTTATGTTATATATTATTTTCATCAGTTGCGGCGGTATTAAAAGGTTTACTTGGTATTTTCTCTGCTTTTACCAGATTTTCCTACATGCATGTGACTCGTATCTATGTAGTAAAATGCATTGGCTGGCTGTTACCTCCGTGAGAGAAAGCGATAGGTGGACCAAAATAATAAAGTGAGATATTGCAACATAGTGAATGCTCCGGAATAAACAACCACAATCTGATCACGACTCCCCAATAATGTAATAAAACTAAATTAAATTGTCAAAGCGTCGTCAACCTAACATAAGCACAAGCTTAATGCGGATTGACTGGAGTAATAAAACACAAGGGTGCATGTACCATAATACTTGCAGGTCAAATATAGTTCGGTTGTTTATGAATGAGGAATAATAGTATTAAAAACAAGAGAACTTTCTCCAGTTTGCCCTATTGAAAGAACTTACGCGAGACGTTAACATATGATTTCCTATGGGGAAACTCCTCTCCTTTCTACATTTTTGTATCAAACCACTCGTAAAAAATAATGGTCGGCCAAAATTACTGAATAGTGTAGTTGTTTCAATTTTCCCGCTGTTCTTCCAGCCTTTCAATTAGTGAATGTTAATGAAAATTTAATTAGATTAACAATTAAAAAACGTAATTTGTAGCTGTTTCATCTACAAATGTATCCCTACTGCTCAGCCTTTTTGTAAAGAATCGGCATTATTGGCTGCAGAGTAAATACAGCAAACAATTGCCATTTTAAATATTCCACTGGAAAATCATGCCCCACGTACATAAATAATCTCAAAGAGGCTACGCAGACTGATTAACTTGGGCTTGTTGTAAAATTGAGACTGGAAGAAAACTCCTTATAAATCATGCAAACATGGAAAATGACACGTACCTTAAATCCCTTATACCATTCCTTAATAGTGCTCTCGTCGTATCGAGTGTGAGATTTCAGGAACTCCAAATCCTCCTTCTGCAACTTATCCTTGCTTGTGAAGCAGCCCATGTTGGATGTGAAATTTTATTTGCGGTGGCAGTAGGAAATAAAGAGGTTCGTTAGCGTTATATCTATTTGCCGTCTTCTTAAATATCCTCGTTAGTGAACTTGTCTCCTTTGTCAAAGCTCCAAATCTTCTTCCAACTTGACTTTGTTTGCTTTTCTTTCCTTCTTCCTACGCTGTCTTCTCAATTTTCCAGAAACTTTCTAAATCAAAGAACAGAACGGAGTGAACGTCATTTTTATCATCTTTCTTGAAAGAATTGTACAATATAAATGATCACGACTGAACAAATAAGCAGATACATAATTACGCACTGTGTTTGCACTCCATTTTGTAAAATTAATGCTGACAGTGACATTTAGTAAGGCACGTCGTCGACATTTCTAATTAAGCATTCTTTGATTGATAGGAATGCGTGCTTATTGTGAATTAGGCATGAAAATTGTAAAAAAAACTTGGTAAGTAACATACAAAAGCAGACAAGTTGTAAATATGACACTCTTATTCTCGAACTTTGAACCCAACTGCTTATATATTTACTACTAGAGTATCGTCGACATGCAAACTTTATCTTAAAATGGCAATAATTTTAATAGCTTTATTCTCAGAGAGAGAGAGCAATAAACATTCATAAATCTATTCAATTGTGGCTAAACTTATTCTTAGAGAAACTTGCAAGTCATCATCCTTCATACTCATAAACTTTTGTACGTATGTATGTATATTTGTGTATATGTACAAGTTATACAAATACCAAAAGTAAGCAGCAGACTACATGCATTAGCTATAAGTCAATTAAGTACGTGTCGAGATTGACAACTGAGTTGTCGTTGAATTTCGTCGAGACTTGCAAAAACAACTGGATAAACATACATACAAGTCCGACTCAAGAGTTGGTATCAAGTTAAAAGCCAATCTTTGAGACCATTAGTGAGTATCGATAGCCAGGCTGCAAAGACGTATCAGACATACTTGTTTTGCTTCTCATATCACAACAACAGCGAGCGAATCAACTGATTAAATTGAATGGCCATCACACCCAACACATCAATCGAATAACTTGTACAATGCTCACATTAAAAAATTCAATTACAACCCAACCTACTCCATTGTTTTGTCACAGTGCTTAATCGCTTTATAGGTGCAGCGAATTATATAAAAAAAATGATGTGACTTTGAATACAAATGCTTGCTTAAAAATTCGAAATACTTGTTTCTTATGTTTGCCACACCAGTTTCAGTGGAGACGCTGAAACCGTTGGTATTCTACCATTTTAGGATTGTATGAGAGATCTCCTGATAACAAAAAAACTTGGCTAAAATGCTCCGCATATTAAGTATTTTATCACTGGGCAGAGATTTAACTTAATTGGACTTTGTTGAAGAAGATGCTCCGGCTAATTACACAGGAAATGGTATTTTTAATTGGACCTCGTCCAAGATATGGGCACAAATAGCGCAAAAAGTTATGAGCTGAAGCGCTAAATGAATAAAATGCAAAACCATAACGAAGGGATTAAGCATATTCCCATAGGTTAGATCGTGTGTATTAAAAGTGTACGTATGTAACATTGGCTGTTAACCTTCACACATTCTCTCGCCTCGCAAAGTTAGCCAGAGTCTCCTTTGCAATATGATGTTAAATGTAAAATGTAATATATAATAAGAAGCAACCCCTCATCGACGTGCAAAAAATCTCGTCTCAGTTGTCTCTCTCACCTTCTATTCTGGTGAATAATAATTCATTCAGACAAAGTATGTATATTTACTCGAGCATATCGTAAACTTGGATAATTTTATTTTTCGCGATGTTCCCCAAGATATTACTTGGAGGCTGTAAACCACTACAACGCTCGACTAACTGCACATTCACTCAGCTGCTAGTTCTATGCACAAAGTACGGAATATTTAATTCATTCATGTATTTGTATTCATGTTGGAAACCTAAAATATTAACAATTTTTAAGGCATGCACTATTATGACAATTTTCTCATTGTGTTTCGCACAGTTAGCACAATGTTACCAAAAAGCGTTCAGAGCATTTTCTAAAGCCAAGAAGAAAAAAATGTATTACATTTTGGAAGTAAAGTGTCAATGATGGGTCCAAAGTGCATAATCACATTAATCACGAGTAGTATGTTGTAGAATTAATATGGAAACACTGCTATTCGTAACCACCAGTACAACTCACACAACAGCTCTCGGAATGCGAGTCACAGCCGAAAATAATGATCTGATCAGACGACGGGCATGTCACAGAAATGCAATGCCCATTAAAAATAACAATCATGTAGATCCACTATCCGACACTGCAGTCGCACATTAGCACCTCTTCAAGAGATAGGGTTAAATGGATTGCATTGATATTTCAATTCAGTTGGGTTGCAAAAACACGAATAACTGATCGCACAATCACTCCTTTTATTAAATACCTGTGCAATAATATATAAGTGAACGACTTGAGGTTCAAACTGTTACTAAAAACCTGCTCAACTTTATACTCTGTTATATCATCATCATCATCATCACCGTCACCATCAACAAGTTTATCTCGACTCGGCTTAAATTTTGCTATATTTCATCAATAGCATGGGACAGGCACAAAACTTAAGTACTTGTTAACAAATCAATTACGTGTTCCATCTAAAATTCACTTTGCAGAACTATTACAGATATTGCATGTACAATAACCCTGCCGTATTCCCAGCCTCCTTTTCCACGCTTGTCAGAGTACCACCAACTGTCGTAAAATGAGCAATTGTTTAAATATCACATCCTTCCAAACTGATTATTCAGCAAAAACTAGTTGGCTATGTTAAAAAGGTGAATTTATAATGTCAACATTTGGCAGAATAATGTGTATGTTCCGTTCCTGATAATGGTTTTGGGATACCGACTTCCGATTTATATAATGTCGCATATTATTAATGAATCAATATTATGTATGTATTTATGTATAACACAGGACGGCAACGGTATCACTACACGATTATTGATAAGCTGTAGACTCTAAATAATATATTCAGCTTTTCTGTGCAAAGTGACTCACTACGTGTGTTGCAATATGCACTATTTCCTTCACGATTCTTTTAGAAAATTGGCTGAACTTGGATGAAAACGAAGCAAAGTCCGATCCTCGTTAAGGTAACCCTCCTCAATTTCATATGTATCACTGTATTGCAGTATCACAGTATGTTCGTATGTATGAATAGTGTTATTCTCTTACACAACCCTCCTACTTCCTCCTAAACGAACGTGAGGTAAATTCTATCAGTGATCATATCTTGCTTAAAGCGTGGCACACGACAACAATAAACAGGAGCAAAAGCCTATTATAACACGACGACCGTATAATACACAACTCCAGTAACAACAACAATACCCTCCGCAAGGTAAAGTGTTAATGATATGTTGGACCAAGTACGAAATCGCCAACACGAGCTGACATTGCATTATAAATATACATAGCAAGCACATAAGTGGAGGCCACACAAAACAGGCCTGCAAGACTGAATTGAATGGCAAACCCTCATAAGAAATTTACATTACCACAACGTGACGCATATCCGCATCGCCAATAGGGTCTCCCAAGTTTGTAAAAAAGATCTGAAAAAGCGAAAAGCTAAAAAATCTGAAATCCGCTTTTTTCGCTCAATACTTGACTGTCCCGATTTTTTATCGCTTGAATACTCAGGAGCAGAGAATGGGTGGTCAAGAAACTTTGGAGTTTCTTTTAAAATTTAAATTTGCTTCATGTTGGATATGATAAAACAACTATCTAAGATCATGTAAATCCAAAAATTACCAAAATGGGATGAAAATAGGATTTTTGGCAAAGGTTTGAATGCGGTAGTTTTAGTGGTTGCAATGCTTTTCAGGGGGTGTGGCGGGCGCAGGTGGGGCAATGGAATAAAATCCTCCCTCACTTTTCATACACTCACCTGATATTGCAATATATTCCATAGGGCATCAAAATCGGGCGATGTCCCCTTAAACATGTCTCTGAGAGACTGATTTTTCACTCAAAGTAGTAAAAAGAGCGAAAAAATCATCTTAAAGTAGATTTTATTTTTGAGCAGAAAAAGCGGAAAAAAGATCGGAATCGCATGCGCAGTGCGGTTTACAAAAAGAGCGAAAAAATCGTGAGCGGAAAAAGCGATTTTTTTACAAAGTTGGGACACCCTAATGTCTCAAAACTCGCTGTTCTTCAAACTCCTCATCAGCCTGCAAAGTATTTACTTGCACAGTGCAAACGTGAACGTGCTTTATGGTACAATGCTTATAAAAAGAACGTGGTAGACAATATGGCTGCTTTGTATTATAATTTAGCGCTGTATGTATGTACATATGGTGCACTGTAATAACAAGTTCAAAGAATGGTCAATACAGCGATGAAAAGAGTGACAGCACAGTAAAAAGTATGCCCAGGTCGACGTTTGACTGCAAAATGGAGGAATATGCAATGCACACTTACGCGGAACAATTCCTACTCGGTTCTATCAAATAAAGTTTGCGAACAAGTGTATAATTTGACCACTACTAAATACTTTGGCTTGATGGACAAATTTTCCTGTCTCACCTCCTGACACAATTCCAAGTTGAAATCGCGTTATGTTTATTGTAACATGACATGGATGGACTACTGACGTCATCATCATGACTTATTTACTTCTCGCGTAACAAAATAATTGTCTATGCAGCTGTGCAAGATTTCTTGTGAGCATCTTCCACTTTTGCGAGCGTTATTTGGTGGCCTTGTATTATAAAACAGTGTTCAATTCAATTCTTGTTTTTACAATAATTGTTGTTCAACAAGACAAGATGAAGCAGGCGCAATAATTTATTTACAATTATACACAGCTCTACATGTACATACGAATATCGTCATCACGCATGTGGAATTTACTACCCAGACCAGGAATTAAGTACTTTTAACTAACGAAACTTGTACTGTACAAGTTATACTGTAGCATGAGACGTTTTTAGACGTGACCACAAAAAAAAGAATAATGTCATTTGCCGCTGTATCGTGATGCTCAGTAATTAATAAATACTGATACTTTGAAATCCAATTCTCATTTACATTAATTTCGTTACGACATATTATGAAAAATAATATATATAATAGTTAATGACTGTTACGAATTGTATTACATATGCTCCATTATTACAATTTTGCACCCAATAACATTTATTGACGTCAGTAAATAACAAAACCATGACTTCTGCAACCAAACAACAGGAACCACGTGGAATCGCACGCAGTGGTTCATTACGAAAAAATGTGTTTTGCCAATAAATAACTATCCTCCCCTGTAATAATACGATACCCACCTAACCTTATCCTGCTATCAAAATAACATGGAAAAGAATAAGATTGTCCCGACCGAACATAAACCAGGTATGTATTTTTGGTCGACCTGTATAATATTCGCCAAGAGGAATGCCAATTTCGGGGTACCAGAAAAAGGGGGATCGGGCTTTGCTGCTGCAAAGCAATCAAGAGGATCAATGCAATAATGCAATCACTTCATATGTCTCCTCATGCAACCACCACCAACCAATCGACCGACTCCTCAACGCACCCGTTCTTCGATGTCGAACGAAAATGTCAAATGCCAGCCAGGCATGGAATATGATGACTGACCTGCAAAGAATCCGGGAAATGGCAGCATAAAAATCCTACCGCATATCAATAAATCGGGATTGGGACAAATGTGCCGGGTCACCCTCTACATATATTCACAAAGCGTGCAAGAGGAATATTTAAGATTCGGGGAAGAAACAATGAGCGTGTCTGACCAATAGTTTGGCAAAGTTGGTTGATAATTCGCTAAATACACGACCAGAGAGTTCCTAGTATTTAGAGACTAATAATAAATATGTACATATCTAGCTATACATATATGTATATTCCAGCGCATAATATTCTGCCTTCCATCGCAATAATCAGCACGGTGTCAATATTATCATTATCTAGGAACGCGCTTGTGCATTGTTGTGATGTGTGTACGCCATCGATCATTTAATTTACATTTCACGAGGCCTTTAAACATAGATTAAATACACCCAGAAGTGAAGTCTGCCAACACTATTTCAGCAACAGCCCTGGTCCTGGTTCATTTTGAGATGGTGCAGTTTCGGGAAAGCAAAAGCTTAAATGTTCATTAATTCCCATTTAATTATTCGACAGAGAGTGAGAGATACGGAGACGCATGAAATGTTTGTTTTACTTTTCCCTTCGCTTGATAAATAAGGTCGTCATATAATGCATCACCGTTGTTAGAACCATGTTACAACTAAAATTAGCCGGAATGACAAAAGGATATCTCTTGGTCTTTGTTAAGCAATTTGAGTCTGGACAAATTACAAAGGAAATTAAATTGTTCCAGACCACGAACCACTACAACTACGTTACTGGGCCCGCATTCGTTTGCTAATGTCGTACTGCATGTATTTTTTTGGGTTGGGATGATGTGTGCCAGACTGGGTATTATAAATTAACTGACACGAAGGGCAATAGTTGCAAGTAGCGAATGTTGAAATGACCCGAGGATTTGGGACAGATGAGGGAAATACCAGAGACAAGAATCTACATACATCACGACCAACATCCCCAGGCCAGTAAACTGCCTGTGATGAGTTTATATGTCTCCTGCTTTAAAAAATGGGCAAATAAACAGCACGATAGTCGGATGAATAGCACTTTTTTCGCTGAATAGAATGGTTTCATTACGTCCATTACAGGGCGTGTTCCAGATGCCTTTCTAAAATTAGGGTTAGTAGCAGAAAGTCTAGGCGTAAAAGTACTACAGAACATGCTAAAAGAAGACGGATTGACTGCGATGCACGTACATAATTCGTATCACAGTTTCAATATTACCCAATCACCTTCGTTCATTCGTAACTGTGCATACTACTCAACTCTGCAATATACTAACGCATTATGTTTAGCACTACTTTGTAATGTGTTATAAAACCCGTTATCAGAAAATGGTAGGAAATGAACCTACTGATCGACTACAACGAACGTGTCATGACAAACTCACCAGGAATTGAGTGGGTGGTGGGAAGCGAAGCAAGCACATAATAGATTTCGAATGGCAGACACATTGTGAGCACTACACGCTGAAAAGAGGAAGTTCACATACCTTAGAAAAGAAAGTCCTCCTCCAGATGTCCAATGCAAATGGCGATGTGTTGCTGGTACTTTTGTGTTGAGACGAAGGATGTGATCCCAAACAGGCAGTGTATCGTTTCGATGTATGTTCTCACTAACGTGAATGTATGGACTTGATTGCCAAAGGAAAGTGCTTTCCAAAGTAGAGGTGAAAATACGTACGCCAACTGAATGGAGAATATTTGGGACAAAAGGGGTTGCTTTCACTCTTCTTTTTTACAGTCACCCAACAAAAATGAGTAGGTAGATTGTGCAAGCAAATCTGCCTTTCAGTCCTGTCAGTTGACAGTTGTTGTTGGGACAATTTTTGAATTCCTCCACCTTATTCTTACTCACGTACTCAAAGTTTCAACCTTTTCCTTGAGAGTTGGTCCTGTGTGCACATATCAGAAATAATGTAGAGTGATACTGGATCAATCATTCATCTGATAAAATGAGCATCGCATCGCATGCCGTTGGAGGATCATTTACCTTATTATTCGATCCAGAGAGGACTTAGGATTCTCCGCTAAAAGTATCTTGTAGGATATGTGCAGTTGTTGCCGTAATTTGATCTTGTGCGTCGCCCGACGGAATAAAAGTCGAGATAATCAACTTCCAGTAGATGAAGAGAGAGAAAGAGAGAAGAGAAATTTTTGCTGTATCGAGTATCGGTTTAATCGATCTTCAATATCATTAGAACTCGGCTTAGGAAAGTCTGCGTCGGGTTAACCAACTTTAACGCGTTAATTCCCTTTCCGACAAACTATTGCATTAAACATTCCACACCAAGAAGATACACGATCGTATTATTTCACGCTCAGCTTTATCAGCTTGATCAGAGTCTGTTGTTTATATCGCACAAAACTAATTGATTTTATGTAATTGCCTACGGTAATTTGTGTTTCTACACGAAACGTTAATTACCTCGATTCTCAGCGCAATAATTTTCTATCAATTAAAATTGTGCAGGAAACATTACTTTATTTAGGAATTTAGTAACGAATGAACAACTGGAGGATTCCTTTGCAAGTATATGCATACGTACGTAGAATGGTTCTTGTGTTATGATTTTAAACCACTTCTAAAATCAGAAAGTTATGAAATTGCAAGTAATTTCACCAACGAGATTTTCGTTTCCGGAGTTTTCAACCACAGTCAGGAATTTGCTTCAGTGAAAATTCAGCCTGCCAGAAAACTCCGCCTCGCACCCAATCTAATGATGATAAAGAGTCTGTGAATTAACTCATAATGCGATTAAGTGACTTTGCTATGAAGAGTCAGTCACAAGTTGACGATGCGGAATGCTGGAAGTTGGTTGGCGAGATAATCCTGTCCTCCGCTGATGCAGATACAACAAACCCGAGATCCTGTCAGAGATTCTCGTGTACAGTTTTGATTTTCAAATTCTACCTCAAAATTGTTACTGACTGTGCGACTGGATGAATGTCTGTTATGAGAGAACACACTTTCTAGTTATGGAAATTTATGTGTCGGAATATTCACTACAGAAACACTTGCAGCTCCCCTATACGTACGTACGTATGCAGTAAGTACGCGAGTTTCCTGGTCAGGTTAACTCTTATCGGTCTAATTTGCAATGGAAATGTCCATGTTCCGATGTCTTTCTTTACAGTCACCACAACTCTGCTCCCGTTATACGTACAAATTCACGTATCTATCTTTTCAGCAGCGTTGTACAGAGAACACCAGCCGACAAGTCAATGTATCCGACAGGAGTTGTTTCAACTGTTCAATAACACACCGTCAGAGATGAAAATGCGACGTTGAATAATTTTCACTTTCGATTATCTCCTTTTGATTACAACAGGTTGAGTTTGAGAATGTTTTGAGAACTCTCAGCTAAATCGATACCCACAAGTTCCTCACAATGAGTGAGTGAGTGAGACGGCTCTTTTACGTCAGAAAAGTACGTTGAAACTGGTATGCAATTAAGTCGGCAATGTTTGCCAACAATTTATTTTTTTAAACAGACTATCAATTTTTCCATCCAACCGTATTTATTCACCACCAGCACCTCCACCACTCACATAATCATGAATACAAATGTTAATTAATTCAGCCCAGTAAGCACGGACCAATTCAATTCCTCCTGCCCACAGACGACGGAGAGAATGCAAGTATGTTCCGGAGAAAGTTATTAATGACGCCTGTCCACAAAATCTATTGGCCTCGCAGAGAGTGTGTGTGACCAAGTCTGGCTGCTTGGTATTCCTTATTTATTACATAAGTAAGAGAAATCGTGAACACTTAAGCCCTGCTCAGGAGACAAAGGGTTGTGTGAATTTGAATTCGACTCTGGCCGGAGAAAGAGAGAGAGAAAGGAGCGAGTGAAGTACGCCACGCCAAGTCGGAGTGAGTTCTGTTCTGCAGAAACCGACTTCGCCACTTGTATACCTTCCGCAAAAACCCAACCTGCCCAACAAACAACAAGAAGAGACGGAGAGCAGTAGATAGAAGGATCCATGTTTTGAACTTCTGACTCGAGCTCATGCAGAAGCTCGCTATTTGACGCAAGTGACGCACTTGGTCGCCTTTCCAATGCTCTGTATTTTCATTTCAATATCAATTATTTGTTATCTCCACCAATTTGACACCATCCGACCAGATGCTGGAGAGAGCAGATTTGTATGCGGAATCGTATCGAATTACCTATCACGTACACACACATATACATAAACACAACCTATCATCATCTCAACTGCTACATATTCCCAGTAGCAGCAGGAGCAACAGTAGTGGTGCATATGATGTCAATCTATTATGGGCATTAATTGTAATTAACTGTGCACGGAGTAAATATACAGTTGGGTTGGCTGACTTATTACTCTGCGACTAAAGTTATTCCAAGTTATTTCATCCTCCAACTGTCAGTTGTACACGTCATAACACATATCGTACTCGTAATCAACCTGGAGCTTTACTCGTCCGTATGTACACATACACATGTACGTCTATCTTGCCACAAAAATAACCTTCGTCTGTCATATTCACTTATGCAAGTCGACTCTTGTTAATCTATACGACTTGCTTAATTACGCACTCAAATGTACAGTTTGCCATGAAACTTTACCTTATCTACATGACCAGTGTGGGAAAAGAGGGTGTTCAATGCTCACTATGACGCACATATTAATAAAATGTCAAAAACGGAAGTGAACTCACATGTCGAACCTCTCATATAAATAGTTAAGCTATCTATACATGTAATGAATCTTAATGATGAACAAACATTATGCATTAGTCAACCAGAGTAAACAAAATTGCCAAATATATAGTATTAACCACCAGTTTTGTATGGATGGTCATATACGGTCGTTTTTGTACCAAAATCTCGTAACTATTCGGCATTGTATTTGTTTAAGCGAGTTGGTTGTAACGACATTTACAATCTTTCCGTAACCGTACATAAGTCAAACTTTGCAACTTTAAAATTTTGCTACTGCTCGACTTTCAGGTCGCTTCGAAACTACGACAATAACCTTACATTTTTACTAATAAAATGTCACTGGGCTTTGTTATAAATGCAGCCGTGTAGACGCAATGGAATAACAAACAAAAAGGTGGCTACCACTAAAGTTGTATGGGTTTTTAGCTAAAAATGCACAAAAATACGATGTACATATTGATTTTGTTAGATTTTATTCATATTCCCGGATTTTATGCTCATCTTTCCATCGAGCATAGTCCTTGCAACTAATATCGATTTGCTACTTTGAAATTGAAACCATAAACTTTTCTACCATTTTATATGCGTGGTCTGTGACAAGGTTACTAACTCAGCAAGTTAGACATATCTGCATGGCTGCTATTATTTAATTTGTCCCCATGTCGCTAAATGATGTTCGCCTTTTCTTTACAATAAACCTATAATCTAGTCAGTTATTTGATTTCCCCATAATAAAGCAATTTGTTGTGAGGCTACAAATTGCCACAAAACGTTTGAAACAAGCCTCAGTGGTTATTACGAAAAAAATGAACATGCCCATGGGAATATGTATAATAAATCCTTAAATATATGATCGAATGGTATTTTAGATGAATCAGTAGCAGCAAAAAAGACATGGCAGAGTTGAATGGCATGCATAGGTAGCTGTTCTGCAAGTATAAATTCAAAAAGACATGTCACGTAGAGCTGTAACTGGATGCAAACTTTCAATCTGACATCGAGGAGAGGGACCAACTAGGCAAAGATGAATTTCATGTCCGTGTTTCTCATCTTGGGAAATGAGTTAGGGGCTCCAAACTCCTTTCCTATTAAGTACAAGAGCCTTCTTGAATCAGAACTTTCCTAACTATGACGTGCACAACCTGGAGCCTATGAGAAACTGGAAACTGGTTGAAGCAAGCCACCGGAAGTAAGTACGAATTCCGTGGCCAACGACGAAAGTGAAATCCACGGCTGGAATGCGTGATTATTCGTCAGATGACAAGTGGTCCTTCTACCTCTCGATTGCTATATACATTTCCATATTTGTGCTTCCTCCAAGAAACATATTGCACAAAACCAACATGGGAAAGTTGAATAAAATTGTCAAAAATTTCTATGTACGCTCCACTCGCTCATCTAACCAAGCTCACTTCAACTCGTAAAGGAAGAACGTGGTCGTTGTCAACAAAAGGGCCTGGTGCTAGTGGATGCTTGTAAATATGGAATAAATGGTCCCACAACACATTGAATGACGTACATATGTGGACCAAGGGAAAGTTACGAGCCTGTGGCTGGTTACAACACTTGTTGTCAGGTCAGGGAAAGAGATTCGAGGAGTTGTTGGAACTAATACAAGTTTTATATGTTTGCTGCTCCGAATTTACAGTTCAACTCACAACCTGTGGGCAGCTTATATTGCTCGTGCTCCTCTCTTAAAGTCATAAAGGAGTCCAATTTATTCTGCAAAGTGTTTGGTTCACCGAACGCTTTGATGCTTCGTGTACTCGACTTGTGAATTATTTCGACCCAGGACAATACACTTCGAGTGTGATGTATATAGGTAATATTTTTTTAACAGCGCAAGATTTTTGCAACCCCTACATTTTTTTAAACGACCATATAAAATGATATTGCCTTTCTCAAGAAAATCTAACCGACAGCAAGTCAAGCTTTTTTGGAGCACAATTTTCTACCAGGATCACAGTCAGTCATATCGCGTTTATACATAAATTCTTCCAAATCATTTTGCAATTGGATCTCGGATCCAGGATCCACGGAGGCATTTATGCAGTTGTTGGAAAGCAGTCTGATTTGCTACGTGTCAAACGGTATGCAATAAAGTAATTTTCTATTTGCATTAGAACAATTCCTGCAATATTTATTTGAGCATGCATCTATTTGTATGCAGATGTGCTAGCGCCCAACGTCTATGTACATATGTAAGTGTGTCTAGTATGATACCTTTATGATAAGCTGTACTCTGATAATGCCAGAGAAAATTGTATTTTCCGAAAACAAGAAGAATAAAGGAAGCTCTGACAGAACATAAATCGTGGTGAGCAGAATTCTTGATAGGTTTCTTCTGTCATTAATCTAAAACGTCAGATTGAGAGACATGTACGAAATAAGAAAGTAAAATTCTGCAGCGAATAATATGGATTTAGACATAACTTGCAATAGATGAAATTCTATACCGTTTGACGATACAAACTTTTTTGCTGCGATATTTTTATAACTATCTGGTCCAACTTTTTTCTGCTTCTGCAACTTACTTACCTAGATTTTATGATGCAACTTTTTCACAGCGTTTGTGACTTTCCCCACCCAAACCATCTTGAGAATAAATATACTCTGCCCACACACACACGAAGCATTTCTCAACGAAGCAGACTTTGAGTGGAGACATCGTCTTTCACACCTGTGTTTGCCTTCTTCGTCTTGAGCTTTGCTGTCTCTTACGTTTGTCGGCGATTTTCGGAGGTAATAAAGTTTGATGGTAAGATTGGAATCTCTGGCTTCTCTCGACATATGACTGTCTGTCGCTCATCTCGGGCTGGTATGAAAATGACAAATTCTGACCGAGATTTACACAAGGTTGGATTGAAGGTTTTCCCGATCTATCATGCATACGTACCTATCACACACTGAGGATGAGAGCAACCAACTTTGACCTAATTCATGATGTTCAAGAAGAATGACAAATCCCAACATTCCAATATCTACCTTTCCCAACGTTTCAATCCTATGAACGTGTGATCCAACGTATTCTTTGTCCCTTGTACCATTGAGTACAATTGAGTCTGTAGAGAAAGTGAAAATTTAGACACTTCCATCAGTGCATTGTAAATATTGGGCAAGTATGCATATGAACTTCAGTACATAGCGAATTGTGGATTTCATGGCAAACAAATTTCAAAAAAAGAAAGCCAAGGGGAGCACAACATGCATACATCATTTAGCTGAACCCACCAGCAGCATCATCTGCATCAGTTGAGCAGAACTGTGGGGAAGTATTTATCGATTGGGTTCAAAGCATGGCAGCACCGCCTGCTTTCTCCACGACCAACTTTCTCTCCAGAGTCGCAAAATATTCACACCAACCGCATTCCAGCGTACTAAATTTTTCAACGTCTCGAGTTCTGCATGCGAACAAATAATACATTATAAGTCCTACGACGAACACATAAAGTGAACGGTAAAACGGGCAAAAAATGTGTGCTACTTAAAATCCGGTTGGCGTGTTGTTGTTTTTCTTCAATATTGCGTCCTCTCGGATTTATTCCTAGCTTCAAATTAATCCATACAGCCTTCGCGTCTTCTTGAAAAACCACTTCCAATTTGTCCAATTTGCATAATTCGCGTCATTGAATTATAATTTAATGGATTTTCTCTCCAAATTGTTTTTTGCATGTAGTCCACAAATACGACCATCTGAGGTCAGACGGCGCAAAATGAGGAACTTAATACCATTTCCTGGCAAAAATGAGCTGAACAAACAGGACTACTGTGCATACTGGGATGCCCATTTTCTCACAACTAGGAAAAGTTGATAAAGATGGGCAGGGAAAGTTGAGGAGGAAGAAAGTTGGTTCTTGTTGAGTAGGAGGTGCTGAGTGGATGCCAAATGCATGTTGAGCGACACGTCTCAGAAATATACAAAGGGTTGGCGTTTCAGCCTCTTATCTTGCAGTTATTGCTCAATAGAACTCTGGAACGCTCTTTGTGACAACCTCGACCCCTGTGCCTAAAGTTTTTGACGCTGTTGTTCTTTTAACCACAATCCATCTGCCTCTATGACTCGAAAAAATACAACAAAGAAGCCATAAATTGCTATCAACCCGATGGACAATATAAACCCTGTGGTTTTCCTCCAATCTAGCTTGTTCATTGTCAAGTTAAAATTTGGCAGGAGGAACATAAATCTATTACAGCTCAGCGGGACACAGCCACTTTGGCTCACTTCCTTCCTCTCGTTTTCTTTTCCACGAAACAATCAAGGCCGAGGTGAAGTGACTTTCTCGATTTTCTCCAGAATTTTGGTCAATATAATATTTCGAGTGGGAATTGCAGAAACGACAAACGACAATAACAGTAATGGCTTTCGAGCTGGTGGTTGGCTTGAAGGACGAATGTATGAGGACAGCGTACATGTATGTCCACTTGTGCATCCGATATCCTATAAATGGATATAAACCATACATACATGTATACACGTCGTGCAAAGAAAGAAGGATGGTCTTTTCCACCAACAAGCCATACTTATTCGTTACATAAACCCAGCAGAACACGTATCAATCAAGCAAGAAACCCCGAATTAAAACGCCAGAAGAAATTGGATGGTGTCAAAATTGAGATGGTGATGAGCATAGCAAAGATTGTTAGTTGTTGATTTCATTATCACACCGAATGGGCTGTTCTCTTGTCCTGGGATACATACGTTACATATTTGAGCACTTGCACTAAATTTCTCTGAAATGGTTCCAACAACGTTCAATATTTCGACTGAAGCACATACGTGAATACATATTTGATTTAATATGAGCGAGACCTTCTAAGCTCCGTATGGGCAATAAAAAAGTAAACTATTAATTTATTAAACAGAGGGACGTAAAATCGCCAATAGTCTGTACGTACGGTCTGAGACCACTAGCTGCATGATTTACAAATGCGAGGATTGCTTTGTTGGCACATTAGATTAACCAGTAGTGAGACTTATGTACAAATACATACGTAGAAAAACAAGTACACATATACCGAAGATCAAAGTTGAAGTAAACTTTGCTCGTTTTTTCCTCATTTTGCTAAAGGCACGAAAGTAATAAAAATATAATAATTACATTATACTGTCGCCGCAGTTGTTATTCTCAGTTCTCACGCCAGTAAAGAACAAATAAGTTTTGGTGTGAGGGTTTAATCAATATCTATCCGGCCAACCTTCTGTCAGCCAACATCAATCAGGCCAATTCATTTAGTTTCATACTAAAAAAGAGACCAAGCAGGCAATCAGAGAGCTCATTTACTGATGACTCGAAAGGTTTGCTCTCCTTGAACAATAATTATTATCTTTTGATTCTCGCTTTCACTTCCCTCTTTCTTCCATTCCATTATTTTAAATGAAAGTTTGATGGTTATAATTTGAGCACCCTTTTAGCGAGTGTCTATAGAACAGAGTGCGGGCTGACTGGTGGGAGAAAGACGATGGGATGGAAGGAATTGTTTGCTGGCACTGCTGGATGTGCCCATTTCGCTAAAGAGTCTTTTGTTTTTAGCACTGCTTTCACCATTTCCAACAATTCCTGACAAATCTCAGTTCGGGCTCAATTTATACGAGGACAGTGCTGCATCCCCGCCTGACACCAACAAATCAGGACAATGTCTGTGCAAACAATGCAATTCAGCCAAATTTGATAATTTCAAACACTACATGTTGTAATCGATAAAATGGACGGCGTGAGCGTACTTAAGATGTGTGAATGCATGTGTGTGCTAAGGTTTGCAATGGAGAATCAGATAACTGTGTGTGTATGTACAGTCATTCGTGTCCTGGCATATCGGCACAGCGCCAATTTGACTACAAGTAAAAGAATGCTTTTATCAGATGCCTTGCACTAACGGAGCCCTTTCTATATAAATATATGTTCACATGTTTATGCGAACTTTCTCTGTTTGTGACTACAATCGCATATTATAGTTCATTCAGTCATTCATACATTTTGGCAACATGCTAGCGCTTTGTGCTTTTGGATAGTGGTGGTGGAACCTCCCCTGAAACGATCACCTCGGATGGATGAATACAAAAATACTGAGATTACGTTGTACCAAACTGCGTTGTATGCATATGCTTGGTTGATTAATTTTCTCAGAAAATGCTGAACCAACGAAACCTACACATAAGACAAAATAATACTGAGAATAATATCTTAGTTGGTTTTGAATAAAGAAATTCTTATTACTTGAGCTCGATTCTGAAATCTCGACCGGCAGGTCCAGCGTATGTACATACATATCAGTAGTTCTAACTTTGGCTGGGATGAAATAAATTGTAGCTTGTCACAGCCAGATTCAAGACTTTTCAGGTGGAAAGGCGTCCATATTTAGTCTATTCTCACAGCCGACTTTTTTGACAACGCGGTCTTATACTGAAAAAACTAATGTTTTTCAGATCGGAGAAATATTTGTATGTATAATCGAACAAGTATATATTTACGTGGGTATATCGAATATGATGAATTTGCACCAGATAAACCCAGACAGATATTTATATGCATGCAGGCAGACAACGGAAATTGACATGAGTCGTATATCATGCAAAGACTCGGCCGGCCCCAAATCATTTGGACTTTCTCCTGCAGGGAAGAACCCACTCGGGCAGACCACCTTGATCCTTCCAGAAATCAAAGTTTCATTTTCCCCGTTTATATCCTTACAAACAATTTCCACACAATGGTAGGAATCAAAACTTTACATAATCCCATTTCCTCTTGATTTTCTGTACAAAAATACAGTTTTGTATAACGACATGAAGCAACTCGTAAGTAAAGGTATTCAAGCGGGGACATGAAATTAGCTTGGCATTCTATATTGGCAATTGTCAATTGCGTACAGTCAAGACGACTCATTGATTTAACGGATTTCTTCAGCCCAGAATAGTCCAGCAATCAAATCTGTACACAGTCAAGTATAGAATATGTATATGTACATATATACATTGGACGACATTCCTACCTATGAATACCATGAATACTTACATTGCATGCAACTATATCCCAACATCTATGAAGGAAATATTATTTTGGAGATAGCAAAGATAGTTCGGACGAGCGCTTGTCGCAATTATTTCGACCCGCACCGTATAATCGGTCCGACTCTGTCATTAACCATAAACTTTTTTCTCAAACAAATGCATTAATGGTCGCAAGGATTATTGATTCTTTCAAGGATACATACGTGCATATTATATGAGCATGTTGCGAAAATACTCTAGATCAGCGTTATTATTTTTTCACCCATTTAAACTTACATACATGAACGATCATACGTACATTTGTATAGCCAAATGTGCAAAGTTATCCCGTTCATACGTTGCATGAGAAGGAAGGATCTTGAACAATCTTGATTATTCAGTCAATCATACTCACGGATGACGACATGATTAAAGGCAAATAATTGTATTGTATTATTCGAATTACGACGAGAGTACGAACATGACAAACATTTACTTACGTGGAATATGCGTATAAGTTTATGTAATGTTCGTAAGTAGGTGAAATAAGTAGGAGGGATATTTACATGGGGATCAGGTCGGTTGGATGGATTGGATAGATGTAGTAAATAATGTCTTGAAACAGGGTTATACTTGCAGTGACAAGCATCAAATATCGGGACGGATTTATGAGATAATCTTTCCATACTTACCTTTTGCGTAGCCAAGAAAAAATAGTTCAAATCTTCATCAAAATACGTGTCTGACTTTTCGGATGGGAGCCGAATAATGTCAAGACAGGAAGATCTGTATGATGTTCTAGATGCGAAAGATAATACACAACAATTCAATTTACTTGGGGAGGGAGGTGGATATATATATCTCGGCGTCTTCTTTCCTCCACGTGAAATTGATGTGGAGAAGCGATTACTTTCGGCTTGGAGAAATTGGGTTGCAGTCTCAATTACTTTTGCTGTGACCAAATTGCTAAATCCACAACCATGAATCAAGTCTCAAGTTTCATGCCACCACAACAGTGGTAATCAATCAGTCTCTCACATCCAACATTCAATGTTTTATTCTTTTTTAATGAGTTTTCGCCTAATGTCCTTGGATTCGTGTGAGAAATGTCCAGAGAAACTGATCAACTTCACCGTGTACATATATGTATGTTTGATTAACGATTGGTTTGGTGAGGTATGAAATTCAGTTTTGTACAGTCGAGGCACAAATAAGGATATGTTGCTTTTTCTGTGGAAGGTGAGTTGAGACAACGGGGAAAGCACTTTTCAAGTGTGCCTATATATTTAATCTACTAGATTTTGATAATTTATCCAGTAATGAGATTTACTCTGTTTTTGGTGGAAACTCTGGTTGTGTTCACGTCCTTCGTAAGAAACCACTCAATTTGACAAATTATACAATAATCTATTTACTACATGTACTCAAACTTTCACATCAACTTCCGCACAAGACGCAAATAGAACAAATCGAGAGGTTACACTCGCAGGTTTTCAGATCACAGTAAATTCAGAGAGTGATCACGAACTCGCATGTACTTAATTTCAACACAATTTATAAAGCTTTGTGTTGAATGCAATGTTGTTGTTCGTCACGAAACGACGCATAATTCTCTTTTTCAACAACGCAGTGCAATTTTAAAACAATTCAACAATTGAGTTTATAAATTAATGAACATTAACACTGATATGATACAAATGTTTATAGTATTTGTCAGTTTGTATTTATTCACTGATTTATTTAGGCAATGATAATTTACCTGGAAGTGATGATAAACAGAAAAATTGGAATAATATAATTATGCGGAGGCAGGTCGGTTGTCTTTATAACTTCCTTCACAAATTATTACAAGTTTGATTGTGATATGATGATTCATTTAATCAAATCGAAACTGTTCGGTTTACTGATCTTTCAGCAAAAGTTAAATATAAATTGTTGACAATCTTTTAAAAAGATTCGTTTTGCTATGATATTGAAGAAATTATGTGTCTATGTTTTAATAATAATATTGGATTCCTTGTCCGTATCTCATTAACATTAATGAGCAACATATGACTGATCCCAACCAATTTCACTTGTAGCTATATTTCCACACACTTGTTTCCCCGTTGCATACAATAAACACAATACAATTTAATACGGTATCACTCCAGTCAATGAATATTATGAGCCGTTTAACTACAACGGTTGTTTCTGTAATTTCTGAATATGTGCATAAACTGGTCCACCACACACACACTTTTCTCCAATCACTAAATTGTCATAAAGCCGGCAATTTCTTTAGCGCTGTGCAGATTGAATGAATATGGAACATGTAAGTAAGTTGCCGTACAGGTTTTATTATATTCGTCAGCTGATCCAATCTCACAACCCGCAATAAAAATGCACTTTACAGACAGAACGTGGTTCGCCGTAGTTTGTGTCCTTATCTCCCACGTCTTAATTTTTCCTGCTAAAAGAAAGTCTGTTTTGCTTGGAGAAAGTCCAACTTTGTATTACACGATATCACCGCCGCTATAATGTCCGATCTCAAGTGGACGAGTGCATTTGCAATTGTACACTTGCACTGTCACTCATACGAGGGAATTCATACAATTTGCGGGCTAGTTGTCGTACTACAAGCAGATATGCAAGAGCTTTTATTATGATAGCATTTTAGTTGACAGGAGCGGTAATTCGTATGAACTCTGCTGCTCGCTATGTCAGCATGTGTAGGTAAACAAACCGAGAAGAGACAATGCACTACCAGGAGCCGAGGGAGCAGCGTGTTTGGTGAGTAAAAGTGCAGAATTGGTGGCGAGTGTGAGCTGACACAAGATTTATATATTGGATTCGGTGGTGGTGGTGAAAGTCCTCCTCTCTCGTACTCTGCCACCCTTTCCCGGAGCTCCCACGATTGGACACCCGCTTGGGCGGAAACTTTCGGATAAAAATAAATCCCATGCACTCCAAGCTCCTTCCGTCCCAACAAAGACAATCCGATCCCAATTCTAATCTCATCATCATCATCATCATTCTACATGCAAGGAAAACCATGGGCAAAAAACGCTGGATTACGATTACACTAGAAGAGCAGCAGCATTATCTCTGTACTACTGCACTCTGCTCTGGGTCTCACATTTCCGAGTGGAGAGATTAACATTATTTGCATTGCATCCGTTTTTCTTGTCCTGCGAAGAGGGATGGATGGATGGACCAGATAAGAGATGCTGGGGAGAGAGTCACCATGATTTCAGGCAACGGCGTAACTTTGCAAAAAAAGGAGGAAGAATGTCAAAGGGATTGTTTCCGGATTTTGTGCAAATGTATATGTAGCTTGTAAAACTGTGGTATTTGAATGATACATGTGCAGAGTGTTGGCATATTACGTCAACGACGGTAACCTCGATTATTTGAATTTAGTTATTTGTTTACGAATGTGCCCAGGAATTGCTTTGATCATTTAAATCTCTATACTTACTGATGTACTAGTCCATGTATTTCTTGCTATTTATTTAGAGTTGAAAGAGTAGAGTTTCTGCCAAAAGAGGTTTTCTATAAAAGATTGGTCACATTTTTGTGATGCTAAGATTTAATTTCTATTAGCGAGTGGTCGGCTTTGTATGTACGCAGTTCAATTTGTCCAATTCTCAAGGGCGTTGTTTCTCTTACTTTTGTTGAATTGCTTATCAAATTCGTGGTCTATAAAGGGTTGGCTGAAAGCTTTTGTTTCCTGGATTCATGAACATGACGTTTTTAATATCCGTTGCGTCACATGCAAAATTTATTATGCTGTAAGTAGAGATTCATTCATTAACAGAATTCATAACCGGGAAGTAGTTTTGACAGAATGGCAAAAAATGGTAAATTTCAGACAAACTCATAAAGGGAAAATACTATATACGCAACTATGTGATGCACGTGTATACGGTTTGTGACGACCATTACACGCAGTATTGGCTTTTACTCTTTTATCTAAATTGAGACAAAAAGTTTCTCAGTAGTTCGAAAATGACGACTACATATAACACAGCATAAAATACCCAACGGTACTAGGACAAGGGATACATGGTGCGATTACTTTCCAACCGAATGATATCCGCTTACCTAAGAATAACTCAATTTGATGAAAAAAAGTTTCGGCGAGTTTTTTGAAAGTGAAGTGAACAAGGAGCGCCATGCAGAGCTGGTGAAGCAAAACGAGCCGACATGTGAAGATAGATGATGATGTGAACTACTCTCTTTTTGCAGAAGAGGAAAGTATATGTAGTAGAAGAAGCACTTTCTTTTTTTACGAGCTAGGGAACAACAAGGCAGGATTTTCGCAACATTTAAGTATTTCTTCATCTAACGATATGATGAGCTCCCTTGTGGGACAACTTGTTAAAATTCGGAGCATCCCAGAGACTTATTGCACACTCCTGGGAGATGTCTCCAAGTCCAAAATGTCTTATTTTGTCATGTTGAAATGTACAGTCGTGGAGAGATCCTTGTTCATCCTACTGGGAATTATTTTCTCTTGACATTTTATTCCCTAAATTGGAGCACAAAGTCTACTTATTTTTTTATCCCATGTCAATTTCGTCAATTATTTAGGTCGACCTTGATTTTGATTACATTCAGAATTAAATTAAACTTAAATGCTGGAAATATGAGACAAAATCCCAACAACACGTGCAACCTATTTCCCTTTTTCCGTTTCCGAAAGCTCTTCTCTCTAATAGAATTTTGGACTCGTCTTTGAATTCTTGCGTCAATCTCGGTATGCTTGCACAAGACGTGTTTTGAACTATACTCGCTCCAAGGGCTTGAGCCTAAGCAAATGTTTGAACTATGTATGTCAGATTTCGGAACTTCTGTGCACGAGTCCATCAGCAGCTGCCCATGGAGGAAATTGCGAAAAGGGGAATGGGAGTGGAAAATATTTGGACCATTATGACATCAAGCATGATGCTACTGCTATAATTTGATGACAGATTACTCCATCATCGAGATGCGGGATTGATGGTAGCAAACTATCCCCCAGCAGTTCTAGCATGATACCAAAGGTGCATACATATGTATGTATGTAATGATAGAGTAGGATTCTTCAAGTTTTAGAAATCGTCTCCCCGTGTGTAAAGCTTGAGGATTATTGGGTGAATCCACCCGTGTAAAAGTTTGGACAACTGGTATGTAGTCGTCTATTTAGTCGTATGCTAGTTCATACAAAAGATTGATTGCTGGAAATGCTGTAGAGGAAATATGTACTGTGCCAAAATTCACGAGTTTATGAATAAGAACAAAATGCTGATCTTTTTATTATTTAGAAACTGTCGTATCCTACTGAATTACGAACCTTGATTTTCACCGTTTCATAAAGCGTAATCCATCTGATCAATACGTGGCTTAGAAGCTCGCGTGTGGGCTTAGAAAGCACATTTATACAATACAACTAGTAATTTGCTACCCACACCGCAAATTAAGTTAGTTTGTCTCATTTGTAATGAAATGGCCTTCAAGGAAATACTGCTTGGCCCAGAATTGGTGAACAATCTGCGAAATATCTGTGCAATGGAAAGTGTGATTTGGACTGTATTGCTGAACATTCCTGGAACAACATGTGTCCTCCCATTTGCAATCTGCTCAGCAAAGTTTGGGAATTTGTAAATTGCGAAATTCTCCCAACCAAAGAGATGCGCAAACAAACAAACTCTCTCTCGCATCCTCAGTCCTTCTTTCAATGCGAAATTACGAAGGGCAATTGTGGGGGCCCTAGCGTTACAGGCAAATGGTTTTCTGTGAAAATTTTCAAATTTTTTATATGTTGTAGGACTTGAGGCCGCGAACAAAAGCTGCTATAGCCCTGACTCCTAAAGTGTATGAATCTTGGCCGCAAATCGGGATAAAAGTTGAATTTATTTCTTCAGTTTATGTATTTTTCAATTAAGATCTTTCCAATGATACCCACTTTGCTGTGTGAGACTGATCTCTGACCTTCAAACCTCCAAATTTAATTTTCAAAATTTCCAAGTTTTAAACTAATCTGAAAGCGTAACGCATTGAGATTATGTTGCAACAAAAATTACAAAAATCCACCAAGGATAGGGAAACTACTAGTTAATTGAAAAATAAAAACCTACAGTGCAGACTTGATATAGCCCGAGTCAGCCAAAATTGTGGTTATCACTTAATCCGACTTTTTTGCGTGAAATTTTATTGCAAATTGATTTCAAAAAATATAAAAATTTAAATTGATTTTTCAAATTTAAATTCACATGCTTCGATTAATAACAATTGGCAGCCTATTTAACAAATTTCAGCTTGATACGAGGTTTTCAAAAACTCGTATGGGTCACCCAACAGGGTCCTCCAGATGAAATTTTGTCATATTTTAATTCGTATTGTTTCATTAGGAGCAATTATCAACTTGTCTACTAAATTTCAGCTCGATTTCACGAATTTGAAAAATTGGTATGGGTCACCCAATAGGGTCTGTACGGATGAAAATGTGTCAAATTTAAATTCATACTCTTTCATTAGTAGCCATTAACAACCTCTGTACCAAATTTCAGCTCGATTGGATGAGTTTTAAAGATCGGCATGGGTCACCCCCTAGGGTCCCTCCACATGAGAATTTTTATAATTTTACTTTATATTCTTTCATTAGAAACCATCATCAACCTCTGTACCAAATTTCAGCTTCCTACTATAATTTTGAAAATTTGGCGCATAATACCCCACCCACCTTTATGACCCCCACCGGTCAATCACTTGACCGATTTCGCCCATCTTCGAACTTAACTCCTCATTTGACCCATACTACATTTGTGCAAAATCTCAAGTCGATCGGATTAGTTTTACGGCAGTTATCGCAAGACAGACAGACAGACAGACAGACAGACAGACAGACAGACGGACAGACGGACGTGACGGGTACATAAGCCCTGACTCGGGCTAAAACTGGACAAATAAATTAACTTTGACCCCGATTTGCAGTGGTTTAAGGTAGATGATCTTGGGGTTTGGGGCTTTGACTTTGTTCACGTCCTTAAGGGCTACAATATAAAAAATTTGGAAATTTTCACGAATTTGGTGTTGGGGCCCTCCCATTAGATTTCAGGGAACATTCTGCTACGACATCCCCACTACCTTCACTATGTATGCACTTCACAGACCAGTATATGCAATCCGAAGCGGAGTCAGGCATAGAACTATCGAAAATTAAACCAGCAAAACGTGATTTTGGAAATGAACAGGTCCAAATGTTTGCACATGTATGTCGTCAACGTATGTAGGTGAAATTTCAATGGTGAAATGAAATAACAAAATTCGTTTTAGGTAATGCATTTACAGATCTGATTGATGACATTTTCATCCATATTTAGCTTAAAAATATTCATACTCATTTACCCTGAAATAAATATAAAGGAAGAATTGGTTAAAGACATTTATTTATATACCACACAAGAATCCTTGATATGTAGTATTTAGTTTTAATTAAAATCTGTACTTTCTTTCAGACAATTGTGAAGTAGGCAATAAAAAGGTAGCATATATTGTTGTGTACTCTGACTTGATGTGTAAAAGTGTTTTTGTGAATATTGATTCCATCAATTTTATCTAAATGTTTCCTTTAAATCACGATCCATTTTGCACATCGTACATATATATGTAAATGTACATACATATTTTCTCACTGTGTGATGCAAATATTATTATAAAAAGCTCGACAAAATCAAACATTTATTGGGGTTCTACTACGGATTTTTTATTAATTTTTATTTGACAGCTCTTATAGTCATTTTTACTCAAACATATGTACGTTGAATGTGGTGAGACGATATTTATAATGATTACATTGATTCAAATATTACTTACGTATAATATACTGACACATATTTACGACAAACATTTACATATGTAATAGAATATTACAGATATTATCGAAATGGGACTTTCTGGATAAGTAATAGAATTGTTGTTTACTATATATTTCATATATATGAAAATATTTGCCATCTGCAATTGCAAAATCACAGAGACAAAGGTGAGTTAATTAGCAGGGTATTCCGACCCAGGGTTTTATTGGGTTGGGTTTTTTGGGTTTTAATGGGTTTTAATGGGTTGTTAATGAATAAAACCCATTGGGTTTTACCATGTTAAATGGGTTTTATTTGGGTTTTAATGGGTTTTATTCGGGTTTTAATGGATTTTAACTGGGTTTTACCTTAAAACTATATTCTAAAAGCTGGAAACATCTATCATACGTGAGACGAAGTTGTTTTACGGCAGCTAAGCAGTTTAGTTCTTTAATATTGTACGTTTTGAAACCAGGAATAAATCAACGAATCCATCCCTTACCATCACAGGTTTCAAGTGATACAGAAAAGTAATTTCGGAATAGGTTAACTGATCATGTATTATTTAATACTACTCTAGACCATAACAAGTTCTTTTTACGGATATACTTTTTTTGCTCATAATAATGTATTTCGTTATCCATAAATACTCGATTTTTTCCAGAAGTAATAATGCACCTTGAGATCGCTAAAAACTATTAAATTTGGAAACATTAAATTTTGAAAAACTTTACAAATTTTATGAATTTTTACTCAACCACAAAAGCCCTGGAAGCTTTTGATGGTTTGAATTTCTCTCTAATAGGGACATATTTAGGTTCTGTTGGAGGTAGAAAAAGCTTATATTTTAATTTTCAATATGTATGCTTGGAAATGTGTCGTATGGGGGACATTTTCACATGAACTGCTTACAAAACAAGATTTTTGCCGTTCTGGTCAACTTGGATTTCATTATGATGAGAGGTAGTATTCAGGAAAAAGAATTAATTATGGTCCCAAATGGTATTAAATTGTCATCAGTTAATATGAACAGATACGTACATATTCTAACATGGACAAGGATTTGCATATGTATGACTGGAATTGGGTTGCAATAGTTGTGAAAATTTTTTTCAGTGTATTATTTAAGTAAAACCTAATAAAACGCAATAAAACCCATTAAACCCATTAAAACCCATTAAAACCCAAAAAACCCATTAAAACCCATTAAAACCCCTGGGTCGATACTTTTTGAATAAAACCCTGGGTTTTTCCGAACCCTGTTAATTAGTCATTAATTAAATACTTTACGTATATACTATTCGATTGTAAGCACCACATAATATGTGGCACATATTCGGGAAAGAAAAATTCAGATATGAAAAACTGATCAATTAAAATTATCAACAAAAAATAAGCAGCAAACTATACAGTCCATTTCGTAAGTTATAATAGTTATACATAAATATGTTTCATATTCAATTAATTAGTAAAACATATGTACATGTATGTATATTTACACACAGATACTTATCACAAGTACACATACTTATCGAGTATATCACGTTACGTAACTTTTGCACAGATTCGCACCTAATTAACTTGGGAATCAAATAAAAAGATTTAGGAGCAATTTATAAACTAATTCAATGTGGGCTGCAAATACCAAATAAATATAAAATAAAGTATGACATTCACGCAACATTCATAACTCGGACTGATGACCAGGCATTTCACCATTTCTCCAATGTCCTTCGAACATTTACATGTAACTAGAATTAAACTGATTGATGATTTCAGTAAGCTTCCCTGATTTTCTGGTGTTTACATACATGTATACTTCGACGAACACCTTTGAAACAGTGTACCATGAAATCCAGTGTCCGCTAACTACGGTTTAGGTACAATATTTATAGCGCACTGCACAATGATATGTTCCCAGCTTCCGATGAAAGCTTTCTTACAAACATTGGCAGAGTATTGCTAATCCTTAATTAATTTCACGTTATAGATATGTTTATTACTACATATGCTAGAAGTTGCACAGCTAATTTATAGGAAAACAACAATTCACTGGAATGCATGCATTAGTGATGATTATTCTACAATAGGGACACAAGTTGCAAGTCTATCAAGTATTACAAGTAATATCTAAAACATCGAGATGATAATAGTGCTTTCATAAGTATGTACATAATTAAATAAATTACACGGCAGTGAATTTTAAGAAAATTCATAAATAGATGATAACGATTACTCGTCAAACACCTTTAGTCCCTTTCCATTTCGTACTGGGTTAATCTGCTGGCAATGTCCTTGGCTAATTTTTCCGAAGACGCACAAACGACCCGGCGACTCATGAGATCAAATTCACCTCCTGTGCATAATAACAAAATTAATATATTACTCGTTGTACATTTGAATGCGTTTAGTAAATAGGCAACGCATGAAGGAAATGCATGAAATGTGTAATGTTCAAAGTTATTGGTCAAGGAGGAGTGATGAATATACATAATGCAAGAAGGGGAATACTACATAGTTGATTTACCGGTGGTGTCAATCACAGTTCCTCCAGCTTCTTCAACGATTAACTGGCCAGCAGCCATGTCCCAAGCGTGTAGACCCATTTCATAATAGGCATCACAGCCTCCACTGGCGACAGAAGCCAGGTTCATTGCTGCTGAACCCAATGATCGAGTGCTGTATGCAAAATATGACAAGTTTTTAAAAACCAACGAGATACAAAGAACGATAATGACCAACGGAAAGTTATTGATAAATTATCGGAAAATTAATATATGTGCTATTCAGATTGTTCCAAGGGAATAAAAGTTGTAGGTACTTATTTCATGCATTTCCTCCAGACGTGTCTTATGAACAGAAATTAAATAACCTCCATAATCACAAAGAAACCCTCCAGCTTCTTCAATAATTAACTGGCCTGCCGCCAAGTCCCAGCAGTGTAAACCGAGGTGACAAAAACTATCAACTGCACCCGAAGCTACGAACGCCATGGCGCAAGCCGCTGATCCCATGACACGGGTACTGATTATTTTTTAAGTAAAAAAAAACAACAAAAGTGACCAATTTAATCAATGAGACAGTTTTCCTACTCTCAATCAATATTGTTGGCTGTATTTTATCCCCAAGGAACAGTTACATATAGTATGAAAATCCATACCCATGACATTTTCCTAGGAGAGCGCCCAAATTTTTTAGAACTACTTCAATCTTTGCAGGATCATCGTTGGTTCCCGACTCTGTGGCAATTAGAGCTTTCGCTAAAACTGTGAAAATATTGGGTATGTACAGAAATCATTTAATTGTCTCTATAATTTCTCTAATGTTTATTATATATACCAGTTTCTCCTGACACCTTGATCTTCGTCCCATTAAGGAATGCACCTTGTCCTATTTTTATCATAACAATACATTACACTATTATTATCAATAATACAATACTTCCAAATTTGTTTGTCTTACCGTCTTTGGCAGTGTACGTTTGTTTTCTAAAAATGTTTTAAATTAATATGTGCTACGTATTGATGCTATTCAATTGTAATAATGAAGATACGTACAAGATAGGATTACAAATTATTCCAATAATAGGTTTTTTGTTGATCAGCAAGCCAATTGAAATAGCAATTAGTGGAAGAGAGTGAACGAAATTCATAGTACCATCCACTGGATCTACAAATTAATTATTTCAAAATATTAAAATTGATCCTGCATATAAGTATGTACGTCTATAAATACAAATTCAATATATCTATTTTAGACATGAATGTAAATTATAGAAAGTACCTATGATCCATGTTGGGGCGTCGGTTAAAATACACTTTTCCCCTCCGGCTGTTGACTCTTCGCCAATAAACCTGTAAGTATGGTATTTAAAATAATTTTTTCATCTAATAACTGAATTAGCGGTAATATTTTTAATAAGACCGGTGGTGTTCTTACTTGTGATCTGGAAATGCCAAGTGAAGCCCATCAATCAACAACTTTTCTACCTCTTTGTCAGTCTCTGTGACCAAGTCCATATCACATGATTTTGATTCTACTTGCTTGGTCTTGTAGAATGCAGTTTCGATCACCTAATGAAGAAAATTATCAACTTATAGGCATGAATAACAAGTAATGCTAATATAAAAGTGGCGATGAGGTGGACTAAAATTATTTTGCATACCTCTGCAGCCTTATTGACGAGTTTCATGCAAGTCGTGTAATACTTTTCTACGTCGTGATCCATGCTGCAAAAAACACAAGTTTTCAGAAACACCCTTTTTAAGTTATTTTAAAATTTACAGTTTTCTTTTCGATTGCACAGCTAAAATGGACTAGAAGTAGAGCCGTAATAACCTTCGAACTTGCAAGCAAAAGTTGCGAAACTGTGCAAAGTATATAGGATGGGTTTTGCAAACTACTTGGAGAGAGATTTCGCACTAAACCGAGTGTGTCCGGATCAGTGGTTTTATAGACAACCTTCACTCGTCGAATTGTCTTTGTAACAAGCACGGCGGAATACTGCTAAACTATTGCATGACGTTTGCATCTCGGTTAAAATAAATTAATTGCCATCTTAAAATGTCTATTAAACAAATCTCTTTCCATGAATATTCCTCCTATGCATTATATTTATGTACATAAATAACTGTAAACTGCTTGCTTACAACATGAAAAACAAAAGTTAACTCTTGAGGCAATTTGATAACTATTTTTTTTGTTAATGACGATAACAAAACTGGAAAATTTTAACAACTTCACTTTTGATTGAAATAATTCCACAATAACAGAACATTAAACATTAACAATAATAAATAATGGAAAAGTTCTGGGATCAATCAACATATACTATTCATGCCACATATCAACCATTTATGTACATAGAAAAACAAAATTCACTCACTTGTACGAGTCTTCGAAATGACTTTCCAATGACAAGCTGGGGCTGTTAACTCTTATCCACGTACTGAATCCACGGGAAGTTTTTTGGATTATGTAACTTTTACATTTTTCTAGAAAAGTCCCTCTCCTATTATTTCCTCAAACGGAGGAGGAGGAGGAGGAGGAAGGAAGGAGTGGATCTAGGCTCTACATGGTGACATTGGAGAAAGCGGTGCTGGAGAAGCAGCCAAGGTCGAGGAGTGAAGCAGAGGAATGGAGGCGAGCGAGTGACACGGGCCAAATGCTGGAAGGGAATAAGTTTGCGAAATCTAGGTCAGACTCCCAAATATTGCATTGAGGCCACTGCGAGTGAAAGAAAGTAGGTCAACCCCGTCACTCGACCCACTCTCCATTCTGCATTACATATGTAGGGAAACCTACGTACAGAAGGAGGCAGTATATGATATGTAACAGTTTGTTGTTCGGCTTATTGCAATGACGTCTGTGCGGGAGCTTCCATGGGATAGCTTTTTATTTCATGCGCCCATTGATCAGCACGGTTTACAAGTTTATATTCCGATTCTTAGATGCAAACGTATGTAATCCGGAAATCACTCTTTTACCGGGATGATAGGTCAATCAGTGGTCATGCTTAACTGTTATGTAGACTTTGTTATTAAAGTTACTTACCTAGATCAAATCGTGGTATCAAATCCTTTCTGAAAACCTCTGACTTTGGACACAATGCGACTTTAGAGAAACTTGCTGTAGTATTTCTCTACTTGGAGGAACATGATAATTGTTGCTAATCCGAGCCTAAGTAGTCTCTTGTGGTGACCGAGACCTTGTTACCACTACCGACGGAATGACGTATATCGAGGAAATGAAGAGAATAGATGTCCCATAGCGGATAAAGTGCTTGTATCGGAAGGAAAGACGTAACCCATTATTCAGTCCATCATTTTTAGGATGAGGAGGATTTGAAAATTCTATAGCGTCGGGTCTGGCGGAGCAGTAAACTTCGGTGAAGCAATAAACGTAATGCGCTTGAACTTGAAGCCCATTTCATCCTCCTCCTCCTGCAACTTTCCCACGACACAATAGAGAAACAAACAACACGGGACACGAGGCGAGAAGCCTATGAAATTGCGAAACCATGCAACGCGAAAATGTGCGAGTTGCGATATTGTGAAGAGAGAGAGAGAAATCGGAGAAATGGGAAATTGAGAATGTGCCGTCCAAGCCGGGAGAACTTTTACTGAAAACATAGACTCTCTCGCACCACTTGAATTGCATTTTCACAAATTTTCCCAACCCGCATGGAACAGATTTTTTGAAATTATTTAAATTGTAAAACAACATTTTTGAAGAATTATTCATTTAGATGGAGGAGATTCCAAAAGTGGTAAGTTATATATTTATATTTGTGTTGTGGATGATATGTAAATAAATGCAAATCATGCATTTGTTTATATATGATTTGATACCATTATCTTATGCGATTTATTTTGATAAAAATAATTAAAGAATCGTTTTAATTTGCCTCTAGTTTCCAGACCTGGGTTTACCTCAGGTTGTTCCAGTTGTTCAGGATCTCTTGGACGAATATACAAAAAAGCCGGAAAATCTTCCGATTCATGCATTAGACAAAAATTTGCGACATATTCGACCATCACGGAATTTTGATTCACTTTTTACCTTCCACTCTAGAAGTTTTCCTCTGGTTCAAAGGGTAATGTCCGTGAAAATAAATTCCCACTCCACAAGGCATATGACCTTTTTGTTAATATTTGTATTTAAATGTGTGCAGGTAAAGAGGGAGCCAGCGACAGGACGTCTGGTGGGGTATGAGGAGGTGGAGGTGAGCTCATTGGGAGAGACGGCCAAGAACTCATTGTCCTTGACAAGAGCACCCGGGGCAAAGGATGAAGGCCTCAAGGGAAGCTCAACCAATTTCCCCTTTTGGCCTGGAGGTTTTGACGAAGAAAAGGAAATTCTGCAATCAGCCAACAAAATTGAAGCGCTCAAAATTAATGAAGATGAGGCCGAGTTATTTTCAAAATTGTTCGAAAAAGGTGGATCTAATATAATAGTGTGCATTTGCTTACAGTTAGTTTAAAGTGTAATTTAAATTAGACTTGCTGGTCGTACCCCCCACGTTCAATAATGGAATGTCACTTGCCTCCATGCAAAAGGAACCGAAGAACGATAGCGAAAACAATGCGTCGGTGGATGTGTTTGCGGTTTGTGATTTGCTCGAACTAAATGAGTCCAATATATTTATATTTTATTGTGGAAGGCTTATTTCTATAATTTTGTAGGAGGACCGAAAGGATGGGTTAGATTTTTGGAAAGTCAGAGAATCTACAAATCTCGAGTATCAACCATCTCAAGCAAAATTGGCTAAGCAAGGGAGTCAAGCAAAGCATTTATTGAACGAGATATCCGATGACGTATTTAGTGGACATGAAGAGGTGAGAAATTGTATGCCTATTTTGATTTTAGAAATTCTAACACAAAACCAACTAACATTTGCAGGAGAGAAAGGTTGCACCCGTTTTGAAAATTAGTAAAACTCCCTTGTCTGCGCACTCCGTCATGCCATGGGCCGAATTGATTGATGTATCGAAACCCATGGCTGATTTCCGTGAAAAAGTTCCAGATATGGCATATACGTATCCCTTTGAACTGGACACGTTTCAGAAACACGCAATTGCAAAACTTGAAGAACATGAAAACGTCTTTGTTGCTGCACACACGTCGGCAGGCAAGACGGTTGTGGCAGAATATGCAATTGCCTTATCTGTTCAACACATGACTAGGTAAGCATTTTCATTTTGGCTATTTAACCGGAATTTACCAAGTTCCTTAAATGGACATTTGTTTGTGTAGAACTATTTACACTTCTCCTATAAAGGCACTGTCAAATCAAAAGTTCCGTGATTTTAAGAATACTTTTGAAAGTGTGGGCCTTGTTACCGGTGATGTTCAGGTACGTTAAAACTATGAGACTGAAAACACACATCAGCAGTGTTATTAGAATAACTTTGTATGTATGTTCATGATTAGATCAATCCAAGTGCTTCCGTTCTAATTATGACAACTGAAATTTTGCGCTCAATGTTGTACAATGGTTAGTAACAAATTCACAAGTGATATGCAATGATGCTGAAAAAGATGGTATTGTTCAATGTATAGAGTACTTTACTCAAAAACTCAGGAATCGAAAATAATTCATATGCATACATATCCACTCTTTTTGCAAACTCAAACAATTGTCTTATTAATTATCAATGAATGTCTTTAAACTTAATGAGTGGGTTCTTCCCCCTAATTTTGACGCAGGATCCGACGTGATCAGGGATCTTGAATGGGTCGTATTCGATGAAATTCATTACCTGAATAATGAAGAAGTAATTAATTTTATTTAAGATCACATTAATACTTTATTATAGCGCGATTTTAACTGTGTATGTCTTTAAAATAGAGAGGTCATGTGTGGGAAGAAGTTCTCATTATGCTGCCACCACATGTTAGCATTATTATGCTCAGTGCAACTGTCCCTAACGCTATGCAATTTGCCAATTGGGTTGGTGGTAAGTCTGATTTAAAGAGTAATAATTCTAGTAAACATTCGTACCTTATAAAGATTTACATATGCACATTCAACCACTTCTTCATCTAGAAATCAAGAAAAAGAAAATTTATGTTATTAGCACCCTCAAACGTCCAGTTCCACTCGAACACTATCTGTATACTGGTTCTGGTGGAAAATCTAAGGATGAAGTATTTCTTGTCCTTGATTCAGAGGGAAATTTTTCTAAGAAAGGGTAAGTTATTTAGTTCACTTGTAAAGTGTACAAATTGTTACCAAATTGTTATAAATTGTTATGTATTTATTATTTTATAAGATATGATGACGCAAAAGAAGCAAAGTTATCCAGAATGTCCAAGCATCAACAGTCATTTGGTGCAAGAGGAGGACATAGGAATACATTTAACGAAAATTCTGAAAAAACTACATATATTGGATTAGTTAATCATTTACAGAAAAATGTAAGTCTGATAAACTTAATTAAGCAAGTACAAAAATGACTAACTGAAAATTTTGTTTGTTTTCATAGGAAAATCTCCCTGTAGTCATTTTCACATTTTCCAGAAACAGGTGCGACCAGTATGCTCAATTGATGAGCAGTGTTGATTTATGTACTGGACAGCAGAAAGCAGAAATTCATGGATTTTTCATGAAGAGCATTTCTCGGTTAAAAGGTTCCGATCGAGATCTTCCCCAGGTCATTTATTCGGCATTGCATTTATGCATACATATAGTTTGTGCAACATGTGACTGAAATATTTCCTGTTTTCCTATAGGTAAGGGCTTTCCATGAAATGTTAAAAAACGGAATTGGAGTTCATCACAGCGGAATTTTGCCAATCCTAAAAGAAGTTGTTGAGATGTTGTTCCAAAAAAATTTGGTCAAGGTAGAATGGACAATAATAATTAGATAATGGTTAGGAAAAGTGCAAGCATTCCTTTATAAATTTCAATTATACGGTCTTTTTTTAGCTACTCTTTGCCACTGAAACATTCGCAATGGGAGTTAATATGCCTGCACGAACAGGTTAGGACTCGATTTTAATAAACACCATATTTTATAAGACTTCATGTTCTAAATAGAAAGTTAAAATTTTGCAATTTCATAACTTTCCAGTTGTGTTTGACTCCATTCGTAAACATGATGGCACTGGTTTTCGAACCCTTTTGCCTGCAGAATATATCCAAATGGCTGGAAGAGCTGGTCGCAGAGGCTTAGATACAACTGGAACTGTGATTATCTTGTGCAAACAGAACATTCCAGAAATAACAGAGCTTACTAACATGATGACTGGTAAAGCTGCAAAATTGGAGTCTCAGTTCCGGTTGACCTACAGCATGATTTTGAATCTTCTACGGGTGGAGAGCTTGACTGTTGAAGATGTCATGAAGCGAAGTTTTCTGGAAGCCACTGCGCGAATGAAAGTTGACTCTTTAAAAGAAAAGCTACATGTTGTTCAAAAGCGAGTAGGTGAACTTGAATGGAATCACACATTTGACGAGTACCTTAAAAACTTTTACAATGATGCTAAAAATTGTATAAGTGTTCGCGAAACATTAATTGTGAGACATCATAAATACATGTACGTGGGTTCCACAATACGTTATTTTATTAATATATTTTATACCGATTACAGCCATTCTTGAAAAATCATACGAGAAATGATATGTTGGTGCCGGGACGAATAGTTGTTGTGGAGCAATTGCCAAAGTATAATGCTCGTTTTGGTGTAATCCTTGATACAATTCCTCAAAAATCCAATCCACCAAACAGACTTAAAGTATTAATTCTAACATCGGAAAGTGATGGCAAGTCGTTCCAAGCACAAGGGTTCGAAGACAACGGCGCTATCATAGATGAACAGTTGAAAGGCGTTGAAGAAATTAATCAAAATTTTGATGTTCATTTTGGACAGATGCTCTACTTTTCTTACACTGATTTAGTTAATTTCAAGCCAGAACTTAACGATATAGGATATTACCCGCACTCAGTGATTGAAGTTGAGTATCAGCAAGTTCTAGAATTGTGTAGTAAACAGATTCGAGTCGATTCTGATACTATAATTAACAATATTAAATGCCGGGAGCAATCGCGATTTGCGTAAGTACAGAAATGTTAATTTATAATGGTTACAATTATAAGTTGTAATATTCAAGTAATATTTCAAGTAATATTAATGTTGAAAATAAATATCTCCAATTGCAGGAGCAACCTTCCACCCCCAAATGTTAAAAAAGCTTTAGAAGACTTAGCTGATATGAATTTCTCTCCACAAGATGTGACTTTAATCCCTGCAAATCAAAGGGTTGTAGCAACTCGGGATATGAATTTAATTCTGGAGCTTCAAAGATTTGAAGAGAGTAAAATTTTACTCAAGCACAATAATATTTCGAGTAAAGAGATATTTAAAACGAAGGTACTGAAACCCTTTTAACGGTTGCGCCATCTAAAATATTTTTAACTTATAATACGTGTAACTGTGTTTTTTCAGTTCCTCGAGGTGTTTTCCTTTATGAAAGTAAAGGACACTTTGGAGATGCTAGAGTATTTATTGTCTCCACGAAGTCTCCGCCTTCATGAGGATTATCAGTCCAGAATACAAGTGCTCAGAAAACTAGGATATATTGACAGTGACAATTTAGGTTGAAATTCTCTTATTATTTCTTTGAAGTTATAAGAGTTATTCTAATTAACTTAATAATGCTTTTATTTTTTGCGACTCTTCCAGTTCAAATGAAAGGTCGCGTGGCATGCGAGATGGGCAATCAAAATGAACTTATGGTTACAGAGATGGTATATATCTTTATATGTTTAGATTTTGACCCTAATTCACCTTAAATAAATTGTTTAATTGGTTTGTTCAATAGGTATTGAATAATATGTTCGCAACGGCACCTCCTGCTGAAGTCGCAGCTATTCTGTCTTGTCTGGTTTTTGAGGCAAAAAAGGTCGAGGAGCCGAAATTGGACGACGAACCAGATTTAAAACGGGTGTGTTTAATTTTATACTATTATTTTATGTATAACTATGTGTAAATAATGACATTTCCATCCATTTAGCGTGTTGAAGAGGTAAAGAATTTGGCTCGTGGAATTGGAATAGCTCAAGTAGAATGTGGTATTAAAGAGCCAGCAGAGCAGTATGTTGAACAGTTTCGTTTTGGATTGGCTGAAGTAGTTCATGAATGGGCGAAGGGCAAGGTAATTAGAGATAATAATGTGACATGTTATAGGTATATATTCCTAGCCTGTGTGACACAAGTTGTGTCATATATGTACATATATAATTAATTATCTTCAAATGTACTAGAGCTTCTGTGATATAATGAAACTGACCGACGTCCAAGAAGGCCTTATTGTTCGTACAATTCAAAGATTAGATGAAATGATTCGCGATGTGAAAGACGCTGCTCGAATCATTGGAGATCCATCTTTAAAAAAGAAAATGGAAGAATCCTCCGAGTCGATCAAGCGTGATATCGTTTTTGCCGCAAGTTTGTATACACAGTAGCATAGAATAGATTATCTTATTTCCTAAGTTTGCTGAAAATACCAAGTTATATTATTTATATATATAATATCTTGTCGGTCCTGTGATGTACCTCTAAATTTGTTTGGTTGTTTTACAATGAGAACGTTGTTGTACTTACGTAATAAATGTTTATTCCTAAGTTGTATATGAAATAATTATAATCAATCAACATATATATGTTGATTGATACAAATAATGCATAATGGAGACATAACCGTACCATGTCTTTGCCGTCTCTCCTTGCACGTAGGCTAGTTTTGAGCAGTTATTGTTGGATTATTACTAAGTACAAATTAACATCAATATTTAGTGTTACTCCATTGAAATGAAATGTATGCATCGAGAAAGCGTCCAACGAACCAGATTTCATTGCATCAATGCGATATGATGAAAGCAACTGGCTGTGCGCAACATGAGTTCTATTTTTACTTCACTGCATTTCATAGTAAATACTTGTGTGTGTTAGTTAGTTATGAATTGACGGTTCTAAATTAACTGGGACCATTTATATAATCATAAAATCAATTGACGTGAGTTGATTCCAGTTAAAACCAAGTGAACACAAAATCATTCTCGTCAGTTCATCGTGACATCGTCTGCTTCCTGGTAGTTGTATAAAGTTGATAGTTTTCTCAGAATACTGGCAAAGCCCACCTATAATTTTAAGAATTTTCGATAACTCCACCATCAGATCAGACATTGTACGTCAGAATGGTTCCTGACACGCCAACTATTTCATGTAACTCCACTCAAACACAACACACAATACAAATGAAGCGTCGATTAGAATGCATCCCGATTTTACATGTGCGAGGGACTCACTACAATATTGGGAGAGCAATTGTAAGATGATCATAACAATTTCCGTAAATACTTGAAGGTTAAGTTTTGTAGTATTTGTAAATCAAAAACTCAGTGACTAAACATGTTTGAATACAGGGACAAACATTCAAATCTATGATTCAAGAAATGCTCGATTCATGGCCTTACTTTAACGATCACATCATGAAGTGTTTCCTGCAAGAGGATGGCAAACGCATCTACGAAAATTCTCTGAAACTCTGTAAGGCAAAATTTCCTGATTTGGTTGACGAAATTAGGGGTATGGCTGATGGTTGTAATCTTCCTTTTGAGAAGGTAGTTTTATGTCACATGGAAGCTAATCCTAAGTATTGTTTGGTATTATTTAAGATGAGTAATGTGACTCTGTTTAGCTGTTTCTTCTTAACATTGACTCCATGATTACTGACAAGGACGAGAGTGTTGTCCCCATGCGTGGCGCTACCGGATGCACCAGCATAATTTGCAACAAGGAAGAAGTAAATATTTAATTCTTAGAGTAGTATTTATCAGATACTAAGTAGTTTCCTTGATACAATGCAACTCACTAAATTCTTTACAGGTGTTGCTTGGTCATACAGAAGATGCCATGTGCGAAATATTAAATAATTGCTACATTATATCCGCCGAAATCATGGATTCAAGTGGCCGTCTTATTGAAAAATTTACAACTTTCTCATGCAAGTGCTCAGTACCCAACAAATATCAATCAAGCTCATACATACACCTTGCAGCATAGCTTTTATTACTTAGAATCTTGTACAATTTTGATGAATACTAATTCGATTTGATATTCCAGACGCTGCACATTTGATGGGCTATACGATGGGGTTTAACGAGCATGGGATGGTCTATTCTGTCAACACGCTATTTCCGTCTATTCATAAGAATGGCACCCGTATGTATTATTGTTATTTATTGCATTTTTTAAGCTCGCTATGCACTGTTGACTGTAGCTTTAACTGCAAGGACATTTTATTAAATAATTGTCTGGATGAAGTTCAATAGTGCTGCCCTTGACTTTTTAGCTGTATTAGTAATTCGTTTTTTTTGTATTTAACATGCAGCCAGAGCATTTATTGCTCGAGCAATTCTTGGAGCTAAGAGCTTTGATTCCTTGTTGGACATTCTGAAAGACTGTGGACACGGTATTTCGGATGGAATGAGTCTAAACGTTCATTTTGCAAAGGATGAAGAACCACGAAGAATGTTTTACAATATTGAAGTCATGCCACCGTCACCGTCATCATCTGAAGAAATACCAGAGTCACTATTGTCAATCTTAACTGTCAATTCTGGAGAATCGTCGGTTCACTGCAACAAGTACGTCAATTGATACATAATATGCAAGATAACTTGCACTGGAAACTCTTCGCCTGAAAAAAATGCATGATAACCTTATTTTTGCAATTAACCTTCAGATATTTGCGGTTCAATGCCAAAGAACAGTCATTGCCAGTTGCTGTAAGCACTAATCGGCAACTAACCCTCGAAAGACATCCAGAGCCGTCTGGGTTATCAGACATAAAATTTATGCTAAGTGACCAAAGCGACAAGAATTTTCCAGTGTACATTTGTGATGAAATGCATACCAAGCTATCTCATATCAAAACTGTTGCAGTTGGTGAGTTGATCATAAAATTAAAAAACATAAAAATTTCGCTAATAAAAAACTGCTGACGATGTGATGACAGATACATATATAAATTTGCGTATATTGGAATATATGTGTATGTACACGGTTTTGGTTTTCTTAAAGGCGTCTTTGACATGATGGGAAAAACCTGGTCAATATATCTTGGAAAACCAACAGAATCTGAACCAGTAGCTGTATTACCTTTGAATTTCTAACCCAAGTATTTTCATTTAAAGTTTTCATACTCATTTATGTATTTAAGGTCAACGCCAATTGCACAATTTAAGCTTTTTATAGTATGTAATTTTACAAGAAATGATTACGAAGTCAAGAAATAAATCCCTGCTACTCAAAATCATATTAATCTGTGTAATTTCGCATTACATTATTACAGAATTGGCAAAACTTTCCAGTAAAATCAAGCACGAGATGATAGTTAAATATGTGTGTGACATGAATTATTTGGGGACCGTAAACATTGGAAAATCTACGCTGCATAAGTATGGAACTTATGTATTTACATTTGTCTGTACTCTGTTGTATTTAGCTCTCTTTGTCTACCTGGTGCTGCGTGCATAATATACTAAGAAAAATTACACATACAGCATATAGTGTGTTTGGGTTTTGCAATGGTTTTGCACGTGCGAATGCAGTTTTAGGCCTTTTAAGATGGCCTTATAGATTTGTCAGGATGTCTGTCTGTCCGTCCGTCTGTCTGTACGCACGATAACTCTCTTTAAACACGTTCTATCGATTTGAAATTTTGTACACTTGATCTTCGGGTAAAAAGTAAGGACGAGTTCGAAGATGGGCATGATCGGTCAAGTGGTTGGCCGGTGGGGGTCTTTTCCACCCAAATGTGTTGCCATTAACTACCAAGATGGATTAATGTCATCTTAAAAGGCCCCGCAAAGTTGCTTGGGGTAGGTTTTTTGTATGGATGCGTCTCTTCCATGAAGTTTGGCGACGAAGAACATTCTGTGTCGTTGTGAATGGGAAAATCGATATGGGTTTTACGTACTCTTCTACTCTCTTGGTTAGACAGTTGTTACGTGCCCATAGTTAAATATGTACACATTTGTTATTGGTTTAATAATAACGTATATAACCTTCCTCACCATTATTTAACGATCATTTAAGTGTTGATCCTCCATCTGCAGCTGACTCAGACGCTGTTTCATACAAATTCGTTTTCTGAGTAATATTGTTTATCCCAACCTTTTAGTCAGTCTAAAATCGTTTAAAAGACACTGTACCCTGCCTGAGTTTCACCATTCGTGACTTTTACTACTTCTCTCATACATTTGTTTCTAACCTGTCGGAAAAAATAGTGAAAAGATATCATGTTCGTCTTCCTGGTAATTGCGACCCTTAACATCATCTGCAACGGTCAGCCCATGAAGGGCGATCCAATGGAAGTGGGGAACTTGAAGTACACCTTTGGCACTAATGGTACACAAACTTAAATCATAAGAGTTATAGAGGTATACAATACTTAGCATCGAAATTCAATTAAATTTGTCTCAATTTTTGTGTAGAAGAGATTCCGGCCGCATTTCTTGACAATTCTGAAACCCGTGGGGACGGTCAAAGGTTCCAACCAGCTTGCCAGGATGGGAGTGGAGGAATTTGCGTGACTTTGGGAGACTGTCCTCCAGCGCTTCGACCAGCCTCGAACAATACAAACGCATGCCCTCCCGGTTTAGAATGTTGTTTTGGACGTAAGGGTTTTTCAAAATTATCAAAATTATCACGAACAATTTATTTATATGTGTGTATGATATCTTGATCTATTACTTTAGCTGCAGAAAATGATAGAGCTTGTCGAAGTCGAGGTGGAGAGTGCACTTCGACGGAGAGATGCGGAAAAGCTCCAGTTTTCAGAGAAGCAAATGACTGTGCAGCAGGAGAAGTGTGTTGCATTTTCCTCTGATTTGTGATAATTTACCTGCAAAAGATGATACCAAAGTGTAATGCCTTAACGTGGGACTATCGGATTCCAAAACCAATTTAATTTATTCACTCCTTATTTATTTTACCTTACGTTACTTTCGCAAAATTTATTATTGTTCAATATTTCAATTAACTTGTGTTACAAGTTGTGTTGTTTGTTTTTACGATTTGAGACAATGAATTCCCAGCAGCTTTATTGTGATGCAAATTTTTCATGCAAATTTTTTAAAGCTTTAGACCAACCTGTTTATATTTTGAATAGGGTACGTATACATACAATAAATATGTCATCGATACATAAATGCATAATAAAAAGGTATAAAAGATTGTGTTCGTAGGGTACAACTCGCCTTGTGTCTATCTATCTATTTAGTTAGTATGGAAAATAGAGGAGAATTAAATAACAAGACGACGAGATTGACGTTCTAAAGAGTGCACTACATCTTATTCTTCTTGTACATAAATACATACGTGTACACGTATGCATTCACGACGTTTGATGTAATTCATTTGATTTCGCGTTGTTGTGAAATAGCTGAAGGACATGAATTTTTGATGAATTATTATCACTGAGCTTATTAAATGGCATATAATATTCCCACGTATGAACATTTGTAATGCATTCATTAGCATAAAATATCCTTCAAAATTCCCTGCAGCATATTTCCAGGGTCAAGCATGACCCAAGCTCTTTTGATTCTGGCTGGCTGGCTCTGTACGTACGTACAGTTGCCAAGAACGCAAAGTAACCGGTCTCGAAATCCTCGGGCCCTTTCTATTATTTTTTCTTCTTGACAATTATTTTCTGCCTTTTGGCCATCTTCTTCACTCGTTTGTTCCTTTCGATGATCAGCACCACCCTCGTCCGCGCTGTTGTCCTTTTGTGTTTAAGCACCACAAAAAGCAAACGGCCGACTTGGTGGAATTGTGGATGCGATCAAATTACTGTGTGATACAATGGCTCTGCATATGACATACGTGTACAACACACCTCGATCTCGATTCACACTTCAATGCTTTTCAATTCCAATTTAAACCCTCAAAGTTATTTATTGTTATTTCATGTTTTATATGTAAAGTAAAAACCTTGCTGGTCCCCTGTTGTACCGTGGACAAAGGAACCCATTTCGTTTACGTGCCGCTTTTTGTTTATAAAAGTAACGTATGAATTTAACATTCGCAGATTTGCAGCCACGCAGAATAAACATATGTAAATATGTACATTCCGTCAAAGACATATATAAATTATAGCGATCCTTTATAGTGGACTGGACACTGCACCGTGTTACGGTTACCATTTCGAATTCTACCATTTCTTTCAATTTTTCCCCAGTCTGGTGTCCAGTCCAGTTCTTATGTATACAAGTCTAGCTGGTTTTTTAAGTGTGGGGTGGTACAAGGCCGCGTTTGTAAATGCTTTCTCCACTCTGAAATGACTTGAAATGAGCCAACACCATATATAGTTTGTTGGGTTTGGTATTCTCAAATCAGCTCGTAACGACCAAGAGCAATTTGTGGTTTGCGGAGGTATGTATGTATATGGAATTCGCTGCACATACATCTGATTTGATATTTCAAACGTAATATTTGAGATTTATATCAATCTCCAGGCTATAATTTTAAGTTTGTATTATTGCATTTGTGTTTTATTGCGACCATTTGCTGTCGTGGCATATGGTTCCTGCCCTTGGGCATTCTTGACTCTCAAATTGGAGTGAGTAGGTAGGTGAGAGTCATCGCGGAATTAGGATTTAGAAGTTATCAGTGGACACGAAGAGGTATACAACAAAGTGTCAGATACAATCTGAACACAACAATCTTGTCTCATCCGTAATAACCTCAACCTTAATTTCCTGCTCGCTCTGGTGTGTTGATATCATTTTAACAGGTATTCAGCATTCTGCTCCGACAGAAAGGGTGTGCATGCATGTAGTGCTAAAAACGCATGGCTTAAAATAGTAATGTTCATTTATCTTTACAAAGCTACAAACTTTAAAGATAAATAAATGTTCAATGAGAAAACCAACGGGGGAGATAAACGTAACACAAATTTAAGTCAATAATGTCATTGAATACGTAACGTGTTCCTATGAACAAAATTTAAACATGAAAACTTAAAATTTAAACATGTTTATTTTGAAAAATTCATACATTCACAACAATTAATAATATCCCTCTAATTAGTGACAAAATTTAGACCTCGTTTAACAATATTAATTTAGCTTTCTCCAACTGATTTGTAAGCCCAGTGTGAGGTACCCTGTTCCTGATTCAAATTCCTGAAATTTTCATCATCCTTGTGGCGGCGAGGCATGGTAAATGTGACAAATTTCGATTCTTTCCTCACAATTTTAAAAAAACCTGCGTTCCACCAGGCAATAATTTGGTCATTATTATCAGTTTATTTCTAGTTTGGTAGAAACATGTCACCTACATATATATCAAAATATCAGCCTCGCACAGTAACTACGAGTGCGTACACTCCGTACAGTGAATCAAGGAATACAATTTTGGGAGGAAGGTGTTGGACTTTATTGAAGGAAGTTTTGTAAAAGTACGGAAAGTAAAATTTTATAAAAAAGAATTAATCTTCAGTAAAGCTGCGTCGGAGATTTTAGTAATAAGTAACGCACACTATGCATTTATTTATGTATTTAAATATATACCTCATCAATAGCAACCACGACCACTGCCCAAAATCATTCCAACATGAGTGAGTGGCATTCGATGAGATTTTCTTCCTCCTGGCCTTCCAAATGAAGTGTCAAATTACACCCCTTAAGGCCCAATGCCAGACACATTAGATCCCTGCCACAGCTCACAAGACGCTTGCAGCGAATAGTATAAATTTCTCTGACAGACAAAGTATTAATTACTACCCGATGGCAACGAATTACAAAAGGTTTGCTCGCTCCGTACTTGAATTACGGATCAGAATGACGTTTTCGTATCAAAGCAAAAATTAAACCCCTTCGGGGAACCCACAACGTTCCAACAATTTCTTTCCATACATATCAAGCAATGGCTGATGGCAAATATAAGGCTGCAACGAAACGAATTTATTTGAAACAATTGTTCTCAATCGTAAATCACATACAAATACGACAAAGCAGACAATGTTGTTTGTGAACTAATATAAAATCAACTTTCTCTATTTATCAACTGGAAATAGCGCACAAATTGAATTAATTTGTGTATGCAATACAAGTACTTTTGACTCATTAATGTCAAGAAATATTGCCCTACCAATTGAATTTAAAATTTGCCCAGAAGTCATAAATTCCTAGTTCGACCATTCCAATTAAAAATGACTCGGCATTATCATTTGGCATGAATCAGCTCCTTGAATTGAACGCTTGCATTGTGCATGGTTAGAGAGAAAGAGCTCGTCTCGGAACTCGTTTTCGCCTCACAACTTTAAACCAACTAATAACTTTTGAGGTTTAACGTGACGTTACTTGGCAAGCAAGATGAGCAGTAAGTAAGCACTTGTACTCACTTGCTACTCAAATCTGACTGAGTTTAATGGATGGAAACTGATCTGATTTACAAAGGTAAAACTTCTTGCATTATTGACAGACAAACTTGACTTTTGACTTTGCACAGAGCTTCTGTTGGGAGATGTGCATGGATTTCAATAAATTAAACTCTGCCACGACGAGCCCGACAGCAAACGAAGCAAACGAAGGTCTCATTAGTGTCATTAAAAAAAGGAAGCTTGAACCGCAGCAATTGAGCAACCATTTAGCGCCCCAAGCTAAGCGACTACTCCGTAATTTTGTGTGCAAATCAGGACAAGACAGAAGCAAAAGTCATCTGCTCGCCCGCACCAATGCAGTGCGCCATACATGCATTCGGACGGACGGACGTATTCAAATATCCAATGACCAGTAATTAGCTTTAAATTTTTATGCAGTCCCAAACCAGCCTTTTATTGTCCTACGGCTACAAATAAGTAAAAGTTGAACAAAGCAATGAAATGCTTTTGTATTTCCAATTCACTATTAAAACATGAGGTATTGTTGATATCGTTAATAAGCAAGCTGCCCATGCAGAGTCGCTTGGCTTGGACGTACCAGTAGTGGCCACAAGCTATGACTCCGTCGCAAACTTCTCTCTCATTCATGAGCCAAAACATTTGAAAAGGCATGAAAATCGTCGTCCCTTGTTTATTTATTTTTAATTAACTTTGGTTGGTTGATAAATGTGGGTTTTTGTACATGTATTAAATACGTAAGGGTGGTAGCATTACTCGGTGGGATTAAAATCCATATTGCTTGTTCATATTGTGGGTGGCCGTGGATGGATATACATGTACATACGCCACATAATTCATTCATTCGTCCAGTGTTATGCTATGAAAAGCAAGTTTGCTGTAAACAAAGCATGTTGCACAATTGGCAAACGTGGATAGAGCCTCGTCTACAATCAAGAATGAATATAATAATATTGCATATGATCTCAGCGATAAACCCTTAATATCGATGTATGTATGCATTAAAATTACTGGAGTAGTTAAGGAAGAGAGCCGTTAACTGAGAGACGGAACTATCAACGTGATGAACGAATTTGAAATATTTTGCTAGCTTATGCAGTACTGCATAATTTGACATGTTTTGTGACATCGAAACAAGCTCTTGTAAATATGTACTCAACGGTCAAATCTAGAAATTTGAACCTCACGGCTAAATAGATGTTATCTGGTGTCCATATGTTTGCGTGGGTGTCAGACCTGTAATTTATCCCTTTGTGGAGTGAAGTGTAGTTCCTTGTCCGTGTGGTGTTGAGAAATATATTTCTTAGCAAATCTCGATGAAATAGCTTTTAGCTTTAAGGCATGTAACTATTACAAACCTTAATTTTAAACCATGCAGGAAATTTTGGCTGGGCATGACCAACTTTGTCGAATAAAACTGCGCGTCAAAAATCCCTTCAAACCTTGGGTCGCATGTATGTGTGTAAGTAAGCACTGTCAAAGAAATCATTGGTTCTGCATTTGCTTTGCCAAACATTTGTAAATTCTCCCTTTTTGAAGGTTTATGCGTTGGTGTTTAAATATGCCTACAGCAATGCATGTGAGAAATACGAGTATTCATTTTTTTCACTTTAGCGTCATACAAATACTGTCCACCATTGATTGGTGAATGAATATTCTATGAAATTGTGTGAATTATTTAATGTTTGCCATATCTGACTTGCCAAAGCTCTCACCTTCCCACTCGATCCATGTAGCTTTTCTTCTGCTTCAATTGTTGTGGAATAAATTCGGGCTTGCTTGCAATACATAAAATCCAAGGTCTCAATGAGTTTCAGGCGACTTCTACCAGGTTTTCCCTTCGCCTTGGGGTACGCTTATCCACATCATCTGGGTATATAGCTCGCCTAGTTTTATGCAATTGTATGTTATTTTCCATTCCATTTCATGACCACTACATCCGAATGATGTGATAAGTATAATATGTAACTGATGCCAAGTTTATAGAATTGTTTGGCGCAGTTTTATCTGAAAAAGTAGAAGCAATTCTCCCACCTTCCTCTATATTTATTTGTAGAGTTCTAATTGATGAGGTTTACTGATGTGAACTACCTATTACCCTTCAATGACTTATTACATGATCTACGAATAAGTGTTAGTGCAAAATTGTGCACTTTACCAATCTGCAGGTCCAACTAAATATGCACTCAACGATTTATTTGACACGATTTAAAGTCAGTTCTATTTACCCATCACTTTCTTATGTGTTAGCAAAAGAAGTGCTAAACATGCTAAAGACTCTGCAGATAAATATAGTTAAGTGGTTGTACTATTTAAACAACTATGTACATATATGTATATAGTCCACTCGCAGATATTTTTGGGGTGACCTAAACATGTTACAAAAATTTATTCAATGATTTTTATATTAGTATGCATACTCTATTTTCAAATGTCATGCATTTTACGCCAAGCTTTGACTCCAACTTGGAGTCTCCAAGTGATACCAGAGCTCTGGTATTTCTCTGCAGAGAAATATTCAAGTTGCCTACTCGTAATTCTCGCATGTGTGTAATTGTAATACACCTATATGCACATATTGCTTATACATACAGATATTTATTAGGAGATTGACATTAGTTGCTATATACCTTCTCATCTTCCACTCCTTACGAAGTACAGCACGGAACAAAGAGCAACGATGAGGTTATTATTATTATAATACATATAGTATTTTGTTGAACTGTTTTGTGTACAATGGACCTCTTCCACTTTGGCTCTGGCAGTTGCCCCCGGCTCATAAGAGGCTGCATTATTAACCAACTTTGCCTCCAACCAAAAAGAAACGCATTTACTCTCATCTCGTCGTCATCAGCATCCGTTGCCAGAAGGGATTTCTGCTCCGCTTTCAACCTCCTCTTTCAAATAGCAATTTCATCCTGCACTATCTCGCAATTGTATACTTCGTTGGTTAGCTCGTACTCGGTGCTGTCCATAGAAGCAGAACACGTCGCCCGTGCGAGGGGGGTGGCAGACTGTGTTGAAACTATCGCCGCACTACTTCTTACCTTTAGTTGGCCAGCGAAACCGTGATAGTTCATTATTTATGACGGCATATGTGCGTTATATGCACATAGGTGAGAAGTAACGGGTATCCCAAATGTCGGATTAAATTACCATACATACACTATATCGGTAAAAATATCCATTACTCTGGAAAAGGGTTACGTTTTATAGTAAAAAATACCAACTGATTGGAAATAATACGCTGAAATAGAGTGAAACAAAAAAGACACCTGAGAAGCAACCGAGAGCCGCGACACACGAGATCCTCTCCTCAAACTAATTAGCCAGATCTCATCAATTAGCCCTCTCACCTGTGTTTAAAAAAGTTGACGCAAATGCAATTTTCAATTCTAATTAATATATAATTCATTGCAAACTGGGCAAATAGCCCAGCACTCGTGTAAAAAAGCAGGTTTTTGTTGGAGGATGTGTATCTGGGTCCACATTATATTATAAAACGAGGCAAGTCGAGATTAACCAAGCGAAACAGCACCACCACTTTAAGCCGAGAGCACTTTTTCTCCTCTTTCTCCCCGTCTGCTCACCATTTGGTCTCTGAGCTCACGTCCGTGAGGATCGCTTGGCTCGCGTTGGATCGTCTCAAAGTCTCAAGCTGCCCAAGGTACTCGGAATCTTCAAGTTTAATTGGACATCTAATACCATTTAAGGTAATTGCATTTGCAAAATATGGTACGCATTTGACACGCTTATTCAAAGTCAGTTGGTTGAAACGGCTCATGATTAATAAGATAACGAAATATAATCCGTCTGTTTCATTTTCATTGCAGGGAATGTTTCCAAATTCTTGACTACTATTTCCTAAATACTACTAAAATTGACAGGCTAAGCTTCCAGAGAAGAAGATATCCTTTAAAAATCAAGCGGAAACGTTCAAAATTGGAAGACTAAAAAAGAGAAAGTCGAACTGCTCCTCTGTCCCGAGTTGGGCATTGTACGGGGTCAAAATTGAGAATCCACTGAATCTCTGCAAGTCTGCCCGGATGGACAGGAAGCCGATCATTCCAAAGCCAATTGTGATGGAGTCGTCTCCAGTCTGTCCCAAGCGGTGAGTTTCTATCTCGCTCTCTCACTTTTGATTAAGTGTTATATGCAGGATTTACATAGTTTGAGTGTTTTTTGGTATAAATATCTCCACAAAATCGTTTGTTTAGACTCCTCGGATCAGTTTTTATGAGCTTTACGTTAGTTTTTATGAGTTGGATCAACATTCAGTCAAGGTGGCATTGGGTTAGGTGTGTAATTACCAATAATCTTGCTCTCGCAAACCCCTGTCAAAATCTTGCACGATTCTTCCATCCGCTGTCTTTGCATTCAACACATCAGCTACGATTTTGAAAAGCTAATTGGAAAGGAGCCCAATAGTGGCCCTTTGGACTGATGGGAAAATTTAAAAGATGTTTGAGCTGCGAGTATTTTTTGCGTAAAACTCAATAACATTCGTCACGAATTTTATTAACCACTTTGATACTTACACATTCGAACTGTAAGCTGGCCGACCTTTTAATCAGACTGTTAAACAATGATCATATGTATGTATGCATCGTTCATTTTAATACGGCAATTTCACCCGTTTATAAATTCTTAACTTCCATAATGGTGCATTCGAGGCCACCTTTTCGGTTGTGTTATTTGCTTCGTGCCTTCAAAAATCTCCACGTTTCAAGATTTTTGAATAGATTTAAACAATGCAAAAGTTTACTTTGAATGAAACTCGTAAGTAAATAAAATCTAAATTCCACACTCAGCGCTATTTGTGTAGCTCTTTTATCGCATGTTCTTGGTGATATCGTCGTCCATCCTCCGGCTTCAGTTTGACAAGCCCCATGAGAAGAAATGCACAGGAAATATTGGCAGTTTCAATGAAGATAAAACAATAATTTTAAGAGATAAATGACAAATCTGTATATATTTGGTCATAATAATGCTTAGATTATTATACAGGCTACGCAAATCTTGAGGAAACAAATTCGTGCAAGTTGTTTGTGGGTCTCTTTATTGTCGAGTCTCTTAAAAGTGTTTGAGTCCACATGTAAGGTAAATCTCTGCGAGATAAAGGGATGCATACTTTTTATGGGAAAAGCACCGGAGGTTGACGAGTTGAGATAAAGAATTCAGCTCCTTCCTACTTACATATACGTACAGCATCGTGTGTCCCACTACTGCTCACTCTCACCATTACGATTATTATTGAACATATCTGATGAAGTTCTGGGTGGAAATGTCATTTTCAAAGAGTTATTTGATCTTGCTTCTGGGGCAGTTGTGGATGTTATCGTCTCCTGTTCCCTCGCGACCTCTCAGAAAACCTGTCCCATGTCCCCTTCATTCAAGTTAAAACTCTACAAGCTGTGACGTTATTACTCAAATGTAGAATAATAGTTTGGTAATAATATTTATACAGAATTTGTGCATGCATGACACCCCGAATAGCCACATACATACATATGTATGTAAGTACCTGCTGCACTTATGCTTGGATGCCAGAAGTCGACCAAATACTTGCTCGCTCAAACGAACAACTTAAAAATCCCTGTTTAAAACGATGGGAAGATGACCATGTTTGTTGGACATTAATTTTGTGGAATGCCACGAGCACATTCTCTGTTTGGTGGAGAGAGAGGGATGGGAAGATGTGTAGCCCAAAGGGCTCGGACCACGGGACACAGAAAAGTTTTAGAGTCGTGTATTATGGGCGACTATTTATACAAAGATTTTAGATTGAAAATGCAATAACGCATACGTCAGATATTTTTCCGTGTAAGCAACAATGGCAATGGAATTTATAGCCTCGAAACCAGAACGAAACCAAAGTGAAATTCAGCATGATCAGCAATACAATCCGAGAGTCTGTCTCAACCTGGAAGGCATCCTTTTTATCTTTTTACTGATTCCATTTGAAACCAAGGTATAAACTGGGGAAATACTAAACATATAAATATAAATGACTACATTCTCCCTTGTACCTACCCACTCACCTACATGACTGTGTATGTAATGCAATAATAAAAGGATGGGCGATATGGGCGGGCAAAAAGGAGACACCAACAGTATAGCCACGTTCGCCATAAGACGACGGCCACAATTCCATTCCATTTCGTCAAATGCCCGGGGGTTCTACTTCCGGGCATTTTCAGAGATCTCTCTCCCATCCAATTCATCTATGCATAGAGACCCCTCGTCCTCTCGTCTCCTCGTGTGTGTGCATCTGTCTAAGGTAGTCGATATATGTGCGGAGGATTTCATCGAATGTAGATAGAGGGAGAGAGAATCCGAATTTGGCCTCTTTGTCCCTCGGCCCTTTTCTGTAATAATAAACTCCAACAACCAACCAAACTCATCTGCACTCCGAGGCAATCTATTCCATCATCCAACACTGCCTCTTGGCTTAAGATTAGTTAGAAGGCTTTCTCTCGCACTCTCTCCCTCTCTTCTCTCCATGCTTTGCTTACGCCTCTCCAACGACGCCGCTGTCATGTGTTGTGGTGCTTCAAAATGTTTATCGAATCTGCACTCCTGAGGTCATTCCATTTCAAACCGCCGTTGTCCATCATTAGGATGGAAATTATGTTTCGGCCACTTTGAAACTTGAAGTGGTTTTCCATACTTTTGGGAATATACACGGTCGACAAGAACTGCTGAACTTTGCTCTCCTACCGAATGTACACATTCCAATGTTTCAGGTTCATTCTCACTACGTGCATAGATTAAAATATGCAATGAGTGATTGAGTGCAAACACACTTGGTTTAGGAAAATACGACCCATTTACTTACTTCTTTGAATTGGTATTTGATATATGTCATTTATAGGTGCAGCTATATTAAAAATTGGTCATGCTCTGGTGCCGCAGTTAGTAAGGCATTAGGTAATCGAGGGGTATGAATGTGTGGGATGATTGTGAATTGTTTTTAGAACCGGATCATCATGCAAGGGCCACAGGAGAGTGTCCGGAAACTGAGTGGTGCTGCTGAGCCAAGCTATGTAAAAGAGCCTCGAGAAACTATGTATGTATGTATATAAAGTCTGTGATCTGACATAAGTCTCCAGTCCCAGATTCCAGAGAGAGTTCCAATGAGGCTTTTTCCGATGGAGTGCTCTGGGGCAAATGCTTCTGTTAGAAAACTATTGTGTATTTTGGGTGGTTTTGGTTTGGTAAAGTTTAGGAATCCCTGATGGAAATAGTTGTTCCAGCACTCAAAGTTTGAAATGTTCTGACATGTCTCGGAAACTGATCTCAAAATGTTGCTGTGATTAATGATCCAGCAGCACAGGAAAAACATGTGGTCATGGGACAACGTACATACATGCACCTATTTTTCAGCTGACTTATGTTGTCCTTCGTCAATCACACATTAAGACGTGTGCTAATTGAAGGTGTGGACTAATCCATGAAACGCTGGACTGCGTCTTGTTCCTTTTCATGCGAACATGGTGGCTGTTCCAGAAGTCATTGTACGTTGGACTGGCAGGGGTAATATGCAGGGAGGGAGGAGAAAGCGATGAGAGGAGTAAAATGAAAAGTTGCTTCAAAGAGAGAGAGAGAGGAGCTTCTCCGTTGCTGGAGGCTTTCTCTGCACATAATATAACAACATGCGAACCCACCTGCCTCCCAACGCAACACATTCTAATCTTGCCCGAGTTGACTTTTGAGGGAAAGTTCCTCTTTAAGAGCTTTCCAATTTACTCCTGAGAATTAATTTTAAGTTATGTGTGTACACTCAAGTTGAAAGTCCAGAGGGTAGGGAGTGGATGTGACCAAATGAGTGAGTGTATGTGTGTACTCAGAAATTGAGGAAAGTGGAGGACAGAGTACCTGTTCAATTTCGCTTCTCTCTCACTCTCCTCGTCCTCCGGCAAAGATTCTACTCAAGTTCCAACTAAAAAATGAAGAAAAATACCCCATCCGTCCCCCAATTCTAATATGCAAGGATTAACTCAACTCATGCTGCGGCTTTTAGCATCACTTCATATCATGATCTGCTTACTTTCATTTTAATAACGTTCTTTGTTGAACTTGAGGTGTTTTTTCCATAGACCTTCGTCCTTGGTGGGGAAAGTTTGTCTCTCATAAGTAATTGGCTACCCTGCTGCAGGATGTTGCTCTATATTATATTACCTTTCTCTGTTGTGTGTATGTAGGGAAAAAATAGACCACGCTGCCACCGTCGAACCAATCCTCAAGAAAACAGTGGAGCTTTCTTGCTCAATGTTATTTTTTATTTCACAGACACTTGTCACCAACTGGGTCTCCCATCTCGCCAACGGGGCTGTCAAATTCATCTTCGTCCCCAACTCCGCCGGTGGCTGCTGCCTTAGCATTCTCCAACAACTCGAAAAATTCAGGAATCAAAAGCGGAAGTCCAATCATTCCAGGTTCATTTCATTATTTTTTACTATTACATATTATATTTCGTGTGGACTTAAGATATGGGGCGTTCATATATAAATAAAAATGCTTACGAGATAACAAATTATTGTTAGGAATCCCCTGCATCGCTGCAGCCTCTAAGAGCACTGCCCCTGTGCACATCGACGTAGGTAAGTATATTCCCACGTATGTAAATATATATATTTGCATAGTGTATTATAGATAAACATAGAATTGTGTCGCTCATGCAGGTGGCGTAATATACACCTCATCACTGGAAACACTAACGAGGTAAGTTAAGTCAAGACTCTAAAGACTCAACCCTTTAGCCTTTGAAAGAGCACTCGTTTTGCTGATATCGAAGATTTGCTACAATATATTTGTTGTTGGTACAATGCAATTTTTGAAAAAAACTGAACTTTTATAGCGTGCAATAATCATGCCTCAGAATCTCTGTCATATCATAATTTTTGTAATGTCCAATGTACTTGTCCAATTTTGGGTATAACATGAAAATATTTGTGCCTGCCTGCTGAATGATTACAATGAAATACAAATTTAGATTACAATTATTATGATGACCCGAGGGTAAGGTGGCACACCATTGCGAGTAATTTTTAATGTGGTAAGGACAAGTCGTTACTCCTGAGTATGCAGCACACAAAGTGTGTGGACCATTACATTTCCGTGCACATGCTTTGTTTTTCATATATAATTATTCTCGAATTGAGACTGGAACATTCATCACCAGCAAGAGAGAGAAGATGCAGAGAAAAATTGGGTGTTATACGTAAGTACCTATTCATACCATCATTAGACTGACGTTGTGGGTGACTTAATATGCATAATGTATGCGCTCATTGTAAACCCATAAGAATTTAGTAACATGACAGAGAGATTTGAAGATCTCGTCTGGTCATAGAGCTTCTCAGCTCAAAAGTTCATACGCGTGCATGTCTCATATTGGGAACAAGTACATTTTACACCGTCGTCGTCGTCTTGCAATCACGCTGCTTTTCCCTTTGAACAGAAATGATTTAGTTTAGTAATTGGACGGATATACGTATCTGGTGGTTGGTTGGTTGGTGGTGCATAGTCAGAGCAGTGGAAGAAGAAGAGCTCATTGTTAGAATTGTTGGAAAACTTGTGTTTGTAGCACCTCCGGGGTTTTGTCATTGGAAATTTATAGAGGGAGACGAGAAATGGCTGCAGGTCACTTTTGTACTTCTCGAACGAGCCAAGAAGTGCCTTCAAGTCAAATTTCAAAACTCGAGACAGTTTTCTGTTCTCGATTTGAAAATTATCATTACTCGCCTTAAGTCATCTGCTTTTCTATCCAAACTATTTAATTATATGACGACTTATTTTTAGGAACTATATTTCACAGTCATTCCAATTCACCTTTATCGCACAAATTATAGTCTGTCACAATTACTGAATGATAATATAATTTTGGTGACTGTGTATTATTCAAATTATTGCAAAGTTTTAATTGATAGTGAGGAAATCTTTGACAGCAATTTTATCAAATTGTTCTCAGACTAATCTATGCATAGTTTACTGTTTGATGATACATGCATGCATACATAAGTGACATACGTAAAAGCATTATTTGTGATTCAGAGCCCCAACTGTGTGGGAAAGATAAGGGATGATTTTTTTTCGTTTGGGAAAATTACGTACCTTTCCAGATTAGTTTTGAAAGGTGAAACATTGTGTAATGTGAAAGGTTGAGTTGTATGAGACGGACTTCACATCCAACCAAAGCCAAAAGCCAGAGGGCACAATACATGAAACTTCTTTCGCGACTTCATTTCTTATTACTTAAATTACTTAGGGCAATTCTATTTCACTGCTTACTCTTCTTCTTCTCGGAGAAGAGCTTATTTCTTTACATTTGTTTCTGGGATTTCTCATAAAAACTTGAAATTTGTGCTCTGGGGATTTTTACAAACTCGCAAACAATTCTTGTCCAATAAGGCAAACTTTTACAACAGAAAATCACAACACAATATAACACACACAAGTTATCGCGAAATGCACATGCTCAAGTATAGTAAAAATACATACAGAAATTATTTTGTGACGGCTCAATGTAACGTATAAGAAATTCCAATCGTATGTAAGCCTTGAAAATCATGGTATTTAAAGTAAACTAAAGGTCGTTATTTGGAGTAGCCAAAAGTAGTCCCCTCCAATCTCAAAACTGAACCCTTAAGGTGAATAAATCATTTGCAGCTTATCAGCCATCATGTCTTGAAGAGTTCACAGATTATGATGTCGGAAATTTATGAAATACTGAATTCGTACCTTTGTTCGTAACTTTTACTTTCCCCTTATGCACCGAAAATGGATAATGGATGGCTAGAGTTTTTCGAGTCGAGAGTGAGCAAAAGCTGTTTTTTAATATTAATTAGCCTGCAGGCTACCCTCCGTTTTTTGTCAGGAAATGACTTTTCTTAATGCCTTACTCCATGCCTGCCTGCTAAATCGAGTCATGAGCAAGTAGGGTAAGAACGTGAACGAACAAACTGCTACATACGTTAGGAACCAGTGTGATTAATTGTGTGAGGCCGACCTTGATGCTGAATCGAATTGGAGTCAAACTTTAATAGTCGACGGAATGAACTGAATAACATGGCTTTAGGTCATGCCCAGGCCGTTTTCAACGCGTAATACAAGTAGCTATGCAAATGAACAGAAACTTCATCACTGCTACTACTTCTCAATTATTCAACATCATAAACTGTGAAGCAAAATTATAGGTTGCGTGCTCATATACGTCTTATTTGACTCAAGAAAATATTTAACAATCAGGAGCACGTAAAAAATGCTCAATCTATTCATTTGTCAGCTATTACTTATTTACAAACTATTCTGAATTTATTTCTTCGTCGTTCAAATAACTGCATCTGCATGTAACTTGTTATAATTTGATTTCAGATTTGCAGACTCTCGACTGTCAAAGATGTTTAATGGAAGTATTCCAATTGTACTCGACAGCTTAAAACAACACTACTTTATTGACAGGTAAGAAGCTGATGCAGCAAGTCTGAGAATCTGAGTATAAGCCTTTCTGCTCATGCTGCCAAATGAATGCTTTTGCTATGTCCACTCTTTCAAAGTGGTCCTAGCTCCGGCCTACATAGGCAGAAAAGGTCAGACAGATGTCAACCATCGCGCTGTCACTATACTCAGACCAGCATCCAAGCCCCCTCCCCTTGCCACCCCCGAGATAGAAAGTATGCCCCTGGATAAGCTACGCTGTACAATGTTGATGATACTGTATACCCCTTCCGTAATTACGATAGTGAGGTAGTCGCAGGCTAAAAACTTGCGGGGAGATGGTTTCTGTCATTTTGCGAATGTGTGGTCCAATCTATTTAGTTCAATCTTAGCCTGCTTTCACTTGCTTTTCCCTTATAATTTGATACAGATTTTTAGATAGATTTATTCTGAGTATTTAAAACGTATACATCTATTTTTGTCACATTTTAATGTACAAATTTAATATTCTAGGGACGGGAAAATGTTCAGGTAATTCTTTACTGCCCTCTTATACATACCTAGATACATACATACATGTATAAAACTCCAACCAAAATTTTTACAAATTTCTATTCATTCTAGACACATCTTGAATTTCATGAGGACCAACAAGCTGCTAATCCCGTTGGATTTTCCATTCGTGGATCTACTGTATGAGGAGGCTACATACTTTGAAATAGAAGGTACTAATACCGTACATTGCAAAAGCATCGTAAAATCCCCCACTCCTCTAATTCTTCAAATAACTCATAATTTCTTTAGAAAAGTGTAAGTCGAGCAGAATGTTAGACTATATTCTTCTTGTAGCTTATCGTTAATGCCATATGTATGAAAGGGGAAGAAACAAGTATATCTCATCAGATAAAAATTACCTGAAACATTAAGATTTTTTGTAACCCTAATCAAACGAGAAAAAGTAATTACAAGTTGCACTAAAAAGAAATTAAGGCGCAGGAGAAATTAAGAACCTGGAAAAGTAAAAACTTTGCTGAAACATTCTCCAGAAATCTTTTTAAGGATAAGGCAACTCGAGTCACTTTTAAACCTTTTGATTACCCAGAATGCCTGAGGTCCGAAATCCGAAAAATATAATTAGTTCTCTCTTACACTCTAATTCCAGAGCTCTGCAGCCAACTGGAACAATTAAAGAAAGAACAGTCCTCTCTCGACGGCTCGCCATCCAACACCACCATCAAGTCTGTCAGCAGCAATAACAATTGCTCCAGTAATAATCATAACAGTCCCGTGCGAGATGAGCATGGTGGAACGAAGGGGAGTGGAAAGCTGAGTCGGCTGGGGAGGTTAACAAACCACTTTGTGGAGGAAATGATAACCGCGGATGATTCTGAAGATAACCAGCAGCAAGAGGGAAACTCTGGGGGTTTAGAATGGGAGGTCCTGGCGTTAAACATCAGTCCCGATTTGGGTGAGAGAGTGATGCTGTCCGGGGAAAGGTCGCTGATTGAGGAATCCTTCCCAGCCACGGGTATTTTTTCAAAATAATGACCCTAGTTTGCTGTTTCCATTCAGTAAGAACAACTTTTTCTCCTTGTCCAGGACATGCTGTGATGGATGCTCGAACCAGCGTGGCGTGGCATCACGATGCCCGCCATGTGATTAGATTCCCTCTCAACGGGTACTGCAAACTGAATTCGGTGCAAGCCATTACCCGCCTACTTAATATGGGATATCGCATAGCTGCCAGTCACGGAGGTGGTGTCGACAGTCAACAATTTTCAGAATATCTATTCATCCGCAAAGCCCTTCCAATGTAGTCACTTTATTCAGAACCCAGTTTTTGTTGCTGTTCTACTCTCATTCAATACATCGCTTCATCTGACGAATCATCAACTCTTGATCTCGTCAGAATTGTCTCACAATTGTTCATGTTATTAGGAGCTTACACAGAATTGACAAGATGCCTCACACAAAAACATCCATCTTTTTACGTTTGCATGTTCCAAAGTGAATTATCCGTGCATTTTTTTGACACAGTATTTCTTGTGTATTTAAATGCTGGATTATTTAGTTAGCAATCTTACTGTAGGAAGTTTTACAAATCTTAATCGCAACACTATTTTGTTGTGTTGCTGTACCTGTTATGCTGCTGCATTAGATATTTAGATACATGTTATAAGTTATTGCTTGCGATGTGTGCATGTTTTATCCGATAGTACACAAGTATTATAGTGTTTAAGCGTGAGTTAATTACATACGAAGTAAAAATTAACTATTTATATGTTGTAAGTTGATCTCGTGTTTCCTTCAGCTATGAAGACGTACATTTCATATTAATCATAACAATTTTACAATAAAATGTGCTAAATTTCTGCCGTAGCAATCTTAATAAAGATCATCAATTGCCAAGCTTGCTATATTTTCACTACTCTCAATTCTTTATGAAGCAAAATTTCACTATCGTCGTCCATCCATCGTTACACCTGCACCGGATTTTGAAGCTTAATTATGAATTTGGCCGGATATTGTAGCTGGGGGACGTAATAAGTTCACATTTACAATGTATAGTTGAGACGAGCCTTGGGGGGCTACAAAACTCTTTCATGAAGGCATTCTCATGCTTGTTCCACGCAGCCCTGGGCCGTTAGCACCCAGGCATTTGACGAATGTGAACGCCACAATTTTCTCTGCACAAAATGCCCCCGGAGAAAAGGCAATTGGATGTCGAAATGAACACAGGAAACGTGCTCTGGGCGAAGATTTTATCATTCAGAGGGTACAATTTCTATCTTTTAAACCATACATAGCAAGTGGATTTTTTAGTCTCAATTTCGACAACCGTTCTTATTTTGAAATATATTTTTCCAAGCATTGACCTCTGTCTGCATCCTATTTACAAGGTCGGCTACATGCAAAATATTTTAAAGTTTACGTATTTGAGGGGAAAGTATTACTTTCCAAGATTCAAGGGACTAGTAACATTTTTTAGACTGAAACATTGTGTGACGCCTTCCTCAAAGTAGGAGAAAGTTGGAGAAGGTTCACTGGAGAAAGTTGTGATTTTGTGAACCAAGAGGGCGTATTAGTGATAATGTGACTATTTGAAGTTAACATTCCAACGAAGTCTAGTTAGTGTTTGAATTACTGTTAAATTGCGTAATAGATCAATACTAACAATAAAAAATACGTGACTTTAACAAAAATGTCGAGCAATTTAATATGTTGTAATTAAATATGTATAATGTACAATCATTAATTCATTCAGTGGTTAGGTTAGCAGTATTATGTAAGTATATTGATAAGGGAATGGGAAAGTTTATCGCAAAATTCTCCGAATTTCATAAAGAAATAAAAGCCGTTATTACATTTGGGGCCAAATGACATAAATATGTCATTTGATAGTAGATACATATACATCGCCACATCGTACCACCTCTTGTAATTGACAGGTGGGCAAGTTAAGTTTGGTGAAAGCAGCATTTTTTCCATCAAGACCATATTTTCTTATTGCACTGGCAGAGAGTACCGTCGAAAACTTTCCTTCATGAATAATTTATTTCTGTATTGTGTTCTGGGTGAGTGGTTGACATTTATGTCGACAATCAAAGCTTGCTGTATAGGTTTCCGCGAAAGGAAAATAATATATGTGATTTAGCATCAGAAACCCGTTTGCTTACGTTGTTCAAACCTAACACTAAAACATATACTTATTTTCAAGTTGTATCAAACTTTTAATGCTATAACCTCAAATGGCCGATTCAATTTCAGCTGTAAACTTTTATATTCAATTAATACATATATTTCGTATTTATGTAACAATGATGTAAACACCTAAGTAGCCACGCGACAACATAGAAATCGACCTTGGATGCACATAGACCACACACATGTCCTCCATACACGGATATTAGCTATTGGACAGTAAGGAATAACTGATCGCAGGTTTAAATTGAATTTCACCCCGCTCCCAATGTAATCAAGTGGGCACGTGATTTTCGCGCGAAAATATCCTGCGATCATTTATTCCATAATGACCAATATGATGCGAAACTCTGTAATTGCGCACTTTCAAAGGTTTGGAGTTCACACAAACCTAATCCTATTGAACTCCATGATAAGCCCTGTATTTTGAGGCCCACCTTTAATGGATTATACTCGATCCCTTTGACGTACGTAGGTCCTCCCAGTTCTAAGCAGAAATAAAATAGCAGCCACACAATCGTCGTCGAAAATGTTGATAAAGATTATTACATTGTGTTTTAAAATGTTGGGTGAGTGTCATTTTTGGCGACAGAGATCAATAGAATGTAAATGCGTCTCGCCCATTGAATTCCGTTTTACAGCTCGAAGTATCCCTATAAATACATGCACACTGAATAATTCAGGTATGGTAGTCACAAAGTAAGCCAGTTTTAAAATGGGTGGAAAATATTGGAACAAAGATGTTGAGGATCTCTCTAGAAAAAGTTGATTCATTCAACTGTTAAACGGTGTCCTGTGGATAAAGCACATTTGCCTCTAATCTCTCGAGGACTCCTTTATCATGGCGAAAAACCCAAATTTTCGTCGAAATGGCATGATTCTGCATGAGCCTTCTTCTTCTCCTGAACAAACATTATCCACTTTTTTATCCACCTCATAGCCAATGCACAAGACGAGGAAGCAATCCAGGAGGGATGTACATATGGGAAATAAGTATATCTGAGATCGAGGGGTGGAGAAAGCACTGGGGAAAGCACGGGGTGTGTTGCTACATACAATCATACGTCCAATGCATAATTCACGAATTCTACCTGTCAACATGCTCAGCATGCGTTGGACGTGAGCACAAATAATATTTTAAGACTTATTCCATTCCGGAGGGAGAGAGCGGCGCATGATAAGATCGTCAGGTTCTATCTTATACATTCATTTTTTGATTATACACGTTTTTCTTCAACGATGATAAATTCTCTATTTTGAACTTTGAATAGGATTCACTCTCCTGGCTAGATTTATGTATTAATACATTACGAATGGTCTGCACCCCTCACAGATGCTTTTATGATTTAGTTTCTTTAGCCTCAGCTCCTTACCTTTTGTACATGCAGATAAATATGATCCAACCAAAGGTGAAATTTGAAAGCTATGATTAGTTGCCTACGTCGTGTAAGGCCATTCAGAGTGAAATACCGCTGCTGATTTAGGACGCCTATAGCACCGAGCGGCTTGGGAGGATTATACGTAGAACTAAAAGGGTTAAAATCCTGCCTTTATCCAACAGATATCATTCTGCAGATAACCAACAAGTCAAAAGTAACCAAAGTCGGCTTCAATTTTGTAATTCATATTTAATCTTCATGATTGCAACAGGCCTACACGCGAAATCTAGGCTGGCATACATATTCACGTGTACATACCTAAATATAGTAAGATTGAACTTGGAGTAGGGTACATAGGCTATTTCTAATTTAGATGTAAATTATAATCCTCGATTGTGAAGTCAAAATGTGTGGTGAAAGTGGCTGAGTGACTGTGGTGAGAGGGTGCAGAAACCTTTACACCAAAACTGATTAAGTAATCCTATGTCGGAACTCGAGAATATTTTAATCGAATTACTCGGGATTATTTTCTGTAAAAGTGCTTCGTAGCACACGTACACGGATAGATTTTTTTACCTACTCTAATTTGTGAGTTAATCCATAGCACACAATTGTTTAATTTGTTAAGATTCTTACCTCCAGCATTATGTAGAACCAAGTAAAGCATGATATCGCGAATTGGAGCGCATGTGTCTGGCTTGTGGCGTACATGGTTAGCTGCTTGCTGAAAGTGAATGGTGGGGAGAGGAACCGTTGGGAATCTGTCTCACCAGGACTTTGAAACACATATCTGAAAGCCCAGAGAAAGTGGAGACTCACTCCTCCGCTCCCTGGCTGAGCCGCATCAACTCCATCGTCTTCGTCTCAGCTCCTTCGTCAACGCTTGGGAAAAAGTGTTTGGAATTGAAACAAGTGGTTCAACTAAAGATAAACAGAAGCGAAACGTCGTAAAAAGTAGCGAAACCTTCATTTTACATTCCACCGCTTAACGTTTAATATTCAATCTATTTTTGTAATGCTTAAAGTGGTTTAACCAAAATATCCGGTTGGGGACCGGAAGTTGGAACAATTTGAGTTTGTAAATTTATGCCATTTGTGTAACTTGATTTTGTCGACAAGGGGGGACCTGTTTCATATCTAATTTCGTAAAGTGAATATTGTCTAAAGCAGGCTTAATGGAATCTCAACTTTCCCCTCCTGCTTTCTCTTGAGATTCAACTGACTGTGATACATATAAAGAAGGACACAAGTCTCCTCTGCCCTTGAAACCCCTGCATAAAATATTTATGCTCATTGGGATTACTTTCTAAGAGATTTTCTGTGTGCATTATGCAATATGGAGAGAAAACTGTAAACCCACAATAAAAATTGTACTCGAAGGCGAAGGAAATAAAGTGTTTTCTTCCAGCAGAATTGCACAATTTCAACGAAACGTGGAATGAAATAATACTGTGACAATTAAGCATGAAGATGATAACCATATCGCTGAACTGTAGTGTCACTCCGTGTGGAAACGTCACGTTTCAGCAACTGGGGGACTTGTACGAGAACCTCTACATTTATGACCGACTGCCAAATATGATTCTCATTGCCACGTACCTCCCACTTTTTCTAATTGCACTCACCAGCAACATTCTCATCATTGTGACTGTGAGTCGCTACAGGAGTTTGAGAAGGTTAGTATAATTAATTACGACATAAAGTGAGCTATATGTCATCTTGTGCGTAGCCAGGCTACATACTTCTTACTTGAACATATCTTATTTAACTTGTGAGGTAAAATAAACACAGTGCCAGGAGCAAGGTGTTGAATAATTTATAGAGTATCGGATATTCTACGTAGCACCGAGTTATCAACCCAACCGAGTGGTGCAAGCTTTTGGGGTAAATTTGCAAAGAGACGAGAATTTGTAGTCAAGCAGGAACCACACTTTCAGTGCTGGAACTGGATTTCAAGAGATAAATGTATGAAAACGAGGATGCATTACAATTTCATATGTATAATCATCTTTACATAACGTTGATATTTTTTCGCAATCATATGATAATTTTATTATTTGCGCGATATCTAGCATTGGCACCGTAATAATCCATATGAATATACGGAAAGATACAAGGTCTGCGTGTAATTCAAGCAGCGTTATGTGGGCTAATAATCAATGAGACTAGGAATTACTGTATGAATTAGTTTTTCGAAATGGCAAGTATTAATAAGCTGTTGAGACTAGAAACTATAAATACATGGATACACATGGTAATTTAATTTGGTGGCATTGCGTGGGACGGACTCATTTATAATTCGTTTGCCTAATCAAATACGGCTCGAAGTAATAGCGTCAACACTGTAGGTGTCGTTTACTAGATAAAGAAGGATGTATAGGAAGGAGGCACTTGAAAAACAAGTAGATATTATTTTCAACAAGACTTACTCGTGTTTAAAGAGTGAGGGAAAGCACCTTCCAAACCGTGCATGAGATATATGTACTTTTCTCGCGTGGACACTCAACAAACCTCGGAATTCGTTAATTGAATCGTGAATAATTAAGTTAGCATAAACATGGACCGGAAATTGTACGATATGCATACAATGTAAATGAGGGAAAACTCTGCAAGATTAACTCGAGTGAATGTAAGCCCAATTAATTTTAGGTAACCTTATGTAATGCTATTCATATATTAATTTGGTACTCTTCCAAAATTGCCCAAGAGATGTAATGTGTGTCGAAATCTAAACAAGCAACAGTCGCAATCTCAGTTTCTCCAATTTGAGTATTTACTTACATACGTAACATATGTAGGTAAATATTTCTACGAAAGTGCTTGTACCTATTTCTCCATACATATTATGTATGTATGGAGAAATTGGTGGCTATGTTGGAAACTGTTTCCGGAAGTCATCATCACGCTTGATGAAATTATAATTTGATGATGACATGAACTCTGGATCTGGCACTGATTTCCGGTTCTGATTTCTTTTTTTTTTCAGCGTCAGTAACTACTTCTTGGTGAGCTTGGCGGTGGCTGATGTGCTTATCACAATAATATGCATGCCCATGGCCACCTTACAAGCCGTTTACTCGTTATGGATTTACGGAGACCTAGCGTGCAAGTTTTCACATTATCTGAAAGGTAAGATATTATTACGTTTGATATTCTGGTGAGTATTATCACGGGTTGTTCATTCCACTTGCACTTCAATCGGTGTGCATACTGTCGTTATTATCTTTGGCTAAATCAAGACCAAGGGCGTCGTAACCTCTTATTATAGATATCATGTTAGCTCATTGTTACGGGTGTATGTACATAATCTGCTTCAAAATTACACGGAGCGTGAACTATGTACAAACTAAAAAAACAAAATACGAGCTATTATTTCGTAACAAATAGGAACGATTGTAAGAAAGTTTCTTTTTCACAACGATGCAACACCCTGAAAGACCATTTCGATAATAATCGAATTTCGTGTCAACTTTCAAGCTTGCAAATGGACTATTATGATTATGCTCAGGTGGAAAGGAACAATAATAAACATGATCGAATTATTGTTAATAGTATTTTCTGACGATTTTATGTATGATACAGAATAAAATGCATTTTGTTTAGTGAGGAACTTTCCAAACAATTTCAATTTCCATATATTAACTAATTCTATTTACTAACTTTGTTTAATTGGTTAAATTGATTTCAGGAGTGTCTGTAAGCGCCAGTGTTTTTACGATCACGGCAATGAGTATAGATCGCTATGTAAGTTAGAGTCCATTTTCTTGTAATAGATACATAATTACCTCCCTTTACGTAATTAGTTCAATTTATTTTAGATGGCAATACGTCACCCTATGAGGTATGTTTAATGTGCAATGAGGTATGTTTAAATTATATATTGGTAAGCTGGACATGGTAAAATTTCAATGAAGACACCAAACTCTTTAAGAACAAATCTTTGGATCAGCTCTCGTGATTGTGCGTCGAAATGAGAAGCAAATGTCTCTTTGTTGAGGGAATATGGATGAGTAAGCTTGAGCTCAGGGTGTAGGTGATTCCGTAATCGGAATAGGTAAGCCAAATACAAACTGACATGGAGGTGTGACTCCATCTTCTTCAAGTTAGTTGATCTGACTCCTTTTGCAACTGATGCGAGTGGAATTATTTTCACATTAAGGTTGAATTCCGTTTTATACTTGGATATGGTGTCACTTCCATTCGTTTCTGGGTGTAAATTTGAACCACTTACAGTCTGACCTCCATAAATTATTTTAGAGTCAGTTGCAATATACAGCGCACCATTATTTGCATCGATTAAGTCTAAAAATGTTTCTAGTGGCTTTGCTCTCCGACCAAATGGAAATTCAATCTTCTTACTTTCACTTTTCTTTGCCAGCATCATCGTGAGGCGCAACTCAAGTCCTACTCGTCTCAATTCTTCTTTCAATTCTCGTTCAAGTCCAATAGCTAATGAGATTGAGGTGGAATGATACTGCAGGGTGGGGTTTCGAAGCATTTGAAACAGGAACGCCGTCTGCCAAACGGATAACGTTTTTTCAGCATCTTCTTTATTATCAAAAATTAATCTTCTCTGTTCTTGTCCTTTTGGTTTTGTGATGCAGGTTATGCGCATCTTCAAATGTTGTTCTTTCTGTTCATCAGCATAAGCGAATGAAAGAAACAGATGCGCCATGCCAGTAATTACTCCATTAACGACTGTCCCATATTCAATAACACAGAATCCGGTGTTGGGGCCCTTGTGGTTCAAGCAAGTCGGTCGTTGCTCATCAACTTTTGTTCCACTACTAGAACGACACCCTAAAATTATAAATGGATTTTAGACATCATTATCCGTGGTTATATCGTATTATCCCTTGATTGTTGTTACCTAGATATGTACAAATCGGAGGATAAGACCAGTTACCACCTCCAGTAGTTCCCGGAATTTTTAAACTCATTTGTCCTGAGACACGGGCCACAGCCTGTCCCCAACCTTTTGGACTTGCCTCCTTCCATATAAGGAAACGACCGGTTTCTCCGACTTCAATTCCGTCATCACCAGCTAGTTTGACCATTTCGAGAACAATTTGTTCTTCTTCTTCAGATAGTGCAGAATCAACAACCATCGGTTCTGGAGAAACTCGTCCAGTGTCATTATAAAATGGCTAATCCTCATAAGGTGGAATTTCAGGTCTTGCAATTTTATAAAATGCTGCTGCCACATCCGAATCTGTTCATAAACATTGTAATTATAAAACGTGTTACACTTATGTTCACATATTCAGTACCTTAGGGCACTTACCGTTTACTTGTCTACTAGCAACTCGGTTCCCATCCGAATCGAGTCTGCATCTTTTCAGAACTCGACAAATTACAGGGGCCTCAGTTTCATCACGAAGCACAATTTCTTGACGATGACGATCTATGTCAATAATAACTTCCAAATTAACGTCCATGGTCTTTTCAAATTATTTGGATTGAATCAGAGTGTTTAACAGTGGAAACTTGTTTTATCGTATTCTTGAGTGACGTCGTAGATGAGTAGAGAGGAAAGATAGACATAGGAGGCGAGTAGGCAAGTAAACACGGAGCTGAAGCGGGTTTTAACATGATCGTAGTAGATACGACAAACATTTATTTGTTGATTTTCGTCGGCATTTTTCTTCTCTCCTATTCTAAATTTACTTTTCTTTTTATTTCATGAGCCGGAAAATTATTAACAGGCGCACCACCATTAAGGTAAGCCAAACCAATAATCTGCAAGCATTATCATCACCAAGTAAGTAAGTGCTTACATTAATGTTATACATATGTACATATGTACACATTGTGTATTTTTTATGTATATACATATCTGTCTGCATACATACATACACGCTCTCGCACTTAAGTAGCTCCTTCACCGTGTGTAAACGTAATAAAATAATTGGAAATGGATGCCGTACAAATAAACTACGGAAATATGTTTTATACATTAATGAAGAGGGAAGTTAGATAGATACAAATGTACATAAGGTAATGCCAGATTTTAATGCCCTTTTAGTGAAAATCCAACAGTGGCTATGATCCCAATTATTTTCGCCACACTCCCAGCAAGGGGGAAAAATCAGTAGGAGGCAATTAGATTGATTGATTAGAAAGATTATGATTATTCTTGCAGTTCACTTGTTGAAAATAGAAAGTGCACTATGCTATAGAAATATTACGTCATAGAAAAACTGTCTGGAAACTAGAAACTGAAAGCATTTTAGAAATTTGAGCAAAATTTGACTTTGTAGGTTTTAAGTTCGAGGATGACGGGCTTAGCGGTTTTTATGCTTTTGAGTGGGTGTGTCGGGCACAATGGGGCTCATGAAGTGTAACCGGTGGGGGCTTTTCTTTTGTCTTATAATGCAACAAAATGCCATTAGGGTATTAAAATCTGGCATTGCAGACCTTGTAAATCGTCATTCTGGAGGTTCATCAAAAGTTCTTTCGACTTCCATGTAAATTAAGGGGACGCGTAAGTGCTGTGTGGGAGCTTTGAGAAGAGTGAGAACTGCACTTTTACAGAGATTGACTTCAAAGTGAGTTGAGTGGTTTCAAGTCCTTGATAAATACAATGAAGAATTGAGGAATAAATTTGCCCATATTATAGCCAATTTCCAAGTCCTTTAATTATCAGTAGTATGGAGATAAAAGGAAAAGACATTTAATTAGTTCAGATTCATTTACGAACATGATGAAGTCTAGTGTACTATGCAGACGTAAACCGTGAAGATCGACCATTTGCTTCAACTTTGCTTGGGGAAAGTTGAGGAGAATTGGTGTCAATTTATTGGAAAATCTTGAGTCGTGCAAAGGATTCACACTTTTCATGAATATTTCCTGCAATTAAATCGAGCTTTACGACACTTCAGAAGTGACGGGCAAGAACATAAAAAAGTTATCATAGTTCTGTAAGAAACCACCAATTGGAATCAAGTACTTATAAAATATGTATGCAAATCCACACAAACATATTTACATTACATACAGATATGTATATGGTTTAATCCAATTTGACTGGATATACCCAATTAAAACGATGCCGACAACTTTCACTTTCTAGATAATTTGCGTCCTGTGGTGCTTGGCATTGGTGATATTTTCTCCAATATTGTATGTCCGGAGGTCGGAAGGATGGAAATTCGAATGGGATCCGCAAGAATATTTGCACTGCATCGAGGTAAAAATGGATTGAATTACATTACGTTATAATATTATTGTTAGATATTATTAGACATTGTTGGGTGTGTGCTTATGTGCAAGAGTTTGCAGCACCACGGTCAATGCATAACTGAATTGTGCTCTATCAATGTCGACTTATGTCCTTCAACTTTATTTTTTACTTTATTGATCAGGTTTGGCCGGATCAATTAAGCCAGAAAACTTTTGGGCTCTTTTGCTTTATCATTGTCTACCTTATTCCTGGTTGCATCGTTGTTCTGGGTGAGTACAAAAAAACGTGTTAACTACGTGACACAGGTGGAGCATATGTGAGAAAATTCCAAATGCCGATATTTCGAGCTATGTAATACATGACTGACAATGTGGTATGATGGCGGTGATACTTCGTTTATTTCGCAGACTACATAAAGTTAATTGACAAAGTTTCACAGGTTTTTTTGTGTTGCAAGTAATTCTATGCCGCATACGGTTATTTGTAAATCACGGCCAAAGCCTTTCATTTTCCTTGTGCACCTTTGTGTAAGCAAGGAACGAAGACTTATCTTGATTGTGTAAACATTTGCAAGAACATGTGTCACGTTCTTACACAGACTTAATTTCATCTGACAGGTTGTTGTCCTTTCAATTGATTGAATTAAACGGTGACAATAACTGAGGTTCTTGTGTGGTATTTCCAGCTTATTCCTTGATGGGACTTCGTCTTTGTTCACGGCAACTGCTGCCCGAATATGAGATCACTCGTGGGGCCACTGACGTCAATTCTGTTGGAGAGCTGGGGAACTCAAATTCGGCCTGGCAGGTAAACACTGCTTTCCACTTTCACCTCTTTTCTCGCCATCCATACGTATGTACGTACATACAATAAATGAACGTCCGTCCGTCCACATGCCACTACTTCGGAGACGATGATGGCTGATCCTATTTGCTTTTAATCTCACTGCTCTTACAATGCAAGACGCTGCACGTCGATCGAAGGTTAATTTTGCGGGAAGTCTGTCATAAAATATAAATAGGAAACATGAGAACAGCAGAGCTTTAAATGGACGCCTCCGTTGATGATATTAAATTTCAGTTTGGGTGAAGCAAATTAAAACGATCCAATAATGAGACTACTTACTTGTTTATATGACCTTTTACACCAAGCAAGATCAATCTCACTTACATACACTCGTATAATGCATAATTTGACACTCGTACATTTGACAAGTGAAATCCATCTTGAACTTTTACAAAAAATGTTGTTCCTTCCATGTGAATTTGGGGATGCATTACCTTAATACGGATTGCCAGTAAGTGATTTCCACTAGACAGTTGTGCAAATATTGAAATATGCGCATATTGAGAACAATACCTTGAAATGAGGATAGTTTTTATGAGCCATGTTATACTTTTATGATTTGCTTTCTCCTATAACAGTCATGTAGCTGATGGATGTTAGGAATATGTGCATGCGAGTGGTGAGTGGGAGTGAATAAGTGATTTCACTCCCACCGAGAGTAAACAAAGGGGGATCTTTTTGTGTATACGTAAGTAGGCGTCCAAACGACTTTCTCCATCTTGATCTGGATCTTTTATTTTAAACATGGATTTCCTGGTAAAAAACAAGAATCTTGCAGTATTTAACCACTTCAACCCTAGGAGACGAGTTTTTTCATACCTTTCACCCCTAGTAACCGCGAATTTTTACCTCCCTTGACCCCGAAATTTTTATCTACTGCATGACGTTAATTCCTGGGCCATGAATTAAAAAATGGTGTTCCCACCGGAATTATTCTGGACACTTTTTTATGAAAATTGATGTGAATAACCTTTCAAGAAGGTATTTTGAGTTGTAATTTGCATTTTTGAGTTGTGGCGAACCACCAATGTTTATAGCCGAAAATAGCCAACACGCCGAATTTTAAAAATGATTGTAATTGCATGAAAAGTTAGACAAGCATGGAGTAATACTTGCATAATAGTACGTAAACTCGCAAATGTTGATTATAGCGCATAAAGTGCCTTAGGAGCCGATTTTGGGCGGGAAAACCAAAAATCCTTACAATGACTTTAAATAGACAGCAATGACAATGAATAATTATCCCGTGAGAGGAAATTGCTCGAACATAGACTATGGCGCATCTGGTGAATAGAAATCAATTTTAAGCGGGAAAATTAAATTCTACTAATTCCTGGCAATCTCTCAATTTTTAATTTTCCCGCCCAAAAGATATTTCAGCGGCACCCGATACGTAATGATTAATTTTGACGTAGTTTACCCTACCGGCAAGATTATTTGTGGTATATAATTAAATCCATGCAATGATGCAATTCATCAAACTTTTAGTTTTCTCGCCCAAAACGCCCGTTTGTGCTACATGCGAGCAAAACAATTTCTCTAATCTTATCGTAAACCGTTGTTGAAATAAATCGGTGTCGAAATTTCCTTGCAAAAAACAGTTTTCACAACTCGGCGTGTTGGCTAGATATAGCCACTTGGCTATAAATTTATTTTGCATCCATTTCTAATATTATTTCCTAAGAGACAATTTATCTTCCCACCTAAAGGGCGGGTTGTTGACTCATAACTCTTGCTTTACTTTGCTTGGAGAGGCAATGACCTAATTTTTTCCGGATACGACACATAGTCGTAGGCCGGTGTGAACGGAAAATACGCCACATAGTCGTATCCGTTGTCAAGGGTCAATACGACACATCGTCGTATTCCGGTGCCAAGGGAACTTACGCCACATGGTCGTACTCGGCGTAAAGGTCAAATACGCCACATAGTCGTTATAGGGGTGAAGTGGTTAAACAAGATCCATTTATTGGATTTGTAGTGGGTAGGTGAGCTAGGATTTTCTAAAAAAAAAACAGTCGAATGAACACAAATTCGATTTATAAAATAGAGAAGACGAATTGCCATTTGTCATTTTATGAAAAAGGATGGATGATCCTTAAATATTCGTAATTGTCCCCCATTTCCTGCTATTGCATACATATATTCACATCAAATTACCACTTTGCTGTAGTTGGAATTGGCCTCGACAGATTGGCAAAAACAACTTTATAGCGAAAAGAATCAGCCCCTGACGTCAATTCTTTTATTGAATTCACTTTTTTAGAATGCCCCTGACAATAATGAGTGAAAGCGCATTTAATGATATGTCGTTGTTTTCAAACAAAGGTTCTTTTATGGAGGACGCACATATATATATCTAGATATGCATTATAGTGTATTGATTTGGTTTTTACGAATTCTTTGTGCTTTCTCCTTCCACGATGAAAACATGCCATGCTACTTTAGTCCTTAACACCTGTTCTGATGGATTTGATTCCTGCTTCCTACATTTTCACTTTCACATTTTCATTTTTAGGTTTCTGCCGTTGGAGGAAGATTGATTCGAGAAAGGCGTCGAGTCGCAAAGATTTTGCTCGTGCTCGCTCTCGTCTTTGCATTTTGCTGGTTACCGTACAGCGTGTTGAGCTTAATTCTCGACATGAATGCCAAACAGGCAGGGCCACCTCCTTCTCCAGACGATGAGCCACCAGCCGACTTTTCAACTTCAGGAAACGATGAAGATGAACAATTCACCTACATTGCGAACCTTCTTCTTCCGTTCGCAATTCTACTAGGTAATAAATAAATGTGGTTCTTTAATATTTATTTATCCAACGACATTTCCAAGAAAGCGTGAACGTGTTTCATACTTAAGACCATACTTTGATATATGCATATGTTCCAACAGGACATAGCCAAGCTGCCGTGAATCCCCTCGTTTTTTGCCTCCTGAGTAAGAACTTTCGTCGCAGCGTGACGGATCTAATACGCCACCCAACAAGGGCCATTCGAAGTCGACAACAGTGCAAGGTATGTAAAACGTAAAGCCCTGACCACACCACGTCTCTCAGATCTCCTCCTTCCTCTTTATTGATGACACCGCAAAGAGACGAGTTTCGCCCTGACTCATTTATTTCTCAAACTCTCAAATCCACCCTTCCACTCAAAATGCCAGGCTCCAAACCAACGTTGCATTAGCTATATCCAATGTGCAAATATAATGACACCATTATACGCTATACATACATACATGGGAGCAAATCTACCTCACTATTCTGGACGATGACGCGTTGTATTGTTTAGCTCTGTGTTTGCGTAACAGTTTCCGCTCCAGTCGTGTGTCGTTCCTTGGCCGGATAAACAAGATGAATAGTCGAAGGGCGGTCCTAAAAGCAGCTCTGCAAAACATATCCTTACGATTAGATATACCTACGTTCATGCTTAGCTGTCAATCTCCGAATCTGCAAAGCCAGCACAGCCATTCACTTTTCATGCAATTCTGAATGGATTGGTGGAGGTGATGAATGATGGGATTTGCTTGTCCTTATGTATTCGAGGGCGCCCAACAACTTCTTCTTGCTCCGCGGATATGTATTGATTTGTGTATATCAAAGGTTTTTTATGAGATTGGTGCAGAGAATAATGGCCAAATGCCCTTTGTTCCATTAGCCTTATGGTTTGTATTGTATCGCAGGAATTCGATCAGGATTAATTCTTTTAGCGAAATATATTTCTTATTTTTTTGCGTTATTTCGAGATCTATCTTTGAATTCTTTGATCACAAATTTGTTTTCAATAGACATGTTTTTCCTATTCTTTTCTTGAGTGACAGTGTCTCTCAGTCAATTTGAATGATTCTTACCTCTCTCCAGATACGGATGACATTTCGGAAGGATCCTGTGCCATCCGCAGAACCCAACAGTTCCGAAAAACCAGTGAGTTCTCGACCACGAAACCACCACGCGCCGGACCCTCCAAAGTCTAGCCTAGTGGATGGAGGTGACATCCGGCTGGCGGAAATGGGTGCTAAACAAAGCCATCATCTTGAGGTTGTGGTGGCGTATTCTCCAACACCATCGTCACTATCCAGCGGTTACAGCTCTCTTCGGGTCTCAGATAACAGTTTGAGTTGTCATCAATGTTCTCAATACCAGGCAAGCTTACAGCAGCAGGTCCAACAACACAATCCTTGCGGGAATACTCATTGTGGTTATTGTTCAATGTCCTTGTGTCCGTATCCTCATTATCCTCCGATCTCTTGCCACTGTCAAGTGCATACATCATCAATCTGTAAAAAAGGAGCCTCATCTTTTTGCGAGCATCGAAGGGTTGAAGTACCTTCCACGATAAGAGAAGAGTCTGAAAATTCACATCTTAGTCAACGATCAAAGACATCATCCAAGGTTTGTTTCACGTAAGCGTATTAGCTTTGAAATTCCATATTTTTTATGAGGTTCACAAGTAAAGACGTCCAAACAAACTGAATTTATATCCAAAATATCTCAAAAAATTCTCTCTGATACGAATTAGTAAACTAGAAACAGTATGGATTTATATATATGTAAATATATGCCCAATATGTATAGCACACATACGACATACGTGCATACTTATATATGTACATAGCTTACAGATATGCATGATCTCAGATTACAATAGTCTGCATGGTTTGAAACTATATGTACATTATACAATTGTACTAAATACTATAATAGCTGTACTACTACTAATGTTACCAAGATGAAAGTAAGTAAGCTGAGATGGTTATTATAAAATTATGCTGCAAATGTATCTATTTTACTATCCGTTTACTGTTATTTGCTTTGTTGCTCATTTGCTAATAATGATTACATAATAGATATTTCTACCTGAAGGAGTGAATAAACTATCGATTGTGGTTAGGTTGTGATACACCTTGAAATTATATACAGACATAAATACATTCATTATTACTCCTGAAAAAGAACAGCGTACCTGGTCTCGAATATGCAGACCGATAAATGTAATGCAACATGTAAACTGTACTCTGGTAAACATTAGCAAATCTTTCATCAGAGAGTTATAAATTCATTTTGTATGTTTTAATGTCACAGTCGCACCTAAACTGTTGATCTTTGTGGAAACTGTTTAGTTTTAGTCTAGATATATGTGGTTGTCTCAACTGTTATACATGTACATACATAAATACACATGGTCTAATGGTCTCAACTATTAATAAAGGCTCGGATAATTTTGGTGTGCACATTTCATTTATTAATCAAGTGACTTACTTTAGCATACCCATAAAGTACATCCATATACGACTATAATCCATCTAAATTTCACAGATTACACGGTTGGTTTTAGAATGTTGAAATATTCCCTTGTGCCTTGACAATTGGTGGATAAATCAATTGTCAACCCCATTGAAACATTTGCCATCATTAGAAAGCAACTCCAGTGAAGCACAATGAACTTGGGCGTGGGCGGAGGAGGAATTACGTAATTTGTGAGTGCATTTCTCTTCGCATCATGTTACTTCTTTGAACCAGTTATGGAATTGGACATAGCGACATTTTATAATACAGTAAATGATGCAACAGATCAATGTCCCTAATCCAGCTCATAAAACACACTGGATCATTTTGGACAACAATGGACAAAATTATTCGACATCGTAATCATCCCACGCAAGTCTGGTTTCAATAGAAAATTGTACTTATCCCACGAAATTTTAGTAACATATAGAGTATGAGTAGCTGCTAAAACTTTTGCTGTATTTTAGACTAGATGCCAAGTTTTTATGAAATATGTATCACAAGTTTAACATGAGTCCGTATGTATCAATGCAGAGATCAAAATTTGCCAAATTTGTCGACCTCTGACCGTTCCCAGCATTAAGTCATATTTAATAAGCATGAGTGGATAACTGCAGGAATGGAAAGAAAAGGAGTCACCACCTCGAAAGCACATGAACAGAGCAACTACCAAACCCAATGGTGTTAAATAGCAGTGGAGTGAAAGCCCTATATACGTATAAATAAATAGCATGTGCCAATAAGTTTAGCGAAACTACTCGGAAATTGTGGTGATACTTTACACACGCCGATTTGTAGTTGGGTGTCACTGCACGCTTTCTGAATTTTGCCTCAATTGAAATTCCCAATTCCCAATGCTCTTGTGCATCTCGATATCTCTTACTTTGCAGTATTGGCTGGAAGTCACACATGCTCCGGGAGTGTGTTTGTCTCTTCCTGTGAATGGGACCACTTTCACTTTGCATTTTCACACACGATTTAACACAAAGTTTTCATGGTCGCATTTCCTTCAGTGTTCACCTTTTACTTTATGTGCACAACTTTACATGTAGAATCCAAGCTGGCTCCGTTTTAATTTTCCAGATTGGAAAGTTTTCTCATGTCAATTTTTGCCCTTTGTTTGCTTGTATGTATGGTTATTCAGTAGTTTAGAATTAGAATGAAAGACCATTATCATGGCTCAGGTGGCAAATGAGAGTGGTCTCCATTATTCATTTTCTAAGCCCTCTCTTCTACAATGCTACTACTCCTCTCAGGACCCGTCAGCGTAACGAGAACAACAGAAGAAACAGAAGGCTGCTAATTTAGCTGGGATGCGATTATATTCTCCATTATTGAGGAGAAAGTTGCGAAATCCCATTGTGCAAAGTGAAGCAGAACCGCCTGGCAGCAGAGCATGTGTTTAGATGTGTGGTTCCTGCTATGCTCCCTGGAGGCGAAGGTATGCAGAATTGTGATTGTGAGACGCACAGAAGTCCGAAGACTACTTTATGCGATGTATGGCATGAGTATGTACAATCTCTCGGGTGTTCCGGATTCATGGCAAAAGATGCAGTCGGGTGGAAGTAATAAAGTATGCGTTCTCCTTGTTTTGATGCGGATTAAATAAATCAAATTTACTTCCAGGAGACCAAGACTTTACGGGCTCATGATAAAACAATGAAAAATTGAATTATGGTGACATTGGGGTAGAAGAAAACGAGGCTGAGCGTTCTCGAGAAAAACTAATCCGAAAACTCAAAGTTTACCTACTGATGGAGAAAATGCGGTTACTGAAAAGATCTGAATACGCTCCAATAATAATACTGGGACATAATTAAGTTATTTGCTCGTAAAACTAGTGCCGAACAAGCTTTTTTAAGTCGATCCAACCAAGGAAGACACGAGAAAGTGGTGAATAGTTAATTCTTTAAAAGAATCGAGCCAACGGGGTACACAACGCTATTGATTTTTTATTATCTCACTAAACAAAACAGTAACATGCTTGGCAAGATCATTTCGAGTGTTTGGAAGAGTAGTACTTTACCCCATTTAATGTATTCACTCTAGCAAACTTTGTTAACAAGACACCAGCACTCTGACATGATGGTAGATTCTGGAGAAAAGGGGTTATTTCCTCAAGTCTCCACTTTGGTTTTGCTTCGAACAATACTGCAAACCTATCTGTAACTACGTCGGGAAGGTTGTGTTCAGGAAAGTACCAAATCACGGGAGGTGTGACGTGAGAATTGGTAACTGCTGTTCCTTCCAACTGCTTCACATTGACTCGTAGCCCTGCGTATAATAATAAACACATTCATATTTACATAAATAATTATAGGTACACTTGTTAATTAAAGCCCGCAAAACTCAAACAAAACCGCACCTTCGGGAACACTCTCTTGCCATATTTTCATAAATTCTGAAACATTAAACCGACCACCAGGCATCAGTAACACTTCGCCGTAAAACCTACAAATTTCGTCCTCTTTCATACAATAAATGTCCTCATTTTCTGAAAATAGATACATACATGTACATATAAATACATATACATACTTATAATAATATGTAGGTATGACCAAGACGTCATGAAATTATATATACATCCTAATCACCTTCAGAGTTTTTGCAGAAAAACCACTCGAATATCTTTTCTATGACTATAGGTGGCTCCAAGGATATTAATGTTCTAATCACCACACTCTTTGGTATTCGATCAATTCTCCAGGAATTTTCATCAACCAAGCCGTTAACAAGGGTGAAGACGCGATACAAGTAAGAATCATCAATCAGTCGGAGGAATCCTGAGTAATGGAATAGTAGACAAGCGATAGATTATAATTTCAGACAAGATGACGAATATGCAAAACGTCCACTAACCATCACACTCCATAACTCGGATAGATTTCAAGTAGCCAGTAATTTCTCCTTCACTAGCTGGAATCAATTCTAATAACTTATCTAAGGTTATAAACTCGACTTCTGGAATATCGTCATCCTAAATATAGAATAGAAATAAAATCGTTAGACAAATTTATATAATCGCCCCACGTACGAAATGTATATCTGTTTGAAGACTTATATTATTTATTATATAATGCTTACCTCGCCAAGACCTTTGTAACATGTAAGCGCAAGAACATTTCTAATTTTCGAAAGATTGGGAGTAATCTTCTTCAGTTCAAAGTAAGAGTGCACAATATCCTGGATCTGCGTTATGCCAAAAATAGAATGTGCTTATTAGATTTTGGTTTTCGAGAAGATTTGCTTCAAGTGTTATTAGCGATTTCTTGGAATATACATGTATGAAGAAACAAGACTAGACTCACAGTTCTCACAACAATTTCCTCGTCCCGTAAAACCGCATCCCCCCCATCATCATCTTGCGGTAGTTTATCTCCTGCTGCAGTAATAGGAATAATGGGCAGATTTGAAACCGAATCCGGTGACTTGGAACTAGCAGATGATGAATCTGATGACCATCGACTGGTTCGTTGAGCTTGTTCCGGAAACGCCAGCTCCTCGAAAATTAACAATGAATTTGACGTCTCAGCTTCCTTAATCTCATACGTTGCTTGTTCCGTGCACAGAACAGCATGATCACTAGAATCGCCTCGAAACACGAGGCTTTTTTTAAAATAAAAACACCAAAATGCTCAATTTATCCAATTTAATGCTTCAATAATACAAATCGCGACTGCAAAAGTATAAATAAAACCTACCTGTTGCCCACTCGTATATTTTCTGCAACCTCTTTAGGAAGCTCCACTAGACGATACTGGGTTCCTGAAAAGCCTTCCGCAAATGCGATTTCCTATAAAACAATAATGATACTTTATTAGCTTATTGACACATAAAAACTACCAAAATCTGAACCGTTCAACATTTCCTCTTTTACCTGTGCAACCGCGAGCAAATCTTTCTTGTCTAACTTGGCAGCACTTAAAATTGCATTGATTTCCTCTGCCGACCTCCCCGTGGCCAGTGGGTGTGCCAAACTCATATTTATTACGAAAAATATTTCCCAGCTTTACTAACAGAGATTTATTTTGATGAAATATGGACCGAAAATATTTACCGCCGTGTTCATTTCCCACCACACGCTGCGGCGACCTTACGGGCCAGATTTTAGAAATTCCCCGAATCTTTTTCTGCAAATATTTTTACATATTCCCTCATCTTGAGGGTTGGAACGGCCGTTACTGAAATTTTGCTGAGCCACACCCCCTGGGGGGCGAAGTGGCCCCCCGGTTGACCTTCGACATTAAAATGGGGCTGAGATTGTAGGTCAATGTATGTGTAGCTTACATTCCAAATTTGGAAGCATTTGGTGTACCACAACGCCGGGCGCAGCATGGCGACACTTGCAAAACCCCCCATTTCAGCCCTTTTCAACCGTTTATAACTTTGCTTGGGGGATCGATGAAGCTTAGCTGTTTGCGGGATCACATGACACACATTCTCGAGAATCATCTCCTACTAAAACCGTAGACCCGCTTTCGCCCATTTCGAAATTATAAACTTTTGCATTTCGACATAATTCAACAATTTCGACATTATGACATTGTCGCATAAGTATGTCGACAAGATTAACACTATGCAAGATTATAATCTTATGCATATGGAGACGGTCGCAGATAGTTTTGCTCCTGTCGACATACTTATGCGACAATGTCGTAATGGCGAAATTGTTGAATTATGTCGAAATGCAAAAGTTTATAATTTCGAAATGGGCGAAAGCGGGTCTACGGTTTTAGTAGGAGATGATTCTCGAGAATGTGTGTCATGTGATCCCGCAAACAGCTAAGCTTCATCGATCCCCCAAGCAAAGTTATAAACGGTTGAAAAGGGCTGAAATGGGGGGTTTTGCAAGTGTCGCCATGCTGCGCCCGGCGTTGTGGTACACCAAATGCTTCCAAATTTGGAATGTAAGCTACACATACATTGACCTACAATCTCAGCCCCATTTTAATGTCGAAGGTCAACCGGGGGGCCACTTCGCCCCCCAGGGGGTGTGGCTCAGCAAAATTTCAGTGACGGCCGTTCCAACCCTCAAGATGAGGGAATATGTAAAAATATTTGCAGAAAAAGATTCGGGGAATTTCTAAAATCTGGCCCATAAGGTCGCCGCAGCGTGCACCATTACGTAAATACTGCTTCTATTGAGACATGTTAGAAACTGCTCTTGATGTTGTGCTACTCAATGAGCTACATAAGTAATAAAATTAGCCATGTCATGCAAGATATGATGAAAAAAGGATTTGTGATGTTTTGAACATGTTTTATAACCCAGCATTTCTAAAATATGGAATTTCTACCACGTCTGACAGTTATAAAAAGAAGCTTTAGTGTGACATTTCATTGCATGCAATATGTTCTACAAAGGTTGAGAATGTCGAAAAATGTGTGCAGATTTGCACTGGGAACATGAGAACAATAAGGTATAGGTACATGTAAAAGTGCAGGAGAGAAGACACGTACATACCATGAAACATAAGCAATGAAATCACATAATATCCTGCAGTTTTTTTTTGTATATATAAGTATTGACAACTTTCTGCTTTTGGTGAAATGAAAAATTCTTGTAATGCACTCGATCAGCATATAAAATGCAAAGATCTGGGAAATAAAATTCCTCAAATGTCGTCCTGCGGAGAAAAGGAAAAGTTGAAAGGCTGACTGGGAAATGAACATCTTTCCCTCAAATGCATTCCCTCAGGGGACGGAGATTCACAGTCAAACCAAAGTCGATGCATGAGCAAGGTTTCCGTCCTGGTTTCGCTCACTTTTCCTCAATCTGGGATCAAGAACTGGAGAGAAAGACGGAGAAAGGAGGACGGGCGAATCAATTTCATTCAATACATGTGCACTCGAACCCAGTGTTTGCCGTGGTTTGGTAGTTGTAAAAGTTATTCAGGGTGAGACGACGGCGACGACGACGACTTTCACTTTTTTTAGAACTTTCACTTTATCAACCACAGATGAGAATGGGAACCACAACTTGAAAGACTGATGAGAAAATGCTCGGCTCTGTTGAATCTCTCCATGATGAGGTATTAGATGCAATGCAATAAAGTTTTTGTGCAGATCACGAGGACTTATCGTCATGTGCCATCCAGTAGACGGTGAACTTGAGATATTTTTGACGAACAAGACAAAATTTTTAATTAACTGTGCAACTTAATTCGAAATGTCTTGTGTTACTGTTGTCTCTTACTTTCCTACTTGAACGACATGGTGAATGGAAGATATGTTACATCAATACATTGAGGAATCAATTTATTCTGTAGAGAAAAATGCAAATTAGTCCTTTCTACTCCGTGGATGCAAGGCGGCCGAGTAGTACATGATTGGCATAAAGTTCTCGACGATATATTCTTGAATATTTTACATACATTTTTTCTTTCTTTAAAGAAAACATGGACCATACAAATTTCGAGTATTAACCACACCCATACAAGAAAGTTGGTGAGGAGGAATGGTGAATGTGTAACTAGTATATTTTTTGCAAACATAGCCCATCGCTCAAGTAGTGCAAGGTCAAACGTTGCACTACAGGATCGATGGATTTTTTCCAAAAATTCACAGGAGGCGTGGTGTATACAAATTGATTCAGATTTTTGGACATTATGTATCTAGGACTTCGCTCGGGTCACCCTTGAAAAAATATGGGAGAAAAGTCGTCACGACATCGCCGATATCCTGTATTGGTTTGTACAGTAGACAGCTCAACACACGTCTGTATATGCTAGAATTAGTTCCAAGTGGAAAAGATATTGAAAAACTGTGTGGTTTGCTTTAGAATTTACTCAACATTTTTGCCCCAAGTAACCTCAATGCGAATTTACTGCGAATCCCAATGCAAGTTTATGCAATTTTTGTGCATAAAAAGTTGTAATCATTAATTTGTACAAGATTCGTGCAAAATTTGTATCAATTTTTGTGCTGCTAATAAATTAGCACAAGAAATCCACGAAACTATCACAAATTAATTAGTAGCAAATTATTATAAAGAAACAAGTGAATATTTAGTGCGTATTTGTTAGCACTAAATTTTCATGAGATTTCTTGCACCAAATTCATGCATAATTCGTACCTGGGAAATTGTACAAACTCAAAATGCAGTAAACAGGTGCCAGCATATTCACACAAAATTTGTACCGATTATTCTGCAATAATTTACTACTAAATTAGTATCATTTTTCTATTCGCGATTAAATAAACAAACCTCAAGTCAGTTATTCTTTTTGCCATGCCGTGACATCAACTCCATCATCTCTTCTCCATTTTTAATTTCCAACCAAAAAATTTGTTTCGACAGTTATGGTCGAAAATCAAAATCCTATTTCGGATAAAAGTTCGTATTCTTCGAGTTTGAAGGTGACAAATGAGTGGAGATTGTGCCGTCTACGTGGATTTCAAAAGATTGGACGACTAATGGCGTGTTATATGCCGGAGAATACGGTAATTACATATATACATATTGTTGTTAGCTAATTTTGCATTAATATATATTCAGGTTATTTATGTAAATATACGTTTTGCATAATTTATAGATTATTCATACGTTGAGAACACATATAAGGAATAAATCTATCGACTCATGTGATAACGACAAACGGCGTCGCCCTAAATTATCAGCAGAAGAGCCTGAGGTGAATAATGAGACATTGGTCAGGAATTCATTTTAACTTAATCTTTCTCTATACTCCGTAAGTACGAATTCTGCAGATTAATTACGATAAATATTTGTGTATCCCAATTTGCAATTTTCTATTAATTAGTTAAGTATTTGGAGATACCTAACATTATTGTAGAAATATGTACAACAGATGAATGTGTAATAAATAAATAATAATTGAAATGTGAGTAATACGTGTAAATGAATTTGTATTAATTTCATGCGTACCATTAGCACACAATTAGCAATAGATTCGCACTAAATTCGCACTAGATTCGCACCAAATTCTCACTTCATGAATGCATATTAATCATCACCAAATTTACACAAAATTCGCACATATTTGTTTGTGTTAATTTTGTGCATATTTTGTACAAGTAAACTTGTAGTGACAAATTATTGGTATGAATTTTGTACATGCGACTTGTACAAAATAAGCACAAGTCGGCTTCACATTTTCACGGAAAATATGCATTAATCCAGTTGTACAAATTTAGTACAATAGTTGCAGATTTTGGTTGCTTGGGTGACGACACAAAACTTGAAGCCTAAACTTTCTTCTGTTGCATAGAAATACATAAGTAGATACATACGAGTTTACTTTTCTCTTGTCCTCTTTTAAGTAAAAATGTGGTAATGAGAAATGCAACGATGAAAAAAAATTGATGTAACATTTGAAAAGACTGAATTAGGTTTGCATTAATAGATAATTTGCTACATATACATATGGATCCATATTGGTATTGAAATTAAGAATTGATTAGCAATGCATCATTCATAAAATCCAACGCTAAATGTATTTGTTTTCACATTTTTCATACTCTCTGTGGCTTTCACCAGCAGAATATTTTATTGAGTACACCATATGAATTGAATCTAGCAAGTGTCGTATGTTCTGATAGCAAAATTGGCTGCACAAACGTAGAATACAGGTTCCAAAACTACATGTCCAACAGACGCCAATGTTAACCGCATAAATCAATTTGAAACAGACAACCACATAAAACTTGGAGATGATTTTGTTATTCCATTTCTGAGTGGAAAATCAGGTCTGCCTGGCAGAAGAATTTCGACTGAAAATTTCTGTTTGACGGCTTTACTTGGTGGATGTCATCTTTCCTTCAATAGCTCGATGTCAACTCAGTCGTAAAATTGCTTGCTGCTTGAGATTACCGGCCGAGAGAGGTGCCTAAGTGTGAATCATCACTGTTGGTTGATTTCTTTCCTACAGAAGGAAAATACATATGTACACACTAGAAAAGCAAACCGGGTCAAAAATGACAGATTTTTGCAGCCGTGTTTATATGCTGGCTTTCATATTGGGGTCCAACGTTTTAAGTGCTTTTGGAAACGTGGACGTGAATTTAGAACAATTAATTTCCATCAATCACATTTCAGAGTCATGTGAAGTAGTAATTTTCAACGAAGACAGGCATCATATCATCGATTTTCTGCCGTTGCAGAGACTAATCTTGATTAATGGGTATGATTTTCACCAACCTGGCCAAGGTGAAAGTGAAGCACACTCATCCTGGTTTAAGTTCAATCTCACTGCTGAATGTCAAGTTCTGGTAATTTTCGGTTTTCAGGAAGATCATCGGATGCGCTATGACGATTTCGTTGAGAATAATTTTAAACGAATAGTGCTGATTCTACTGTTTCCTTTAGAATGGAATATTGACAATGAGGATGACTTGTGGCGTTATCCGTGGACAAATATATGGCATCACAACCTCCGCGTTGTTGACTACCTTACAAGCAAAGTCTTACGCAGTACGGCCAAGACATTCCGGCATTGCAAGTCACTAGAAGACCCAATTTGCGCTTTGAAAGGAGTCTCGAAAACTGTTGGATTTGTAAATGTTGGTACCCCCACTTTATTTTCATCCGAGTAGCATACAATTTACTTTAGTGACTGGCACATTTTAATAATGGTTATAAATATGGCAGGGATCTCCATACTTGCATATTCAAAATTGGTCAAAATACTTGAATTCAAAAATGCACTATCCAAACATTGAATTTCATCCACAATCTCCTCAAGAAGTACTCGATTTAGTGTCTGGTTTGGAAGGCGAATTGTTGAAACATTTCGTCTTGGAGTATAATATGCACTTGACACTTGTGGCTCCTAAGGATATGGAGTTCGGGATCAAATTGTTGAATAATACGTGGACTGGAAAATTTGGTTTGCTAGAACGTGAAGAAGTGGATTTCGTTGTTGGACTTATTACAGGCAACTGGGAAAGGTATTTAGTAATAAGTAAATAATTCCTTAAAACGTCACTTGGCAAGTTTGCTGCATGTGCTTGCGTTTCATTTTTTTGCAGACGATTCCTGGGCACGTACCTGGCTCCCTTGTATAACATTAAATTCTCTCTCGCCTCTCGAAAGTATCCTGCAAAGATTAGTTGGAATGCACCATTTACAGTTTTCTCCGAATTCGTATGGGGAGTCATGCTCGTCTGCCTTGTGCTCGTCGCTGGGTGTATGACCACTCTCGCTCAAATTGAAGGGCATCATCATAGCCGTCGTTTGAAATCCGATAATAATGACATCGTTTCTCTTTTTCTGGAGGTAGCGAAATTTATCACGGCAAAAATGTGCTAAAATTTACAGAATCCTTTCAAAGTCTTCAACTGACTTATTCACTAATTACAAAAACTTTTAGTTGTTTGGGTCAGCGTTGAAGCAGTCTTCACAGAGAGCTACATGTGGGCCGATCTATTTGACTTTCGCAACTTGGTCCTTGTGTTTATTCGTTGTATTTTCAGTCTACAGTTCCTATCTCACGGCTAGACTAAGGTAAATTGTACTAAAGTTTCGTGAACAAAAGTTTCATTTAGGAAAAAAAGTTTTGTAAAGCTTTTTGAGATGAAACTTTCACCTTAGTTTAATTTGAAACTAGTGTTCGTTAGCATTTGATGCTTCCTATTTACTTGCTAGTGTCCCGGACCCGGAGAACAATATAAACACTATGCGGGATATTTGGGAGGCTAAAAGAACACTTTTGGTGTGGCGAGGAGGCACTGTCGATCTGTACATGAGGACTACTCATGATCCAGACACAAAATACATAGTTGCCAACTATCATCGATACACGGACACTATTCCAAATTTCTCGAATGTGAAAGCTCTGGATGGTTATCGTTATGTCGTTGTACCTGAAATTGAGGGATTTCGATTCAACGTACTTGCTGGGTGGGTACCAATAATTTGTTTGCTTCGAGGCAAATATGGCATAAAATTGGTCTTACATATGTGGGAAGATTAATGGTAACAGCCAAATTACCGAATATATTTTTTTAAATAAAAAGGATGACAACATAAATTCAAACACGCAATTACGTAATGGTAAAGTGCATAATACGAGTAATCAACTTTTCATCTATATACATATTCCAGATTGGATGGCATCAATAGGAAAATTATAGACTATCACTTCTCAACAGAACCATTGATCGATGTATTTTGCTCCTGGATTGCCTCACGAAAGTTTCGAGAAGGACCTGCAATGGCTTTAGCAATGCTCCGAATCCAAGGAATGGGATTGCTCACAAAATGGTCGACTGACCGCTTGGTAAGATAGAGTGCCTCAATAAAAGTAGGGACAACTCATTATGCGTGGTCCAACACCACCGACTTTATTTGCTTTATTTGCTCATACATAAGTATGTGTACATAGGCATCACAAATTGAACGTAATATTTACAGAATGTTGATGGTAAGAAATCAATCTCCACCAGGAAACTGGCGTCTGAAAATACCCACATCCCTGTGGTCAATACAAACAAAACACTGACTCTGAATATCCTGAAGGGAGTGTTCCTTGCGTGGGTGTGCGGCATCAGCATTTCTGTGGCTGTTTTCTTTGCAGAAATTTCCATCACTCGTTTATTGGTAAAAAGGCCCAAACCGCGGCGAATTGTGGTTGCCCAATATATCGAGTAGGCTGTCTCGAAATTGCCTTGTTCCAAAGTGACCAGGACAAATTTAGTGCTTTTATTATAACGTCAAGCCCCACTAACGTCGCCATTGCTGCTGAATTTTTAAAATTGTTCCCTCTGTATAAAGCCTCGATAGTAAAAGAAATATATGTACATATGACATTGCGCGTTGTCTTATTTATTGAAGAATTGACGTTTTTTGTTTATGAAGCGCATTCACTAAATAATCTCAAGTGCATCTGTCTGTATTTATTATTGGCTGTGGAATTTCGCGAGGAGAAACTCATGAAATCTCGTTTTATTTCATTTTTGATTGTGCACATATATTTCTAACAGGACTTTTACGCAACATGGATAATTTTAAGCAGATATGGCTTCTTTTAGTTCAATGTATTTAGGCATATATAGCTTGGAACCTTGACATTCCGCCCCTAATATCTCTACATATGTACACTCTGCATATTTCATTGTACAAAGATGTTACCACTTTGGAATTTTAAACCGAGTGTACATACGATATGTATCTGTTGACATTGCATGTTGAATGGGACACATTACTCATCATTATTACCATTGTTAAATTGCAGCTTCAGATATTTTATTACAACGTCAAAATGGTTGTAATAAGTGAATGCATATTATTACATTCAGAATACAGATGGTAAACCTCAGAATGAAAATAAAACAATAATAATACAATAAACACCGTAGTGCAGCAGTCCTTTGGCTCAAGTTGAATGAATGAATAGAGAGAGACTGAGACCATGCAGTGTTGGCTGTTTTTTGAAATCAGAGCAGTGACTGTAAACTGGAAGGGAAGTTTCGTATACTTTGCCAATCCAACCCTCTTTTCGATTTTTTGCCCCTCGCTCTCCCTACGAATTTCTGAGGGAATAAAACTATCCGTTCCTCAACCAGACTGCCAGCCACCCTGATCCGATGCACATTTGCCCGTACATAATAATATCGGAGTAGACACGGTTAAATCTACTATGCTTTCTACGAGAAGGACTCAACCAATAACTTGCAAAGTATTCACTACTGCCATACAATCTCTCCTCAGTCTCGTCAACTTCATCTTTGCCCAAAAGTCTACTTGGTCCCAATCCCAATGCATTTATTAGTAAGCAAGCCCGGGTAAGTAGTTGATGTGGGTTAGCTTTTGTCAACCCAACGTACATCACAGATCACTGCGTTTTGGGATACCAAAAGGACCCAGGCGATGACGCTATGTTGAGTCTGATACTTCCAGCAATCGTCCAGCCTAACTTCTAAATAATTTTGAAAGGAATGTTGCTAGATGGATGACCCATCAATCTGTTCGTTCCTTCGAGCAGACATGTATGCACAGAAACTGATAGTGAGATAGCTTCACTAACTATTTTACCCTCCACCCTGTTCTTGATTCACACGAGTCTTTTCGACTCCCGATTGTATTAGGATTGCAGACCGAAATTTAGAAATAGAGTGGATTTATGGCGAACGAGGAAAACTCCCTTCTGTCCGTGGTATCCAGTACATAGCATTGAAGTCGTATATGTTTTCTCCTTACAATTTCCGTAGGTATACGGGATCCAAGTTTTATACCACATTACTTGATCCACCCTACTACTTTGTAACAAGGGGCATTATCATCCCCCATGTACACTGTCTCCCTGTAGCCCAACCATCATACGAAATAGGAATCATACGATAAACTACATCCGTACATACCAGACGGCTTTCTTCCCTCCTTGTCGTTCAGTTTTGGCATTGACAGTGGTTAGTTCTTGTTTCAGTGCACGTTCAACTGCATCCGTCCCGTTTAGCCCGTGCCGAGCCAGTAGTGGTAGCAGTTACACTGATCCTGAATATAAAACCACCACTTTCCACTTGTTTTCTTTCTCGAACAAAGTGCAGTTGAAGTAGTGGTGGGAGGAAAGTTAATGGCATGTATCCATTCTTTCGGATCCATCGTCAACGAGTAAAAAACAAGAATGAGAAACCTGAGTTAGCGTCGTCAGGCTTGATACAATACACGCGCTTCAAGGTTTTCGTGAAATAGAAAATGACGAAGGAATAATAATGTAGTGAGATCCGTCCGAGTCAGAAACTTGTGACATTGACATTGAATTTCAAAGAAACATTTCAATCGATTTGTTAGTTGTTTGTCAATAAAGTATTCAGTGCTGAAAGAATAAAGGGAAAAAGAAGTGGTTAACATTTCCTCGTCGGATGGATCTACATACACTCCAGGTCCGCCACTGTGGTGAAAGAGAAGCAGAGTTTTTTCTCTTGACATAGTATTATTACCGAAATTTGCATATACATTACTTCATTGCTCCTCTTGTGGATTCAACAGCATGGGGCAACACTTTGTACGAAACAACTCGGGTCTACCAGTAATTTAAATCATGACGGGAAACTGTTTCAGTTGTTGAGTTGAAATTGATTGGTTTGTCTATTTGCAATTCAAATATAGTGTGGACTTATAATTTACACCCGGCCGAGTAGCTTTCTCTGTTCAACATCACTTGTAGTAGCAACAGCAGCAGCAGTGTTTAGGAGCTAACCAAACCACGAAAGTCTAAACATTCTCTGAGCCTCCAAGTTTCTCTCTTTACAAATAAACAGTTGGGAACGTTTATGGTTTGGCTAGATTTGGGGTGTTGTAGTCAAATGAGTGCTTACACAGTTATTTATGTCCCCATCTAATTTATGAGATTGTCTCACAAATGAAGTAATGAATACATTTGATTGATGAAATTTATACACAGTGTCCAAGTGGAAACAGCCACAATCAAGATTAAAAGTTGGATAAGTTCCATCCTTTAACCACACCATTCATTCATTGGGAAAACACGAGTCTTGTTCGTGAGATAAGAAAGTTGCCCTTTCATCTTCCAATGACAATACCGTTTATTGTTTAGTGCCGACTGTCACGTCTGAATGAACGTGCGCTTCACATGATGATGATTAAATTATAGTGCAACAGAACAGACATGATTTCGAGATTATCCACTCTACAGTCTCATTCATAAATATCTAGTGTAGTGCTCTGATTTAATAAAAGGGAATATAAAATATTAAGTGTATTTGTAATGAATGAATACATTATTACATAGTCTCGACAAATCATTGATAACTAATAATTGAAGGGTCTACCACATGACCTCATCAATTTAGCCTATATGTAATAATATTGCCATCTAATTTTGTACACAAAAATAAGCTTCTAATTCAAAGACATACCTATTTATAAATCACAACGACAAAGTCAGAGAAGAAAGAAACAGGCCAAAAAAAACTTGGCAAACAAATTTTTATTTTCCTCAGCTTCATCGATTATTGATTTTAAGCACGAGTTGGAGAAAGAAATCGAGGAAGGAGTGATTCCAATCCTGCTGGTTCATTGTATTTCACCCACCGGCAAAACACGCGATAAGCATTTATTCTTGGTAATAGGAGAGATACTAACACGACACGAGGGTACGACGACGGCTCCTGGAGGGAAGTGAAAATATATGACTCTGTTTGTACGTAAGCCAGCCCGTACCTACAACCAAGCCCTTTGTCCACCTTTTCATCATCTGGATCTGGGGGTCTTGGGCTATCGTCGTCGTCCTAGAAGAAGAAATCTACTTCACTGATCTTGAGCTATTTACACAACCGAGTAGTGAACACCTTTCATCCAAAGTAATGCGGTATCAAGGATGAGGAACGAGGGAGTAAAAGTTACAGTTCATCATTGAGTATCAAGAACACTTGCACTTATGTAATCAATGTGAGGGAAGGCATAGTGCACACGGTGAAAGCAAGCAACTTGGTTTCCCTTTCTAATCAAAAGCACGCACGACGGTACACTTGGAGACTATTTTTGTCCATGGAATACTCGCTCTCTCGACGGAGCTACCACCCTTTGTGATAGGAAACGTTCGACCCATCAGTGAAAATGAGTTATTTACGATGAAATGGTTCAAGTCCTTGGAGGCAGTGGCAAATATGTGAAGAAATACATGAGAATTACACAAAGACGAATGTTCCTCAAAATAGGGTAGAAATTGAGTTGTAAAGAAAATTGGTCTACGCAGGAAAAGTTACCCCTTGCTCATCAACGAGCAGAGTGGTGGTGGCAGCAAAAATTTTTGTGCAGAAGAAAGTTGGAAATAATGATCTTTCTTTGTGATGGTCTTTGGGGCCTTCTTATGGATTCTCATAATAGCATCCATTCCACTTCTAACGAGTCCTGAGTTTGGTAAGTTTAATAGATTTCTACCCAAGCAATACGTACGCAAGTAGTTTCCGCAAATATGTATATCATGTTGCAAAATGTTGCTTTTACTTTATATGTATCGAATATTTATGCTTACTAATTGTTCACGTGCAGGTTCATCGAATAACATAGCTTGCAAATCCCAGTCATTAATTTCGATCTTAGGATTAGCATCTATCTTCCATTGGTATTAGTATGACCCCTAATCCTTCTGGCATCAAAGATTTCAAAGCTTGCTTAAGAAATATTGATATTTGTAAATTTTTCTCATTTCTGCACCGAGAAGTAAATTTATGTCCGTGAACAATAAATCGTAGGAAATTGAAGATACATATGTAATGGCAACAAAATTTCAATCAGAATTAAATAAACACGTACACATATCCATTTATACTGCATTGTACTTTTAGCACCCTCTTTATGGCGTGGGCGTGCAAATTGATATGATTATAGCTATTCAATTGAAAAGATTCAATTGAAACGTTAATGGATTTCTGGATGTGTTTAGTTGTTCGTGAAATCCGAGCATGTTGTCACCATCGGATAATCGTCAAATGTGCTGACAAAAACTTCAAGATCGCCATCGTTCAAGCCCGATATTTTGCAAGTGGTCCCGATGAGGCGTCAGTTGCAGCAGTAATTCACTCAAGGATAAAGTATTCCTCCCCTTTGGACGACCCACGTGATTTCCAGCAACAAGATCATCAGCATCATCGGTTTATTCCCTCATCACAACCATCCGTTTCGTGAGTATTTCATTTAGATTTTGTGGAATGTTAGAAAATTATGCACGTACAATAAAATCTGAAAATGATGACGTTTCATATGAACATTTTTTACACTGCATTATTTTCAAAATTAAATTTTTCCCTACAGTAATATGAAATGCATAAGACATGACGCTTAACATATGAAGATGCTGAATATGTGCATGCTTTTTTTCAGCCTGTGGGACTTGGACCTAAAGTTTGCTCACGAGTTGCAAAAAGAAAGTGTCCAACTACCATTTCCAGTGAACACATTGCCTGAATGGCACCCAGATCACTCTTCTCATGCTTCCAACCGACGCCGTTTCTTCCACTACCCAAGAAGACCTACAATTCCACCCAAATTCCCTTCGGGATCAAACTTCACGGCAGAAAAAGTGCTGGAAATGCCCTTGTACGAGACGAATTTCTTGGATAGTTCCACAATTTGGAATCAACCATTGTTTCCAATCGTTCAGAGCGAGAGTAGTGAAAGCAGGTCACTTTTGTCCTCAAAGTACTTTTCAGACACGTTCCAGACAGACTCTCCTGCGAAATTTCGAAACAAGTGTTTGTCTTACCAAACTCTGATGAGTAGTGCAGTTCATCGCTCTTCTATTTTGCCTCCTCAAACGCAGCCGTCGGACAGAACAACGGCCGGAAAGCCTGGCTGGCGTTTCAAAGATTTGAGAACTTATTTCAATAGAAGGTAAAATTCTCTCTTCGTGCATAGTCTTTTTAGAAAAATCACGAAATGACGAAGTTATACAATTCGACAAGAGGCATTCATCAGTTAAGTGTTACTTCCCCTCCAGAAAAAGTCTTAAATTCAATTAGGAAAGGTCACAATTTAGAAGTACTTAAAGTACTGCAGAAGGAAAAAATCTTTCCATTTTACACAAGCTTTATTTCTTAGGGTGACAATTTCGCAATAATGTCGCATACATTCCATATAGTACGATACCTTGCGAGTTTGTTACATTGTTCGCATTATTATTCCACCAATCTTGTCGAGCTCAAATCCTTTTGACACGGGAACATATCATGTCCATGTGTAAATAGAGAAATTATGCTGACAGACAAGAGCCATTTAAGCTGCATACGCACAAGGTTTGAATTCATAGAGATCTTATATACCAAATGTGGCCTGACATGGACTTATGTATGGTTATATGTAGTAGTGAGTGAGTATCATCCAGAAACGGGTAGCAGCTTGTGCAATAAGCAATTATCTTATATACATATGTGCCTGGTTCCATTGTGCGATGACGATACCTAACAAAGTTCTTTCCCTAGATATGCTCCCATTTGTACTCGGCTGAATAGCTGTCAAAAGTCGAGAAATTATGACGTGAACAGAGTCCGCATAAAAAATGAACATAAAACTTGGTGGCATTCATTGTAATTCCCCTTGATTGTACTGGATATTGTTCCCTGCTCCGGATAGGAATAGTGGTGGAGGCTGCGGAAGTCAAATGGTAAATTGAGTTAGCATTGATCAGACAAGGCAGAACAGTTCCCTGAGGTGTAATGTTCCTGATAAAATTGAAATACAGAGCAATATAAAAGTATGGAATTGTCAAATTGAGAGTGAATATTTATGCCCCATGCCCATGATGAGCTAGGGTGAGAATATGTACCCATGAACGAATAAGGCGATAATATTTGACATGATACCAAGTCGTAAATATGAATCGTAACATCTTGAGTAGTTCAGTTTTGCTGCACAATAATGACAAATTTTGTTCTGGATGGGGAGGAAAATGTATTAAATTTGAATAAGTTATCAACTAGTGTAATAAAAAATATTCTTTTTAAGTTGTTGTCCCAAAGCTAAGCACATATGCAGTACTATATTTTTTCTGTGGCAGTAATCTTTAAAGCTCTGTTTATTTAGGTGTGCATAGATTTTAAATGGCATTCTATCCGAGATTATAAGTCTGAAAGGTCAAAGTTAACTAATTTATGTATAATAAGGTCTAAACTTGATCAGGACTTTCAACTTTCTATATTTATGTATCTGATTTTCATATGTTCTAAATAAAATAAACTAATATTTCAGGTGCAGCGGAAAATCCGAGTGCGAAGTACTTTTAATTCAAAGCAACGGCCAAGATGAGGACTTCAGCCGAGTCTGTCACCTTATGCCAGATGGAATAATTGCTGTGAAATATATCTGCTTCAATTCTTCAATAGGTACGTACGATGTTTGTTCCTGTTTTGACATTTTTCTGGGCGAAGGATCAAGCTAAGGATCAAGTTTCAGAAAAACCTTATTATGTAAAAGATCGGTAACGTTCCGTATACATATATGTGCATGTACTATATGGAAGCAATAAAATTCGGACAAAAAAGCTGCTTTTCTTGGTATCCCCACGAAAACAAAGTGTTCAACACGACAATGTATCATACTTATCCCATTTCTCCTGACATCATGAGAACAGGACTGTCAACAGTAGTGCTACTAACAAGTGGGCATATATATAGATTTGGTCGATCCATCCAAATGCACAGTATTTTTGATCAGTGAAAAGTGGAAAAAGATCGCAGCAAGCACGTAAACATTTTTAAAGAATGGGAATTTCGGTAGACAATCCTTATCTGTGCACCTAGCGAAGAGGAGCGAGTGAGTGGATGAGATTTGGCTCAGAAAGTTGAGAATTGGGTGAACTTCTAAAAGTACCATCTTGAGTCTGTCATAAGATTTTATTCCATTGTAAACCCTTCGAGGAGAACTTTAGCAAAGGTTATGGAATAAAAATATTCAATTCAATTCACTCGACACCAACACTTGTATTCATCGAAAGAGAGCAACCACTGCACCGTTTGTTCATCCTATTATTAGCATGTTTACCTCTTATGTAAAGCCTGTTACAAAAACCAACAAAGTGAACACCGGGCTGATATTTATGAATGAAAACTTTAAAAAAATAACAAGCTAAAAGGATTGCTAGCTTGATACATTCTAAACACTGTGCACCGATCTTTATTTCTATAAATATGTATGTAAGCTGATATCTACATACGCCTACCAATTTCTTGAAGCGTTGTTTAATGCTATGTTTGAAGACAGCGGAAAAGATCAAATTCTGTAAATTAATAATGTTATTTAAGATAAGTGATGTTTTGGTAGAAAGCAGTGTTTTACTACCAACATCACCTATACATGCATACCTATGTACATATTTAAGCGTGTATATACAATACATATGTACAGTTTTTGCAGGTGAGGCATGTGTACATCGGTAGAAACCGAACCATTACCAGGCTGCTTTTGTAATGTAGGCTTCTCTTCTCTTTATCTCTCCAGTTTATTTTCTTGGGAAATTTTGTCTGACATGTAGAATAGTAACAATGAGTTAAGTTTTCCTACATGTAACCAAAGTTGGCATTTGAGAGGAAGGAAGAAGTGGCCATAAGGAACCAATTCCCATTTCTTCATTCCACGTCCTTGTTCCTTTTTCCTCAATATGCAATAGTGGAACTGAAAATGGAGCTGGTTGGCATAAATGCAACTCTTATAAAGAAATTGGGTTTGGAATGGATTCGTCCTGTTTCCACTATCCGGGCCGGAAATTGTTTATAAGGACCCATTCATAAATTTAAAGTTCCTTCCAACTCCCAAAAGAGTTAAATGCTATAACTTGATGAATGGACAACCCGAGCTATGGACCAGCACGTGTGTGTATGCACATGTACAACTGGTACAGTTTTGTGACACTTTCCTCTCTGTGTAAACTACTTGTCACAACGGCACAAGAGCTAAGAAATAAAAACAAGGGAGTTACATATGTGTAATGAATCTGTCGTGGGGTAAAGTGCTGCGAGTCGTAGATAAATACAATAATAATGAGAAAGCACAAGTTGAGTTGTATCCCAGGGACAAGAACTCGTAGGTTATGTTAGGCAGGCGGAGAAGGATTGCAACACACATCCGGGTCGTTGGGCGAGACTACTTTTACTGGTAATCCTGTGTCAATCTTCAGATAATTTAATGTTAAAGCAACTCTTTCTATTTGCTAGTTTATCTTTAATCTGGAGAATATAAATCCCTGGTGAGTACGTAGAACAGGGCTGAACCGTGCATCTGGCGGAAGTTACCCGAGAAAAGTGTCATTATAATTGCACAACCCATACTGCCTTCGTATTATTATTACTAGAAACCTGTCCCACTTTCTGTTCCATTTAGCTATTATTATTTAAGTCAACATTTCATTAAATACTTACATTGTTCTCATAACTCTCACGTGAGCAAACGTTCTGCATTTGACATGTGAGGTTTCTACATAAACACTCGGCCAGAGTAGGTATGCAAATACTTTCATAGATACAAATTGTTAGCTAGCCCCAGAGTTAAAAGTTGAAATTATTTAAAATTGGATTTAAAGTTAGCTCATAACTTTGGACTTCATTTAAATTCCAAGAAAAATTCAAGTAACCCGTCTATAGATTTCTATGTGGTTGATAAAAATTTCAAGGTATGTATTTTGAGAAAATTAAGAAAAAATAAGTGGAGGAACTATGTATAGTACATGAGAAACTTTTTTGAATTTATTTTATGCAGAACTTCTCAGTCAGTGCAACGAGACTCTTACCGAAAGAGTCACCAAGTCCTCTATGCAAAAAAAACTTGTTATGCTGTATGTATCAATGGTAGAACAACGAGCTGTGCGTAATGTCCCCTTTGTGGTATGATTCTTTGACTGTTAACAGGATTTTTATATTTTTTCATCTCTCTGAACCATGCTGTCTCACTGAGAATATTACATAGAAACTGAAATTGTGAAAGTTTTGCAGCCCAGTTTTATTAAAGTAATGTTTGTCCCCGAGATACCGACTCGAGACTTTGTACACATTTATTTACAGTCTCACTTAATGATCTCTTTCGTTTTTCGTTCTTTTAAAATAGAAAACACCAAAGAAAACTTCTGCACCAATGAGTCGACAAGTTATTTTGTGCATAGTGGGGCAATCCCACACTGACGCTACGCAATTATGTATAAGGCTGAGGAAAAAGCAGTTGTCTCAACGGGTCTGCACTAGAAACGGCCAAAGCGGCGTGCTTTGTACATGCTATCAAAATTATTTATAGAACAACCTTACGAAAAGCGTAGGTTGTGTGCATCAGAACTTTCTCTCCCACGTTAAAAGGTCTGAATATTCGTTCTTTTTTGCTCTCGTAAAATTTTATGAAATAATCGTTCTGTAAATATGGATCTGTGCGACACTAAAATTGGACAAGGGATGAAATTTAGTAGCGTTAGATTTATTATCGTATATGTTGAAAAACATTTTTCCATGATTATCAGATGCTTGGTGAAAAAGGGTTTCATTATCAGCCTTCTTGTGCTCTGAATAAATTAAGTAATCCAAGTCTGATGCAAAAGCAAACAAAAATAAATCCGATTTATTTTTCAAACTTAATAGCCGTATTTATTTCAGGTCCGAGCAGAACTAAAGGAATTATTACACATTGTATGAACACATGGTGGCCGTATTTTTCACAGAATATACGAATAAATACTACATGAAGTGATTTCATTGGTGGTCTGACGATAAAATCTCCACACAGGGGACCGGGACCAGCGTTTTCTAATTTATCTTTTGTGTGTGCCTTATATGTAATAACTTTATGAGATCATTGTCATTCGTTCCTATAGGAGGACGAAAGATTTCCATGCTTTTAAATCAGTTCATTTTATGACGACATTTAAGAATGGTACGACAGAAAGGGGACAGTTTGCAGTTGAGCTATAAATTGTTCCAGTAAAACTCTAAAATATATATTTGAAGACTGTGTGTATTCCTATCCTGCATTTTACAGTCTTCAGTACTTACTACGGAGAGAGAATTATATTGTGGTTTCCTGCAAACCGTTTGGATGAGGATTCTCGACGCTTGTGCATTAGCTAATTTCTGAGAAACTTGTATTCTTTATTTGATCATGTTCTTAATTACCCCTCGTGGTATTTATTGCGTTGGATTGTGTGCTTAGTTTATTTAACTTGCATAATACAACGCTATAATAGTCAAGAGATACTTTATTCGGTGAAGCACTTGGCAAAACCATTCTCAAAAATGTTTGCGCATTTCCACTACATATGTTATTCTTTAATTATTTCTTCTGAAATTCCTTAAGGGATTTTTATCATTCTTTTCCTTTCATATTTCTAAACAAACTTGCTACAAAACTTATGTTTACGTAGTGAGTTATGCTTTTATACAAAATGTACATTCATGTCATCTACATACTCGTACGTTAGCTGTATGTACCTATGTACGTATAATTTACTTAATTCATCGTGTTTGATGAAGCGAAAAATGGTGAAATCAAAGTAATTGAATGAACCAATGTATTATTTTGACGTATTACTCCATCATTGCATCTGCTTTACGATACGTACTTTTACGTACTTGTACGGCTAATTTTTAATTTCCATTCGTACCAACATAAATAATTCCATATTGTCAGGTGGCTGATGATCCCGATGATTTATGCCGTCTCATCGTGGATAATTATTAATAACTTTCCAATTCGATTAAATAATGTGGTACAGCTGTTGACGTAGCTGGGCTGGGGTGGGTGGTGGGTGTCATAAGCGTGTCGTGAGTGATCCGTGAAACCTGCCAAAATTGGAATCTCTGGAAGGACGAGAGAGTGTGTTCATAGAAAAAATAATGGTAAAAGGTTGGAGAGGGGTACCAACTGCTTGGAGAGGAGCTACGTCGGAATAAGTAATGGAAAATGTTCATTGTCCTGTATCCTGTCATACGAGTGAATGAATGGTTGACTAAACGAACCCCGAACCGAAGAAGCAAGCAGTTGTTGATGTACTTTCAGTACTTTTTGGTTTGGGTAGTTTATGGCTGAATTGGTTCCTCGGACGAAATTGAGTTGAACATGTGCGCTCATTTGCGCTTCGAATTGATCCATTTTTGTATCCCGACTGTGACTCCGTTCGTTCGAGGTTTCCATTATTGAGAGGCGTTTAAGTTTAGCAACTATAACCAAAGTGTGTGAAATCGGTCATGTTGTTTAAATTTTCATTTTTACGGAAAATGATAAGTGTCATCCATCATCTCCTCTCTACGTGTTCTCAATGTCTAAATGTAGGCGGCTCACATAATCGAGTACGTGCGTAGACTCAGCATTCGAATAGATCAACAGCACCACTTTATTTGTTTAATGAATATCCCTTCTACCCATGCACATACATATGTATATCGAATACAATTTTCATGGGTATTTTTGGGCGAAGCTATATAATACAATATCGAGCTATATTGAATCTCTGTTGTTACAGATTGTGCTTCTTATTATTAGCATGCATGCGTGAGTCCAATAATATGTTCGCTTGGGGCATGTTGCAACCGCTTTAAAACTTATTTAATAACAAAAGTTGTGATGCACAGGGAAATATGTACGTATAACCTTGAGTTTGACACACAATGAAAATGTTGTAGGTTAGAATGCACACAGTTCCTAAACTTTGACCGTGAGATTATTCACTTCAAAGCTACGTTTGAATTTTTTACCAAAATTTTAACTTTAGAGTCAGTTGGAGAAAGTTAAGGTTTCTCAAATCCTTTTCTCGCATAAATATTCCAGGAATTTGCTTGTCTGTTCCAATTCAAATGTTTACCATCCAACTGCCATTGTTCGGATTCATTATAATCGGAGTGAATTCCAAACTTCAATAATAGAAATTTGCATAATGGTTGTATGTCCGCAGTACTCGAGCTGTACATACAACGGAGAGAGATTCGATCACTGCATAAAATTAATTAAAGGATTTCAAGAAACAACTTGGTCAGATTTCATTGCTCGCATGGAGAGTTTGTTGCACATTCGGAGAAATAAGAGCCTAATGCAAAGTCTAATGAAACGAAAGCGATTTGGCAGGTTTATTTTATTCCATGATCAAATCATCAAATTTTACACCGATTGTGTTCATCTTCCAATCTAAGAAGAAGTTGTTCCTGCGTATGCAGAAAGTTTGCTAAAAGTTCAAGGTTACAGTTTGTATTCAACGTTAGCTGTACATTCAGAATAACAAGTGTTGACTTTCTCCTATCAAGTAGAAATGCTGTACTTGGAATGGTGTACATTGAAGTTTCATTGAATTATATTCCATACGAGAATAAGCACTGTTGTTGGAAATGCTCAAGTTTGTTCTATAATTTTTCTGTCTTTTAGCAACCTCGCATTCCAAGTGCAACGTGGATGTGACTCCTGCTACCGAGGGATTTCTGATGAACCCGGGCTACCCTCACTTGTACCCGGGTGATCTACCATGTGAATTTCGACTGCATGTGCCTCAACAAAAAATACTCTTAATATTTTTTGACATCTCAATCCGCACGGATCAAAGTAAGTATGAGTTTAAGTGGTAGGAAAGTATGAAGTATGTATCACTCCCATTTTATTCTGATCATTCCACTTATTAATTCTTACAATTCATTAAGTACAATAGGACCAAACAAGTTCATTGGCTAGTATAAAAATATCTTTAACAATTAATCACCTAACTTAACTACAAATACTTTTCCACTAAATTCAGTCTGTTTGATCTCGTCAGTCTCTTGAGTAATATTATCACCAGTAGGACTAGTAACTGTTTCGGTATCGGAGCGGTCGAGTACCCGTGTGACGACGTTAATGAGATCACTCACCTTTAACACCCTTGCATATTGCAACGCTTCGTCATCATCGTCACTACTCGATTCGTCGTCGTCTGCCGACTGATCCCTAAATATGTCGAAATTGGGTAGAGATCCTTGCACCAAGTTATCGTCTGCACCAAGATTGAAAGTCACGGGGATGAAACTGGGAACGTCAGTATTTCCCCTGAAAAATATGCATATTTAAGTAACATATTAATAGTGCACACAAATTATAAAATTTAAATTACTTGCCCCTTTCTACGTCTCTCAACCAGCAGTAAACGATTCACCTTCCGGGAATCCTTTCTCTTCCTCTTCAGGCCTTTCAGACGGAGTGAAAGTTTTGAATTCTCGGCCGTCACCGTTGAATTCTCGGCCGTTAGGTTCTCAATCTTCTTTTCAAACCTTATAATTTAAATAATTAGCAAAGTGAGCATGATTATTACTACAAGTGGTATATTGTACATACATGCATTAAGTGTCAAATTACTAACCCAAATACAATGTCAGCCCGGTCACCTCTTTCTTTCTCCAACAATCCTCTCGCCAGAATAAGCTCCTCTTTGTCGACAAGCTGGACAGTTTGGTTATGGTCGAGCCAAAGTTCATTTATTGACAGCAGGGAGAGTCGGAGTTGTTCCAAGTAGTCACCAAGCCAGGTGTAGCATTCTTCCGGCTTGACGGAGCAGATTGACCCTGTTTCGTTCCGGGTTAACCATTTTAGTTGTCCAGCAACCCATTTTGATGTAGCAACCATCCCTGGTACCTCAAATGCCTCCTCATGGTCGAAAAAATATCCAGACCGAAACATCTTCCTACATACAAAATGTAGAGATAGTACATTATGCTTTAATTAATTTGGGTTGAATGTAATACAAATTAATATTTTTGAGAAAGTTACCTATCTGTACATCCCTACTTGGCTGAGTGTAGAGTTTGTTGCCATTTCAGTTTTGCTGCCTCCTTGCTATCCTCCTCGTGTAAGCCAAAATACACATTTACAACCTCAAAACTAGCTGGATCTCGCCAAATGTAACCATATATTTTCTTTGATGAAACTGCAAATTTATATAAGTAGATGTATATATTTGAAAAGAGAGCATTATATCACATCACATAATATCATCTCATCATTGCATTTGTTATGCATCTTACTTTGTTCATCCTCTGTCAATTGCTCATAACCAGGGTTCGGAAAAACCCGGGGTTTTACTCTGAAAACAACTACCCCGGGGTTTTACTGGGTTTTGGGGTTTTACTGGGTTTTACTCAATGTTTGGGGTGAAATAATAAAACTTACAATGTTACGTCAATTTGTTAAATTAATGAATGTTATCAAGATTTATCAAAAAACTTCAATTCATAATGACAGGAACACAAGAAAAATACGAATTTGATCAAACTCCAAGTTAAGCTACAAATTATGATTTTTAGATCAGAAACAAAAATTCGAAATAAATAGAAAAATGTACGGAATATTAATCAGAGTGCTTAATTCGAGGTATATAGGCACCTGCAAACTGATTCTATAGATTTATCTATTTGAATTTCCGATAAAACTTAGTAAAACCCGAGTAAAACCCAAGTAAAACCCCTTTAACATAGTAAAACCCGCTGGGTTTTATTAATTTACTACCCAGTAAAACCCAGTAAAACCCCAAAACCCCAACCCAGTAAAACCCGGGGTCGGAATACCCTGCTCATAACGAATGGGTTGGTCGTTTCCATCAGATTTATAACCCCATCCTTATTTGTGGCGTTGTCCACTCACTTCATCAAGTCTAACTGGGGTCGTAAGTCTTTTAGGCTCGAGATTCCGATACTGTTGCTTCAGCAACTTCAAGTAGTATCCACTTTTTATTATGGTACAAATTATATTTTTATCACTTGGATTTTTTTTAAATTCACGATACTTTTGAAGGCCTAACTCTGCTGGTGAAACTTTTAACTTTTTTAGTTCCGATTTTATGATGGCTTTTTCTGAATGCATATTGAGAATGTGTCGATTAAGGTTAAAGGATGCTTTGCAAGTATATGGGCATGATGGACATGCAAATTTTTTTTTTCGAATTATGTATTCTACTTTGATGAACTGATCGCCCAGTTTGATTCTTAAATTTCTTGTCACATTTCGGACACTTGTATGTATACGCCGCTTCGTAATGTTCATTTTTAATATGCAGGCTCAGAGCAATTTGTGTTTCAAAATATTGGGCACAATATCCACACTTGATTCTTTTCTTGGTTTTGGACTTTCCATTTTGACTAGAGGTACAATTTTTCCGGTTCTTGTGCTTCAATAATGAAGTTTTGGAGTTGAATTTATTCTTGCATAAGGTACAGACGTGTTGTCCAAAATTTGTATGCATTTCTTTTACATGTTTCTTCAGTGTTTTTATGGTTTTGAACTTTTTATTGCATATACTGCAGTTTAGTTTTTTTAACAGACTTTTTATCTTGTGAATTGATATCCATTTTCTCCCCTTTAATAAACACTTTACTTACACACTTACTTGAAAAGTTACACACTGAGTAATGTTCCTCAACTATTTGCACCAACTTGACATCAAAACACTCTGTACATTAAACCGGAAGTTGACATAAGTTATAGTTTTATTTGTTTACATGTAACAACTAATTTTTAGTAAAATGTAAGAACGCATAAAAAATAGACAGGAGAGTGGGAAAGAAAGGTGGAAAGTGAGTGTTGCCGCGGTTGAAGTGAGATCTCACTCCGAGGTAATTCGCTTATTTTGCATGGAACATGACACCGTGATGGATTATGATAAGACCGTTCTTGGCGAGAGACGAAGAACGGCACGAATCCGTGAAAGAGACACCATAGATTATTGTAAAGTGCTTCTTCTCATAAAAAGTTGCATGTCAGAAATTACTCTGAAAGGAGCATAAAATGATATGACAGCCAAAATATGAGTGTGTAATTTGGTTATTATTTTAGTTAAAGACAAGGGGAAATGCCGGGACGAGCTTTCTGTCACAGATTCTCATCAACTTAAGCTTTTGAGTACCTGCGGGGATCAAGGAACGGGTAATGACAATGCAAACTCATTTCTTTGATACTATATAATTCCAGATCAGACTTCCATGAAATTATTTATAAGTACATTTATGGGATTATTTAAAATGGTCGAGCATGATTATGAAAACGTGAAATATAATAATAATATGGGAATTATGTCAGCTCTGTTTATTTCCTTTTAATTTACATTTTCAGCAATCGCCATCCTTTCTGAAACCCACCAACTAAACATAACACTTAATCCTCAAAGTCGTCTAGCATTCCCCAAACGTGGATTTTTAGCGTATTACCGAGGTAAAATCCTTTACCAAAATTTCTAGTTTTGTAAATTTTGAAGTTTTTGCCCACATCTTATGTTGAATATTTTTATGTTCTGATTTCTTCGCATATAGTAATTGGTTGCAAAGACCCGGAAGTCCCCCAAAATTCCTACCTGACCTTTCGGAATGCGACGACGGCGGTCGTAATTTGCGACGTGGGGCATGTTTTCCCTGATTCCCTGTCAAGGACTCGCTGGCTGTACTGCTCCCCACTTGATCACCGCTGGTTGGGAAGTTTCCCTTTTTGCAATGGTGTGTACATATGCATGTATAAACTTTATAAACTAGTACATGTCTAAACTTTCTCCAAAAATATGTGGCAACGGAATTTATGGGCTTTGTTGCTGGAGAGTGTCTCTTTGATCCGATCAAGTAATTGAAACTTATGCTTGGTCTTTTTGGGCTGGAGAGAACTAAAACTTTCTTAAGTGAGGTCTTTTCTCCGACCTTGACAGCAACGTCAATTGCATCCAACACTATGTATCCAAGTGCTTATGCCTATTTACTTATCTCTATGTACTTAATTCCATGTAGACATTCGGAATTTGGCGAAACGAAATGTGTCAATCGAACAAATGCTAAAAAATGATCCGTCTGTGTGGCCTTTAAGACATCCGATGAGTGATCAAATTTATTTCTCAGGTAAATAAGTACACTTGCACCCACTGCTTAAACATCTCGACCCTACATGAGCCATACTTTTGGCTCTTAAAGAACAACTAAAGACATTTTCTGGACTTTCATAGACGTTGGACTGCCCGTCATCGTTATTATGTTGATTTTCGGACTTCACGGGGTCATCCTGTATTTAATATGGCGTCAACGGAACAGGTAAGGCATATCTAAGATTCCCTATCTAGGACATAAGTAACGGCAGATAAATATTTGTACATAACATAAAAATGTATAAGGTTCGAAAAATGGACCTCGTTTTTTATAGGCTCGCTTTTTTTACTCTTGAATCCGAAATATCGATTCCGTTCAGAAAAATAATTTAATAATATCTTCTCACGAGAGCCATTACGTTTATGTTCCCACTTGCTGTAATGTGTATGTATATAGTCCCATTTTTGGAGCACTCAAGTTCACTTTTTTTTATTACGAGACTATAAAATGAAATAACGGCATGAGGCTTCCTTAATACAATTTGGCATCACTTCTATTAAATAAATAGATTGGAAGAGATCGAGAATCAGACGAATCTAGAAATGGAACGAATGTGCTCCACGAACGCGGCGGAGGAAGGGAGCATTTTTTCTTTTCCTGACTCATTCGTAGAAGACCTTTGGGATGATGATGATGAACTTGAGGAAACAGATCAAGATCGCACTCTGACCACACTCACGCTCCACGAAACCGACACCACCCCCAATTCTTCAGCGGCGAGGAAAATAACCGACTTTTCCCACTCGGAAGAACGAAATAATGGTCACATTCGCTACTATCTGTTCCACAACGACACAACAACAAGTAGTACGGCCACAAGTCATAACAATACAAGTGTCAGAAATGGTCATAAGCCTCATGCTGGGTACATTGGTGGGCAGCTGGTTACTTTTAATGGTTACTTTCGACAAACGGCTGTATAGAAGATGGGGAAAGTTCGAATTTAACAACGCTTTAAATTCCCGGTACATCAACTTTTACGAGTGTTATGCTGCAGAGCTTCTTCATATTTATTTGTGGCTTCGGTTTATTCATATTCCAGAGAAATGTGAAAGCAGATGAGCTTATATATGTAAATATGTAGCTTGGGAGAGTGGCATGGCATTGTTTTTAGGGATTCTTTTTTAAATATAGCTACGGAATAAAGTTGAGATTAACGACACTGTGACCAGTGTCACACGAATTACGCGTTACAACATCAATGATGAAAATCACATTGTGACCCTTACTTGACCCTTGGAGCATTGTTTTGTCGAAACGGATAATAATATGTTTGTCAGGAAATGTTTTGGATGAATATTTACTACATCGATTTCTTTGCTCGTTTGTACGTGTACAAATATACATACCTACATAATATGTATACCGCAGTAGGCTATGAATGTTATGGCTGTAATAAGGATGAGTGAAATCCTGTCACAAAAACTTTATGACGGGTCACTCTGTCTGATTGCAAGGATGATAGCCAGCCAGCCAGCCAGCCTGTTAACTAAATATGCTTGATATTTTGACTTTCCTTGACAAGCGCAAACAATAGCAAAACAATTTGGTTCATTAAGTTTCGGGAAACGGAAAAGGGGAAAGCGAGCAGTTCCATTCTGCATAAATGCGAGTAGTCATTTGCCACATATATTATGGAGACACTGCGAACATGCACTTTGTTCAACTGTCCTCGTGAAAGGCATAATTGAATTGAACAATTGCAGCAAAATATCCGCTCACGTCAATTATGTACAACAATTTGTAAACGATAAAATTAATTGTAGGGTTGCCATTCATAGAATATCTTCTTTATTACTAGTATTTCATATGGGAAATTATGCAAATAATTATGCAAATACTCAGTCCACAAATACATATTCTACTGTTTACATGAATGACAAATGCTTGTTGTATGTATGCTTTGCATGAAGGTTCATTATGCATTCTTGACATTAGTATTTGAAGAATTTTATGTTATGATATATTCAATTAGAATTCCTAATTCCTAAGTTAGCGTGTTGTTGAATGTGTTTATGTTTGTGTGTACTACTTTGAAATGAAGGGTGCGAAGATATCTAGCTATAGTCTGTATGCAATCAATGCTTTATTTTACCAAATAATTTCTCGAGTGTTATAAATATTGTAATAATTTTATAAAATTTATTTTTGTAGTAAGAAGAAATTAATAAAATGTGTTCAACTCAAAAAAAGAGGGATTCAAAGTATTTAGTTTAAAAAGTTTAAGTTTGTAAACATAAGTTTGTCAACAAATCACATTGTGACATTGTGACGTTTATGTCACATGACACTACGTGACATTACGTCACATTGTGACGTAAGTTGCAGCAGTAGAAACACCGCAGTTGTTATCTTTCTGACTCATTAAAACATAACCATCATTGCCCCAGTAGGTCGACCAGGAGTTCTTTATCTAAAAAATAATATTTTAATCATATCGCCCCAAATTCGTAGATATGCAACTCGCTGCATTGAAAATCTTACCAGCCAGTAGTCCTGACCATTAATTGTCCCATATCTATTCATATATGTAAAAAATAATGAAAAATATGAAGATGATCTTTAATAAATCATTGCTGGTGTTAAATGAATGAGTCAATGTATTAAATTTCCCAAGATCGGAATTACCCAGTGAGTAAAACAGCATGGTCAAGATCGTCCACTCCATTCTCTGAAAAGTTAGTCACGTAAATGAACATTTTATTAAGTGATGAGAAGTTGAGAACTGGGTAAAGACTTACTGCATTGAGGATCGTAATATACTCCATTCGCATAAAATGACAAAGTTTTGTGCGAGGCGTCAATTCCAACGGATATCGGGCCATTCTTAAGCATTGAAAATTTGAGAGCATTGGAGTCTCCAGATGTCACATTCACGTATCCTAACAAATAAAAATGCTAATTTATAATCATGCTCAGGCTTTAGTAAAAATTTTAGAATTGTGCACTTTACCCGTAATCTTTGCTGCCATCGTGGAATTTTGAACATGACAATATGCATCCTACAAGGGCATCGTATTATCATCGCTTTTGGCGTATTTGTAGAAATTGACACAAAATAAATCAATAAATTTAACCACTACTCACAATCCCTAGGTATGGTCCATATGAATCTTCTGAAGGTACGCCCCCATGTTTCATGATCCATTGATAAGAGCGAAAATCTTCCCCTCCATCGCATCCATTGTTTCCAAATCCCCAAGAACAATCAACCAGGGCCTGATAAGTTCAAAATCAGCCAAATAATCCATCAAAAATTTGTATTTATATGCTTTACGGATGATTTGAAACGTGTCGTGTCTGAACTATAGGATGTCCAGTTTGTTTGTTTAAACTACGCTTGAACTGACCCAATTCTGAATCACGTACCTGTTGCGACAATCTCACGAGTGTTCCAGTTTTCAAGAAATTTGCTCCCTCAATAGTACCAATAGTACCTGTGGAAGGTAGTACAAGTGTGTGTAAGAGACCAGTTAGTAAACGGCAATAGCAAAGTACAGAAAAATGTCTTCGTACCGAAAGACCAGCAGGATCCGCACACACTTTGATCTGTTTCAAATTATGTTACAAAACCGTAAAAAATGCATTAATTCTCAGACTGAATGCATATGTGTAGCTTGATGAGATTTTCACCACCTTTCACCGGCGTAACAGCTCCGTACAGCCTCCAGTCAAAACTTGGAGGAAGATCCTTGGCATCACTTTTGTCATAGCTTGGAGAAGGTAAAGCACCATTTGATCCTTTTGTGGTAAGCCTGCCTCGGAGAACCTGAGAGACAGACAGTTATATATTCCCTACACATATCATGCATACTCGATGCATTGGAGCGAATAACGACGTACAAGGGAACCATAAGTGCTGTCCCATCTCGATTTCCTTTCGGATAGTCTTAATTGATAGATAATTTAGTGTAACTTAAAGTTTGTCATAGAACATACGGTGCAAAGTCAGGTTTTCGCGAAATATTTGGCGAGAGCGGCACCGAAACGTGCAATTTTTCCAATGCTTTTAACATCATTTTACAGCATTTGGAATGATGAAATGAAGTTTACAAATATAAATTATATACCCGACTATAATTTCATGTTGATCGCCAATATGCAAAAAACGATCCAAACACTTACCATTTTATTCAAATCGCGAAAATCTAGACAATTTTCTGAATTTGAATTTCGTCTTTTTTGGAATTTCGACATAATTTAAATTTCCAGCTTCTTTTATGCATTACAAAAAAGTTTTCAAAAACTATTTTTTCCTTACTGCAACACAATGGGCGAAAATTTTCAAAAATTGAAATTCACCATTTTTCATGGAAAAGTTAACACGACCAATGCTATTCTATTTAACGTATTCTTCAAAATTGTTGGCTATATTTATTTTTGCAGGTTGTAAAGAATTCTGGAAATTTGTAGCGTCAAATTTGTAGCGCATAAATATAGGGCGCCCTATATTTATGCCCTTCTATATAGACACCATAGTGGAATGACCCCATAGGGTCCCTCCCAGATGAAAATTTTTCGTTTTCCAAAAAGCTTAAAATCTCCAACGATGTATGGAAAAGTTATTTTGTTAAATAAGTTAAAAGCTGACGCTACAAATTTCCAGAATTCTTTACAACCTGCAAAAATAAATATAGCCAACAATTTTGAAGAATACGTTAAATAGAATAGCATTGGTCGTGTTAACTTTTCCATGAAAAATGGTGAATTTCAATTTTTGAAAATTTTCGCCCATTGTGTTGCAGTAAGGAAAAAATAGTTTTTGAAAACTTTTTTGTAATGCATAAAAGAAGCTGGAAATTTAAATTATGTCGAAATTCCAAAAAAGACGAAATTCAAATTCAGAAAATTGTCTAGATTTTCGCGATTTGAATAAAATGGTAAGTGTTTGGATCGTTTTTTGCATATTGGCGATCAACATGAAATTATAGTCGGGTATATAATTTATATTTGTAAACTTCATTTCATCATTCCAAATGCTGTAAAATGATGTTAAAAGCATTGGAAAAATTGCACGTTTCGGTGCCGCTCTCGCCAAATATTTCGCGAAAACCTGACTTTGCACCGTATGTTCTATGACAAACTTTAAGTTACACTAAATTATCTATCAATTAAGACTATCCGAAAGGAAATCGAGATGGGACAGCACTTATGGTTCCCTTGTTAGTTTCACAAAAGTGAGGTAAAAACCGTAATTTCTCTTACCCGAAGTTCGTCTTCAGTTCTATCCGCAAGATGATTAATTGCCAAACGGAAAGTGAGACCTTGTCTGTTTTTGCTGTGAATGAATCTGAAATTATTTCTGAAAACATTGAGCCGATGATGATGTTCTCGATCGTGCTTGTATTGTTTGTTGTGGGTATTGATGAATTCTTCAAAGTTGGTTTGGACATGACGATCCTCATTGTGGATGAATTCCTTCATTGGATTAAACGTTGCGATCGTTTTATGGTGAGACACGCCAGGACCAGGGAAGTCACCGCAGCTCAGACCTATAAATATCTATGTATCACCTTCATCGTCTGTGAATTCGCAGTATTTTAAATCTGTCAAACTTTTTAATAATAGCGACACGGAAACTGACTTTGCTTCCTGGAATCGTACATTACATTCCGCATCCGAATAATCTACGCTCTTTACGAAACATCAATCGCAACTACTAATTAAATTAATGCGGGCACTATGCAAAGACTCCGAGCACGCATTGACATCACGAACCTCTTCCGTCCGAATATAAATTCTTTGATCATCGCCACTCTCATTAATTGTAACGAGAATACGTACAAATTTATGTAGATTCACACTCGCACGAACAATAACGAGTACGAGAATTTATAGGAACTGATGAGAAAATATCACAAATGTAAAGGATGCTTTTATCACTATGAACGTGACGAATCAACATCTGAACAATTTAATTTCAACACTAAAATGACCCAAGTGGTTCCAAACTAAGCATTATTATGTGTCACACTAAGGCACTTGGATTTTGCTCAGGATTTCCCTTGGAAAAACTTTTTCTCCTAGCAATGCATGCAAAACCTAAGGTAAGACCAGCATAAGATTTTGATTAAGATCTTAACTATCTAATAAGCATAATTAAAATTAAAACTTTCAATATGAAAGTTTTACTAATCGTTTCTAATCAGAGAAGAGGAACATGAATTTGGTGAAACGATTTTGTGTGTTTTTCAATCAGATATTTACGAGATTCGAGCATCTGAATGGGCCAACTTTGAACTTGATTAGATGATTAGATGGTACGCACCCTTTGCAACACCTGTTCCATTGAACATGAGCGTTAAAATAAAACATGATTAATTTTGGAAGGGTGAGTAAGCCTGTTTGTAGCCAAGTAAAGTAATTAACTCTTGAAACAGCCATTGCGTACCGACATATGAATCTGCTTTGTATGCTATGTACAAATGCATGCACTTTCCGGTAGGAGTGAAAATGAGACAACTTCCAAAAACTTACTGGGTGGTACTTGAAAGACATCGTCAGTGGGTAATTCCGGAGAAAACCAATCATAGATTAAGTAGTAGTGGTCGTAATGGGATCCCAGTAACGTGTTGTAACCTAAATTTAGATTATAGGTTGTAACTTAAATGCTATTTTATTTCATCAGGTGAATTATAAAGAATTATAAATAGTTTATTCTGCTACAATTAATTAGTTTATAATTTTATAATACCTCGCATCTCATACTTGACGGGAGTACCAAGCGATATGTCAGGATCTAACGGGGAAGGCTAAATCAAAGAGCAAAACACGAATGTATTCATTACTTTTCAGATAAACATGTACGACAATGAACTTTACTACCACAAATATTTACTCGTAAAGCAAGGATATTAAACTGATGAAGCTCTTGGGACTGAGGGTCAGAAGAGCAAGACTTACCTCCACTTTCACCCAGTACGTATACTTGTTAACTTTCTGTCCTTTGGTCTCCACGAGGGCGTATTTCTTGCACTTTACGCTGTTTACAATCTCAGTCCCCACGAACTAAAACATTTCAAGAGGAGCAGTTGAGTAGTCACTCTTATTAACTTTGTGAGAGTTGCTTAACAATTTGGTAAATTACTTTCATAGGCAAAGATCCTTAAAATAGAGTCATAAAGCTGGATTTAATTAAAACGGAAGAGGGCAATAACAAGGCTTGTTACTGTACGTAACGTATAACTGATTTAAGTGCGCTATGCATGCATATGTTACATACATATATGGAGCAACATGCTTATTATGTATGTATACATGTATCCGTGCCGTTACGGATTACAGATATATATCTTATTCTAAATTTAACAATGGACACATGGAATTATTTACATTTGTACCATCGCAGTGATACATTAAAATATGTACGTCAATGCATTTACTTACTTAGGACCAGTGTAGCTAGTTTTACCAGGTTTAATCATAGAAAACAATGCAAGAATTATTAGTAAGTTCACCTGAAATTGTGACGTATCTGGGAGTACACTTTGGGCTGTAACTTTGGCATTTGCAGTTCCATTAACTTCGAAACAAGTCAACTTATTCGTATATTGCTCATTGGTCACGGGCACAACTTTTCGCATGACCCCATTTTCATTCAATTTCGAGAGTTGGAAAGTCTTAGAAACTCCTAAAAGGTCAAAATTACGTGTTTTCATGCTAAAATTGGCACTTAATCTGCATAATTAACCAAAATGAGTTAACTGGTAGAAATAATATAAATGCCACATGAATAATTTTATCACAAAACCTGCGAGAGATCAGATCGGACAACATAGAATTACGAAGACGCAACAAGGTGAAAGCAAAAATTCTACCTCCATAAAAGTCAATCCTGCTTCTACCCTTGTCATCCATCCATGCTGCAAACGGCTCTTCATTTGGGCATGTAATTAAACGCCGCAATAAATATATGGATTTTCCCCGATAAAATATGGAGTTTGACCCTAAATGATATTTACCCGAACATGATACTTTTTTTGCCCTATAATAATCTTTGGAATCCCATTAATAAAATTACTGGCCACATAATTAAAAGCAAGTATAAATACACATATCTAACTGTAATTAGAGTTCGCTGATCAAAAAATTATATTTCAACTCAAGTCACAAAACCATATCACATTGGCAGTTTGTTACAACATTATTTAACTGCACAGGAAGCTGAAGAAGTTATTGAAAGTGAAAATCAATTGGTATATAAAGGAAGTACCAGGCATTAGATGATTAAGTTTAAATAAGGTTATCCGTTGGATTATTTTGGTTAAATATGGATTGGAATTATCATCATACAAAATGCCAAATAAATCTAACAACTTTTATAAATCGGTATGAGTCACCCAGTAGGGTACCTCTGGTTAATTTATTTTGCAATTTGACCTATCTACATGCCAAATTTCAGCTCTTTACAACTATTTTGAAATTTTAGCACATAATCCTAAAAGACCCATATATCCCATAAGATTCTAAAAAACATAGTGAGTACCCTGAACTCAAACGACAGGTCGTAAGTGTCCCTTGTGAGACTATAATTCCCACACAAAAATTCCCTTGAATACGATATTAAATTCATAACTACATCAAGATTCCTAAACTTTTTAGCTTGTTTCCGTGGAGTGAATGTATTAGGATTTTGTAATGAGGTTGTCCAAGGATGGGCCGTCTTTTAAAAATTATTAAAAATTTTCGAGTTGGGGACAGGCACGCATTTTTTGGCGTTGTCACCCGTTGTTGGGTGAGTGAAAAATTATTTTTCTGTGGAGTTTTTCATTTTTAACTCAAATGCATATTATGTGGTATTGACCACTGCTGCCCCTGATACTTTTGTATATTTCTACACTTATTTGTGCACACATTTTTATGAAGATAGCGACCACAGCCAGGAGGATAATTCGAGTTCCAGATAAAAAAATGTTTATTTATCTAAAAAACCTACAGTGCAGACTCCATATAGCCCGAGTCAGGGACAGAGTCCCTGACTCCGTGAGTCCTAGCTGTTTCTAAATTTTTCTCCGAATTGACCGACATAATATTACCACTTTGAACTTCCACAGCTATATTTGCTATCAAGAAGTGGTTTTTAGCCTTCGTACCAAATTTCAGATGGAAAAAATTAAACTTAAAAAATGGTATGGGTTACCCTCCAGGGTCACTCTGGTTAAAATTCGCTCACTTTTAACTTCATATCCTTTCATGAGAAGCCATTAGGTATGACCTTGCCGGATTTAATGTTTTTAAAGTAATTTCTAAAAATCGGTATGGGTCACCCCATAGGGTCGCTCCTGATAAGAATTTTACCAATTCCACGTCATATTCTTCTATTAAGACCCATTAGCAACCTCTCTACCAAATTTCAGCTTTTTATGACGATTTTGAAAAATCAGTATGGGTCATCCCATAGGGTCCCTCAAGATGAAAATTTTTCAAACTTAAAGTCATTTTTATCTATTAGGAGCCATTAGCAACCTCTGTACCCAATTTTAGCCTTCTACGACAATTTTGAAATTTGGTGCATAATACCCCACCCACTCCGATGACCCCCACCGGTCAACCACTTGACCGATTTCGCCCATCTTCGAACTCGTTTCCTAACTTTGTCCAATATGCATATGGTAAAAATTTCAAGTCAATCGGTTCAGCCGTTTTGGCTCTATCGTGCCGGACAGACGGACGGACGGACATGACGGTTCCATAAGCCCTGACTCGGGCTAAAAAACTGACAAATTGTCATTCTAATGATTTTAAAAAATTATACCGTTAACGATTTAGGTTATTTTACCAGCATTTGTTTACCGACCTAATTATATACCGACTAAATATTTTCCGATCTAAATATTTACTGACCCAATAATTTATCGACGTAATGCAATAAATAGAAATAAAGATCAGAAATCATAATAAACATGGTGAAAGTCGATATCTAGCTTCAGCCGGGCCTGAAAAGTGCGTCGCAAGTAAAATTGTCCCATGTCGAAAGGGAACGATGTCGTCACGTAGAAATTTCGACCTGATGTCCATTCAGAATATGCAAAAATATCATGAGAAAAGTGTTCGTGGACTTTTTTCCTCTAATCTGGTCTTTTTGGATAGTGTGCACGGTAAATAATTAAGTCGGTTATCATTCAAGAAAATGCTGAACTTTTAGGTGCACCTTTAACGTATGAATCAATTGAGCACGTTTTTCGCAAAAAGATTAACGCTTTTTCTAATATGGCAGGTCGATTAAACTCCATTCCCAACCATATTGCGTATTATCTCTTGAAACATTCTTTAGCGATTCCACGATTAGTATACCTACTGAGGGCAGCCCCAATTTTTAAATCTCCTCACTTGCTAGAAGAGTTCGATTCTTTGCTCCATGATACTTTAGAACAGATTACAAACTGCCAAATTAATCCTCTATCTCTAGAAGAAATAGCTTTGCCGGTTAAATTAGGAGGTTTGGGAATTAAACAATCGAAAACTTTAGCAACTCCATGCTTCCTTGCATCTTCATTTGCCACTACAGATTTGGTTTCTTTAATTTTGCCCTCATATGTCACTGCTTTGTCCGATTCACTTGTGACCGAGGCGCAAGACTTGTGGAAGTCGATTAGTTGTGATGAACTACCTCGCAGTACAATTTCCTCTATTCAATCATCATGGGAAATCCCAATTTTTAATCAAGTATGTTCACGTATCCTGGATTCATCCACCACCCCAATTAATACCGCTAGGATTTTGGCATCTCGGTCAAAAGAGTCAGGTGCATGGTTGCAAGCTTTACCATCCAGGAATTTAGGCACACTTTTAGACGATAATTCCTTTAGGATTGCAATTGGTTTGAGGTTAGGTTTAAAATTGTGTTTCCCCCATAAATGTGTTTGTGGTACACAAATAGATGAACTAGGATTACATGGCCTTTCATGTAAAAAAAGTGCTGGCAGGCACTCTCGACATACACAATGTAACGACATAATAAAGAGAGCCTTAATTTCTGCAGACATACCAAGCATTAGGGAACCATTAGGGTGTTGTAGGACAGATGGAAAAAGACCGGATGGTCTAACACTAATACCTTACAAACAGGGACGCTCACTAATATGGGACTTTACATGTACAGACACTTTTGCCCCCTCTTATCTCTCTCACACACTTAGACATGCTGGCACAGCAGCAAAACTAGCCGAGACCAAAAAACACAAACTTTACTCTGAACTTGAAAAACAATATATCTTTGTTCCGGTGGCTGTCGAGACATCAGGAGTATGGGGGATGGAAGGGTTGAAGTTCATCCAAGATGTTGGGAGGAGGATGAAGGATGTCACTGGACCAATGTCAACAACATTTCTCATTCAACGGATCAGTTTGGCAGTTCAACGCGGGAATGCGGCATCAATCATGGGAGCTGTCCCCAGTCAACGAGGATTAGAAGAATTATTTTATATTTTAAATGATAGGTCGTTTTATTTACAAAAATCCTGTAAGGGGCCGAATGGTGATCTCGGACGCCTATCCGGATCAAGTAAAGGTTTTCCCAACCCACCAACATCGGGTTTTTCCTCTACTCCCCAAGCCAACTAAGTGTATTTCATACTTTATCAATGTTTATGTTAATAAATAATTTTCTATACATTAAGTCGGTAAATATTTAGTCGCTATATAATTAGGTCGGTAAAAAATTGGTCGGTAAATAATGCGTCGGTAAGTTGATGTCGGTAAAAAGGTGGACACCTCAATATCACATAATATGCATTTGAGTTAAAAATGAAAAACTCAACAGAAAAATAATTTTTCACTCACCCAACAACGGGTGACAACGCCAAAAAATGCGTGCCTGTCCCCAACTCGAAAATTTTAAATAATTTTTAAAAGACGGCCCATCCTTGGACAACCTCATTACATAATCCTAATACATTCACTCCACGGAAACAAACTAAAAAGTCTAGGAATCTTGTAACTACATCTTGTAGCAACCAATTAAATTTCCATGATTTTCTATAAAAGACCAATATTTATTTCAACCAGTTTCCAAGTTTTGAGTTTTTTGCCGAAAATTACGAAAAATTCACTTTTTACCATTGGTCGGTATAGGAAAAATTCCAAAATTTGCGAAGAAAAATATAGAAAAAACTCCTCGTTTCACCATCGAATTTTCCACAAAATGCCAGAGAAACACACGCATTTTGGAAAACTTTGAGAAATCTGGATTTTTTCAAATACGTGATACGACGTATACGACAAATGGTTAACCAGGTAATGTGATATGGTTTTGTGACTTGAGTGGAAATATAATTTTTTGATCAGCGAACTCTAATTACTGTTAGATATGTGTATTTATACTTGCTCTTAATTATGTGACCAGTCATTTTATGAATGGGATTCCAAAGATTATTATGGGGCAAAAAAAGTACTATTTTCGGGCAAATATCATTTAGGGCGAAACTCCATATTTTATCGGGGAAAATCCATATTTTTATGGGGTCGAAAATTATATCCCTTCAATTTCCGCGTAAGGAATAAACAGAGTTCCTTCCGTGCTGTAGGTTGAGCTTATTAAGGGAAATTCATTGGAGGCGACAGAGTTATCATGAATTCCAGCCATGGCTCCCCCTGTTACATCACAATTTATTTTAATTCTGAAATCGTTAATAAATGAAAATCTTTGACATGACGCAAGACTTTAAATGACGTAAGATTTCTCGTCATTTTGATTTGAACTTTAGCAATGTTATTTCCCTTCGGTGATCATTATAATTAAGATAAAAACATGTATATGCATATAAATACATGTAGTTCAGATGATAGTGTACATTGGGCAATGGAATTGGTACCAAAATATCATGCTATATGGGAATAAAAATCTCACCTGTTGAGCCCAAGAAGATCGCAAAAATCACTGCTAGACAAATCTGTCCCATAGTGACAGCACTGCAAATAAAGAAGTCTAAGAATCCTAACTTTGAAAATAGGCCACTTTATACTACAAAAAATGTTTGATGTTGAAATTATCGGTAATAATACTTGGGCAATAAGTTCTTCGTTTTGTGCTCAGTTTACTTTGGAAAACAAATTATTATCTCAACAACAAATGCTTCATATTACACATACTTATATCTCTCATATAAATATATGATATTACGCATGATGTAACTGGATGTCATGTGAGATGGGCATTGAGATTAAACTTTGAGATGCTTCATAGGAGCCTGTAATTGGATATTATCCAGCCTGAACTTTGACCTGGATCCAGAATTCCAACAACCCATCTCTTTTCTTCCCTGCGTCATCAATGTCATCATCTTATTTTTTACGCATTAACAATTACTCAAGATACATAAATAATATTCAGAATATTGAAATATCCATAATGTGAACATTTTCTCCTCTTGATCATTAATAGGAAATCCTTGCTTTTGGTTCCCCCCGTATGCATGGCACTAAATAGTTTAATTATACTAATTGAAGGTCTCATTCCCAAAATTTCTCAACTTTGATTAATAGAAATGTTCATCCTACGTTCATGCTACGTTGCACAATACATTTTTCGAAATGAGGCAGAAACTTTCTGACACAGATTTTACGACATCCTTGAACATTGGGATGAGATATTATTTGCAAATAAAAGTTAAAGTTGTATTACCTCAGATAAACTTCCCCACTTATCAGACCTGTTTTTGGCTTTGAGCAAGATTGAAGAGGAAAGTTTGACCGCTAATCTGATCCTCCGGTATATGTTTTCCTTTGTCTAATGCCCCCTTTATGAGTATTGGTTATCGATTGCACGATTTGGTTTTAGTTGGGTCTTCTTCGGACCGGACAACATCTGCTGGAACTGGAACTTGACTAATAAGGTACAAACATCTGCTGGAGATTTTACACCCCAGGGTTCATTCATCCTTGATCTCTGATGATGCTAAATAATGTACCTTCAAACGAATGTACTTATGCATGTATATCGCTAAGGATGCAGCATCACTGGAGCTAAATCAACATGCATGCATGGCAAGTATGTATCATCGTATATGTGCATGCAATATTTGTCATATGAGACTAAACATACTGATTTATAACCAAATTTTTCCATGTCAGTCTTGCATTTGTACATATAGTTATGAATACAATAAAAATGCATACATATGCATACCTTCATTAAAATTTGGATACGAGTCCTCCTGACGTGCAAATTTTGCAATATTCAAAATTAGTATATATAGATATATACCAAGAAATAAAATATCATGGCTCACAAACTAAATAAGTATCCACATGTATGTACGTTGTACGTTAGTAAGAATTTGGCATAATAATTGGTTATGCATAAGTGGAGAAGTGATGAGTCCTTATAGATGATATTGGAATATATATAAATATGTAGATACTCAAATACCTATAAATATCTATGCATACATACCCTCTCGTTCTAAGAAAATATTTGAGTGTATTAACTACAAAAATAAATACATACAATACGTATTTATGTATGTACGTACATTAAGGAGTAAGAAACATTTTGACTCAATTTATAAGAAATTGTGCGGTAGAGTTAAATTCCTATATGGTGTCAAGAGATACTTAAATCTGCAGGCCTTAAAAGCCATGGTTAATGCACACCTACACTCTTTGACTGATTACTGCCTTGACATTTGGGCCATACATAATGACACTAAACGTGACACCTTACAAGCAAAAATCGATAAATACCTATGTATTTATTTTTACTTGAGAGTTGCCAAGAAAACAAAAAAGAGTACTAGTATTTCCTTCTCGAGCATTCGCAACTCGGCTGAAATGACACAGATTCGTGACGATTGTAACTTTTTGACATTAAGTGAGAGACTGAAGTTTGTAACTCTTAAAAATGCTTATAAGAGATGGTCTCTAGGCAAGCTTTCTTTTTCCGACAGTAGAGTTTCCTCGAATTTATCCATGCCGAAGCTTGACCCTATTGTGCACAGGACTGAGTCCCGTAAGCGGGCCCTCACATATCGCACCTACAAATTATGGAATGCCCTCCCAAAAACCTGGACATTCAAAGACATGACTTACTCAACGTTTTGTGACTCTGTTAAAGATTATATTTTAAGTCTTCGTGAAACAGTGTAAAAGCAACTGTATGTATTATTTAGTTTATAGTTATAGAACATTGTATTAGTTAAATTTTATTTGAGATTGTCGCTGGGTGTCCAGGGCTGAAAACCAGTACTTGTGCTGACGCTCGTACGACACCATTAATAAAAACTTCAATCAATCAATCAACCAATCAATCAAAATGGGAACAACATTGACTTTATTTAATTCCGATAACCTTTTCTGCAATATAACATTTTCTATACGTGGACAACATTTCAAATCACTTTATTTCCTCTACAACAAGATTAAAACAAAGAAGGGAGGTGAAATATTTTGTAAGTTACACGCCTAGTTGCGCGATAGAGTTGGAAAAAGGTGAAAGTCTTTAGAATAAATTTCTTGAGTAAGGCAAGTTTTTGGATGGACAGAAAGCGATTAGAGTTTATGCTGCTGGTGATCAACTCGATGAAGGATCTATATTGTACGAAAATGAATCACATAATATTGCTTGTTTAGTGAATTGGAGTGAAATAACAGTACGCTGACAAACTCGTGCATAACGAACGATGATCTATGTAGCTATGCACAAAAGTTGTTGGTTGTTTGCCCCAAGAAGAGAAGCTTAGAAGCCGAGTCCAGTGATCTTTCTTGCATAAGACTTGCTATGGGCGACATAGTGGCTGTTGCTATTTCGGATATTTTGCAGCAGGATTGTATCTTTATTCACCCGACACGATTGGGTGCGTCGGCTGCGATCCATGTACGACTTAAGGGCTCGTTCTTCCCAAAAGAGCGGCTTCACCGTGTCGGCTCGTGCCCCCTGTGACCTTGAGTTGAGGTAATCAATCATTGGGCGGTAATAGTAGGAGCCATAGTCTGTCAAAGGAAATTAACCCGTTAATTGATGGGTGGAACTGCAGAATGACATATTTATTCTCTGTTTACCATAGTTGTATTCGTATAATGCACTTTTAGGTCTCGCCCAGTGACAAAATTGGGTTAGTGCTTTCTTCTTTGGGCCCTCTCCAGCAAAACTTTTCCCAGTATCAGTTTCAGCGTCTCCCATCGTTAACTATTAAATATCGAACCTGCAATTTAGGACATCAATGTAATTATACAACTCACCAGAGCATAGCATAAATATGGGATCTGTAAATTTAGATGGATAACTGCATAATAGAATATGCTCACACTTAAGAAATTGGACACATTGAATGTCCTATGATGCTTCAATTACTTATTTCGAGGCTACTACAGACTTACATCTCATCATAATGTTTGATGCATCACAATATTGCAAAATTATACTGTTCCACGAAATGAATTTAATTCTTGTTGTCATTAACTGATGATGCGAAGAATCATAAATCACTTTTCCGAGCGTTTAGTAGCGCATAAAATAAACATGGACTCTTGCCAAAAATTGTGCATTTGGTGAAGAAAGCCTCCGCCTAACCGAGAATACCTTCCATACATATTCTTCAACATCTAACAATTAATTTTCGTCCAATTAACACTTTCAAAATATTTAAAGAGTGCATTTGCCAAATCCATGCTCAACAGCACCCCAAAGCCCAGCCTAATCGGAGGCTGCTTATGTATGAAGTAACGATTATGAGCTTGAGAAACTCATTTGGCTAAAACAATGAAATCTTCATTACATCGTTCGTTGTTAATAAACGGAGCTCAGCCATGCAGCAGATTAGTGAGTCAAGGTGAGAGAGGTAAACCCACGCTGCGTGCATATTATGGAAAAAGTTTATATTTGTCTGATCTTTTGTTGCTGCTCATCAACCGAGAGGACACACGACATTGGGGAAAATTGTTTGCAATACTCACAGTTCTCATCCTCAGCAGTGTGTAGTATGGGGCTCAAAGACTATAATTAACCACACGACGCAACGTCAGAAGACAAAAAGAGACATTCTTCCACTCACGGTGATCTCAACCGGTATAAAAAAGTTACACACGACGACAGTTGTGAAGTGTGGCATATAGGAAACGAGATGATACCCTTTTACCTCGAAGCTATAATCTCGATGTCTGCGAATCAATCGAATAAAGTGCAAGAAACCAGAGTAAGAGACGATTATTATACCTCTTGCAAAACAATTACCGAAGAACGAACGAATCTTATGTTGCATGCGCCTGGATGGCTCGAGACAATTGTTATGCAATTAATGTACAAGCACAGAATAGTATTTATTGCTCGTAAGACTCGAGAGAAAGTTAGCATTACCAGGTTGAAATTTCAAAAAACCTCTTAACATTCAATAGTCCATTTTTAAAACACTTGACGGTTCCATGCAAAACAAAGTCATGTAGTTTTGCATATTATTCTGAGCATATGCTTCCTATTTTTTATAGATTTTTTGCTATAATCAGACCCAATTAATTGCCAGCATGAACGCTTCAGGTGCTAATTAAAGAACTGATCGAATTACCTGTGAGTTGAGTCCGAAACGGTTGCAACGGGTAGATCACTTTCACAATCACGAGTGGTAATTCACCAGCCAGGTGTGTATTTATACGTAAGCTGGGGGATGGAGATTGGTTGTGACCACGATAGAGTTGAGTTCACCACTAACCTTTAAAACTGAAAATCTCTGCTGCTATAGAAGAAATGGAAGGCAACTAAGTCAAATTCACACAGTTTTGGCCAATGTTCCAAAGTTCTAAATAATGACACTACGATACAACCACTAAATATAAGACTCCTCCTGAGCAGAGAACATAACGACACACACACAAAAAGATTATGGTGGTGATTTAAGAGATCATTTTTCATTCCACTCATCCAGCTCCACGAACAAAAATTTTTGAACAATAAGTGACGATTTGCTTTGTGTAGTAAATTTACATGTGCAACTAATACAAAATTTTGAACTACGCAATTTTCTATCCTTTTTAATAATAGAATCAATAACCATCAGTTAGATTATACAATTTAGAAAATAGTCAAAAGTTGTGCTTGCATTTAACAAAAGCATATGCACACATGTATTTATACGTACAAAATATTGTACGCTTTGCTCCACTTTCACCAGGCCAAGTATCCAATCATTTTCAGATTTTAATATCCTCAGTTATTAAGATCAAGCATCCCACAAGTACATACGTATATTTTGCTGAGATGTGAAAGTGGAGACGTGTAATCCAAGAATTCTTATACGGCATTAGTGCCCACTTGATTGTGGTTATTGCAAAAAATGCTGGAGAAAGATTTGGTAACCGAGCCTGCTTTACTTGAGCCTTCCTTCTTGAGCCAAGGGAAAAAATGGTTCTTCTCGCTCGTCTTTTTAGCTACTTTCTTCTGCTGCCTCAATAAACGGCGAAGTTTACCTACGAGACTTAGTCTGGATTCAAAGCCTCCAAGAACAAATGTCAGATTGAGGACATGATCAAGGCCGTATCATTCATATAACGGCCTCAAAAAACTCCAAAAGTTTCAGCAATACGTACGTACGTACATATGCTACTCCATAAACATTCCGCCTGGCCAGGCCAATCCAATCCATATTAATGTCCCAATTTTCAACGTCTTGCTATCCCACGCTCTTCTAGTATCAGAATTAGCAAAACTTGAGTTCTAACATTTACGATGCGAAAGCAATTTTCAATTTTCAAGGTTGAAAATATTTGGCCTACCGCCACGCGATAAAAGAGATGATGCGGACGGAAATGCATAACATTTACATGTCTGTCTACTGATTGAGATGGACGGTGGAATAATGTTATTAATGAGTAATACCAAAGGCTTTAGTTGAATCTGTGAAATTCAAAATAGTTGGTACGTTAGTAAATGCGATTTTAATGACAGTTACAAATTAAGTATAGACGGCTGCAAAAACTAGAACCAGAATTATCATTGGAAAAAGTAAATGCCGTCGTATTTAGTTGTAGGAAAAAACTTCTAGCCTTGTTGCATAAGAGAAAACATTGCCGTGATATTTAATCTCACTAAAGGGATTTAATAAAATGTGATCTTCTGAGGAAAAACCAGTGAAACGACATCAAAGTCTCTAGAAGGATGGTAGGCTCAAAGTGTGTAGTTTCGTAAGATTAGGGTGTCCCAACTTTGTAAAAAAAATCGCTTTTTTCGCTCACGATTTTTTCGCTCTTTTTGTAAACCGCACTGCGAATGCGATTCCGATCTTTTTTCCGCTTTTTCTGCTCAAAAATAAAATCTACTAGGGTCTCCCAAGTTTGTAAAAAAGATCTGAAAAAGCGAAAAGCTAAAAAATCTGAAATCCGCTTTTTTCGCTCAATACTTGACTGTCCCGATTTTTTATCGCTTGAATACTCAGGAGCAGAGAATGGCTGGTCAGGAAACTTTCGAGTTTCTTTTAAAATTTAAATTTGCTTCATGTTGGATATGATAAAACAACTATCTAAGATCATGTAAAACCAAAAATTACCAAAATGGGATGAAAATAGGATTTAGGTTTGAATGCGGTAGTTTTAGTGGTTTTTAGCGATTTTTTTACAAAGTTGGGACACCCTACTTTAAGATGATTTTTTCGCTCTTTTTACTACTTTGAGTGAAAAATCAGTCTCTCAGAGACATGTTTAAGGGGACATCGCCCGATTTTGATGCCCTATGGAATATATTGCAATAGCAGGTGAGTGTATGAAAAGTGAAGGAGGATTTTACTCCATGGCCCCACCTGCGCCCGCCACACCCCCTGAAAAAAAAGCGTTGCGACCACTAAAACTACCGCATTCAAACCTAAATCCTATTTTCATCCCATTTTGGTAATTTTTGGTTTTACATGATCTTAGATAGTTGTTTTATCATATCCAACATGAAGCAAATTTAAATTTTAAAAGAAACTCGAAAGTTTCCTGACCAGCCATTCTCTGCTCCTGAGTATTCAAGCGATAAAAAATCGGGACAGTCAAGTATTGAGCGAAAAAAGCGGATTTCAGATTTTTTAGCTTTTCGCTTTTTCAGATCTTTTTTACAAACTTGGGAGACCCTATTGTTAGTACTACTTGTTAAAGTAGAAACTTCTCTTATTCCGGAAACGAGGATTTTATTAAGCAAATGCAGAAAGGCTTATCCTAATTATTTGTAGAAACATTACGATTATTTCAAGTAGTTCTGTTTATTTTCTATCTGTACTGGCAGACATAATTCTACATACATAATTCCCACTTTGCTTGGTCGTCGTCGTATCGTATTAAATATGTAATATTTCCACTTTGTCTTGCTCATGTTTCTTCTTTTCCAATGTAAACATAAACAGTTGAGAAATTGTATGCATGTCGGTTGATATCATGCAACTTTCGAATCTTGTGAGACTAAAAATCTCTTAATCCAGAATTTTTAACCTCAAGAAAAGCAAGGAATGAATACTAAACCGGCATAATTCATTATGTATGCGTCAATTATTTTTGTACTTACATATAACCATACTTCTTCGAAATATATGGTGTTACAACTAAATGATCATATCCATGTCCTCTATATAGACAAAGATTAAGGATTAGGGATGTGTAATGCACGCAAGCATGGTTTTCGAGTGGTTAGGATCGATCATATGTACAGGAAAAGATGCGATTTGTTCGGATGCGGTTTTTTATTTAGGTCATCCTTCAATACAAATTTTGTAACTATCCAAAATTAAGTAGGATGGATTGTGCTGACAGGAATTCGATTTATTTTTTTGGCAGTGAACAATAACAGAGTTCAAGAATTATGAGTTTAAATGGTAGCCAAACAATCATAACTAATGCATCGGTTGGCTGGTTGGATTATCCATGAAAAATTTCAGCACCAACCTTGACGTGGAAGGTGATTTTTTGGTGCAAATCTTCTCCTTGTGGCACTTGGCACATCTACTGATTACCAGTGCAAACAATCCTCTCAATTTAATGGTTAACAGGGATGAGCCTGAGTATTGGTGGTCTATGGTGCTGAAGTTCACCCGGGTGTAGTACCGGTGAAAGGTACGATAAAATTTGCGATAACGATAATTGGATTTTTTGAATATCGGCAATCGTCCAAACCCATTTTCTGTCCCACTTACAACCATATCAAATAAGTATCCGAGATATACATGTACAGGATTATACCTACGAAGTTCATGGCATGAGTGCATGTACCAAATGCGTTTCCAAATCCAGAACTCCTTTTCAATCTGAAATTTTAGTGTGCATGAGTCTTCCATAATAATAAGTGTGTATTACACAAGTTATGTGTATGAATATTGACAAATATTAAATAACATGTAAAATTGCTTTTAAATTAATTAGACAATTTATATATGTCCGTATGTTTCGATCGTACTTTCACCCAGACACAAAATTAAGCCAGATAAGGCTGTATTTTTCAATTTATTCATAATAAGGAACATTTACAAGAATTATCAGGTTGTCTATTCATATTTCATGTGTAAACTTTTAGATAAATGTCAAAAGCACACATGTCTGAATTGAATACGACGTTAGACAAGTAAATGTCTCGAAATGGGAGGACATAATTAAGGGAAATAAGCAGCATAAAGATTGCAAATAAGAATTTACAGAAGAGTGCAAACAAAGAATCTTAATTAGATGATGATGATATAATTAAACTACAGAAAAATGTATTACTCCACGTCGTAAGTAGCTCTTACTGATCTTTTACTTATTTTTACTGTCCTTGAAGAAAGCTTTGAATTATCTTCGTCGTCTGCAAATGAAGACGCTGCGTTCGTAGCAGCTCGTCGTGACGCCAGGGAAGATCCGATTTGAATCTAAATTTTAAAATGACAAAATTAAAAAAGAATAAATAAGATTGCCACATTCTTATTAGCATATAATATGTGCCACATAGTAAAGTTTTTCATTTAAACAAATTTTCAGATGAGACTAAATGCATCAGTGAATGGATTTAATTTATGACGAGCATGTACATAACTTAACCCTCATAACTTAAAGGTTTTACAGAAAGAATAATATTGTTGATTCTTAATTTATTGTGTACCATTAAAAGTTATTTATGATAAGTATACCGCATTCGTAGCATATTTACATACCTCTGGATAATCATCATCCAGTTGAGCAAGTCTTTGTCGTGCTCGTTCTCCAATCGCCGCTACCCGTGAACGGATTGCAGCAGTGTCGTCATCGTCATCCGTGAACCCAAAGCTGTTTGCAACCTGTTCTCGTCTATTCAATTGCTCTTCTTTGCGTGCCTGGAGACGAGCTCGGAAACGTGACACTGACGATTCCGAACTCATGTCATCCATCATTTCATCCGCCTGTTTTCTTGCAGCCTCCAGCTTTGCGCTGATTCTACTTTTGAAAGGATCCTCTGACACCATATCAGCCCCCGCAGACTGCGAAGCGAATCCAACCATCCTTCTCCTCGTGGAGGCGGATGACGATTGCTCCATCGCATCAGACGAGGATTGCAGTTTGGCCGAAGATAACAGGGTCGAGGTCAATGCCAGAGGTTGTGAGAGTTTTCCCTCTTGAACGCCAACCGAGTCCAACAACCGGTCGCCCACAACCAGACGTGGCGTCGAAGGTGCCCTGAGCGAGTTCAAGTCTGACAACAGTTGCTGTCGTCGACTGCTTGAAGCCCCAAGATCATCCATGGAGCCAAACTTTGACATTCCAAGAATATTGCCTTCTCCAGAAACATCTCCTCCATATCCTCGGCGCAGATTTGGACCGTTGTAATTACCATAAATCGGATCTTCTGCAAATCTTTCTGCAAAAATGATACCATTTGAAATTAACGCTAAATGTATTACATGAGTCAAATATCAATTAGCAAATGGTAAAAAGCGTTACCTGCAAAAGTCTTGGCCGTAGGTGGCGATTTCGCTCGGCCTTTCCTGGTTTCTAAGTAATCGAGCTGAGGCTTGTAATAGTGTTCCCCCAGTCTAAAGTTTTCATTATTATTTTTTATTACAATGAGACATGTATTGCATATTATTCAGCAATAATAAAATTATGCATTAAATAACAAAAAGTCAGCTTACTTATAATTGTAGTCGTAGGTTTTGGTTGCTGGCCTTCTCCACTTTGACATTTTGAAATTATTTTATTTTACTTTTTACACGATGGACGGACCTGTATGCAAAAAAAATCATTTTATATAAAATTTGATAACGTCATTGTTCGCTTGTTTGTTCTTTTTATTATGTCTTGTGAGTAGAAACTTTATGTAATGCCACGTTATGGTAATTGACCTCGATAAAATTCCAATCAACTTTTATGCAATCGCAATTCTGCTGTTTAAATTGGATCCAAAAGCATTACACCTTTGGTGACTCTTAAATTACCGTCGCTTCCTGTTTCAATGCACGGAGATGCATAATGTAGAAAAGTTTCTATTTCCAGCCCATTTCACATGCAAGCCGCCCGAAGCCACGACACTTTAACCAATTCGTTTCCAACCTTAATCCTAAAAAGGATTTCATTCTTTCTGGTTGCATTGCCGTGTGCATTTCACGTTTGCGATTGATGAAGTCAAAACATTTTGCTTTTTGAAGGCCCACTTTCATCTATTCCTTTAATAAATTAAGTTAATCTAGCAGCACTAACTGGAAATGGAGACAGCTGCTTTCGCACACAGAATATATAGGATTGGGTCGGATAAGGAAGGAAGGCAGGAATGGTGCGGGGATGACGAGAAGGAGATAAATGTGCCTCCTAGGACGACGGAAAGGTTCGCATCATCCAAGCATGACGAGGAGAGTTCAAATCATGCCAAGACTCTAAAAATTTCACTATGCAAGTGCGAAAATAAGCAACGACTTCTTCTTGACTTTGTCTCATCCCATGAATGTAAACCAACAAAAAAAAACGTAGTCTGCTCCCTATCCGAAAATCGGGTATCTCCTTCTTATCCAGCGCCAGCCAGGCCACTCTCCGCATTCGAGCACCCACCAACTAACTATGTAAATCGTGCAATGGTCCTTATTAGACTCTCGGTCCTCGCCCTCACCCGTTTGCAGGGAAATCATCGTAAAAATGTTGGGCGACAGAGCAGACACTCGATGCAAGATGATTTCAGATTAGTTCATTTTCAGAAGAAGCACCCAACCCGTGTCTGCAATGGTATGCATGCGATAATGTAGATACGTATTACGTACCTGCCAATACGTTGTCAATGATTCATTTCAACAACCCTTTGGTTCAAGTCCGGCAGAACTGCCAACATCTTTGTATTTATTATCGTATGCATATAGTATGTATTGAAACATCGTTATTTTTTAGCTGATAAGATCTTGCAACTTGCAAGGCCGTAGGTTGTATGTACCTGCGCATATTGCTAATAAGACAACCGGCTAATGGGCACAAAGCAAGAAAACACAATCTATGAGAAAGGATGGGATACAATGTGAAAACAAATATCCGAGAGACGACGGCAACACGCGGTTCTATGCAACGTCTGTATGAGTAAGATATCCATCTTATGTACAATACCTATTCTTAAAGAAAAGAACTATCCTAAAAACGACCGGCAATTAAGTCGGTTCGTTAACTTTTGTTGAAACATCTCCAATAGATGTGACCTATTGACTGATTTGGTTTTTACTGATCTCTAGCAGCCAATTTCCGGGGAGAGAGATTCCTGCATATATGCATCCCCAATGTGTACATGTGCTTGAAACTCTGCTTTATTGAAAGTCCACATATTAGCACTATTTTCTTTGGTGAATTTGGAAACTTCATGGAAATTCACTCCCATGAGATCAATACTTGCAGAAATTTGAACGACATATCGTCGTTGAAAATGCAAAAGGGCCAGCCGGATTTGTTGGCCGTTGCATTTCCTATGCCTTCAACATGGACAGTAACACGGGAGAGATGCAAAGGACAAAAGCTCCGGTGGGGCCTTTTGCATCTTCAACGACGATAAGCATAATCCTCATAGCATCCAAATCCTTTCCTCAGGATATATATTCGGTCAAGTGTAAAATCCATGGCCTGGTAAATAAAGGTAATAAATGTTGCCTTGAAGGAAGACAAGTAAATTATGCAAGAGGAAATGTGTATTCTGAAAATCATTTGGCCAGCGAGTTCGATTAATCTCTTTGACTTTTCTGTTTTGTGCATAACAAAAGTAAATAGAATTAAATCAAATTCACAGGATAGCACTGTCAATTTACAACCTCTCGCACAAAGTAAATGTGTCATATTCAAGGTTCAGCTCCCAGTAATCCAAGACATTAAAGGGAGGAAAAGCAATTTAAAACATTACACGAGAAATACATTGACGCAAATCCAAAGGTGAAAGCAGTTGGAAACACAAGCCCATGATACAGAAATATGTACAAACGGAGGAGTGGAATACAAACATGGCTGCATAATACATTCGTCCCCCTCACTGTGACACTCATGAATGAAATGCAGTTCAATTTAAATTAAACAAAGAAGGAAAGAAAATAGCGTACCTTATCTCAAACACAACATTAAATTACACTACCAACAGTGAATCTCGTTCAGACCAAATTACACGAAACCAAGTTACGAAAAAACGTCCACGTCTACCTATTTATCCACTATCACCGTTCAGCAAAAAGCGAAAAAAACTATTTACTTATATTCCTTATAATTCGAGAAAAAGCTCGCCAAGCTTATCACCTGGCGTTGAAAAAAATCTGAACTATGATTTGAATAAGTATTTGAATTCACGTAGAAATGAAATGAAGGGGTTTTAATTTTCTTCTTCGTGTTTAATTTTCGAGACGGCGAAAACGCTGGTGAATGGAATTGAGGAACTTGACGAGAGTTCAAGTCAAAGAAAAGATTAAAGATTTTAAGACTGTTTAGAAAAACGGGAAAGTGTGTCGACTCTGCTTATCTTCACATTTACTCGCATAGATAGTCGCATGCCCTCGGTTCAAATCCGGGTTTCGGGGGACGGATATGGATGGGAGGATTATCAGTCGTATCGTAATCGTATATAAATATATACTATGCAATGCATACATATATTGCTTTGCAGAATAAACCCATAAGCTAGAAATTTACTACAGACTATTTCACATGTTCATACAGAATCACTTTTTGCATAATTTTCACAACCTCTTAATTAATAGTTAATTTAGCAATTACAAATATTACAAGTTTATCATAAGTTCCATTTTATTTGCCATCGCCTGTAAAATAATACATTGCTCTATTCCATTTTTTGAATTCTTTTACAACAACGAATCTCTTATAACGTACATGTGCAGCTAGCTCCTTGCTGATTAGAGTAGACAGAAGCTATTTTGGTTATGATGCCTATATGTAGAGCAAGTACATGCATGATTCGGAATGAAATAAGTGTATTTTGCTGCCAGGATAAAGGTTTGAATTGCCCATGCATACGTACATATGCTACAAAATTTCAATGTACGACAACATTCGTTATAAGCAAATTTTCTTTTCCAGAGTGAGTGCGAGTGATTTTGCAATCTCGTATTTGAGTTGCATGTATGGGTGTAGTAAATATATGCAATTCTTATTCGTACAAGTAAGCAAGTAACCGTTTTCTGATACTACAAACTTTTAGTTATGCTCATCCTCAGTCTGAGACCGTATATTATTTGGTGCTTTCCACTCCTCTTGTTATGCCCGATGGCATCTTCATGACCATTTATTTATACCAGAAGAGAAGCAATATAGTGTTAACAGTTGCATAAAAGAAATGCATAAGCTTTGACTGTTTGAATGTGGATTTCAATGTACAGTGCTTATTATTGCTTGTTGTTGTTTCCTTCCAAACTTATGGCCGCAAATACACTCTCAGCTTACATTGACATCTCATAAATATTTTAGTCATCTACATATTCCACAAATTCACAAACCAATCCAATAAAATAGAAGCATAAGAAACCTTTCGCCTAACTGCTTGTTATGATTTTAGTCCCATAATCACATTATGTCGGGTGTTTCTCTGGTTCATGTCAATCGTATATGGCTGCTTTTATTTGGCTTGATTTCTTCGTTTTTCGAATCCTGCAATTTATATTTATGAGTGCATAACGGGCGAAGGTAGCGTGCCAAAATGTTGTCAAAAGTAATATTTCATGTATGCACATACATATTTTTTGCATATCATAGCATACAGTACGTATGCAGTTGACAGTTGGATAATTTCAAGTGATCATTGAATAAATTTCGATAAAGTTTTAAAATTGAATGGAATTGTGTAAACTATTTTGCATGTTTGCAAATCCACTTTCAAGTATCTTGAACCTTATGTAATTGATTGAATAACATATTATTGGGATAAAGTTTACTCCATTACATTTCTGTATTTACATATCTACTTGCCTGGGCTGAACCGTTATGCAATCACACCTTTCCCTAATACTCTAAAAATAAAGCCTTGTTGTCGGACTCGGAATTATCAGACCCGATGTTTCGAATGGACCAAGACCAGTGCAATGATTGCAAATTTGTAAATTTCATGGCAAGGTTCATGCACTGTACTGAGGGAATAAAATTACCATGTAATCAATCAATATACAATCCAATTTTCCGACAGGAAAGCGATAATTTAATCTGTTCCTGTTTGAATATTTTCTTGGCACGATTTATGTGGAAGATGGATATTATGGAAGATGGAAGATATTATGGATTTATGTGTGAAGAAATAAAATAAAAATCTCATCTACATGAACAACCAGATGTGCTCATACAATGGACAGGGTAGTAGCCAAACTGGGTGAATGAGAACATGCGAGGCTAAATAAATATACACTGTTATGCAAAAACACACAAAGGAGAGGACACTATTGTCTATGATGATGATGCTGCTGGCGAAAGTGACCATGACCATTATATTTTAATGTGATAATGGCGGATGATGAGTGAGTGTTGAGTTGCGGCAGCTTTAGTGCTGTTAAGGGGGAGAAAGTTCCGCTGTCATCCAACGATTACGGAGTACGACTGTATATGACCCGGATGCCTCCATTATGTCATTTATTAACTGCAATTTCAGGCAGAAACCTCCATTAGCATAACATAAAGGAAAAGTAGTGTAAAAACTGGGCTAATGGACCGTCGCAATCTCGACTAACCTCCTCAACGCCTCACATTCTTCTTCTAAGCATTATTGGGTGAAAAATGTGCCATTCTGTTCCAACTGAGTGATCTGCTAACTGGTATCATTTTTTCTTAACTAACTCTTGCTGAATATGACCACCCACACATTTCGTCATTTCGTCATTTCGTATACCCTGTCAATACGAAGTACGACTAGTACGGTTTTTTGTGAATTGTTTGTTCGCTGGTAAATTTCGATTTATTTCGCTCCTTGCTGAGCTACGAGCGAAAGCAGCTTCGTACATAATAGATCATCCTAAGCTTATGTTAATTTGTACGTCCGCTAATTGTTGATTATATGTATGTACATACATATAATATTCAACAGTAAGTTACGTTTAGCCAGCCAAACTACATATATATGTAAATGTAACAGAGTTTACTTCATTTAATTTTAAATGCGATGACATTTACGAATTCGTGAAATAAAATTAACTTGTGGAGCGGTGGTGAAAGTACATGATACATATTGTACATCCATACTTATTATATGTACAGTCAATGGAAAAAGTATTGGCAACCCCCACGCCAGCTAAATAAAATTGGCTGTAACGTTGGAATGCATTATACAATTGGCATGAAAATTTGTACGCCTTTAGAAAATATAATGTAGTTTTCGATTATAGTCATTTGTTATTGATTAAAATTAGATAAACACAGTTTTTAAATAATTTGTTGGAAAATTTGCAAAATTTACCCGCAAAAAGTATTGACAACATGTGGCCAAATTAATTACGCGAAACAATTTTCTTAATCAGCTACCACATTTCATTACGGTAAGTTAATAAGGTGACCAAATATGACGTTAGCGACATTTTAAGTCTACAGTTGTGTTGTCTGGAGCCAAAATGGCGACACCAAACGAGCTGTATTGGCGCCGGGAGAAATAATCATGTCTCTTTCACAAAAAAGCTTTCTTATCGAAAATTCAAAGAGAAAACATACTTTTCCATATTTACTATTGAAAACGTAGCCAAGAAATATAAAATGACAATCTCAGTTTCTACTTTTCCATGGTGCGAAAGGAAAAAGTCACCTACGCCCACGAGCCACTGATGAATCAAGCAAATTATCACTCGAGATCGGAAGACTTCAGCTCCCAAAACCATGTTGAATTTGAGAACCAACTGTGGGGTCAACATATCATGCAATATTGTGATCAATCAAAAATCATGCCATGGGGTTCCAGGGTCCAGAAGCCCGACTGACGCGAGGGTCACCAAAACGAACCAACCCAATAAATTGGAATGGACTAAATACCACCATGAATAGACTTCCAATGAATGAAAAAGGTTCTGCTGGTCTGACATAGGCATATTTTACTTATTCGGAGCCAATTGAATGGTTCAAGTCTGGCGGATGCCATAATAGGTTCACAAAAACGAATATGTTCCTATGACAGCTAAACACAGAAGAGGAGCGATTATGGTTTGGGGTTAAATGACTAGGTCGTGGCGTAGGTAGCTGGTCATTATCGATGGAATAATGACCAATGAGGTCCAAATAATCATTCTAAACGATAATTTGATATTATTTGATAAAAATCTGACCTATTAAAGAATTTTATATTCCGAAAATTCAGTGACCCCAAACATGTAGCCAATTTAACGATGCAAGGTTTTGGAGATTGAAAAGGTTAAGATTCTTTCGTTGATTGCACAGTCTCCCGATGTGATTCTGATTGTCCGGATTGAGAAAAGAGGGACTGGTGAGAAACCACTCTTCGAAAAACGAGCTTGTCAAAAGTTCGAAGGAAGTATGGGCATCCAGATCAAAAAGCGTTATAAAGAAACTTGTTGAATCAATTCCACGACGTATTTTTGCTCGTATTGCGTCGAGGGGAGGTGCTACGTAATACTAGAAGCAGTTTGTCATAATAAAATTGGCGTTTCTTTGATTTATGATTTTTTAAGTTAAGGGTTGCCAATACTTTTTGCGGGTAAATTTTGCAAATTTTCCAGCAAATTATTTAAAAACTGTGTTTATCTAATTTTAATTAATAAATCATGATTATAATCGAAAACTACATTATATTTGCTAAATGGGTACAAATTTTCATGCCAATTGTATGATGCATTCCATGGTTATAGCCAATTTTATTTAGCTGGCGTGGGGGTTGCCAATACTTTTTCCATTGACTGTATGTAGTACATAGGGTATCCATTTAATTAGCGCATATTGTACACGCGACATGTAACAGACACGCTAAAGAAATTCAATTTGGCATTATACTACATACACCACGTACATTAACTCAATTTGCAAAGGATGCGTGAAATGTGGCATTTTGGTAGCCAGAATTTTGGACATGTGATGTGGGACACGTCAATGAAACAGAACCCATTCTGAATTTGCATATAGAGATTCAAGAGAAATACTACACTCAGACCGAAGTGACGACTATTGCGAATTAAACTTTATTCATTCACCACATTTAATTCACTGATCACGATATCATGCATATAATTTCACAATTTGATTGTGAAACCATTTTGAACCATTTTATCGGAGAAGTAGAGGGCTTATGTATAGCTCGGGTAGTTCTGTAATCTTATAAATCTCAGGATTACAATCATGTCTGTTTCTAAAAAAATCCGACTTGAATTTTAAGCTTGACGTACATGTAAAAATTAGACAATTAGAATGTACGATCCGGTCGATTGAATGAATACAGAGTAGGCCGACCAGCCCAAAGACGTGAGATTATAGCACCACGTACTTACAACAACAAAAGAGAACTAGCTGCATGCTGATTCTATAAACTGGATTCAATTGCTTTGTGTGATTAACTAAATTTAGAGCTTCCTCTCTAATAATAAATACCGACCGTGCCGTGCATGTCACTTCTGGCCAACGTCCAAGGACATGAAATTTACATCTTCAACTAACTCGGTGCGTTTGGACTCAAAACATGCATTCTTTATTAGCTATTATCTTGGAGAAACAGTTGCTCTGTTCTGTCTATTCGAAAACATGTGGCCACACAGTACAGGATCAAGTTTCAAATATAATATACGTCATAGTCGAACGATTTTTTTTACTCTGCTATTTAAAGCACCATTGTTGGTACATCCAATAGTGTGGATTGAGACAAGTTTTGGACTATGCAAATACTTTCACTTGGTTGAGATGAGACGAGGTAATAATGAGAAAATTGCGAATGTCTGATGAACTATATTTGGCAAAGCGGCTACTTGTGCCACCTTGTGTGTCCAATTTCGCTGGCAGAAAGCTCTCAATTTCCTTGGCGGTTTCATCGCGCACGGTAGTCGGCTTTTCAGCATTTTCCTCGTGCAACAATTATTTCAATCAAGCACTGGCACTAGTGGCTGGGTTGTGGTAATAGCTTTACGACAGATCTCATCTCACAAAATAAACTGAAACAATTAAGCTATCTGCACTTTGAAATTTTATTGGAATTGCAACTGTTTTAAGATATATTCCAAGTAATTGTTGCAACAAATAAAAATGTCGACAACAAACAGCAGACGAAGGGCAATTGGTCTGCTACTTCGAAAATCTGATGGTGTTACCGATGCGTTAACGTCAGCGAGGAGTCAAGGGCAAGTAGTTTAATCATTGACATCCTTCATTAATAGGTTGCAATTGTTTTAATTTTGTGAATTTTTGTTTCTGCAGATTTAGTTTTATCTGCATCGGACCAATTTTGAATGAAGCTTATGTGCAAAGTGCTATTGAGGGTCATGGCGAATCGCCAAAGGAACCATTTTCATGGTTTGATCTGGCTATGTCAAGCAATGGTGACAATCTAATACAATACATTAGTTAGTCTTCAGCCCCGGTTTAGCTGTGTCACATTTGCATGATTATTAGGCCAAGGGTTTTTAATAATTGAAAAGTTTTACTAAACGAGATAAATGTGTTTCAGCTAAACCAGGGCTGGAGATTTGAATACATGTTTTATAGCCTGTGCCAATAGTCATTATTTATCTTGATCATGCATTTCTTACTTGCTTTCAGAATGGTGTTCTTCAATTGTCGGGATTTTGACTGATGTCAACCATTATCTTGAAGGAGAGGATGAAGTGCTTGCTCACCGAGCCAGACAACTTTTACATCGCGAAATTGAATTTACACATCATGTATCGCTGCCATGTGTGGTTGTAGAATTGAAAATGAACACGAATTACATTAATTTGGCAAAAATCGTGCATGCGTTTGCTTCGGCTGGTACATTGTCTCAACATGTAAGTATTCACAGATTACTCGTATATTCTTTATGCACATGTGTAATATCAATTTACAAAATCATAAACTCTTTATAGTTTTGGGTGAAAATACCCTTAGAGTTCGCGGATGAAGATGAAAGCTGGATCAATGAGGGTGACGATGCTTCTGTCCCTGAAGAAAGTTCTTGGATGGTGTAAGTACATAGGGCTAGAATTGTTTAGAACATTAACCAGGTAGAGGAGTAGTTGTTTAAATGCTTGATTTACTTACCAAACAGGTGGAACAGATTTCGAAGTCTATGTAATCATGAACCTAAAATATTCCCAACGCTTGCGTTATCAGTGAATTTGCCTAATGAAACAATAATTCGACGTTGGATGGGAGAACAGGTCAAATGTATCTACATTTCCCCTCGTACGCTCTTAATAAATTACAATTGATATTTTATTCAAACCATATTTAAACTAAATATGGCTGAACACATCAATATTATTTAAAAGTGCCTTGTTTTTTTTAGAATGCTTCATTTCTAACTCAAAAGGGTATCCTGTAATGAATAAGAGACACCAACTTGTTGTGAAGCAGTTTATGGAACTGGGAGCACAAGCTATCTTTGATCCGAAGGGTCTTGATTCGTCAGCCAATCTTACACCATATCATCAGTATATTGACTTTATTCAATGTTCACCGGTAAATGTCAAATATTGTATTAATTCCTTTGAAAAAGTTTTTTGTTAAGTTAATATCAATGTCGACATATTTTGTATGCAGTTTGATCCCGACATATTTGGAAGAGACGAGTATAGCGGCATTCAATATACTTCAGGATATGAAGATTATTTGCAGTGTCCTTTGCAACCACTCCAAGATAATCTTGAATCTCACACATATGAAGTGTTTGAAAAGGATCCAGTAAAGTATGAACTGTATACTGATGCAGTTCATGCGGCCTTGCTGGATATGGTACCAGACGAAGAAAAAGAGTCCAGAATAATGTACGTGCTATGCATTAAAAACATATTTCTAATTATTTAGCGATAGTTTGTAAAACTAATTTAATTGATTCTCAAATGTTTGCTTCTTTGTTTGTATTAGAACATTGATGGTGGTCGGAGCTGGTCGAGGTCCGCTGGTCCGAAGTTCATTCAGGGCGGCAAAACGAGCCGACCGAAGGATAAAAGTATATGCAATTGAGAAAAACACTAATGCAGCGAATACATTGCTTCATCTAAATGAGCGAGAATGGTGCGGAGAAGTAACCGTAGTTAATGTGGATATGAGAGATTGGAAAGCACCCGAGAAGGCAGACATAATCGTTTCTGAACTGCTGGGATCATTTGGAGATAACGAACTATCGCCCGAGTGCTTGGATGGTGCTCAGAAATTCCTAAAAGCTGGAGGAGTGATGATTCCACAGTCATACGATAGCTACATTGCTCCAGTAATGTCCTCAAAGTTATACACCGAAGTCCGAAAAATGAGAGATCTTTTCAAGAATATGTACAGCAACTTTGAAACGCCATACGTAGTGCATATGAAAACGCGGTACACTATCGATACACCCAAGTTGGTTTTTTCATTCGTTCACCCCAAAGAAGGTTTGACTAAAAAATTTTACTGCTTGTTCAATTCTTGGATTTACTTAATGGTGAAACTTAAACGAACTTTAATGTCACATTTTATCAAATTTAGACATAAACGAAACAAATGAACGTTACACGGTGCTGAATTTCCGCTCTCAAGAAGAATGTATCGTACATGGATTCGGTGGTTATTTTGAATGCAAACTTTACGGGGATATAATTATGAGCATTCTGCCATCTTCATTTTCTAAAGGGATGTTTAGCTGGTTTCCCATTTTCTTTCCACTGAGGGTAAGTTCGAAGTGGAAATTATTTAATTGAATAAAATATCGAAATTTTTCTCGTTACATTTTGTTTTCCTCTCTCTAGGATCCTATTGATATTGGTAAAGGACAAAATATTAAAGCTCATTTCTGGAGATGTGCAAGTAAAAGTTCAGTTTGGTACGAGTGGACTATTTCTTCCCCTCGTTCAGTTGCAATCCATAATCCTAATGGCAGGTCATACACAATATCAAAAGTATAATACACATTGGAAATGAGAATTTTCGAAACATTCTTCCGTAACTATAATTTTACTTTACAATTTTTTACAAATTGAGTATACAAAGTTAATTGTGAGAAGATCAGCTTTACTTCATACCGATTATAGTCCTGTTTTAATTGGAATTAAGCATATACACGTTTTAGACTGCCTGTGATCTTGTCGTAATTTGTTAATGAACTACAGAGCATGAATAATGTATTAATGTGAAATGATATGCTTTCTTAAAGTCTTATAATAAATAGACTGCCGATTTTGCAAAAAAACGTCGCATTGGTTTTTGTTCTGACATTTTATACACATGTAGGTGGCATTTTAAGTATACAAATTTACATTAGACCAGAGCGTACTCACGACAACGTCTTATTTCACGTCGCAACTCATTCAGTAAACTTGCGAAGATAAAAAATTTGTGTCTTGAGGGGATTCGCAAAATATGACTTCGTAAATCTCGCAAATCTACTAAAAACACCTATTTTGATAGTTACCTTACACATTTCATCTATACGGATGATAATTTATTAAAAGAGTGCATTAAAACCAAACCAAAAGATAAAACTTTGCCACCCCTAAATAATTTTGAATATGGAGGATGACGCAGATGACATTGACTTGGACGCTCCAATTGATCCTGCAACAAATGATACTCCAGCTCCAGATCCTAATCAACCGGACGCTCCTGTAAAACCTAGAAAGAAACCTGCTCTTCATAAATATTATGTAGACGACGAAGACGAAGATAGCAATGATGGTGTGAAATACTAGTGTAATGTAATAATTTGTGACAGATTTAATTACACTTGTTACTTAAAAACTCGCAGAACATGATCACGAACATGACCAAGCTGAGCAAGCTGAAGAACACGCGGGGGAAGGTCATGTCAAGAAAGAGGAACTGAGTCAGATAATTGTCCACAAAAAACCTCCCAACTTGAAGTCGGTATTAACATATCATGAAGAAATTCCACGTTGGGAGATACGGCACTTTGCGAATGGTCTTGGTAACTAAATTTAAATATTCATATTCATACGTACTGATCAATTCAAAGACCATTTGAAAGCAAAATAAATCCAAACATTTCGTCTATTTCTATTTATAGACGCAGCGTTTGCACCATGCAAAATTTTCATGCTGGCTTTATTTCGATTTCCACTCCAACTAACTATTCATGATGACTATTCTCGTGAGTTTACTTACTCATGGAAATCATTTCGGGGGTGGATGTTTTTCCTTACGGGTGGTTTAATTTGCCTCAATGCTATCCTAATCTCTGCAAGTCTTGGTTCGTGCTTAAACTTGGTTCCTTCCTATTTTTCTTTTTGTTTCCTTTTGAGATTGAAAATACAATTCGCCAAGTTTTTTAGGGGCAGTTATGCTGGACTACCCCCGACAACCAGATGCTGGACTTAACACAACATGGTTGAAGAGGTACAATGTTCCGGGCAACTCCAGGGAATCAACCGACACATACGAATTACACAAACCGCAACAAGAACTTCGAATTGAAGAACTGTTTTTGTTACAAAGAAACTTTGTTCCGATGATCCTGTTGGTGCTGTCCCTAGGTCACATTTGTACAGGTACATAAGTGAATTCAGTGCATATTTACATACATACAATTTACTACTTTTTAAGTTAAACTATAAATTTTCATAATTTGTGATTATTGCATAGGGGACGTCTCGCTTTTCTTCAGGCGGACCTTCATTGCCAAATACTTTACTTTCTGGGAAGAAGCAGTAGAAATAATGAAAATGGATGCTGGAAAGTAAAGAAAAATCTGTTTAAAATAATTTAATCTGTTTGTCTCACAATTGAAGTATTCAAATGTATTAAAATTCAGGCACCCAGATAATGTACACAAGTACTTGATTCGTGTAACATCCTTTTATGCCGGTTTCCTCGTCGTTTTCATAGGTCTTTGTGCAGGTGATGACATGATGAATTTTTTGCATGCTTATCTAAAAATTGTAAGTATTTCTTTTGTCATTACAGGTCGTATAGCTCCAGTGGCTACAGGTAATGGTGATGCTCTGACGAATGACGATGTAAGCAATAATTATTTTGAATGAAAAACGAAAATGATGACTTAGGTGCACCAACTCAACTAGTGATCCTATGGTCAAGATTATTCTTTCCTTCAATCCATGCGTGGAAGTATTTGCACATTCTCCGATGGTTTGGAATCGTAGTCTACGTTTACCTTCTCATGTGTTCAAAAGTCTACATTCTGCTTTTGCTATATATTTGCAAAATTTTGAAAAATGCTTATGCCACATGGAACGAACGACTTGTCACTGTGATTCATAAAGGGAAAAAGGAAGAAAAAAAGTCAAGAAAGGAACACTGTGCTGCACGAACCGGATTTGATCATCTATTTCGAGATTATGTCGTATTATTGGATTTGTTACGAGGTATATGGTTAAATCCCACAAATTGGTTTAATAATTCTAATACTTGTTAAAAATAGGTGCAGATACAATGTTTGCAAATGTAATTGAGTCTTATTTTGGGACTCAAGTATTCAGCCTCTGCTTTGAAGTGTACTATCTATTGCGAACATTCAGTGCCCATGACGAGTTTGCCTTTGGTGATACAAAATACTTGCTAAATGAATTTGAATACCGATTCGGTTAATCGTCCGTAATGTCGAATTGACCGGTTTTCTAATTTGTTTATAATGCAGCAAGAAAATTGGATGGAATCTTGATCACCATTTACTTGTTTCATTCCGTGATAATGCTTCTGCTGGCAACGAATGCTTCCGCACAAGTTGGAGAGGAGGCAATGGAAGGGTTGGAAATTATCAGGCGCAACGGGTGCATCGGGCACAAATCCATCAAGGAAATGTATTTCACCCTCAGTTTATACATGAGCTACACAGGTCACTTTGAGACCGCCTTGACTGCAGGAAAATTCGTTACTTTCGACCGATCTTTCATGGTCTCTCTCGTGGGAACAATATTTTCATACTTTATCATTCTCACTCAGTTTACACCTCCCCTCTCGATGTTAGACCCGAATAAGTTGGAATTGATTAATACCAAGCATCTTATCATCAATGTGGAAAGTACATATCAAATCAATGCGGACATGAAAGTAGGGTACGATACTCTAAGCAACATTACCACCTAGTCGAATGACAAAATATAAAGTTTTATAAAAATGACCAATTCAATTAATTGATTAACCATATACGAAATCATGAAGCAAAGATATTTCCCAGTATTTCTATTTATGTCTTTATTTTTGTAGGTTTTAGTTTTACAAGGTACGATTAATAATGATACTGATAATTTTGTTGATATATATACACGTAATCTATATGAATTGAAGGAGGTACATTAATTTGATATGCTTCGATAAGGCTTGCATCTCCCTGAACCTTAGAGAGGTGTAGACACTACAACAATGTTTGACCACAATACTTTGCACTATAAAGCCATTTAACCTATACACTGCTACGTTGAAAAAATAAAATGTCACACACTATGTCAGTCTAGAATATTCCATCAACTTAAGAATTGAAATTGTTATTAGTTTGCTTTTAGTGAAAAGTCAAACTTTTAAAAATAAATGGTAAGGAATAAGAGCAATCATTAATAACAGAAAGTTTTTCTGGACAATGTATCTAATAATGCAAGCTTTTTCTCAGATGATTTCAAAGACTACTATTTACGTTCACAGCAGGATTTGATTTTTAACTACACACATTGACGCATTACGTCTACTAATTAGTACAGATGTTATTGCAGCAGATGTGTCCACAACAGTGGTTGATTTTTCTCTATTTATTAGCACCGGGTTTGTTATCCAAAAGTATTTGAATCACCGATGTGTCCGCAAGGGTGCTTTGTAAAAGTTCAGAAATATAAATCAGTCAACAAAATGCACCCACTTTTCATAAAATCAGTAAAACTTGAAAAAATACCTTGTGTCACCAAGATCGGAATCCCCCGCAGCAATTTTACGTAAAATTCGCCTCATTATCTTGCCTGACCTAGTCTTCGGGAGGGCCGGAGCAAGTTGTATTACGTCTATTATGAAGTATTATTATTAAATAAGAGAAACAATACTTATAAACTTATAATTGGACGTGATTCACTTACCTGGGGTAGCAAATGGTCCGATTTTCTCTCGAACTAAAACCAAAATTTATATATAATTGTATTGGAATGAGCTTAGATAATATTTCCATCTATCTTGTATAATATTTAATATTTCATTACCTTTCTGCTTTAGCTCAGCCTGCAATTGTTCGGTAAAGTCGTGACCATCACGTAGAGTAACAAAGCAGTACAACGCTTCACCTTTAACATCGTGGAAAATCGGGACCACTGCTGATTCCGCAATGGCTGTTCACATGAAAGCCAAATTACATTTATTTTACTATGCATATCACAGTTCGATAGTATATTTTATAAAGCATATTTTAATATAAGAGTTGAAACACACCTTTATGTTCTATTAAAGCAGATTCAACTTGGGCTGTGCTTAGTAAATGACCACTGACATTTAGCATATCATCGACCCTTCCTGTGATCCAATAGTATCCGTCCTTATCTCTTTTCGCACCTGTGCAGTAAGCATTGAGTTAGCCGTGAAATAATTTGTGCTCAAGATATGCGTAATTTTACTACTATATACTTACCGTCGCCAGTAAAATAATATCCCGGAAACTTGCTAAAATATGTTGCTTCAAATCTATCATGGTCATTATAAACCGATCTCATCATTCCGGGCCAGGCTGTTTTGAAAACAAGGTAACCCTCTCCAGGCCCATCAATTTCTTTTCCGTTTTCATCAACGATTGCAGGCAAAACTCCAAAGAATGGAAAAGTCTAGTGGAAAATATTTCAACATACACATATTCACTCCATCCTGGAACAATATAATTTTTACATATGATAACACTTGAAAGTATAAAAACTAAAATATTTTTTACAGCAGATCCTGGTTTTAATGGCGTCGCCCCCGGAATTGGCGTCAGAACGTGCCCGCCTCCCTCAGTCTGCCAGTAGGTATCTACGACTGGTGGTCTAGTAAACAAATTATTTTTGCATAACCTTAAAAATTTGAATGAATGACTCTTTTTTTGTTACTTTAAATAAATTATAAAATATGTACCTCGAGTCGCCAACCACCTTATAGTACCAAAGCCATGCTTCAGGATTGATTGGCTCTCCAACGGTTCCAAGAACGGTTAACGAACTTCGATCATATCTACAAAAAAATAAATTCTTAAAATTATTTCTATTTTTAGTAAGCTTTTAAAAACGCGACACATCTGTATTAATTTGAATGACTAACTTTTTGACAAGTTTATCCCCGAACTTCATAAGAGATCGTATAGCCGTTGGTGCTGTATAAAATTGGTTAACCTTGTACTTCTCAACAATTGCCCAAAATCGAGAATTGTCAGGATAAAATGGAATCCCTTCAAACTAGAAAAATAAATATATTTCATTATATTTATAACAATTACAATCTATATAAATTATACTCACGATCACACTGGTGGCACCGTTAGCCAATGGACCTTAAATTTACAAAAAGGAGATACTAAGAAAATCAATTAATAAATAATCTTATCAGATAAACTACAAATTCGATTTATTTTCATACCATATACGACGTAAGTGTGACCTGTTTAAAGAAATCGTAGGTTAGGTAGATGGATAGCAAAAAGTATCTTTATATATGAGTAGAATAAACCGTACCCGTAATCCACCCTACGTCAGCGGTACAAAAGTAAATATCTTGATCTGTGGGTGACCTCCTGTGGTAATCGAAGACATACTTGAACGTCGTACCTAAATTAAAAAAAAACTATTTAAGTATATAATCAAATTAAAACGTAAAAATAAAATTAGAATTGAGAACCAAAAAATGAACCGTACTTGCATACAACATATAGCCAGCAGTACTATGAAGAACCCCCTTCGTAATTTAAGTAATACTTATTACTTCATTTGGACTTTGATCAATTTTAAGTTATTTAAACTCTCTGATTGAAAAATGTACCTTCGGTTTCCCCGTGGAGCCACTAAAATACATTTTCATTATTATAAAACCATTGAATGAAATAAATAAAACTAGCAGTGACTTGTATATATATAGAGTCAATTACCTTGTGTATAACATGAATAACGGGTCCTCTGCAAAAAAAGTTTTGTAAATTCCTTCTCTTATCTTTTGTTGCGTACAAATTAAATACCTGCAATCAAATTTCTTACCTGCGTCCACCCATTCTGGTGTGCAATCGCTAGACGCTTTCTCCATGCACAAATGGTACCACTTGTCCCTTTCCTCATTAAATGGTGCCTTAAGGTATAAAAGTTAATTACATTATAATACAAAGTCGCAATTTTTAAATAAAGATAACACACACCTTATAATCATACTGTTTCCTCTTATTTGGAGATTCGTGTTCTGGCTGATTTTTGCCGTGCACTGCCAACCTGGGTAAATGATGAACGACGATACAGTGCTCAATTTTATGACCTTGTTCGTCACATTTTTCCAACGCCTGAATAATTCGAGCATTAACAACTAAACCATTATTGTAAGCCACGTGGCTAATTTAATATTTGATAACAAGTGGGACCTTATCCGTAATTTCCTTGAGATGGATTATTTTGTCGCCCCTCCATACGCCATCAGCAGTGACTATAACTTTTGCTTTTGCGTCCAACGTTCGTTCTGAAAGCGATTCTGCTGAAAACCCTCCAAACTATAAAAAAAGTATTTTCGTCAGTTTCGAATTAAAAAAAATGTAGCAAAATGTTTCGAAGATACTAAAAGCAATTAAGCGCACATACCACGATGGAATGAATCGCTCCAAGTCTTGCAGCTAATAATTATTATTATTTGCTTTAATAATCAGAATATTTTATATTTTTATTATATATATTAGACTAAATTAGTGAAATACTCACCAGCAAGCATTGCTACTACCAATTCCAAAATCATAGGCATGTAAATGGCAACTCGGTCCCCCTTCGAGACGCCAAAGCCTTTAAGAACATTCGCAAATTTACACACTTCGTCCAAAAGTTCTCCATAGGTAATCTGCTTCTCATCATTTGGGTCATTTCCTTCCCTGAATAAATATTGGAATAAACAACGCCACTTTTAATAGAGCCAGCAATGCCAACTATATGCATAAGTAAACCATGTCAGAAGAAATTAATTACCAGAAGAAAGCAACGGTATCCTTGAGCCCCTTGTCTTTAACATTCCGATCCAACACATTATAGCAAATATTCGTCTTAGAACCTTCCATCCATTTAATATTAATTGGTCCATTCTTGATATTAAAATTGCATTTGAGGAAGGGAGATCCCTCAGGTTGAGATTCTAAATATTTTTAAAATCAATGGTAATCTAATTTATAAACTAAATTATCCTAAAATTCGTAAATTTAGTTTGTTAATTCACGCAGATTGGTTAACTACAATTCATATTCATATTTGTTGCAACCAATCTTCTCACCTTCAAAATGGAATTCTTTCGCGATGTCTTTCCAGAAGCCTTCAGGGTCATCTATGGATTGCTTGTACATGGTTTTATATTGGTCCATCGACTTGATGTGGGCTTTCTTGGCAAACTCCTCAGGTGGCGGAAATACCTGCATATAGAATAAGCAAATGTTTTCAAACATTCAAGACTTCAGGTGCAACATTTGCTGTAATAAATGTCACCATATTTTCACGCTGTAATGATGGAATTATGCTAGATATCAATCCATTGAGAAACACCTTGAAATGACCAATGATGATGTTATTCATCATGTTCACAACAGTAATAATAAGCACAGCAAAAATATACACGCCATTTTTGGAACAGTGAACGCTTGTACGGGTTTAATTATATCACAGAATCGTTCATTAAACTGATAAATAGTGAATAAACCAAGAGAAAATTTTATTGGGAGGGGAGATTATACAGACAGAATCAAATAGTAATCTTGAATATTTTAAAAGATCACTCACCTGAGCTTCGCTGTCATGATCGCCATTTTTTGACGCTGAACCATTGGCAATGGGACCATCGGTGTCATTATCCAGTGCCATTATGTCTAAGTCAAGATTATCTGCGTAAACAACACAAATTATGTCAGATATTTCTTGCAAACAATTACCTTAAAGTAATTTATATGTAGTTTTATGTAGTCTCAAATTATTTTCCGGAGACCAATGTTTACCCACAGAAGGTACATCTGAAGTGCACATGTTTCTTTCGACTTTCCCTATCAACTTATCTCTCAAACTTCGATACATTTCAAATAGTTATGTTGCGTATTTACAATTAAAAACTAAATTCCAATTAGATAAAACGCAAAAAAGGTTTCAACGCAGCCTAACCAATCGAATTTCTGGATTGATTTTGTCAACCAAATACGCAAAACCAAACCACAAAGAAAGCATACTTCAACTCCGTGCATGTCATGTCATTTAATAATTCATTTGTCCATCGGCGTATGACGACCAAGCGACATTAATTATAAAACAATGCATTACCTTAATTGAGGAAGTTTAGGCTGAACTTGATGAAACGTTGTGATGATCGAACAAGCAAACAAACAAAATCGCAATCGTGTAAAACAACAATGAACCCAGGCTTGACTCCGACTCAACAAAATTAATGTCAGTTATATAATTCAACCAGACTATGCATGCAAAAAATTGAATCGGTTAAAAATGGGAATTATCGCCACGAGGAGTTTCAATTTAAAGTTCGGTGAGAGTGAAAATGCATGAGCCGATCGAGCGACAACCAACTAAATGAACATTGTCATGAAACTGGCTAAAAGTTGCTGGCCTTCAACGCCGTTGTGGTCATATTGCCAGTCTCAGCATTACTATTACGATTCATTCCAGTCCATTACATGTGCACACACGCAGCATGAATTGAACGGTTTCGCTTTATCAAGTTGGTGAAATACCTAAATCGACCCTCAAATGGAATACAAGACACAAAAGTAAAGGCTGTTATGATGATTCGATAATTCCGAAATGTTGCGCAACCTCGTCTTTCCTTGACGAGGATGGAGGAAAACTCAGAACTACTTAGAAAACGAGCTGTCACTCAGTTTAGTAATTGGTTGGCGTCCTACTTTTTAATACCTACGATAATTTATTTGTACCTGGTGGCCTGTGGTGGTATCAGAATTATGTAAAAGACAAAAATCTCTGGTGTATTCTCAACTTTTTCAATTAGATACTCTCACGAGTTTTGTATTATTCTCACCCTTGGCAGAGATTTCAAGAGATGATAAATATTTTGTACTTGCAAATTTCTGCTTCTGAAATTGATAATTTATGACGATGAGGATGACCACTTCACGAAATCAGTCGCCGCACATGCACAAATTATCAGCAGACGAGGGAACCACCTTTCACGACCCACTTTTAAACTTAACTGTAATATCAACTTAAATTGATTAGATTACTGGTGACATGCTGACATTGACAAATCATTTTTCTTTCACTCGTTCAGTTCATGAGACTAATTTAACGGCCAAGCTCAAGGACGAATTTCATATCTACGCCAATTCACAATTTGCTAATTGATTGCAACTCAACTCATTATGATTTCCATATAAGTATATGTACTTACTAACGCCAGCAGTAAGCAATCTATGCACATGCACATAAATAAATATGTATTAAATCTCGTCTTATGTAACGTAGCGAAATTATTCCATCATCAATTTATGATTTGTGAAGCAAATATTGGTCTTTATGGCCAAAATCTATTGCTAAAATTTATTCATCAAAACATTGCACTGGTCGTGCAATTTTATCCCCCTGAACATTTTTCAGTGAAAGCTTCCTTGTGACTACTTTAATGTGCAACTTTATTGTACATCAGCTGAGACTGAGATGATTACAATGAAAAAAGTATCGATTGGCAAAACCAAAACATATCTTGTTCTAGATAAATATACACAAATACACATGAATATGCTGTCAAACAATGTTTTAAAAACCTTGTACTTCTCCCTATACAAGTTTATACATTCATTAAAGATTGATTTCTATTTTTTACTGTGCGTATGAATAATTAATTACATTGTCAAAAGTATAAAGTTGATTAAGATTCAATAAGATAATTTATCTTTATGGACACGCAAAAACGATATGACTACGCTATAATGTACGTACTTCACAATGAACAAAGTGTAATCTACCTACCTTTTTACACCAACAATTTAATAACCATTTATTTTGTTATTAGCTTTACACTTGCACACTTAAATTAAACTTTAAACTTGATTGGCAACAGAATGTACAGTACAGCTCAAACTTTACACTTGACCATCATAAACCTCTCGATTGGAGGGAATATTATTATTTTCGTCAACACGAAACAGTCAACGCATATGTATAACATACACGCAGAGTATACATTCTCATCCGATATTTATTTCATCCCAGCTTCGAGTGGTTCATGTGCATTGTGGGACTGAGGAGGAGTGGATCCTTGTGGGCTTTCTTTTTTGCCCTGAGCTGGAGAAAGCAGGGAAAGGCTGATGATGACGCAGTACAGTTTTCACCTTGCCTTACTGTACTCGGTAGTGAGTCAAGGTCACTTCAAAAGCACGCACCTCCTCTTTTCTACTAATGTTCACGTTTCTATAATAGTACAATGGCAATAAAAGTATGCTATGATACCGCAAAATATTGATAAACTTGCACGCTCTGGTTCCATTTTTTAAGCGTCGGCAGATCTCTCTAAATTTTCATGTTAAAAAATTAAATTTGCATGAGTGTTGTAATTAAGATCATGCAATGCACAATTTAAAGTTTGAAGTACTTACAATTTTCACCCTTGTTTAATGAATATATCTAACAAATTGTCAAAATCGTTTTGCAATTAATTTCTGGAGACAAGTTTGTCAAAGCGTATATAACACTTGTAAAAAGCCCAAGAGTACAATTTTGGGGGTGTGGGTGAGTGCGTGAGATCATAATCTTACGCACCCACCCACACCCCTTTTATGTCTACATATTTATAAATGCTTTCACAAAATTTGTCTCCATCAAAAATTGATTGCAAAATGATTCTGACAATTTGTTTAATATGGATATGCATAAGTACTTCAAATTTTAAATTGTGCATTGCACGGTTATAACATAATTACAACACTTATGCAAATTGAATTTTTTAACGTGAAAGTTTAGAAAAGAGATCTGCTGACGCTTCAAAAAATTGTACCAGAGCGTGCAAGTTTCCAACATTTTGTGGTCATATTTAGCATATTTTTTATTGTCATTGCAATATTATACTAATGTGAACATTAGTAGAACAGGAGGTGTGTGCTTTTGAACTGACCTTGACTTCGATGAGTTTGCATATTATACTTCAATTATATGTATAGTAAAAGTGAAAGTTCAATTCATGGAATTGGATGTACTACTTAATACTACACTTCCAATTTTACATACGTGTTTTTTGAACCATTTTATTGTACATAAGAATAATGCGGAAACAAAAGGATAGTTATATAACTGGTTATATGTATAGTGAATTATTTTGGTCACACTATTAATTCCGAGACGCCGTCCCTCATATTCTGCAGCTCTTGTTCAATTAGTGAAATTAATTCTTTGGTCATTTCCTTTGTTTGTAGAATTGCTGAATCAACGCCGGCCACTATTCTCAAACCTCCATCATAACTTAATATAGTTATGGATATTCCTGCACAAAATTATATTATTGTAATTTAGAACGGATGTACATATCATACACATGCAGCAATATGTATGTTAGCCACAGTTGCACGTACCGATACTGCCATTTAAGGGCCCGCCCGTAAACATATTGTCCACCAGAGGAAACCCTCCTACCCCTTCGCTGTCACTGGGGGGGCCAGGAAAATTGGACAAGATGACTGTGGGGAGGTAGTTTGTGACAATGATTCGTCTAATAATCCACGTGGGCAGGAAGTTGGCAAATTTTAATGCTGCAAAATTTACTGCCGGAATTACAGAGCGCTTCATGTTTTCAATATATGTATGAAGCTTATTCAAACGTTTATTGAAATCCGGCGCCCCCACCGGCAACTCCATAAATCCATAACTCCTGTTCAAATTTAAAAAAATCGCATTTTAAAAGTTTTCAAGTCTAAATGCAGATATATGTGCGTAACGCAACCATGATTTACCAATGGTTAATCAGTTTGTTGGGGTGGCCTGGCCATGGGAGGGGTAAGATCGCGTGGATTTTGTGAGGAACTAGGACTTTGCATCTTATCATCATGGCACGAATTGCTCCAGATACTGCTGCGAAGAGGACAGCTGTAAATCCAACTTTATGCTTCATCTTGATCTCTTTTATCAAAGAAACAGGAATTCTACTACTCCAGGCTTTATGAATTTTTCTGGTCAATTGTTTCTCGGGAAGATGCCAAGCATTTACGTCCATGGCGTCGATTCCTTGTTTTAAAAAATGATACGGGGTTTGCAGAGCCGCACCCAATTCATACATTCGCTTTTGAAAAGCAGAACGTTCCACATAAACAGGCTTGGCAACTTTGTCAAATGAGTCAGTAAACACTGCACGCATGAAGACGGTCAAAATTGCAATCCCGTCAGCCAAGCCATGATGGAACTAAAAAATAGAACAATTGCGTACAGTTAGTTAATAAATATGGGCCCTTGATTTCTTATGTTTCGCACATTTTGTCCAATAATAAAAGCAAAATATTTAATTCATATACCCTGAACATGACAATTGTTTTCGGAATGTCTGGATTCATGACTCCATTTAGTTTAACATTTCCAATCAGGATACATTCCCATGGACTTTTTCCTCTCGCGAAAGGCTTTTCTTCAAGAATTTCAACGATATTTATCAAGTCATCCTCACTTAAAACTTTGTTTTCGCTTTCCTCCCAAACAACAATATGCTCGGAAAGGTCAAAATTTTCTTCCTGCTTCCACCACATATATCCCATCCATTCTTCGTAGTACATTCTTGCTTCTGGATGATGGATCTTGCCCGTGGTTGGATCTGAAGCGTACACAGAGTTTTTGGCAAAAACTTTGCATTGCTCGACGGAACATCCGTCGAATGCACCAAAACCTACGATTGTACAAAGTGGGCGAACATGTAAGTTGTCACTGGCGAGAATAGGGCTCTTTCCACCCATTATTTTGACAATGTCTGGTCGGAACAGTTTTACATATCCAACCAACAAGAAACGCCATAAGGACAGAGGGATGAAAATCAAAAGAACGCCAGGAAATAATACGCACAGGAAGAATACAAGAGACACTGCAGATAAAACAATTCCAATTATAAGGGAACACAATTGGCGGCTTGACATGATGGTGGAGAGAAATTATAACTATATTATGTATAAATTATCACACTTTAAAATTAAAATACTGGTAGATAGCTTTCACTACTTCACGAGCTCATCTTTAATATAAAATAGATTTGTTAATATTACACATGAGAAATTATTTATTTACGAATCATAGAATTGTAATTTTTTTCATAATAACTATCATGCAAACTACGTATTCTGACAGATAGGCATTAGGTAGCCAATCCAACCCAAGCAGGCGCAGTAAACAAGATCATGGTCAACAATTACAGCAGTTGTGCCCAAAAACCAGTTTACGGTGCTCATATGTACATATATAATACCAATGCAATTATAGGTGATAGGAGGTGAAAGGATTGTATTATGTCACGAACGACAGGTCGATCTTTTATCAATTATAAGTTTACTGCATTAAAGTAAGCATTACTGTAAGGCAGATCACAAATATTTTTAATACAATTGTATTTGTTTATTACATCAGAACGTCAAAATTTACAGCACTGGCTAATACACACATACCTACACTATATCTAAGCGCTTGTCTTGCCTACGATAAATGTCAATATATATTTACGTACGCCTATTTATAGTCAACTCTTGGTAAAAGTCGCATTAATCTATAGTCGAGGAATGAATTTTTTAAAGCATTCAAACAAACTTGGAAACAAATCTCTAAATTTCACTCTATAATAAATATTCAATATGGCAATCGTCATAATATTAAATATGTATGTCCTTAGTAGAGTAGAATTCGTTTCTCGACAGGCTTTCTGCATATAGGACATTCGGCAATTCGGTCGCCACAACTTTGGCAAGTTCCATGCCCACAAAGAAAGATGAGATTTTTTAACCGATCCAAACAGACTGGGCACATTGTCTAGAATTAAATTTTTAAATCGTTCATAATAGCTTTCTTTGAATATAATCAGTATTGTCAGTGGCAGTGAAACAAAATATCATCAATACTACAAATTACCTGCTCTTTAATGTCCTGAAGTTGCTGTTGTAACTTTTGAACCGTGTAGTCTTTTGCTCCATTGTTTAAAGTTTGTGTTTGCCCATATGCACCGCTAAGACCAGTGTTGTTTGCATGGTTGATGTTATCACCAGCTACGGAGGTGGAGCCGCTACTATTATTAGCAATATTACTGGTGGTGTTGGCGTTGTTGCTGGCGGTGATGTTATGACTACTTGCAGTGTGGCTACTTAAGAGATTAGGCTCCATGCTGGGAGATAAATTGCAGGGACCTGTGACATTGCTGTTATTGGTATTTGATGTATTATTTGAGATGACATTAGCTCCGGGGCCCAGAGCGGAAGAAATTGCGGCAACAGCTGCATTGTTGATCGAAGCATTGTTGTTATTGTTGTTGCTGTTATGATTGTTGTTATTATTATTAGGCGCAGGCGGAGATGGAATAGAGACCAAATTGGAGACAGGCTTTTTCATCTGCTGATTTTTGCCGCATGACACCAAAAGTGAACTCATTCGGTCAATGTGCTGTAAATAAAGGAGGAAAAGAAAACATGACATGATAACATTTTAACAAATTGATGCTAAAAGAAATGTGCAATCTTTTTTAACTCCTTTTTTAGTAGTTAAAATATTGCTACTATGTCATATGAAGAACGGAGACGTAATATTATTATTATTATTACTTGTCGACAAGTCACGCATTTCTTCATCAATACAGCACAGCTCTCACAAGCACATGTATGACCGCACGGGTGGAATACAATAGACGCTCTTCGGTCCGAGCATACGACACATTCCTCAATCTAGTCACGAAAAATAGGTTTAGTAGCGTCACTTTCACACATTCATCTCGTCAATCTCATGTCCTGCGGAAGGACGTGAACAAACCTTTGTTCTGCTGGCAACTGGAGCTCGACATAGGAGACATTTCTTCACTCTGCTTCCACAGGGTCTACATACATAAATAAATAAATTGACGAATCCACGAATGGGAAACAAAATTGCATTAATATGGAATTAAACGAACCCGCAACACACTGCGTGTCCACATGGATTGAAAACCTTCAAATCAAAATAAAACAAAAAAAGGTTACAAACCTTAAGTAAAAGCTGATTTAATAGAGATATCACTTTTAGGATACAAAATAATATAGGATTATTCACCACTTCTCGACTGTCAGAGCAGACAACGCACTCATCCGTAGATTCAGCGGCAGGGTCCAGACTTAGTTGTGGTGTTGGACTCTGAGCTTTCCCTGCCCCTTCAACCTGACTGCTATGACAAACAAAAAGAAGAGATACATACATAGACTTCCAGTTAGCTGTATATGTACATGCTCTAGAATGCTGCTTTCTCTCTTCTTTTGCAACATGAATTATTTCGTAAAAACTTTCACTCCAGTCCCAAAGGGTCGTCGTCGTCGTCTATTCTAAAAAATAATTGGCTCCTTCAAGACTTTTCTTGCTACTGTCATATACACGCTATATCTACACATACAAGGACTAGACATAGATGGGGAAAATGCTAAACTCTCCGAGGATATCCATGTATGTATGTATGAGCTTATGAACGGGGATAAAACAATTCATCAAACGGATAGACACACACCAAGCGATGAACGAACAAGGCCTCATAAAAGTATTTGCTTCCAGTTCAAAACTTTTCCTCATATCCTCCGCTAGCGATCAAGTCAGTGTCCTGCTTATATAGTGAAAGGAAAGAAGAAAGCATTCTCTGAGATCTCTCATCATATCTCATCTCAAGGCTCTGGAATTGGTGTGAGCTCACAAGCAATAAACTCTCTCTCTCTCTCATCTTTCCAGGTCGGGATAATCAAAGACTTTTTTCAGAAAGCATAAGAGTATAAAGGAGTAGAAAAACTCATGGTAAAGAAAATCTAACACCTAATGGTAATACTTGTGCAACATTGAAAGAAAATTGCACGAATCTGGAATCAAGCGATAAGAACCGTGGAATATGAAGCAGAAAATGGAGCAAAACTTCTGGGCAATACTTATTCCACGTATACTTAAGTAAAAGTCAAGTCTTATGATCGGACAGTAGAACTAACAAGCAGCCCATACAACTTCAATAGAAATAGTTTCTTCTTCTTACGTGACATTTCGCTCACTGCGACACTGAGTAAGTGCTCTACACAACGATGGATCAGGACACAAGCAAAGGGGTGTTTGGTTCTTCTTGTTACGTATATTTAAATCCGCCCCGTGGGCAGCAAGGAAGCATGCAATCGATGCTGAAGACTTCTACAATTTCAGAATAATTTATAAATTCCTTGTATATATTCTTCAACTGTAGTTTCTGTCTACTCTAGGCAATATACATATAAATAAATATAACTTACCCTATCAGCCCCAGACGGGCCCAGACCCATGAGAAGCTAAAATAATTTCACAAAACAACAAAGGGAAAATTAATTTCTACTTGTTCTTCTCACGCAACTCACCTCCCTCACTCTCGGCAATGATACATACAACAATATTGATAGCCATAATACAAAGTTATTGCTGAAGGAGTGTGATAACAGTACACTTTCATCTAAACATTTTCACCTTCACCTATAAATCTCGAGAAAAAGTCACACCCAACAACAAACATGAGCATAAACTGGGATGTGGCAGACAAGATCTGCGTAGGTATTCCAATTTTACTTATTACACTTAATGCCGATGACCGATACTAATAATGCATCACATTGATTATAATTTCTGGAAAATTTTAATTTGTGGAAATGGTTTGAAGAAAGAACGAAATAAAAAACATACGAATGCTTCAAAAATTTACCTTGCTCACGTCCGCCACGTCTTGTAATTGACGAAGCTGGGACAAAGTATGATGTCGTAGTGCTTCATGCAGCGGCGTGTCTAGGAAAAATAGTTACGAATTATATAAATAATTTACTAATTACTATGTATCATGCTATATGTTTTGTAATGATTTATTATTCTTTACCTCCATCTTTATCCGCTAAATTTAGGTTCGCCCCGGCACTAACCAGAAGCTGAAAATTGAAGTTGTGAATTAGAGCTCTCAAAATACCAATGGAGATTAATATGTGCACTTACTCGAACAATCTGAGAATGTTGTCGTTCAACGGCTAAATGAAGGGCCGTTTGGGCATTTACTGAAAAATTTTAAAAATTAATTGTTTCCTCCTAATAAATATAAATGTAGAAATAAGCTCTAGGTACCATTTTGAATATCCAAATTTGCCCGACCTTCCCGAACCAATAATTCTGCAACCTGGAGAATTCATATAGGAATATTTTTTAAACTCACGAATCATATGAAAGGGCCAATGCAAAAATCATATGCATATACGCGCATACTGGTAATTTTATTTATCGTTAGTTGCAATCAGGTTGGCAATACATATTGGAAACTTTGAATCGATTGATTCCAATTGACGTTTGGATATAAAGATGTAATGGACTTTCATTGAGGTAAGTAAAATTCCTTCAGGAAAAATCTGTAAAATGAAGAGGACACATTTGCGAAAGACGATGCAAGTTGGAAACCCTGACGAGGGAGAGAAGATTGAACCAGACGCATTGGACGAAACACAAGCCATCATAAAACATGCTTTCACTGACTTGTCTCTCGAGAAGACGGAGAGAATTCTTAAGTAAAGCGAGCAAAGCCTAAACTCAAGATGAGACGACAGGGAGTGGGATTGAAGAAAGTAGTTCGTCCTTCTTGGTCTTCTTCTGGCAGCTTATGCTTCATTCGTTGGACACAAAAGGCGTACATTATGTAGTACGTACGTACATATATATTCTCATAGCTCCTCAGCCCATGCCCAACCAAGTTTGTACAGCCTTCTTAACTTAACAAAGTTGCCTCGTCGTGTTTTTGTTTATTTACCTTGTTATTTTAGGGATAAACAAGATGGGTAGAAAGTCAAAGTTTGACGATTGATAAAACAAACTTTTAAGGTGGTAGAAATCACGGATTTCACCAAAGCATGAAATAAGAAAGTTGGTGAAACATAATAAAGCTATTGGTAGGTAAATTAGGAAACTTTGAGTTCTAGACATTCCCACTAGACTCGAGCAATTCACATAAAATTGAACGGTGTAAAACTCATTATCAAGAATTATTAGAATTGAAGCGGAATACAGAATGAGAGAGAGAATGAAAGAAATGCAAATATGTAGCATTTCACAAATAATCGAACACAGAGGAGCAAGATGAAAGATTTGTTCACGAAAAAGTTGGCCACCCATTTGTGTAACAAATTTATAACAAAGGCTGCGTCATCAAGGTGTCAATTCATGGAGACACGCAATCGCAAATGTATAAATACTTACCAGGAACAGTAGAAATTCTCGAAACTAAACTTAGTCCTTCAACACCAGTTTTTAAATATAATATTATTTTAATAAGAACTTCTATACTCACCTGAAAATGGTTATTGAGACTGGCGAGATGTAAAGCTGTATAACCTGTTTAAATGAAATTGAGAAACTTAAATAGACCGCAATTTGGCAAGTAATTTTTAGGTGTCATTTAGTTATAAAAAGCATGCATGTAAACATAGAGTCACAATGACTATGTCAATTAACGTCTTAGACGTCATTTTGGAGAAAGTATCATGTATTATAATATGCGGTAGCTTTTGGTGAAAGTAAATTAAGCAGTCGTGATTAGTAGGAATACATATTTAAAAAGGGCACAGTCCATAGATAGTCAGAACAAAAGTTGGATTTGTATTCTAATAATTTCGTCGTCTTTGTGAAAGCGCAGCATTGGATTTTGTCACTCATTAATAAATAAATCTAGTGAATTTGTGTCATTCATAGTAGGACATATATAATTTTCAATTTACAATATGTATGTACTTATAGATAGTTTGTCACATACCATCATCTTTTTTTTCGTCCACGATCCAGGCCCTGGGAAGTTTTGTAAGGAGAATTCTCATGGCGCTACAATTTAAAAAAAACAGAGAATAAATATATAGGCAATAATTTTTCCACAACTTTACAGAGCCATAGTTTACGTCCATTGTTGTTCTATGATGGTACACCTCTTGCGACTCAATTCGTCATCTCGAGACAAAATATGCATACACCACTCAACCCACCCCACCTTCATCTACATATATCCACAAAGTATGTATATATTTGGAAATTTCAGATTCCAAACTCTTTGCCCCTTTACGCCTTTATCTTCCTGTCGCCTTTGCCTACATAAACTGCACAACTCGCGTTCGCTTTTATGCAAACATGTAAAGAGAAAGGTACATGTGTGCTAGTAAAATAGTTGTCAAAAACTCTGCCATCGTCAATGTACATATATGCATAGTTCAAAATTTTGTTTATTTAAGCAATTCATCATCAGATTTCGCCTGTTCAAGTTCAATATGTCACCGAGGATTTCATGCTTTTCATACATGCTCTGCCTGTCTCCGCCATTTTGCATACATAACAAAGTGTGTGTGCTAAAAAACCATCGAATCTCAAGCTACATATATATTTGTATCTACGTCGATTCTCTAGATGATGATAGAGCACAGTTTGGCACATGAATTTTCTTTTGCTGCTGCTGCTGCTCTGTCGTGTCGTCCCAGCAGCTGGATGGGCAATAGAAAGGAACTGACAGAGAAATGAATTAGAGATTTCATCCGACGTAACAGCAACTTATGCACAAGTCCCAAAAGAGCTCATTCATTTTTTCACGCTGACAACTAACTACAGTGCAGCGAGCTCATATATCCCACAAATGTTGCACACACATACATCCCTTTCATTCATGCGAATGCAGCTCAAACTCTATTTTTAATTTCATGCAAGGCGTAATCACTCCTTTCAGCCTGTGCAACGTTATTTATTTTAAGTTTGAATCTGGCATATGGCACACCCTACTCATCTATCTATATATGTATGTGACATATTTGTCCCTCCATGTCGAAATCGCAACGCCAAACCAGTACATAGTTTGTGTAAAGAAAGTAGTGGCAGTTTCCCATCCACCCACCCACCCGCCAACCCACACAGAGTGTCGGCACTTTTATGAGAAAACTACTATTGCCGTATATTACTTTTTGTATTAGTAGTGTGACCGTAATATTTGTTATCGGCCCTTAAAATTTGGAATTCTTGCAATGTTTGCCAAATAAGTCTGAATAAACCAGGCACGTGACTCGGCCGAATATATAACATGGTCCTGACATAACATTATCTTTTCTAGTGCTTTTCCTCCTTCAACTACGTGACAAGAGAGAAGCTGCTTCTACACTTTCATGGTCTCTCTCTCTCTCTCTTGGTCTCTGGTTGGATGGGGAAGAGTTGGAACAAGGAAAGAAAATAATACACCAAATGTTGAGCAAAGTGCAGCGAAGACAGAAATACTTATGCTCATGGTGTACTTTTCTTGAGCGTTTTCCACAGTGAAAGAGAGGAGGATAACGTATGACTACCCAAAATATTACGGGCTAGATGAGATTCCGGGGATTGCAATTGTTGGGACTATTGGGGCGATGCCATTGGCTCATAAAAATATTTGTACACACACATATTACAGACGGATATCCCGAACATATCCCTAACGAACCATGTTTTCAAATTCCTGAATAGTTGTAAGATTGTAGGCTGTTACTTACAATAAGCAGCAGCAGACAGCAGCAGTGCAGCAAGGTTTATATAAAGATTTTTCAACGAGTGGGGCAAGATGTTAAGATAAATGCAGAAACATATAATGTGGAAACATTATAAACGGCATGCACAAGTCTGTTGCTATTACTGCCGCTTACATGCCTACTTCAAGATGCTCCCCTCCCCCCTGAAGAGCAGTCAAAAGTAAAAGAAAGGAATAGTCGACTCCACGGGAAAAGAAAATGCTCAATATTTTTAAGACGAGGAGGCAACTGAAGAAGAAGAAGAAGAGAGAGTATTTCTGTCTGGAAGTGCTCAACTTGCATGAAGACAAGTAGATTTACCAGGAGAGAGCGCGTGCAGGAAAGACGATAGCCCTCCGTTAAGTTTGCAGCCTCAACACTAAACTAAAATAAACTTTCATGAGCCTGCTGAAGAAGTGATGTGACTCAAAGGTGCAATTCTAAATGTTACCGAAATTGGACTAAACCGGACTAAAATGCTAACGCATGCAACACAATGAAACTTGCATTTGCTTTTCAAGATGGGATGAGGGATACAGGAAAACATTATCATCTCAACTTAAAGCGATAAGTACAAGGCAGAGAAAGTGGATAGGAAAATTCCTAATGGTGAAATAGACCATTGCGATAACTTGACTGGGGGATTGTCAACCACAACCACATTGCTCGTCGTAAAAGCGTTTATGTTGTAATAATCGAATGAATTCAAAATGCCAAAAATGTGCGCATTTATTTATTGACTGTATCATGGCGTTTTCATTTTATAGAGGACACGAGACGACGACGCTCTTATGCGAAGGTTGGTCAGCATCCATCGGAGGAGTTATATAATTCAAGCCAGACAATTTTGGCGAGCTTTAATAAATTTCTTTGAACTCAAAACAAGTACCAATATAATATGTATACTGGGATTGAATAGCAGGATCACAAATCCTCAAGGTTTTCTATGGCGGCATGTTTATGACAGCAATGCCCAATGAGTGCAATATTTCATCCATTACAAATACAAATGTATTTAATCCAACCAACAAACATTTCCAAGCATTCTTCTTTATGTGATGGGATTCACCATACATCATGATAAGGCAGTATAGATACCGGAACGGCCATAATGGAGAAATCTAAACCATAACTATAAATAAGCCACATAATGGAGACTCTAGCATTGGAGTTCACAAAGGCAGTTAAAACGCTGGGTCGGATTTGATCACCAACTGAGAGCATTACAACAGGGATTTGGGATAGAACAATGTTCTAAACAAAATTCGATAATTAACACGTCGTTACAGTATATTGCGGCAAAAGCACAACTGACAGGTCTTTGCATGTAGACCAAGAGGTACAATATCTGCAAATTGAAAACTATGACAAACTATACATTACAAATGTGCACAGAGAAAAATAACGTGGATCAAAATTATGTATGTATAATCTGTCTCATTAAACTTTTAAATTCAAGAAATCTTTTGCAAAGGAATATGTATATGTATGTAATAACTGGCTTTTTTTATACTAAAAATCAGGGAAAGTGAGATGCCGGATGATCCACTTTTCTTTTAGACTTGGTCATGAAGTGGAATAACTTTTTTAAAGTAGTGACAAGACGACACTCAACGTGACGCCGGAGAGCAGACAACACATTCTAATTTCGCGTTGAATAAGAAAGGGAGTAAAAGCCTTATAAATCAAAGTCGCTCAAATCCATTGTTCATCTTTTTTTCAAAGTATTTTACATGAATTTGATCGCAAACCCTTTGCCGTGATTCATCCCAATGTTAAGAGAGCGAGTGCGAGAGTGTGGGAAAGGATGGATAGTCGCAAACCATAGTATCGATCGATGCCCCTTTCTTCCTGCCTTAAATAAAATGGATATCCTTAGGCGAAAGCTGCCTTTCTAGTAACAAGGCCTCTCCTGATTTGGCTCCGGATCGGCTTGGCCATTCATAATTTATGGGTGTGACCGACTATAACCGCCACCACGAAGCAACATCTTATTTCCAAACCGCTTAGCAAGAATCCTTTATACAAATCGAAAATTCCAGATGGTACCAACGCGTGCAGCAGCAATACCATAATAATATCTATGTGCCCTTCTTCTGGTATTACACAACCTCCAGTCGCAAATAATACCACCACATCCACAGCCCAGTGCAACATTATCTTTACCGACATTTTCTAATAATTCTAGTAGCAGTAGCACACACATACATCGTATTTAGTATTCGGTACACCGTGGTGCACCGAACGACCCACCACTTTAGTTATGTTATTGTCCCAGAAAAACCACCTTTATCGCAACCGAGAGAACGAAACCATTCCTCTGAAACAAAAAGCACTTACTGCAAAATTCCAATTGTTTGGAAATTCAAAGGACACAAATGAGCTAAAAAGAAAGTCTTTCCATTTCCAAGTTTTACATAAGTGTTGGTGTGTCAAGATAATTAGTAGTTATTGCATAATGAAAGCTCTCTGATTTAAGTGGAAGTATAACTTCACCAATGTTTTCCAACCAATAAGAGCCTTGGTCTCGACAACTCATTCCTCCAGCGCTCAACATCAGCGCAAATGATGATGTGATCTGCTGTGCATTGACGTTCACACCTTGAAAGTATTATTATTCACATTCTTACAAAGAAATTACTAAGGTTTAGCCTCAATCCCTCCGACTTAATAAAGATAGAAGAGCTCATTAGTGAATGGAGCAACTTTGTTGTAACTTGATGCGTAAATAGAAGAGGAGGGATTCTACTCTCTGGTGGAGAAATTAAGTTGATATCCCTCTCCTTTCTCCCTCTCTCGACCTTCTTGGAAGAAAAGGAAAGCAAAGAGAGAGAGGAGAAAGCCTTTGCTGAGTTGGTTGGGCTGGGTCGTTGTCGTCGTCAAATGCGAAGGAATTGGTGCTATATGCTGCTGGTTTGGTGGGTGTTTGGTTGGTATGCTGCTGTTGTCTCTTCTTTTCTCAACCTCTCAACCTCGATCCTCACCCCTAACTAGTTCAGCTATGCATCGCTGAACCGCCCTGTCTGCCCCGTTTGAGCCATTTTAAGTTGCCAGTGAAAGTTTTCCAGTTACCAACTTTTAAGACAAGATGATGGGTCAGTAATCTACAAATCTACGAACGGAAAGGAATCTCTCCTCCTCCTCCTTCAGGGTTCTATGTATTCAAACTTGGAAACTGAGAAGGAAGAACCTGTCATGAATTTGTTACTTTAGGGATCCTAGGCCAGCCACGGCTTCAGAAGCAGTTTATCCAGCAACACGGCAGATTCTCTCCTCTCCACTTTGCTCTCTTGTGGCTCTCTGCAATCTAAGATAGGAAATGGGAGCCGCCTCACTGAGGCACAAGAGCTAAGATAGCATAGTTCCACAGAACAGTAGCTGTTGTATTCACCATTAAGAAATGATTGCCTCTCCCGTGTAACTACATTATCTACGGGTACTTTTAATTTAACAAAGACAATTTCAAGATACAAGAATGACTGGCCCATAATCATTTACATTTGCTGTAACTTAGGGTAGTTTAGCATCAAGGATTGTAGTAGATTAGTGCAAACGGAGAAATGAAGAAATAGCTTCCAGCATTTCCCTACAAAGCATTTCCGTCTCACATAGTAATTACTTCCTCCCATTTGACTTTACAACAACTACACGGCACCGAGTTCCGTCGTCTTCCTTTCTCCTCCTCTTTCTCCTCCTCCTATGCAAACACCAAACTTTTGTTTTAATAGGTAAATTATTTTGCCATGTAAGCAATAATTAGCCAAGTACCTAAACCCATCTCAAACACAAAGTTTTGCTCATTTTAATATCATTGAAAATATTACATCATACCATACGCATAAACATATACACTTGCAGCATTTGAGATATGGAGAGTAAACCATGTACCCGTATAGGACAGGTTCATGGAGCAAGCCGGGTTCTACTATGTGCTTATAGGACTACATGTACGTACGTATCATGCACACGATCAAACAGAAGGGACTATAAAATAACTAAGTCATAAGTAGTTGAAAGGTAATTATTCCCAAGAGGAATGAGTGGATTCGTAAATTTAATTAAAGTTAAAACAAAACAGGGACGGGGACTAGGAACACGTACTCTCCTCAACTCGTATTACTGACAACTCGTACTTATTACTTTCCAAGGAAGAGATATAACAAAATGAAGGAAGGATATACTCGTATTTATTTTTCTGCAATTAAAATTCAAATTGCAAGACACCTTCAGAATCAACTTCAAAAATAAATAAATATTACACGGCAAATAACATCGCAAGTAATCAGCGAAGAGTGGATTGACGTTGAAGTTATGTTCTATGCACAACTAACGCTGAGCGACCATAAATCCAGATAATGCTGATTTGTTATGCAAGGGTGTAAAGGAAGCATCTCATTTCTAACAATTTGCATTTAAATTTACACCAATATCATAACTTAAGAAACCAACCCACTTCATCTCAACCGAGTAAGTAGCACTCTATGCCATGCCATCTCATTCACTCCAATTCCGCTGTCGTCCCCTTTTTCGCTTTCTCTCCAACGCAAAGCAAATTTTGGTACACGTAGTTTGAGTTCGTTTGGAGAGTGAAAGAAGCCAGGCAATAATAAGCAACTACTTGTAGTGCATACATATCCTGCAAAGAGAGAGGCGGAGATGAAAACGCCGACGGTGGTTGGTTGGTTTTGCTGCTGTGTGTGCATGTATACGGCTGGATGTGAAAGATTTAGTGAGACTCTGCTTGCTTTCCCTTTTAACTGGAAATATTTTAGCACCTTCAGGAAAGAAAATCCTTCTGAAAATCATGTGGCATGGTGAAGACTCGAGCGAAGCATCAAGTCACTTAAAATCCAGTGTCATCGTATCATCTGCAGAGAAGTGTATGCTTCTTTTTTATGTTCTTCCATCCTGTCATATTTCAAATTTCTGTTTTAACCAAGCAGACGAGGAATATAGTAAAAAAGGGATCCTTCCTGGCATATTATTACCTCCTCTACAACAACCTGAGGAGAAAAGTAGCACACAGCCACTGAACATCTCCTCTCTACACATACATACATATACATACATCTCGAGAAGTGGAGGTAGATTAGAATCCACCCAGGCAAAAAAAGTGACGTACAGAATAAGGCCCAAGTGTGTGGTAAGATATCCATTCCTTATTACATCCACCACCCGGTGTAGGAAGAGTGAGTAAAAGAAAGTGGAGAGAGAGAGAGAGAAGAGTTTCATCAAATAGCAATGTGTTGAAAACTGCACAATAGAATATGGAAATTTAGACAAGAGTAAGGCACAATGAGACCTTACATCATTCACTAAATAACCGATAAAAGTGTCACCCTGTGACATAATACCATCACTAGAGATGAAAACTCTGGGAACTTTCATCCTCTCAGCAAGAAACAACATTGTTCGAAAAGGAGGAGGACGACGAGTCTCACAAAGAATCCAAATATATAGATACACACATACAAGGAAATATCTTAGATTTGACTGCGAATAAATTTTCCTGGTATCAGGCCGCCAGGCAAGAGGGGCAGGCTCCAGGAGAGAATTGTCTGTCCCGCAGAATATTTTCAAACCCATCTTACAGTTTTTGCATCTCCTTGTTGGGCATAGGCGAGGCGCTGTTCAGACGTGTACTTATCTTCAGGTAGTAGACATATAGGGAATTTCGAAACCCAAGGTGGCCGTAAATGAGGGCATCAAAAATCTTCTCTGGGGCTACCTCCGCCCAGCCATGACGCGCTCCATTAAATGGCCCAGCTAGGCGTCCACACAGAAGAAGACTTTCTCTTTCTTCCTCCTCTTCGACGAGTGAAAGTTTTCACCAAGGAAACTTGTGCCGTCGTCTCATCCAAGTGAGGAAAAGTTGAACATGGCTTTACTATATGATACCCTAGCCAGACTCGCCCTAGACTTGATCTTGCTTCCTGCCAACAATTTTTCTCTTCTCCGTAACGTCGTCGCTGGGCCACTTATTCGAGGGAAAACTTTGGGCTGTAAAAACTAAAGACTTGTGCCTTAATTATATATTTTACTTCATAACTTCTGCCGCTCTACACAATGACCACCAGAAATTTAGCAGGTGCACAAAGACTAAATATATATTTATATATAAAGGAAAACACTGACGCATTTACATATGCGCAACAATAGAGACAAAATAAAATTTTCGCTCGCAGCTACACAAAAGAAACAAGCTGGGGGCGATGAGTGCCGGCTATTCAGTGTTAATTAAAAATGTGTGTAGAAGGAGAAAACTTTTCAGCACGAGAAACGTTTAGATAAGATGATATTTACTAGAACGAGAGGACTATAAGGCGATCACGTCTCATATTTCTTTGCTATCTATCCGTCGAAGCTCGTTTCATAAAGTAGACAACCACCTATCTATCTTTGCCGAGTACTTTCTTTCAAACGACGGAAATCCGCGTTAAATATATATTTTTTGATGTATAGTCAACCTTTACATATATATTTACCTTAGTATGTATTTATATGTACATACACATGTATGTATGTACAAGGCGAAAAAAGCTATTGGAGTAAATACATACACATCTGCGTATGATAGATGGGTGATTCTGTCGACACGTCGATAGAAAGGCAAGACTCGTATGTATTATAAAATAGTGCCTGAAATGATCTTGAATGAAGCACCTGCATATATGTACATAGATACATGCACACATCGTTCAGTCGAATGATCAATACTCATCTCATCCTTCTCCAACCCCAACGCGTCGACAACAACAAAATGAATATCAAAAAGTACAATTTACAAAGCCCATCATCTACATTTGGAGGGTGCATCCACTTCTTTCATGATCTTTGACATTTTGATTCTTATAGATCTTCGCTATCAATTGACAATGTGGACATGTTTACCGTAAGATATAGTTGGTAAAATATTCTGTATATATATTTTAAGTGAAAGTTTGAAGCAAACGTCCTGCAAAATACGAATTTCTGTATCTGGTATGCTTGTACATATATGGATACTGCAGACTTTAGAGAGGTTCGACTTTTTATATATGAACATTACCTATGAGGGCATTCACAATTGCCTTCTTATCCGTATTTAGCGATACAAAGAATACTGGATAGGAAGAAATTATGAATATACGTGTGAACATATGTATTTATAAATGCTCCAACCCATCGGACCTGTTGTTTTGCCAAAATGAGAAATCCATTGGCCAGGTTTCGCCTTTCCTTTTGCCCAAACTACCTCACAGATTTGGAGATGTGCTTAAGAAGGAGGAAGAGAACTGCTTACGTCCACAGTTTTGGATGGGTATCATATCATTCCAGCAGTTGCAAACCAGAATCATTTCAAGTCATTCCCGCATCCTAATGTATTCCTAACTGGCAGAGGCATTAATGCAGAAATCCAGGTTCCGTAAGAGAATATGAATCTTGCAAAGTATGACTAAACCTCGATCATGACCATAACAAACCGCATTAAAGTTTCACTCCAACTAAAACTTAGTGTCAGAGGCGCACAAAACCAGGCCCTTCATTCGAGTCGTTCATACATATCACGGTATGTACAACATTAGGAAATGGATGCGTCAGCTAGCTCAGCCCAAGAAAGAAACCGAATGACTTTTCTCTGTGCATTCTCATCATAATAATAATAGCAGCAGCAAGCCAGCCAGCCAGCCGCACTCTAACAGCTAAAAGTAATATTAGCCAGCTAAAATAATGTCATGCAGTAAATTTTGTTATTCCACCGTTAGTTTTTTTTAAATATAGCCTATTTCTTCCTCTTATCTGTCTGTGCTCTTGAAATGAAAGCAGCAGAGAAAAAAATCCCAAAAGCAATTTAGCACGCATTAAAGGAACTTATCGTACATATCTCTGTTATACTGATATATATCAATTTATCAATTGAGGGTAACAAATAAGGAACGGGTAACAAATGTGCAGTTAACCGAAAATTTAACAGATAATCAAAATTCTCTATTTTCTATAAACTAATCTATTTTGATGATTGTAACTCTAAGCATCGTTTTTGCAAGTCAATTTTTCCCTCGAAAAAACAAAGAGGAGGATTGGGGTACATCTGTAAAAGTTCTTCTGCATTTCTCATTTGTGGGAAACGGTATAAGGCGGCGTTAGGGTTAGATGAATCCCAAATTTTTATAAGCTCATTAGCTCCAATTTGTAGTGGAAGTGTGGTCAACTCCAACAGAGTCCAATACTTGTTGGACCGGTCCAAAAAAGGAACGATTGTGAAGAGAGGGACGCCGTCGTCAGCAAATGTCTCCATTTTTTTTGTCAAATCATCGTCATCCAATTTGCGAACTCTGGTGATAAAATGTTGTTCAACTTGATAGTTCTTATTGAAACGACGACAGTATATCTGTAGAATTGAGATATTTATAATTAGTTTCAACATGTCAAATATATGTATATATATAATAAAAAAATACCATAATAGCTGACTCTGCTATTTCTCTTGTGGTTTTGCTGTCACACATTCTGAACATAATTTGCCAAATACTTCGTGGATTCGATGTCGCTCCTATGGACCCTTTGTATAAATCACACGTCTTGTCATAAAGGTGATCATCGCGGATTCCATAATATCCTCTGCTGTGTCCATTAAAAATTCCGGTATAAAATTGACAGTCTTCTGTAACTGATCCCAACTGGACCGATCCAGACGTTGAATACGGACCGAATTTAAGAGCCAACTCTAAAGCTGTGAGATTTGACAAACCTCCGATGTACAAAATTTCCAATTCAGGTGCATTCTTAATAATCGTCTTATAATTGGATGTCCTTTGTATGGCGAGAGATTTGTTTCGAGCAGATTCAGTGTTTGCATTTCTGTTCATTTCTGTCCGGTATGTTGTTCTAGCTGAGTAAGGCCTGCGGCCTATAAGTACATAGTATCCAAGGATTGTTGACTCTGTAAAATATATAAAGGATTTAGACATTTATCATAGGATCGGTACAATGATTTGGAAGTATATAATTACTTGGGCTCAATTTTCTATTCGTGAATAGTACGGCATCCTGTTTTCGCCATTCTGCATCTCTCTTCATCTGATGGACACGATCGTCGTTCCGCAGTTTTAAATTCAACTCCACCGCCTGGTAAAAGTCCAGTAATTTTTCCCGTGGGACTTGGAGATGTGGCTTTGACGGAGGCGTCAGCTAGAAAAATAGAAATTAAAATAGAAATTAAACAATATCCTAAGGAAGAAAAACATAATATTTATAAATATGACGTTACCTTTTCCCATTTCATGTGTGGGACGCTGTCATCATTTTCCTTGTTTTGGACCGGTCCAATAGCCGGTTGGAAATCTAAGAAACCATCTCCAAATGATGACGGCAAGAGATTACTACGGAGGAAAAAACTCTATCAAAACTATGATAACAAATTCGGACGGAAGGAAAAGAATAAATTCAAACTCACGATTCATCTCTAAAGGACGAGAATCGGTCCTCTTCTCCACTGAACAACGAAAATGTTGATGACGTAGACCTAAAAAACAGAATTAACTTGGTTTGGAACGGTCCAACATTAAAATGAATGAATTTTTATACTTACGTATTCGCTTCGCTATCTTCTGAGAAATCGCTAGATCCATATTGAGATTCGATCCCAGCAGAATTATCCAATGTCTGTACTCGTGGTGGAGGATCATCATCGTCGTCACGTAACGTCCTTAAAATCAACGAATAGATGTTAATTTTATTGGACCGGTCCAAACAAAAATCATAGTAATAACAATTTAATAAGTGTTTTTCTTACAAGTCTATGATGTTCGTCTCGTGCTTCACCGCCTCTCCAACCTATGACAAACATTATTATTAATTCAATTACTAGTGAATAATTCTAGTCACTCCAACTCAATTTGTTAAATAATATTTACAGCGTCGGTCTTGTGAGTAATTATTGTAGGGAATCTACATGCACTGTCCCGGTCCAAGGATTGATCTCCTTCTCCTGCTTCACTAAAATTGAAATACAAACTAAATAATAATAAACGAAAAAGTTTTGACCGGTCAAACAAGACAATTCTCATTGAACGATTATTTACTTACGTAGTGAATCCTCTTTCACTGTCGGCGACAGCATCCGGCGCTGAATATCTCACGTTATCTACAATTCCTCCTGTCGTTGACTCCTCCCTATACGAGAACATCAGGATTATAATACCTTTGACGAATGTTTGATTTATTCTTGAACGGTCAAGTTATCCAACTTACACAGGAACCGTCAGTTTCGGCCTTTTCCACACGAAAGTGTCCATCGGACCATTTTTCTTCAAAGTTCGAGGAGGGGGGGCTCTTTTGGGGGCCATGGTCTGGTGGCCTTAAAAAGGCCGTTGGTTTAAGTAATTTGAAAAAAAAAACGTTTGGAGCTACTTCTTTTCTGTTGTTGCTGCGCGAACGTCCAGCCGATGAGTGATTACTCGTCGGATTATAAATTATACTCATAGTGTTTGTTAAACTATCAATCTGATTTGGACCGGTCAAATTTTGATTGCTGACTTTAAAACGTGTTCAAACTTGTTTATTAACTTTGATCTGAATTCGCTCCAACACCCGACATTGGGGCAGTGTTTAGACTCATGTAGGTTTTTCATACGTACATGAGATTTAGGGAAGTGGTAGGTAGGCTGCGAATAAAATAAAAACTAAATATGAATTGTAATTCAAATTAAATTGAATTGAATCGCGTGAAAATCGCGTGAAATATTTATTTCACGTATGCATTCATAAATAAACATTCGTACATTACCAGCATCTGCAAAAATGCAGCACGCTCCGCGACGTTTAATGTTTTTTTCCCTTCTCGCTCTCCTTCTACCTCTTTACCAAACAAATATCGAATGAACTTTTGCTTTATAAATTCTGCTGCAATGGCAATCTTTCTTCAGAGAGTGCTTCATGCGACGGGTCGGGACTAATAGTCATAGGCCTGTTGTGACTGGAGGATCGCATTAGCTTTACAGTAAGTAAGTAATGCCTTTTACGCATAAACGTGAAAACGATTCAATTTCCACTGTAAGCCAGCACTATGCCTCATACATGTGTAGGTACTTTTATGTCCGATATCTTACAGATGCGACATCATGTGTGGCAGATATATATTTAGTATAGTACATACTCAACACTAAAGTCGAGTTTGCATGCGAGATTCAAGTATCTCAAATAGCTATAAAGTTTGACACTTGATTTATTTTTAAAAAGTTGCAACATATTTATCAAAAAATGCCTTGGACAATCCTGAAGTAAAAAAAATTCACATGAAGCTAAGTATATATGCTTTGGTCGTTGCGTTCATCGGATCGGATTCGAGATGTATCAAGGAATATGTAGGTAGCCTTAAGTTCACTTGACGAGTTCACTACATACCGGGCCATCATGACCGAAAGACAAAGTAAATGTGTGTGTAATGGCAGCAAGGTCAACCATCATTAATAGGAATCAATGAGCAAGTAGAAGAGCTGCCATGCCATGATGTAAACTAACACGAAAGAAGGAACTATTTGGGAAATTATTAACAAGGACGACATACATGGAGGAGGGTGTAGTTAAACATGTGCATATGTACATACATATGCTCTCAGAAATACAGGGCAGAAAAATATAACGTCTTTATATCATGCACATATTGATGCCTCCATTTTCATTTTCCAGCTCTATTCCCTCTCTCTCTCTCTCATCCCAAACATGTCAGACATAAAATATTACAACCATTCAGCCTGCAAATGAATGGGTGTTTATGTGTATAACTTGCATACTCATTTAACAGACATCCTTGTCTGTCCATTTGTCCGGTCAAGTGCTGCAGAGAACGCATATATACATATGTAATATATAACATCTCTGTAGTAACTTCTGTGCGAAAGCTGTTACAAAACCCAAGGAAGCAGCTCAAAACCTTTTTCCTTTCATTCCACAAGTGAATCGTGATTATTAAACACACATTTCGTTGTTCCAAATTAATGTGCAAACAACAAGCGGAATCATTTCAAGAAACACATAAAATTAGATCAATCTTACAATATGTGTACATACACACTTATTTTGATAATAATATATACAAATACGGATAAATCCACAAAGTAAAAAAACAGTAGTGAGGGAGCGAGTGGCAAGTGTGGCTCAAATATTTTTTGGCCCATCTAAAATAGAAATCATCCACGTGCACGAAAGCCAAGGCAATAAATAAAGATTTTATATCCGGACCGAAACGTGAGACTTAAATAACACGTCCGACGTGATGGTGATTTCATTAAAAGAGGAAGAACGGCGGACAGAAAGTTAAGTTGTAAGTATGGGATGAGAATTTGTTGTCGGCGAAAACTGCGATATGAGTAAACTTTCACTCGTCGGTCGTCCTCGTCCTCTCTCTCGCTCACTTTCTGATTCATTTCCATTCGTGAGATTCGTAACGTGAAATTTTTCATGAGAAATGTCATGAGCCTGAGATTGAGATGCCAACCCAAGTTTTAATTCGGTCACTCTGTTAACTCGGTTTCCTTCCTCATTTCCCAGCAGCCACCATAAATCTCAGTTTCCATCTGTTACTTACTCTCCTTGATCCGAATGAGTTGAAACGACCGTGGAATTTGTATGCACTCCTCAGTGCAAGAATAAATGGAAGCAATGTCTCCTCATTCGATTCTACTCGTTGCAAGAAAATCTGGTAACAACGAAGCCCATACAACCAGTCGAGTATTACGTATTATTTACCATTAGCTGTGGACCAGACACTCGGCTCTCTCAAATTCTCACATACAACCCAGAAGAATAAGGTTTCACCAGTATTATTTCCCAGACTGGAATATAATGTGCCCCAAAATTTTAAAGAGGCAGAAGAGGAGCCAAAAGGAATGAAACACTGGCTGCGTCTTTCCAGTGAAATGCGACCGTAGCCTGAATGTACATGTGAAGTGGTACACATCCTGTGTGTGAGGGGGTACAACTATTTTGCCTCCGTCCAACAGGACCAAGATCAACCCGAAGCACAGAAGAGAAGCAAAACTATGCATGTAAGTTAACTTATAAGTCCACAGTACCTACTCGAGTTACAACTCAAAGATTTAAAACTTGAGCCCAAAGCTAAAAATGTTATGTATGGTCAAAAATATGACTCTAAATATCATTTCTGTGCGAGAGAAAACGTCATGCACCAGTGTAGAAAAAAGATAAAGATATCACTTATGCATATTTGCCGATTCTACATATAAATGCACACATCGTTGTCATCTTGTGGCAAAAAACTGCTTAGCTCATCAAAAATCATATAAAATAAATCATGAATTTATGGTCAAATAGTTATAGCAAGTAACCACCGAGCGGCTAATAAATTCTACTTCAGCCTTTATTCCTTCTGGTGTATAAAATTTGGGTGATCAACTTATTAGCGTGAATGGATTTGATGTATTTTCTCTCCTTGGCCGAACCCGGACCCTACTCCAGCCAATGAACCTTATTTGATGAGAGAGAGAGAGATTTGACGTTGAAAGTCGTGGCAGGCTGATGGAAGTCAAAATATTAATCTTGCAGTGCGGCAACACGTCATACTAATTTTTCATTTCGTCTCTCGAGTAGAAGAGCTTATTTTATGCTTTTTAGAATTATTAGTACTCTGCAAAATGGGAACTGCTGTTGCAAGAACAGCAACTTAAAGAACCACGCCATTCGCATTACCATGCAAGGAGCGGAGATGCGAGGCTCTGCTTTCGGTGGGCAGATATTCTGCCTGGCTTAGAGAGGACGGGAGAGAAAGAGAAAGAGCAAGTCAAGAGTCTCCAGAAACAGTAGTAATTCACATATGTTGGAGCACTATAAAATTCTGCTGGTCTTCTATCATGCTCCACAACCGGCTTATCCACGTTACATTAAAAGAGATAGCCATCTATGGTTCATGCCGTAATGGTAATTCCGTTCCGGGAGCCTTGTGTGGGTAGAATCGCGTTGGACGGAATATGAAAGACCTCACAAACCAGCAAGTGAACATCCTTCGCTCGTTTATCCTACTTTCGTACTTTCATCTAATCCGAGGAGTCCCAGTGTACCCAGCCAGTTGACTTCAACAACAAACAACCATTTCCCCATTACACTTTTAATTGAGTTAGTCAGGCACAGTCAAGGAAAACTTGTTTCTCTACACACAAATATCACTGGGTTGAAATTCAGCCGGCTTAACTTTGCCGATTATAAGGGTAGCTAACGTTCTTGCGCCGCGTTAGAATATGATTGTGCAACTCTCTCTCTCTGTCTCACAGGGAGGAACAGCCAGACCAGTTTTCTCATAAAACGCCTCTCTGAACATATACCTTCAACTTGACTCCCTCGTTTTCTTTCTTACCTACTACCCTTTCTTAATAATATCCAAGCCCTTGTCTCCAGAGTGCAAGAACCGAGGAACAGTTCGTATGTGTTTGAAAATGCCTTCACTATGCCACGAATCCCTTGAAAACCAGTCAACCAACCACTCCTACACCCATATTCCTATCTCTTCAGACCTCCGCTCCGCCACCGCCGTTGCGTTTCATTTCATTTCCCAATTTTCTCTTTCCAAACAATTCAATTTGAATTGTCTCTCCGAGCTGGTGAAGTGCCAGATGCACGAAAACCGTTTCATCCTACACCACAACCACACCGTCCCGAATTTGCAATCAGGCGATAATAGTTTCAAGTAAATTGGAGTAACTAAACCCATTAACTCAAACCTGTACCTACCATGATGGCAAGCGTATTATGGTCCAAATGACACGAGCCAACTCATCTTTATTTCGTTCTGATGACAAGAGTACAACTCGGCAATTGAAATTCGATAATCGCCCAATAAATTATTCGAAATGTACTGCACACTTAAAAACTGATTACTATGCGGAACCTACAGTTGTGCTTTCGCTGCATAGTCCTTGTTTGATTATTGGGAACCGACATCTCCACAATCTGTGTGTGTGAGTACAATCTACTTACACACGCATAATCGTACCACGTAACATATTTATCATAACATAATATTTACAGAGACGTGCTCAAGGTGTATTTCTTCAGATTATTTTCCACATCAGGCAACAACACATAACTAAAAATAACATGTATAAGCTTGTTTATTGTTCTTGAATCCTTAGGTCAAGAGCATAATTGGTAGTCATAAACTTTGTAAACTAATCACCAGCGCAGATAAATTAAGGTCAAAGGGTGGAGGCCTGTTGTTTTGCAGAATCTGGAATTTTTCTTCCCCGTAAACACATGAAACAGATGCGACAGGGTCTGGGATAGGCTTTTTATCAAAGTATAAAGTTTAGAAGAGGTTGTAGTACGTTTCCAACTCGAATATCGCGTTAAAATTATAAATGAAGTTTCATTAACGGCAACATTAGTTGGGACCAGCCTAGAGATTAATTATTCAAACCAACATTCACCTTTCACCAAACTTCAATGGGCGATTATTCATTCATCTCATTTATTTCAGATGGTATTCGTTGCATGATGAAGGCTAAATAAATCAAGGGCATTACCTTCCTGTTCACCACCCACCCGCATTCAAGACCAACACTGATTAAATCACTGTCCACACTTCACCTCAAAAATTAAAACTACGTTTCCTTCCACACCTTTCACTCATTTTCATCCTCACTGCTCCAGCCCAACCTCGAAACTCATTACGCATTCAGTGAATATTTCATTGACGGGTAGGCAGTGAAATCTGCTGATTAAGATATATAAAAAGACCATTAACAGATTACTCAACACGGTCCGGAAAATGGGTCGAAAAAGCCTTATAAAAGTTCCAACAAACCATGCACATACATACAACATGCATACAAAATATTTATATGCATACCTCCTCTTATTCACAATGTCGAACAGTTGTAATTTATACACATTTTAATAAATTCGAGCAATTCATTGCACACAAAATTATGCGTTACCATCATACATTTGTACATTTTAAAATTAGTTGAACCATTTATTCATCCATAACAATGAAATTAGTTGTAGGATCCATGCATCTATCCATTTATGTACACATGTAGTCTGTGAAGTTAGCTAGAGGAATGTTTTAAATGTTGTTCTTCTATTGGTTGGTACGCAGCAGATTGCATGCAAGTCCCAGAGGTAAGGAAGCACTAGGAGAAAGATATTCTGGTGCAGATGTATCCGACCCTTACATGTATGACAAACTGAATTCTACAGTTTATTACTCTAATTTATTTAATTTTTGTCATGTTACAGGAGCACACATGTGAGCAGAATATATTTCAGAAACGACACATCCTCCCAATGGGTTGAGATTTAGTGTCTGCAAACTCTGCTTACACAGGCTGTGTGACTCAACCAGTAACCATCCGTTTCTCCAAAGTATGTTTAGAAAGATGTGTCTGACTTGCAGCATGGCCTTTTGGTCCTCTCAACACACGGAGTGAATGTGTACAATGTATGTTGGTTGAAGTGACAGAATCATGCTGTAGAGGTCCGAGAAACGGGAGAAGGTAGAGAGCACAGACGTAAGATATTCAAAACCTCTTATTAGAGATGGGCCAAACCAAGCTCCGGTTGTTCAAAGGTGGCCAAGACGTTTCCTCTCGGCGATACATGTATATCTAGTAGCCGAAAGTACATAACGGTGCAGCAGCAGCCTCCCGCAAAGAGTCGTCATCATCGTATGCACGACACTTCAACAACCCGGACTGATTGCAGGCCTTATTTTCAACAGAAGTTGCTTTGCAAAGAACCGATTTTTTTACACTGGAATCTATTTTTGTGCTGTACAAATTTGGAGTGGCATGAACCATACTCGGCCAATCATCTGGCAGCCGTGGTCGGGCCGTATGGGGTTTCAAATGAGAGGATGAGTCTTAAATATTTTTCAAATGCATAGTTAGTCGCCGTCGTCTTCAGTTGAGGAAAGTGTTTGGTCCAAGTGTGCTGCTAAACGATCAAAACCGCACCACTATTCATTTGCATTATCGCTTTGCTCCGCGCAGCTTAGTGCCACTTATCGGTGTAGATATCGCTACAAATTTTTTCGGGAACTACTATTCAAGTTAACATTCATCTTCCTTATCCAA